TCATTTCTCACGGTCAGAAAGCAACCGAGTGTGATGCGTCCTCTACTGAGCGTCGCAGTTCATTGTTAAGTTTTCGGGAAAAGGTAGCAAAATTGGTCTGAGGCTTTAATTCTGTAACATTACACCAGACGCGCTGTAAGTTTAAGTCTACGAAGCATCGCTTCGTCATGCGAAGAAAAAGAAGGCATTGTAAACTCTGCGAAAAATATCTTCGTATTACGATGGAAAATCCGTCGTAACATGAAGCATTTCTTCATACTACAAAGCAATTCTGCGAGGCCTTCATTTTCTTCGTAGTTAGGGAGGAAAAGCTTTGTAGACTTTTGAGAGTGCGTAAAAGCAGTCACGAAGTTACGTGGAGCGATTCTGTCCAGTTTTGGTGACAAATTTGTTGGAAACGTGTCGGCGCCATTGGTTGTACGCGAAAACAGTTGGGGCCATTGATGGTTTACAGACTCTAAGTTAGCGGGCTGCGGGCCGGTGGCACCGGTGGCCTGGGCGATGTGATATCCGCTCAGGAAAACGAGTAACTCAAGCGTTGACCATACGTATAACGTCGTCTGACTGTGGCTTTGGCTCCCACCACCAACTCCAGCCTGCAGGTCTCAGCGTCTGCGCACCCCAGTCCACCCTCGTGTAGTTGGCTCCTGCCTCGCCGTGGCCAGTAGACTGATTCCGAAGGCCTTTTTTTTCGGGCTGTCTCTCTCGCACTCATGGGCGCCCCTTTGGGTGCGAGACAGACATATCGACGAAAGCGACTCTCGGAACCAGTCTGCAGACGAGTGAATAAGCAAGGCCCCTCGCGCGGTGCGTGAGCGAGGCGCTGTTCACTTATTCAAGGCCCGGACATGCACTGCGTCTTGGCGTGCAGCGCAGCGGCGACGGCCAGTGCACGCGTGGAGGCTATGCGAGTCAGTCGAGGCCGGACACATCCAGAGGTCGCAACCACGCTGGAGCACGGGAACCAGTTCGATCGGTAGTTGGGGTCCGTTCCGACTTAGTAGACAGGCTGTGCCTCGGACGCATTTTCAGTTGTTGACTCGCGATCACCATGACGGTTAGTTCACCATGATCACACTCTAAATGTTGTATAGTTAAGATTCTCTATATTATGTTGAAAATGTTCTAAATTATGGTGGTACAGCTGACTTTACAACCTAAGATTGAGAATTCACTGTATCCTATAGATATTTTGACGACTTTTGCTTGTATTATGGAGAAAATCTCCACCATAATGATGGTGGAGCCTTTCACATTACAGTGCAGGATGGTTTGTGATTCATGGCGTGAAATAAAGATCATGATGGGTGATCATCTGACAGAGCAACAGCAACGTAACTTGAAAGGGAATGCCACGGTAGATACGCTGTTATCTACGAATGCCTCGCTGTGTTGCGTGAGAAAGATCGTAAATGCTGTTTTCCACCTCGCGAGTACGGTCCTTAGTAGTTTTCAAACCAGTAGAGGTGCCTTTCGCTTAAGACTCGCTTAAATGTTTAAAAAGTTTGTAGATCGTAATTGCATGAGCGCGTTATTTGTTTTGTAGTGCAAATAAGATAAAGATAACTTATAGTTTAACAACACAAACATTTCCGGAGGCAGTACGATCCTTCTCGCGCAGTACAAAAAATTATGATATCTTTTTGACGCGGCACAAGTATATTTCGGCTTGAGTTCTCTCAAGATTTCGGCCTTACACTTTAAAATACTACAGAACTTTATTTTCGCAATACGAACAAAAAGCTTAGTACTATAACAAGGCAGCGAAGGCAGTGGTGAAGAGATCGCAGTAACTTACGACCTAAAGTTTCTTCATACTACACTAAAAAAGATGCAGTGTGAAGATTGTCCATATTATGGTGAAAATTGTCTTGTTATGGTGGTACATACTACTTTATACCACCACTGTACCTGTCAAGTTTACGCTCGTTTTCGGCCGCCAATCACGTAAACAATCGGCCTAGGGAGGTGCGAATAGTTCGGTATCGAATCGAATCACCCCTGATTCGATTCGGGGACGGATCTATTTGCTTCGACCCCGAATATTCGAAATTTTCGAATCGGCAGTGGTTCGTCTTCGAATCGGTTGCACGGGAACGGTTGAATTTCACGTGCACAGCGTTGTTTTTATGTCAAAGCAAGATCAGATATTTGATTTCTTCTTTTTGTATTCCTGCCCTATGCCCTTCCTTTATTACAGAAAATGTGTTTAAAAACGCACTATATTTTTTTTAGTTTCAGTTCGAATTCGATTTGATTCTGAATCTTTAAAAATTCGAGTCGATTCGACAACTTCTTCCAGATTCGATTCGGGTTCGAAACTTTTTTTGAGATTCGATTCGAATGAAAATCCTTGATTCGTACATCCCTAGATCGGCCGTAAGGTTTTTCTGTAATAAAAGGTTCATGAAATAAGACCTTGTTCACCGTCCTATTTACGTTAGTGTGCATAGGTCAACCTAAACTCACGCGGAAATGTAATCCAAAGCAAACGACGAAGAGGAGCACGGTCTTTCTGTTCTTCATTTTTCTCTTTAATGCGGTCCAATTTTTGTACATACAAAAATTGGTCCGTGATAAAGAGAAAAATCTGGACCCTAGTGATGAAAAACTCATAGCGCGCTAAGAATCTCTCCTCACTGAGAATGAAAGAGTCACCACCATCGCCTTTTCATTGGGTGACGCACGCATCGTCGCTCAAATTTGGGTAACGAGTCAGCGGTGACTAAATTTTGGACAGTCATAAAATCGCCGCCCAAATTTGGGTAACGTCGTCGGCTACGCCGTGAGGTCCCCGATGACGTTCTTCCGGGACCACCACGATGACCACCATGTGGCTTTGAGGCCTCCGGTCATCGTGGTGGCCCCGGAAGGACGTCGTCGGGGACCTCTCGGCGTAGCCGCGACGACGCCGCGACCTAACGCCTGTTACCAAATTTCGGGTAATGAACTTTTCGCTACCCAAAATTCGGCAACGAAGTTGCATCACCCATTTAAAGGGTGACGGTGGTGACCCGTTCATTCTCAGGGCTTCTTTCCATCCTGTTGGATTTTCCGACTCGGCCCGAAAACGTAATAGGCCTCCTCCGTAAAATAAGGCGTCTTCCGTAAAATAAGCCGACGGTTAATGCTTCCGTAAGAACACGCGTGATGGAAACCTTTGCGTTACGGAAAATCGTGACGTTGTTGCCGGCCGAAAAAGAGCCCGGCTTCGCAGATAATGATTTTGATGAATTTTGTTGGTATTATAGTAAAGTAGCCAATCGATACAGATTCCGGAAAGTCGACGCCGATAAAACTGCGAGGAACTCATGAACTAAAGTGCGTGTTTCCGGATGAAGACCTGCTAGTGCGTTCTGCGAACGGATCCTCGCTATCAGTTGCCAACCACGGACACAGCGAAGCGAAATGCGTTTTGCTCCTTATCTCAACTTGGTTCTAGGTAGATCAACACGTTACTGCCCCAACAGATAAACTCTTCCGTGGGAATCAGTCCGACAATACCAGCAACCGCCAATGAAGCAGAATTGTCAAAGAAACGAGAAAGTTCTTTGGAACTCACCAAACATTTTTGGCCCGTCCCGTTTATTTTTTGTAAAAAAATGACGGAGGGACGGGCATATAGTATGATGCATGCTGTGCGTCCGTTCGTTCGTCCGTTCGTTCGTTCGTTCGTTCGTCCGAGGACTTCCCGCGGTCCGATCTTGACCAAATTTGGTATGCAGCCTCCTTGGGTGACCCTAAGAACCGCCCGGTGGCAGCAAATCCGATCCGAGCCCCGGGGGCGCTGCTGCAGGTGCATCATGGTCTACATGGGGTCGAGGAGGATCTCGGCAACGGATGCAGCTAGCAGGGCATGTAGGGGTATTTTTGGAATCGGTGCGACGAGAAAAAACTAATGGTGCCACTTTCGAACGAATCGGAGAAGTTCGGACCCGGGTTCAAATCCCAGTGGGGTATTTTCGGAACATTCTTTTTATTCGAGTTTTTGCATTGTTTCTGATGTTTTTGAGGGTGCTGATGACGAAAACGACATTTATTTTGACCCTAGACCCTGGTTTAAATTCGTCAGGGTTAAACAAAGGCGAAATTCACACATTTGTTAATGTACGGGACGGGCCAAAGTTGCCGATGTATATCGCTACTTTTCCTGTTATTTTTACCCGTTACCGAACGATTTTGTGTCCACGCCGGCAGCGTTTTTATACATTACCAAATGGCGACAACTTCAAACACGAACCAAAGAAAAATTTGTCCACAGTTTGCTTTTTTAAGCATTGTTTGTATCTAAACTAAGCGCAAAATTGATCACAAATGTGGACAAATATATCCGTAACAAAGTTCTCAAGAAAGTCCCCAACGAATGGGGTCGCAGGGGGGCGCGAAAAAATTTGAAAGCCATTTTGGGGCCGCGGGCTGCAAAAGGTTGGGAACCGCTGACCTATGGTCCTCAAAATTATCTTGAAAATTATCTTTTAAAAAATTATCCCAAAGTATTCCTCTGCGAGGTAGAATGTGGTTAAATTCAGTTCCGGATAAGTCATACTAAAAAATATTTCACGCTCCATGTCATGGGACCTTTTCTGCTCCATGAAATATGCAGTTTTAAGTACATCCGACAGCGACAATTTTGTGTCAGCGCCAGGCAATTTAAGTCAAATAAACGTACAAGTAGCAAAAGGCGTCGGACAAAATGTGTCGCAAGGTAAAAACTAAATTGTATCATGCTTAAAAATTGCACCACTCCAAGGAGAATCAAGGCCCATGAAATTGGAACCACTCTTCTTCAGTTTTCAAAAGAACTTGTAACAATCCGTATCTCGTCGAATGTTAATCCTCGTTCAAACGAATGCGGTACACTACACGAGGAAAAAAAACTTCCCAATCGGTGGCGAATGCTGAGGAAAGCACAAGTGTCATTATCTTCTCTTATCTCTATGGGAGGGGAGAGGAAGCAGTGTGGCGGACAGTCGGGACTCGTTTATAGCAGCTGGTCCGCTGGGGGAGAGGTCAGTGTGGTTCGACTCCAAGACTCAGGGCGACTTCCGAATCCAGCGGTGTACTGCCCCGAGATGGTGGAGACGACGAGCGTGTTGGCGGCCCTGGCGGCGGTCCTGGTGGCGGCCTACTTCTGGTCGCGGTACCGCCACGGCTACTGGCGCAAGCGCGGCGTGCCCACGCCCAGCCCTCTGCCCATCTTCGGCAACATGCTGCCGGTCCTGCGGGGGAAGAAGCACTTCATGCAGGCCTTCCACGACATGTCGCTGCCGCACCGCGACACCGGCTACTGCGGCATGTACGTGTGGGGCATGCCCATGCTGATGGTGTTCGAGCCCGAGATGGTGAAGCAGGTCGTCTGCAAGGACTTCTCCAGCTTCCACGACCGCGGCATACCGTCGTCCGAGAGCGACCCGCTGAGCCAGCACCTGTTCAACCTGACGGGCACCAAGTGGCGCAACCTGCGCAACCGCCTGACGCCCACCTTCACGTCCGGCAAGCTCAAGCTGATGCTGCCGCTGATGCGGGACATCAGCGACCAGCTGAGCACCGCGGTGGCGGCCGAGGCCAAGGCGGCCGGCGGCGAGGTGGACGTCCAGGCGCTGCTGCCTCGCTTCGCCACCGACGTCATCGGCTCCGTGGCCTTCGGCATCAACTGCAACAGCCTGGCCAACGAGAACGCCGAGTTCCTCACCATGTCTCGCGGCATTCTGCGGCAGTCGCTCCTGCAGACTATCCGTGGCGTGCTGGAGGCCATCTACCCTGGGCTGAGCCAACTTCTGCCCTTCAAATGGACGTTCAACAAAGTGCACCACTTCTTCACGAACCTGATGCGGGAGACGGTGGGGCACCGCGAGACCAACAAGGTGGTCCGCAACGACTTCGTGCACCTCTTGATGCAGGTCCGTGACCAGGACCTGGGCCACGCCGACCCGGAGAATCAGCTGGAGATGACGCCGGGGCTCATGGCCGCCCAAGCTTTCCTGTTCTTCGTGGCCGGGCAGGACAACATAGCCAACTTGGTGGCCTTCTGCCTCCACCAGATGGTGCTGGACCAGGACCTGCAGCAGCGCGCGGCCGACGAGGTTCGCAACGTCATCCGGAAGCACGACGGCCAGCTCACCTACGAGGCCCTCAAGGACATGAGCCTGCTGGACCGAGTGCTCATGGAGGGTCTGCGGCTGTGGTCGCCCGTCGGCACCATCTTCCGAAAGTGCAACCAGACGACCAAGGTGGGGGACTTGGTGGTGGAGAAGGACATGCCGGTCATGATCATTGCGGACAACATGCACCGGAACCCCGCCCTCTTCCCCGACCCCGAGCGCTTCGACCCGGAGCGGCACACGGCCGAGGCCAAGGAGCAGCGGCACCCCTACGCCTTGCTGCCCTTCGGCGAGGGCCCCCGCGTCTGCATCGCCGAGCGCTTCTCCATGCTCGAGATGAAGCTGGCCCTCGCCGTCATGCTGCGCGACTTCAGCTTCTCGCGCGGACCCAAGTTCGAGGTGGAGCCCGCCAGGGACCCCAAGTCCTTCTTCCCGCAAGCTCTCCACGGCTTCCCCATGAGGGTCCAAGTCAGGGGGTGAGAAGGACGACCCTTGCCTGATGTGCATATTGTTTTCAAGCGATCCTGTGATTCATACGTGCAAGCCTCAACGTGTGGTTCTAGCAATGTTGTTCTGTTTTTAAATCAAACTGGAAAGTTTAATAAACTGAATTTTGACGATCCAACTCGTCCCTTTGAAAAGCATTTTGGGCCAGAAGTGGTGTGCAGGAAATGGCTATGAGATGGGTGGCGATTTGTACTTATGACCAAGAATCTCTGCAGTTTAACCGTTATCTACGGAAATGTTTGGACAGGGAGGGTGGAACCTTCCAGACGGCTGATTTTTCAGTGTATTTGATTGAATTGTTAACATAAATTACCAATAAATCGATTACACGATAATTTCAAATTGTACATTATCCTATTCTGGAAACCACTGCCACCTAAAACAAGGAATTGAATAAAATGACTGTACGAAGATTCCGGAGGAGTCTGACAGTCTCTCACACGTCTTGATTGATGACATGCTGCCATGACGACCATTGCGTTCTACCCGCTACCTTCCGGTGTGCTGGTATCGAGCGAATACAATATTTATACAAGCATTACGGCAAAAGGGCCACATATCCAGCCACTCGTCCCTGCGCAGGGCCGACCAAAGCTGCAAAGATGTTCTTTGCTGGGGATAGGCAGTCGTAATCGTGGGTAGGTCGCGGCACCTCACCTGGGCTCTGAAACTTCCTGTCAAATAAACATGATATTAACTGTACTTTGAGGCTAGTATTCAAGCACTATAGTAGAGGCTAGTAATCTCTGGCACTGCTGCCCCAGAGCCGTAAATCATACCATGGAAGTTTGCCTTTAAGTGTTGTTGGTCGTTCTGACGAATTCATCCCACGAACCATCTAGTCTTAGCCTAAGCTCTGGGCAATTTGACGTGAAGGGAGAGACTAAGCGCAAGTTTTGATTGATGTCTATGGTTTTTCAAAACAAATCAATGCGGGGACACACCAAACCACCCCGAAAACTTGTCATTGCCATGTGCTTTCACATAGGCCTGTAGGCTAGGCGTTCATGTGTTTCATTATGACCAAAAGGACTCGGGTCATGAAGTCAAACGGGCTGAAAGATACACTGCGTAGCAGATGTCTGAGAGACCTCGTGGTAGTGCTTCTCTTGTTGCTGGCGTTACAAGAACCATGGCCCCTGGTGAGTACGCCACGAAGATTGTTCCAGAGGCCCTTAAGGTATCCCGAGGAAAACCGTTTACGGTAGTTTTATGGGTAACTCCCCCCACCCCCTCAAAATTATTATTTTACTAGATGCATCCCATGTGCTTTATAATGTCGACCTCTTCGTTACATCTTCATTAAATGCATTGCCACTGGGCGACGTATCAGCTTCATTTTTAGAATCGTGGAAACGCGGCATGACACTGTGGCAAAAAGCTACGGAAAATTCTGTAAACAGCTTGTGGTAATTCTCCGTAGCCCCCTTGTCAGTATTCTCCGTAGGCTCTTACAGTATTTTCCGTAGGACCGCAAAGTATTCTCCGTAGGACCTTACAGTGATCTCCGTAGGACTATACAAACTTCCAGGTCCTACGGAGAATACTGTGCAGTCCTACGGAGAATACTGTGCGGCCCTACGGAGAATACTGTAAGAGCCTACGGAGAATATTGATAAGAGGCCTACGGAGAATCCTGGCAAAAAAATTAACAGAATTTTCCGTACCTTTTTGCCACAGTGGACCAAGCGCACTTGACTGAGTATAGGCCATTACCACAAAAAGATGAAGGAATTAAAACAGGGAAATGACACAGTCCATGAACGTGTGGGAAAGAGGCTATCGTGCGGGAGGAGAAAATATTCTACCTTCATAATTCTCTAAGAAACTATAGTTCAACGAACTAGAAGAAAACATAGAACGCTCGGTTTTTTTTCAAGCTGATTCTTAGGAGTTTTCGTTCCAGACGCGTGGTCGACTGCAAACCCCAAGGGCCTTCCTTTGCCCTGCCAACGACTTCCTTTCGAACTTCACGACGCTCTTTCTGCGAGACAGATCAGGTAATGCCTGTGGCCCCGTGGCCAGCAGACTTGCCTAATGGCATAAAAGAAGAATCCCTCACCATGGCCCCGGTGTGACCATGGCTTTTAAGTTCAAATATTGAGCTTCTCGCAAACCAAGCTTCGAACTATTTCTGCGTTAAAATAAAATTGTGTCTTTAACACAAAATCAACACAACAGGACGCAATCTTGTAGTGCTGCCGATAGAAAATAATTATCACAACAAGACAACAGGACGCAATATTGAAATGCTGCCGATGGAAAATATGAAAATCTTTTCTTAGTCAGAGTCTGGCTAGAATAGGATTAACGTACGCGAAACCGTGCAAAGCGCTTCTTTACCTCGCACACTCTTGTGGACTTCTTCATGCAGGACGCATGCGCAGATACTAGGACATTGTGTACATTTTATGCATCTTCATGCAGTTGAGATCTGCCATCTGTGCATCCATAATTATGCATAAGTAAAGTCCTCAAGGGCTTCATGTAGGTACTCAATTACCTCAGAAAGATCCCGCAGCCGCACCTGATTGACTGAATTGTCTTTGCAGATGCTGCCAGTACCCTTGTGGTGACTTTACCGCGACACACCGGTAGGAAACTGATTGTTAGTTAATCTGTGTACGCACCCCGTTTATTATTTTCATCCAAGTGATCGTCTAAGCAGGTGATCCCTGCCCCTCCCTCTTGCTGCGGCGCCTCGCCGGCGAGCCTCTGCTGTTGGTGGTTGGCGCGCAGCACGCAGCGCGGCCCGGCGGACTGCATCAGGCGGCCTCAGGCTACTTGCTGATGGGGACCGTGGACGAGGTGATCAGACCGCGTGGTAGAGCAAAGATTACGTTGGGTGTCGGGAAGAGAAATGAGTCAAAAAAACATTGACTCACTGGCCAAAGAGAATGGCACTTTTGTTAAAAACGAATCCTGCACTATCACTGTGAAAATTTTGGTTGTCACTTGATGACAATTTCAAGGCTAATTTTCCTGACAAGAATGTCATCAAACCTATTGATGGGCTTGTTGTTACGCCCACGCAATAAGTGTTGGAGGTTTGATGAAAATTTCATCCAGGTGTGATGAGAATGTCAACAGGTCATACAAGATTTTGTCTTAATGCGACAACAAAATTTGCCAGAAATGTGTTTTAAGGATCACTAATTTTAGACTAAGTGTGGTAAGCCCGTAATACATTGGACTGTAAAACTTTCAAAAGAACAACACGTTTTTGCACTTCGCAGGGATTCTCCCCTAAATTGGGCTTGTTGATTTGCACTGTTATGTACAAAATTATGAAGATCTTTGACTGAATGTGTGTTCCATTCATCTCGTGTAATATTCTAAAGTTATAAAGTAGTGTCATATGAACATTAAACTATATTTGGGTTTATAAAAAATACTTTATTTGTATTAAAAATACTTTCTTTGTAATCAAGAGGCTTTCTACAACAGATCTCTTCGTGTCATTGTTGCATATTTGCTTCAGAATTTTCCTGTTCAATCTGTAACTCAGCAGCAAGGGCATGAACAAAACGGTTTTATGGTCATTCCTAGGTTGAGGCGGCACAGTTTTGGTGTACTGTTATTTCTAACATGTGTAATCTGCTAAGTTCGAAACTCCTTGGTCGACATAGTTCGGAAAGTTGAAAGGACTTCACGTACATTTCATCCTAATCCAAGTGAAAAGGTGTTTCATTTCTTCGTCAGGTTCGACTAGCTGTCCGTGTCTTGAGGCGTCGAGAGGACTGGACGCCACTCACCCGTCTGCTGGTGCACGTCCCTTACCACGCAGGTAAGGAATCCACTTTGATAGTTCGTTTACATCCGGCTTTATTGAACTATGGAGTACAATCAACATAGAATCCCCCTGAAGCAAGAAGCGAAAGTAATAAGGACGCAAACGAGTCCTGAAATCGGATCTGCGCCAATGTATTGTTTTGCACTCTGACAGCGTCGGTTCATCGGAGAGACTTTGCCCCGGGTGTCGTGCTGCGCCTCTTCTGGACCGAAAAGTCGGCCTTCAACGTCGCTGTGTCAACGTTACATCCTGGCGGCAACTTCGTATTCGTCTATACACTCTACCCCTACGCTGAAAGGTGACTTTGCACACTTTCGATAATGATTCAGAGTCGGAATATCCCAAGGGTGAGCCTTCTAAATAAAAAAAAAAAACAATCCTGTTCCAACTAGTCTGAATTTATACATTCTTCCACTCCGCAACCACTCGCGAAACGCTGAAGTGAAATCTAAAGACCATATTGTATGTGAAAAAAAAAAAAACCAGTAAAGACAAGGTGTTGATTACTTTTTATGAACCCTAATCTGGTTGGGCTTGGTCAATCCGAGAAAATGGGAAAAATTTTGGGCCAATCTTAAAAATATATTCTTCTCTAGGCAATTTTATTTGGAAGAACAATAGACTATTTGGCAGTTCTAGCATTGCTTCGCATTGTTATTTGCTACATTTAGTATGTGAAACGTTGGAAATGTTCACACTGGTATCCTGTTGTGCAACGAATCCACGTGTGTTTGACAGGGGAGACCGAACAGTACGGTGTGGACAGGGATCTGGCCACACAGCCTTTGTGGGCCTGGTGCCTGTGCGGCCACGCCTGGACACAACAGCACTGGTCGCACTGGACCCGTTCCCGATCAAGGTGAGAGCGCCTTTGGGTGTTTCATCTCACTCCGCTGTCGCGTAACACATGTAGAGGGGTACACTCCCAATTTCCTACTGAGAAATGCCTTGGAGTCATAATACTAAGCTAATTCTTAGTACTTTAGGACACAAATCTGTCATAAAACATAGAAATTTGTTCGTCATACGGAGAAAGTGGTCAGATGTTACTGAGAACTCTTCACCATAGGTTACTACCTTCGCTGCTAATAATACTAAGCTTTTTGTCCATGTTACGAAGAAAAAGCTTAGTAGGATAGTGAGAGTGTATCTTTCACCAGTGAAGCGGCGCTCCTCTCGTCCACAGTTCTGGGTCCACTCAGTCGAGTTGCTCCACGGTTATTAAAATACCCATTTTTGGCCCGCCCTTCTATTCAAAAAATAGGGGGAGGGCCTATGCATTTGCCTTTGTGTCTGTGTGTTGTTGTTGTTGTTGTTGTTGTTGTTGTTGTTGGCGTCTGTGTACAAGGAAGGAGTTGAGCTAGAGTAACCAGATTTGGAGGGTACTTCAGGAGTACCGTCCAAACAAATAATCCGGTGGTGCAAATCCCGTCCGGGTCGCACAAGGGCTGCTGCAGGTGCATCATGGTTTACATGAGCGGGAGGGGGATTTCCGCCATTATTGGTGCTAGCAGGGCACATAGGGGTATTTTTGGAATCGGGGCGACGAGACAAGATGAATGGACCTGGTCCCGACCCCATCGGTCGCTTTTACAAGTTGGCCAGATCAGGATCTTCAAAAAAAGGGGTCGACCGACTAAAAAAAATTATTGCAGATTTCGATTGGTCTCAGCAAGACCTTATAAACGAGGGGTCGGAAAGGGGGTCCAGGAGCCCGACTTCGTCTATTAGTCACATCAGGATCTTGAAAAAAGGGGGTCGACCGACTGAAAATTTTTACTTAAGTTTTAGATAGGTCTTGGCAAGACCTCTTCAACGAGGGGTCGGAAGGGGGGTCCAGGAGCCCGCCTTCATGAGTTATGGGAAAAAGTGCGACGGACTCGTTTTGCGCTCCTGCTGTGCCTCTATTGCAAGGAGTTGCAGTAGCATGGCAAATATGGGTATTTTCGGAATGAGGGCGAAGAGACAAATGAAACAGGCATATTCTAAGGACGGTTGGAGTAAAAAGTGTAAGGACTATTGCATATTGTGAATAGAAGGGCGGGCCTAAGTCACGATGGTACATCGATAACTTTGCTTTACCCGCTCACGGGGTGTGTGATGCGAGCGGGCCGAAGGCCCGGGCCTTCGACTGGCCAAGTTAGGTCTGATGCGAGGGCCGAAGGCCCGAGAAAAGGCCGCCGGCAGGCCAAGCTGGGCCGGCCCCCTGTCGAACCGAGTTGCTGGCGCAGCGAAGCGGAGCTGGCAACTCGGTTCGACGGAAGGGCGGGCCCTAGCTTGTTGCTACCAACAAAATCTTTTTTATACTCAGTACACTCCTCGAAACGCGTGCTTACAACCATGTGTGAACGCATTTTGTGTGTACACTACAAGATCAAATGTGTGCTTAGTACACAGCTGTGGGAGCGTACTTGCAAGCACACATCTATAGGTGTATGCTTGGCAAAGTACACATCTATAGGTGCATGCTTGGACAAGCACACATCTATAGATGTATGCTTGGTCAAGCACACAGCTGTAGGAGTGTGCCTTTAAATGGGTGGGATCAAAGTGTGCTTGGCCAAGCATACACCTATAGATGTGTACTTGCCGCCAAGCATACACCTATAGATGTGTGCTTGTCCAAGCATACAGCTATAGATGTGTGCTTGCAAGTACGCTCCCATAGCTGTGTACTAAGCACACATTTGATCTTGTAGTGTAGTGCTGTCAATTAAGCTATGTTGAAATTTTGAAGTTTGACGCAGTATATTTCGAGCGTACTTAACCATCGTACGCTCTCAGTCTCATATGGACTTTTTTCTCTCTCGCTTAAAAAGTTACCGTGAACCGGGGTAACTTTAGATAATATTCAGCTTGTTGGCAGCTCCAAAAAGGTAGAAAAGCAGAAGTGTCTCTAGTTGCCCTTGCTGTCTCGAGTTACCCCGGTTTACGGTATTTGAACAGACGTATATTGTACCATTTTCTCTTAAGCCATGCACAATTTTGATCGTTTTTAAGATAAAATTGTCAATATATCTTGTAGAAATAAAAAAAGTACATGGCAATTGACGAAAAGTCAGGTATACAGGGTCAAATACCCCAAAAAATGAACAAGAAACGTGCAAAGCTAAAGAGAAAATATTACATATTACGTTTGCACAAAAAACTTTTCTGGAAGATTTAAAAAGTCGATACGAGTCTGAGAGTGTACCTTCGTTAAATACCTCTAGGTACCGAGAAATTTGCGGGGCTGCACTATACGGGCGAGCTTGTCCTTGGGCGAGAGCGATACCTGTGTGCGTCGCTCCTTCTTTATTCAGAATGGTACGTATTGAATGTCGAGGAAAGGGCGCCCAAGGTAAAAGGGCAGAAGCGCCATTCTTTGCCATCCATTTTCATGACTGGGAGCAGTATGTCGTCAACAACGTCTATAGAGGAATTATGTTCCCCAAAAGATCTTATCTTGCAGTTTACGACTAAAAGACTGCTCCTTGTCGTTTGAGCGTAAAGAATCCTTTCTCGAATACACGTCAGCTTCCCTAAGTTTTATCATTTGGGACCGCTAGGCGAAAGAGGGAATCTTAAAGTAATATCACTACGGCATTTCGAACCTTCCACTGGTTCCAACTGAGTCTCATCAACGTCTTATTGTTCTGGCCCGAAGCACCAAATTCTAATAAGGGTGTACTTTGTGCCTTTAAAAAAAATAGATTTATAAATCTTTTTTTTTTTTTTTGCTTATTCTTCTTTTCCATTGCGGCGTTGCGATCTTAGTGCACAACTGGGCGCATGACACGTACATCCTGAAGAGCGTGTTCGAGGCAGCAGCATGGCAGTGGAACTTTACTCCAGACATTGACATGACAGCAGCGATACACACGGTAAGTTCTTATTCGCAGCTTTAAATACCACGAACAAAATCCGTCTGGAATTTCATTAATTCCGTTTGTCGGCTTTCAATTTCCATTATGGGTTAATACACTCGTAACTGTAGCCCTCACTGAAAATGAAAGAGCAATAATCAAGACTAAAATTTTTTGTGGAACATTCTTTATTACTCGAATTTGGTTTAGAATCATTTCTAACTAGGGTGAGGAAGGTAGGTTTTGTCGCCCAAATTTGGGTGATAATACCATGTCACCAAACATGATACACCATTAATTGCTCGAATTCGGGTGATAATACTATGTTGCCAAACGTACATTTATTGCCCAAGTTTGGGTGAGGAAACAAACCTATGCATCACCCAAACTTGGGTGATATAGTTCGCCCTAGATTGGGTATTCAACAAGACTCTTTCATTCTCAGTGCTGCCGTGTTTGCGAAGGTGCGGCAGGCCAACGGCTCTTTCACGGGCAGGCTGGGACTGCTTGAGAGGGGCGAGTGCGACGCGGCGCTGGCGAGCTTCAACCTGAACCCGGAGCGGGTCGTGGAGCTGCAAGCCAGCGCCGTGCTGCACCAGGACTCGTTCAAAGTGCACGTTCGGTGCGGCGTCACCAGGGCGGGCAGGTAGGAATAGTTCGAGCCTGGTCGCTGTCAGTAATTTAGTAAAGAGTACTCTTCTCAATTGATAACTTGAAAATCGCGTATCTCGTCACCTCTTTTGTGGAAGTTCTTTTCAACTGCGAAGCTGCTCGCTCACACGTCCAGTCTGCAGATAAAATGGAGGTTCAACCTTCAACCAAAAATCGTGCGTAGTCGTAAATATGAATAAACAAAACTAGCAAGACAAGTAACATCAACCCGTGTTGTGTATGCAAAGCTGCTTCGACTGGATCTGGAAGATTGGTCGCCTAAATTTCATACATTGAAATCTCAAATATCATGCTTTTATTAAATTTTGACAGTTTTTGACAATACTTTGCAAGCAAGATTTTCGGTAGAACCTTCCTTCCCTTAACCACCTTAAAAAAATTAGATAAAAATCGGACCTGCTGAAATTTAATGGGCAAATTCATTAAAAACCCTCATGACTTACTTCGGCAGTGGCTCCTTCTCATCGATACTTCTGATCGCATCCGCCTTGTCGATGCTGTTGGGTGGACTGCTCCTTGTCTCCACCGTGCAGATTTGTATCAGTATGAAAGTTCCTTGCCAACTTTTTTGTCGAATTAGCCTTTGGAATGAAAAAAAATGATGTAGATTCTTTTATTTTCTTTTAGCGAAGAGGGACAAACGTCCTCCTGAATTTTGGTCGCTGCTGCTCGACAACTGGTCAACCCTAACAGAAGTAAGCCATTTCGCAGGCATTCACACACACACACACACACACCACTTTGCATTATAATGACATGGCCAGAACGTTGGGCTCACAACCGCTAAGTAACAGCGCTCAAAACCACTAAAGTGCACACAAAACCTCTAAAGTAACAGCGCGCAAAAGTTGCGTCTCAGCTTTATAAAACGTAATGCAATATTTTGTAAATTTTAAAATGGAGGCTTGGTACTAGAGCATCGTGAAATTAAACATTTTAACCTTTATACTACAATTTCTCAAAGACTTGTCAATGGGAGCAGTACAAGCGCGGTTCCAAATAACACGATTATTTCAATTTCTTTGTTTTCCTTATCTTTCCCCTCGAAATTCGTCTTCTGTAGTTACGGGCCTTGGGGCCTTCTGTCGCCACCTCATCTCCAGTCCTCGCATCACGTTTTCAGTTGCCCTGCCCCTTCACACGTCCTTGGACTTCCTGAACTGAACAATTGTTGTATTCTTTTTGGACTCTCGCAAACATATTGAACGGGTCATACTCAAATACACTACAAACCTAACTGTCTACTAAGTACACACTCACAAATGCATGCTTGCAAGTACACACTTACAAACGCATGCTTGACGCATGGAGTTATACGGCGTCAAGCATGCGTTTGTAAGTGTCTACTTGCAAGCATGCATTTGTAAGTGTGTACTTGGCCAAGCATGCGTTTGTAAGTGTGTACTTGCAAGCACGCATTTGTAAGTGTGTACTTAGTAGACAGTTAGGTTTGTAGTGTATGCTACAACACCAAGGATACTACTCAGGCCAGGCACAGTGACTCTGTCACGCGTTGATGCAGGTGTCGCTACCGAAAGGTCCGTCACACTCCGCACTTCGCGCGGTGCTTGGCTCCTGGCTCCTTTTCGTCCTGAACTTCAACGTGGTCGTCAAGTCGCTGCTGACAGCGGAGACTACCAAGGCGACCACTGCCTCTCGCATAACCTCGGTGAGGAACTGCCGCACAGGCTTGCGGGATCTCAAAGCAACCATTACCGATTCCCATTACAATTGGCCAAATAGTTGTTTTGACTCTTTGCGAAAAGAACTCCTTATTGTACTATCAGGTAAAGGTAACTGTTACGTAAAATCATGCCGACACAGATAAACCTAAAGCGTCGTTCTACGCTCCATTCAAGCGTACAACTACGTTTTTCAAGACTTTGCGCCCTTCTTGAAGCGTACAACCACGCTTACACACTAAATTCTTATGGACTTTTTAAATGCATAAGAACGCATTTTTTATGCATAGTTATGCATGCGCAGAAACGTCCATAAGGTATGTATAAAATTATGCATCACTGAGTACATTTTATGCAGGAAGATGCATAAAATGCACACAGTGGGACGTATCTGTGCATGCATAACTATGCATAAAAAAAGTCCATAAGAATTTAGTGTGTACGCTTCAAGGCAATCCCCTTAGATAGGAAAAACGGAGCGCATGAGCTCTTGTACGCTTGAAGAAGTGCGTACAGACTGTTCACGAAAGGCGTAATGCTACGCCTTAGTTTTACCAGTGAAACTTTGGCATGCATAGTGTTCTTATAATCTCAGGTGGCGGAACTTCAAGACTCCAAAGTAACCGTCCTCGGCTACAACAGCGCACCGTATGCGGGGGCAGTTGAGGCGATGGGCTTCGGAGGGGCGAAGTCAGTGGCGTGCTTGGACGACGCTGTGGCTACATGTTTGGCGAGGTCTGTAGAGAGCTATCTAACAGATCAGTGCGAAGATCTCGTTAGGGAGAATCGGGCTACCACGGTGGTTCCAGACACGTTTGTTTCAGAAATTTGTCTTCCGAAAATTTTGTACATTTTTTTCCCATTTCGTATTTGGGCTGACCGCCTGAAGTAGTTGAAATTAGAATAGAACTTTGCAGCCAAAAGAAATTGAGCTTTTTGCCAGGTTTGAGTCGGATGAGAGCTTCGCGGTGCTGCGCACAGTCGAGATGCCTTTCACCATGAAGTGCCTGCGTGGCTGCCACTACGTCGTGGACGAGAGCGTGGGGCTCGCGTACTCCGTGTTCTACATGCGTCGCCACGACCCGTTGGGCCAACGCCTCAGCGAGACTGTGCTCCTTCTGCACGCCTCGGGCATCATGGATTACTGGCATCGTCTGCACGAACCGCAACAAGAGCGAGCGGTGAGTACAAAGTGAGCCACACTGTTAAATCTGAAGCGTAGTTGTGTTAAGTTATGCTTCATTCAAGCGAACTACTGTGCTTGAGGACTTCACGCTTGAAGTGAAGCTTAGAAAAGAAGTTCTCCCATGCATTGGATAGGTGGGAGAGGAAGCGACCGGAATACTACGCTTGAGGAAATGAGTAAAAGTACGCTTCAGTTCCGCCAGCGGACGTATCAAAAGCTTAAGTCGTGTGGTAGGAGCGAGTGAGTTACAGGTAAGGTGTGAGTGAAATGGCTGCGTATTAGGCTGATTTGCAGAGTAGAAAACTTTCTAGGTTATGTTTTCTTCCTGACGTGGGTCCAAGGTAGAACTTTACATTTTGACAGCAAGTTATACGATGAATCGTGGGGTTTTGAGAACTCAAAATTATCCCAAGATTTTGCAGATGAAGTAATTGGAAAAGAATCACGGCAGCAATCTGTTGCAGTCTCGCCCTGCCGCAGAGGAGCCGGACGGGGCCGCCCCTTTCAGGCTGGCAGCCGTCGTGTGGACTGCGGGCCTCGCCTGTGCCACGACGGCAGCCATCTCCGAAGCGATCTGGTGGTGCTTGCGCTCGCGCTGTGCCAGGAATTCCAGGAAATTGTAAATTTGCTACTGTCGCTCACCGCCAGAAAGAGGTAGGCTTTGTTTTGTTATTAAGGTCTCGCCCCACCTGTTGGTGTTCTCTGCCAAAACGGTTGGGTGGGAAACTTTTCTCAAATAAATCAGCGCTCGTTGAGACATGGGCTCTTTTCTTACATGAGACACGCCCCGCAGAGCTGAGTGCCATGAGACAGTGGCTCCAGGAGCCAAATCTGTTTGGCTGTAAGGATGTGGTTTACAGAATTGGAATGACCGAATTTATATTATTTCTTGACCGATTTGGAGAAATGTTTCACCTTACCTATGGTGGACATGCTGTTCCCTGTGCTACGTCCGGGTTCCGTTGAGCATTGTATAGGTTTGTAGACCTGATTTGATGGAGTTCAATGAAAGGCATTCGGTTTAATTACGTTTTATGTAACAAAAATAATATTCCGTTTCAACACTCAGACAACTATCACATTAAACCAGCATTGTGCTTATGGAAACGAGCGAATGAGACTAATTTGAAATTCGATTTCCCGCCACAATTGGTCCGTTTTATGGAGGGCACAGACAATATAGTGTTGCGTAACACACTTTTTTCCTTTAACTGTGACAACTCACTCAAAATACAATACTGTCCCTGCCAAAATAATTAATTGAATACACACTGTCATGGGACTTGTTTGTTTTCGTCGCATAGCACACTCTGTGTCCGCCAGGCGGAATAATAAAAGTCTAATAAGAGTACAATTTGCCATTACAAAGTGCATGTCAGTCTTGAATCTCACCCCCTGACTTGGACCCTCATAGGGAAGCCGTGGAGAGCTTGCGGGAAGAAGGACTTGGGGTCCCTGGCGGGCTCCACCTCGAACTTGGGTCCGCGCGAGAAGCTGAAGTCGCGCAGCATGACGGCGAGGGCCAGCTTCATCTCGAGCATGGCGAAGCGCTCGGCGATGCAGACGCGGGGGCCCTCGCCGAAGGGCAGCAAGGCGTAGGGGTGCCGCTGCTCCTTGGCCTCGGCCGTGTGCCGCTCCGGGTCGAAGCGCTCGGGGTCGGGGAAGAGGGCGGGGTTCCGGTGCATGTTGTCCGCAATGATCATGACCGGCATGTCCTTCTCCACCACCAAGTCCCCCACCTTGGTCGTCTGGTTGCACTTTCGGAAGATGGTGCCGACGGGCGACCACAGCCGCAGACCCTCCATGAGCACTCGGTCCAGCAGGCTCATGTCCTTGAGGGCCTCGTAGGTCAGCTGGCCGTCGTGCTTCCGGATGACGTTGCGAACCTCGTCGGCCGCGCGCTGCTGCAGGTCCTGGTCCAGCACCATCTGGTGGAGGCAGAAGGCCACCGAGTTGGCTATGTTGTCCAGCCCGGCGATGAAGAAGATAAACGCTTGGGCGGCCATGAGCCCCGGCGTCATCTCCATGTGGTTCTCCGGGTCGGCGTGGCCCAGGTCCTGGTCGCGCAGCTGCATCATGAGGTGCACGAAGTCGTTGCGGACCACCTTGTTGGTCTCGCGGTGCTCCACCGTCTCCCGCATCAGGTTCATGAAGAAGTGGTGCACTTTGTTGAACGTCAACTTAAAGGGGCAGCAGCTGGCCCAGCTTGACGTGGATGCCCTCGAGGACGAGGCGGACGTTCTGCGCGAACGTTTGCCGGAAAATGCCGCGAGACATGGTGAGGAACTCGGCGTTCTTGTCGGCCAGGCTGTTGCAGTTGATGCCGAAGGCCACGGAGCCGATGACGTCGGTGGCGAAGCGAGGCAGCAGCGCCTGGACGTCCACCTCGCCGCCGGCCGCCTTGGCCTCGGCCGCCACCGCGGTGCTCAGCTGGCCGCTGATGTCCCGCATCAGCGGCAGCATCAGCTTGAGCTTGCCGGACGTGAAGGTGGGCGTCAGGCGGTTGCGCAGGTTGCGCCACTTGGTGCCCGTCAGGTTGAACAGGTGCTGGCTCAGCGGGTCGCTCTCGGACGACGGTATGCCGCGGTCGTGGAAGCTGGAGAAGTCCTTGCAGACGACCTGCTTCACCATCTCGGGCTCGAACACCATCAGCATGGGCGTGCCCCACGAGTACATGCCGCAGTAGCCGGTGTCGCGGTGCGGCAGCGACATGTCGTACATATGCTGCACGAAGTTCTTCTTCGCCGTCAAGATGGGCAGCATGTTGCCGAGGAAGGGCAGAGGGGTGGCTCCGGGCACGCCGCGCTTGCGCCAGTAGCTGTGGCGGTACCGCGACCAAAAGTAGGCCGCCGCCAGGACCGCCGCTAGGGCCGCCAACACGCTCGTCGTCTCGACCATCGCCGCGCAGCACGTCTCGGCACCGAGGACTTCTTGGCACGAGGACCAGCGCCCGACTGCACTTATTTGGCCTGAGCCTACTCGATCGATATAAATGTATCACGTGTTATCTGTCCCTATCCTCCCTCCCACCTGCCCTTGACGAGACTGGCTGAGGCAACAGTTGTCAGTTGTCACGCCACCATCCGTGTTCCCGCCCGAAGTGTTTCCTTCACACTTCAAAATCAAATGTGTGCTTGGCAAGCATATGTGGGAGTGTACTTCGAAGGTCACCTTTAAGTGCAAGACGTACTTAAGTACTTGGACAATGCAATGTTCTGCAGGCGTACTTGGACACTCGCACACTTGAAAAAGAGTGAGTGTGCTTGGACACGCGCACTTTTGTAGGAGTTAGCTCATCAAGTACATCACTCCAAAAGCTAACCATGAGCTGCTCTTTTTTTTCTAATGAGTCGAAGCAAACCAAATTTGCAAAGTACAAGTACTTTTCACAAGTTTGTGAAAAAATAAGATATTCTGAGGCCAGAGGTATTCCATTTATACCCCTTAACTGCAGTTCATTGATTTATCTTTACAATCTCAGCAAGTTACTGACTTTTTGCTCCTTTTGTCAGTACTTCTGCAAGTAATTTGTGCAACCATAATACGTACTTTTCCCTATTCAAAGAACTCTTTTGGAAATATTAAATAATGACAATTTGGTTTTGTACATAATTTTACATAAGAAATTATTCATGCTTACTTAGAAAATACTTAAGTATTATTGTTGCTTGTACAAATGCATAATTAGTGAGAAAAACGTAAGTAACGTGCTGAGAGTGTGGAAGGGACTTATTTTGTCTCCGAGGAATTATGTTGTCAACATAAACATAGCAGTAGCTCTTACGTCTTTCTCAAGGATTGATGGAGTCTGAGTGATACACACTAAATTCTTGTGTACTTTTCTTAAGCATAATTATGCATGCACGGATACTTACGTAAGACTTGTTTATTAAAATGCATCAACATGTACATTTCATGCAGGAAGAAACATTAAATGTTCATAATGATGCACAGTTTTATACCCTCCTGACGTGCGCATGTAAGTATCCGTAGTACCGCAAAAATTCATAATTGTGCATTTACGAAGAAAATGAAGGCGTTGTGGATGCTACGTATTTCGAAAAAATGATTCGTCAGACGAAGCGGATTCTGCTTCCAAAAACGAGGCCTTTCTTCGTAGATGTGACCTTGCCTTTGTCTTTGTTTTCCCCGTAAGAAGCGATGCTTCGGTGACGTTCTCCTGTGCAGTTGAGTTAGTCTGAAAGATTTTCTTCGCTTCGCTGTGTCCAAGTGGCGCTAACCCGGCCGCTGGGACTGATCAGTGCAGTGTCCGTGGAAGTGCTACATCTATTGAGTCTGGGTGTCGGTTCCCTTGAACTCAAGACTGCCCCTTGGCAACGTCCGTTTACTCCAACAATCTGTCCAATTAAGAAAAGACGTTTTACAGTACGATTTTATATGAATTGGTATAGTGGTAGGCAAGGTTTCAACCAAAGAGCTCGAAAACGTTTTGAGAACGACGCTTCAAAAATAAATCGACAATCAGGGCTCATTAATGAGCACACTAACATTTTCATTTGTTTCAGATATTTTATTATCAATTTCGTCTTGACAAATCTGTTAAGCTTCTTAACAGAATTCTATTAATGTGCACAAACAGCGATGAATACTAATAAATGTCAATTGAAGGATGAGAGTGAAGTGAACTTGCGTCTCATTATTACTACTAAATTGCTTACCAACCAGACGTAAGACTCAACAACGACACATGCGTCACAAAATGCGACCCCAAAAATTGTGCCACCTGGTAGCAGTTGCAGCTTCGCGTGCACATATTCCATCATTTTTTGTTTTGCCTTCTATCCACCTGTGACAATCACTCATACGTCAGGCCACTTGAAAGGACTCACCGGGGAAACAAGAGACATCGCCTCAGGCGCGTGCATGTCTCTCACACTGATATCAGTTTCCTAAAGTGATAATGAATCGCTCCGAAATCTTGACGCCAGAGAAAGAGCCTGCACGGCCAAGAGCTGTCCCTAGAACTCTCGCAAGTGCGATTTTTCTTCGTACGAACAAAAAGCGATTCGTTTCTTCATAGAACGAATGAATTTGTCAGTAATGTGATACATTTGTATCTTGGAGTGCAGAGAAACAGCTCAGTATCGACTGCAAAGCATTTCTTAGTAGAAAATTGAGCGTCAAAAACCCAAGCCTTCCGGCAGCACACTAAGCTACTTGAAAGGAATAATTCAGAATTTTGGATCACCCGATGTCAACTCAAATTCGTTTCGTCGTTGGCAACTGCTCTTGAGGTAATACTGCTACAACGTGGCCAGACTTCTCAGCACAGTCAATTCACTGTGAGAAAAAAGTACGGAAAAAGTACGGAACATGTCTGGTCAATAATTTGCCTAGACCGTCCGTACTTGCCAACTACGGAACGTTCCATACTTCTTTTCCGTACCCATTTACATGGGTTCATATGGAGCAAGTACGGAACGTTCCGTACTTTTCTCCGTACCTCCGTACTTTATTTTTCTACACCATTTCCGTACGAAAGTACGGAATTTTTTACAGTGAATACGGCCCATGCGACCTGTACCGTGGCCAGACTAAAGAGTCTGTCCATTTAATGGTGAGGCATTTTTGTCTCACCCAAACTTGGCAAGGCTGTTTAGTTTAGCCACACACTAAATGTTTATGTACCGTGTCTTCGCAGGCTATTGGAGCTTGGTTTTGACCCGCGCAGGTGGCGGGAAGAGCAGGGCGATGAAGCTGGTGACGACGCGGTTGAGCAGCCAGAGGCCGAGGCCAGCGGCCAGCAGGAAGGCGCCCAAGACATCCAGCATGTAGAGCTCGTACCAACGCAGCAGCAGGCCCGGCGAGCGCAGGTTCGGGGCGCCGCCGGTGCGGGCGGCGTACTCCATCCACCACACTGCGCGCTCGAGGGGCGTCTCCTTCTGGTCGCGCAGCGCCTGCCGAACCTTCTTCATGTTGTCGCGGTACCTGCCGAACACGAAGAAGGCCGTGAGCATGGCACAGGGCTCCGGCGGCGCCGAAATACACTGCGAAAACAACGGCACAAATACTCAAGGCATCAACCGGCCTTAGGGTACGATTTACGCCCCAGAGCGGCGTGAATCTGCCAAGGCCTTAGGCAGGGGCGTGAACAAGAGGAAAAAATAACTCTAGCGAAATTTGTACACCGAAATTCATCAAACATTTAAAATTCACGAAAAATCAATAAAATTCATCGATATTCAGCTGAAATTCATCCAAACTTGACTGAAATTCATCCAAATTTGACTGAAATTCATCGAGAAATGACATTCGTTAGATTTGAACACCGAAATTCAGTGATTTTACCTTGGGCGTGAACAAATATGGGACCTCTAGGCAAAATGTTAACACCTTTCAAAAGAAATTGGCAGTCTCTGAAGAAGTTTCATTGAGCGAACACTCTCTTGGCGAGCTAATTTTGAGAGTAAGTATACTTACCTGGGGTTGTTGGCGACGTCCGACACCGTCTCGAAGAAGCTGTCCTCCGTGATGTCCTGGTAGTGCACGCGCCGCCCGATGCCGATCTTCTCGATCTTGTGCGAGTAGCCGATCTGGTCGGCGAAGAAGGGCACGCCCACGATGGGCACGCCGTGGAAGCTCGCCTCCTGGGTGCTCAGCCCGCCGTTGTGCGACACGAAGCACCGGATGTTGGGGTGGCCTGCACAGATAAATTCCTAACTAAGAACTGCACTGCCAAAAAATACCACAACAAAGATACACAAATTACTGGCAAATTTTTTATCAGGAATTTATTGTACTTTCAAAGTACAACAGTTGCTGTACAAAGTACAAGGTAACCGGCATGACGAGTGCTGGGCAGTCCAGGCCTCGTTGCGCTTTGTACAATTCTCGTTGTGCTTTATACAATCCCTTTTGTACTTTTATGGTTCAGTTCTTGTTGTTCTTTTGTTGTACTATTCACACTTTTTCTTGCAGTGTGCTCGTTGTAATACAAAGAAAGCGGAGGCTGCAGCATACGAAGGAAAAAGTTCGTAACCCAATTTGTTTGTAATACAAAGAAAAAATCCTTCGCAGGCTGCGAAGAAGTTCTAAGTAGGCTACAAAGAATTTTTCCTTTGTATTACAAACAAGATCCTTTGTATTACAAACGATTTCCTTCGTAGGCTGCGAAGCCTCCGTTTTCTTTGTATTACGATGAGCAGTTCTTTGTAGGGTTAGTGTGCACTGGTAAAACTGGAGCGTAGTTGTATGCTTCATTCAAGCATACAACTACGCTTGAAGACTTTACGCTTCACGTCAAGCGTAGAGAAGAAATCCTCCCATGCATTTAGATAGGCGGGAGAGGGGCAAAATGGAGAACTACGCTTGAAGCCGAGCGTAGTTCTACTACGCTCGAAGAAAGGCGTAAAAGTACGCTTGAGTTCTACCAGTGTGTGGGGGCACACCTGTCATTTGTATCCGCACACTCTCAGATTCGTACTGAGTTTTTGATTCATGGCGTGTTGACGATTGTGCGCCTGAATAAGCTTATTAACACAGTTTTATTTTTTTTTAAATTAGAACGCATTACAAAACTGTGTACTTAGTACACACTTACAAATGCATGCTTGCAATGCAAGTACATACTTACAAATGCCATTGCTTGGCATGGAGTTTACGGCACCTAGCATGCGTTTGTACGTGTGTCATAGGTGCGTGTACTTGCAAGCATTGGTTTTTTGTAAGTGAGTACGAAGTGGACAGTCAGGTTTGTAGTGCATTAATATCAATTTCGTTCTGACAGATCTGTTAAGCCCCTTAACGAAATTCCACTAATGCCCTGAAACGTCAATGAACATTAATAAATTGTCGATTGGAGGATGAGAGTGTATTCACTTCGCTGCAAGGCAAAAAGGGCACACCTACAACTTCTTGGCATTTTCATCCCGATTACAAACGAAAATCTTACCAATACGCGCAAACATCAATGGCGAACTGGCAAAATGCCTACAGAAGGTTAGCGAGTTGGGGTAAACTAGAAATGGGCTGAAACAAACGAGTGGAGGGGCGGCCTACCTAGGATGTCGTTCTGGGGCAGCCACTTGGCCACCTTGACGTTGGGCGGCAGCTTGTCCAGGATGTCATCCGTCTCGTACTTCCAGAGCACGCGCTGCTTGAGGCGCCCGAACGCACGCAGCATGGCGTCGCGCCGGTCCTTGCGGAGCTTGGAGGACCTGGAGGAGGAAGCAAACACCATATGCATCAGGAAGGCAAATTCAGTTACAAGCTTGAGACTTATTTTTCAGGTATTGCAACAAATCCAAAAGGTCAGGCCTCTCGCCGCGCTTTAGCACAAACCATAGTAAGAACCGTGGTAAAAGAAACTAAGTATTTTGAGCGTACATAAGCTTACAATGAAAATACGCCGAGAAAGAAAAAGTCTTGATCAAAACCCAATTTTGGGTGAGGTATGTTGTATCACCCAAATTTGGGTGAGGATCATATTCTCACCCAAATTTGGGTGATAACGAGTGTATCAGCTACCTTTATGGGTGAGTAGTTCTCTCAACCAATTTTAGGCGATAGAGAACCTGATCCAAAATTTTAGTAGATGGCTATTTCATTTCCGGTGTACTACGTAATTAAGGGGGGACCCTGGTGAAAAAATGACCAAAATTGCCAAAAATAGTATTTTCAAAGTTCATAGTTAAAAATGTGCATAGAAGGTTTCAGATTCAACAGGTTGAACACCATTGAACTATGTGGGTAGTTCCTTCATCGTTTGGAAAGAAATAACATTGAGATCAGTTGTCGTTGGCTTATACGCTCAACTTCACAGCTTTGCTCAGTCGACAAAAAATTTTGTCGTAGAAAGACTTCCTGCGTTCCTGGTTGACACCTACATGAGTCGTCTTGCATGGACTCTATTCATTGATGACTTATCGACAAATTTTAGTGACGGAATCTTGATATCAGCCCTACTTTTTTTAACACGCACCTAAAAGTTTCAAAAAAAGGCAAAAAATTCAATTTTTTTCAATGTTAAAATTTGAAAATTGATATCTCAGGACAGAAAATGAAATTTAAAATTCCATCACTAAAATTTCTTCTATACATCTTAAGGATAACCCAAAAAATTTTTGAAGACTTTCCGTTCCAATGAAAGACGCAGGAAGATTTTTCCCCAACGCTCTAAAAAACACTGAAAAGCCACTTTTCTCAGAGACCGTTCAACATTTTGGGTTGAATTTTGTTTTATGAACTCACCATAATGAACCTAATAATCAAGCAAAGTTTCAACTTTCTGGGATTATTTTAAAGCCTACTTGAAAGTTTCACCAGGGTCCCCCCTTAACGAACTAATTCGTCGTATACAGCAAACTGATAGTTCATGAATTAAGTACGCTCAAAGTACTTGGGAAGGTTTTCGGCGAGCTCTACCCCTAAGAGCGACGTGGCGTACTTGACGTTGGTGCCGAAAGACATGAGGACGAAGCCGTGCGGCGCGTTCCGCTCGTCCACCCAGTCCAGCAGGTCCCTGGGCAAGGGCTGCGGCGGCCTGGCCTGCAGCCCGCCCACCTCCACGACGGCCGGCACCAGGGGCATGCCGCCGTGCAGCGCGGGGCTCGTGTTGACCAGCGACAAGGCCACGTCCTTCTCCAGCTCCTCCAGCGTGGGGGCGCCGGGGAACGTCTGGCGGGCAGTGAGGAGCAGGTAAATCTAGGGCGTAACTTTACGCCCTTCGTGAAGCACACAGTCAGTGCGCCCAAAGCGCACAGCCTGTACGCCTTTACTGTAAAAAAAATTGTAGTCCAGAAACAGGCAAATGAGTGAGAGGGGTGAATCACTCAGCGCTCTGGTGTACACATGAGTTCGGGTACCTTCTATACTCATATATATCATATTTCACATTTTTAAACGTTTTTTTTTGCTTTATTTAGCGGTTAAGACGACACACAACGCCAAATCGTGTAAAAACTGAGCGAATTTTGCTATGTGAGTGCCCTGACTGACTGAGTGAGTACGGGCTAATTTGTACACATGAGTACATGTACTCATGCATTAGTGATTCACCCTACAGAGAAAATTTTGTCGTTCAAAACCATTGACTGTCATCATGAACCAAAGCGAAACAAATGTTGTTGAACCTAGAAAGCGACGTTTTGTCGTAGAGGAACAAAATTCTTGATTTCACTGTTAATGCTGTAGTATGTGTGCGACTAAATAAAAATAAATAAAAATAAATTTTGCAATTGTTACACGGTAAAAACGGTTACCTGGTTCTCCCAGGAAGCCTATGGTAGAGACATAGGTGATTTCCAGGGAGTTCCTGGGAAAACCAGGAACCGTTTTTACCGTGTATCTTTTTCCTTCAAAGGCATAGAGAGATTTTTAGAAATTAGAGGTTGAACCGTGCACGATTAAGATAGCGATCGAAGTACTGAATCAATAACTGTCGGAGACGTTACAATTTTAAATTTTTGAACTTCCAGTACTTAAAGGCGCGGATTCAGGGGCGGGGGAGGTGGACAAGGGTGGGGGGACAGGGGCGTCGCCTACACAACTACGCTGAAGTTCCACCAGTTCGTAATACAGTGCCGGAGAACACTTCGAACACTGTTAAAACACTTCGAATGCATGGGTTGTTGAGCGCGAGCTTCCCTCGAAACGTTTCCCACCTTGGCGAGGTCCCTCTCGATGGCCGGTCGGACGAAGAAGTGGATGTACGCCTTGTAGGCCAGCCACCGGTACAGGTTGTGGGCGCGTTCCGCGAAGGTCATGGGCACGCCGCCGTGCGCGCCCACGCCGCCGTACGGCAGCAGGGACGCCGCGAACGGCGAGCCCATCAGCTGCAGGATGTCCTCCGGCATGTTGAAGGCCGTGAAGGCCACCACCGGCACGCGGCCGATCAGCGTGTTGAGCTGCAGAGCAGAGCAACAAATTTGTACACCAAAATTCATCAAACTTGAAAAATTTACTGAAATTCATTAAAATTTATGAAAATTTGATCAATATTCATCAAAATTTGACTGAAATTCATCGAATTTCGACTGAAATTCTGTAAATTTAGACTAAAATTCTTCGAATTTCGACTGAAGTTTATTGGATTTGTACACTGAAATTCACAGTGATTTCCCCTTGAGGTAGAGCCATGGCAGGGCCGGCACGGAGCGAGGGGGGCGTACACTGTTGTTCAACGAATGACGTCATATTACGCTAACTACAAAACCTAGCTGTCCAATAAATACAAACTAACAAATGCATGCTTAGACCAAGAAGGAAGTAAGGTCAGTCAGTAGCGTTTCAATGTGATTTCAACCCTTGAATGTCGATCCTCGTTCAAAAATATGTGACAAAATTCACATTGACACGAATATCACGTCAATTTTCGTTGAATCACTGAGAATGAAAAAATCATTACCATCACCCTTTCCAATGGGTGATGCAAATTTCTTGCCCAATTAAGGGTGACGAAAAATTCATTTCTCGAAATTTAGAAACAGGCCTCCTCGAGGGGTACCTCACTTCGTCTAGTCAGTGTACACCCCTGACTCCAGTCACTGCCTCGTTTCAGTCTAATCACTGAAAAAGTCGGTCAAACCACGTAAATTTGTCCCAATTTTAGTATTTTTGCAACGCATTTCGTGATATTTTCAATCTAGTCAAAGTGGAAATTGAGTAAAGTCACCAGTCAGTGTACACCTGTTTTCGAAGTGAGGTACCCCTCGGGCCTCCTTTTGGGGCCTTCATTATGACCCCCAGGTGTCGGTTAGGGGTGGCGAAAACACACCTTTTTTCGAAATCACAGAAGTTAGATAGCGCATGTAGTAGCATTTTTTTCTGCTGATTCCGAATATGTACTGGGTTTCAAAAAAGAAGTAAAACTAAGGGCGCTACCAGCCTTTTAAGTTTTTACAAATTCAAATATTTAGCCTTTAATTTCTCTTCTTTTTCAAAACACAGTACATATTCCGAATCGGCAGAGAAAACGTCACAAAGTGCGCCATCTCACTTCTGAGACTTCGAAAGTGTGTTTTTGACCACCCCTTCTGTCCGTGACCCACATTCACTGTGGCAAAAAGGTACGGAAAATCCTGTTAATTTTTTTGCCAGGATTCTCCGTAGCCCTCTTATCAATATTCTCCGTAGGCTCTTACAGTATTCTCCGTAGGGCCGCACATTATTCTCTGTAAATCCGCACAGTCTTCTCCGTAGGACCTCGAAGACTGTATAGTCCTACGGAGATCACTGTGCGGTCCTACGGAGAATACTGTGCGGTCCTACAGAAAATACTGTAAGAGCCTACGGAGAATATTGATAAGGGGCCTACGGAGAATTACCACAAGCTGTTTACAGGATTTTCCGTAGCTTTTTGCCACAGTGTTGAAGCGATGATTTTCTGGCTGCCCCAAATCAAGTCACCCCTCACTTGTCAGCCAAAATCGGGCGTCACCCAGTGAAAGGGCAATGGTAAAGACTCTTTCATTATCAGTGTATATAACAGTGTGCGAGAACCAACGAGCCTACCCCGATGAAGGTCTCCTGCAGGGCGTAGTCGACGACGAACAGGTCGAACTTGGGCTTGTCCTCTCGCAGGTGGCGCGTCAGGTCAGCGAAGGCTTGCGACTCGAGGGCGGCCCGCGTCGACTCGCAGGTGAAGCCGTAGATGAAGGCGATCTCCCCCCACGTGTCCAGCACGTTGGTCACCTCCAGGTCAATGCCCTGCGGCGTCAGGAACAACGTCAGTGGACAACATTCGGACAAAACCTATGGCAAGCGCCAGGAGGCGCCAACTCTCAGAAAACTCTGAATAACAGTGTAGGAACGGAAAAATCAGAGTTTCCCAGGAGCAACTCCAAAAAATTTGATTTAAGTTCATCTGAAACTCAATGTGGGATTCAAAAACTTTTGACGCTGAAATTCAAAGATATTTTCCCTTGACCTTCCGACACTCCAATGTGGGCCAGAAGAGCAATGCACTGAGATTCCAAACGCTATGAATATAGCACGTACGGTGCAATGCATAGAGATATTGCACCGTACGTACAATGCCATAGCCATATTGCACCGTAATTACGTGCAACGCGTCCAGAAAATGCCCTTTGCTAATGCATGGGAATGGGAAGGCATTGCACTCTATGCGGCTATATTCATAGCTTTTGGATTCGCAGCGATGGAGGCGGCACGAATTCTAAACGCGTTTTGATCTCCAAAGTCGACAAACAGGACTCGAACCAAACGTATGACCCCACCAATCAATGCCTCTCCCGAGAGGAATTCATTGGTGGGATCACAGTTCAGCTCGAGTCCCATTTAGCGACTCTGGAGCTCAAAACGCGTCTTCTGGCAAATACACAGCGGCCTCACGTGCTCCTCGCTGTAGGTGGGCGCCGTGATGACGAAGCTGGTCCTGTTGGGGTGCGCGGCGGCGGGCGCCAGGATGACGAGCTCGGTGACGCGGTGGCCCCTGCCCAGCAGGCCCGAGGCCAGCGCGTGCGTCCAGATGGAGTGGCTGGGCGACGACATGGTGCTCACCAGCAGCACGTTGAGGGACGCGGCGGCCGGCACCAGCAGCGCCGCCAGCAGCAGCGAGGCCGCCATCACAATGCCACGAATTTTTATTACCGGTACTGAAAATTTCACATGTGCTCGAAACCTTACCAAGTATTTTTAGCACATGCAAGATACAAACTATTTTTGTTGGATGAAGTTGAATATGATTTGATATAACAGCGAATAAATGTATACGACGAAATAGTGTGTACACACCAAATGACATGCGACTTGTTTCGTGGTACGAATGCACATCGGACAGTGATCCAATTATGTTCGCCCCTGGCAACACATCGAGGGGTCCTATTCAAAAGATCTTATCTGGGCGTTCCCCCCAAGACAATCTTATCTTAAACGCCTGCAAATTTCACTCATTTTGATCAGTCAGAATAAATACGACGGTAAGCGAAACATATTTCTACATGCACTTTTGGTTTCTTTGATCTTCCATCTTTAGATTTTCTTGAAAATACTCACAAATCATATTGATATGTAGCTGTATCAAATGATCAAACTATGTGAAATTCACCCGCGTTTAAGATAAGATTGTCTTGGGGGGAACGCCCAGATAAGATCTTTTGAATAGGACCCCTCGACATTTCGTCCAACGCGTACACCCTCAGCACGTTACTGACTTTTTCCTCATTGATTACGTATTCGTATAAACGGCAATAATACTTAGTATTTTCTAAATTTGACTAATTTCCTTTGTAAAATTATGTACAAAACAAAATTATCAGTACGTTATTTAATATTTCCTAAGTAGTTCTTTAAAAAAGGAAAAGTACGTATTATGATTGCACAAATTACTTGCATAAGTATTGACATGTTTAATTTTTGTACGTACGACAGCCCACACGACTTTGCGTATATACTCGGAATTTGCATAATAATATGCGGGAAAATGCATAACTTAATGCAAATTCGAGCACAATTCCATGCCACAGTACACACCTGTTTGAAATTATGCAACACCACGCACAAAATTTTTCCTTAACATTAAGCGTGTGCTTTGCCCCTCTCTCGAGCCGGCCCTGCATCCGCCACTGGGAGGAGTGGCGTGCCGTGAGAGGCTGCTCGCGTGCGGCGAGGCCGACAGTGCACTGCTCCGTGACGTCATAGTTTGAGGTCACATTTCCTTTAGTCATTCTGGATAACCGCCCGCAAGATAGAGCATTTCGAGGGGTCCCATTCAAATGATCTTGTCTCACCGTTTCCGGATAAAACATCTTATCTGGTCATCTTATCTTAAACGCAAGCTAATTTCGCTTCGTTTGATCATTTGGGTGAGGCAGCTAAAATGGGCCCACACACACAAAATAACTTATGGACGGATTAAAACTCATGCCCATTACCACACCTCCTAAGGAAACCATCGTAGATCGCTGGGTCGCTAAGTAACAACCTTACTTGCCTGGGAGCCAGGGGACCATCCTAACCAGCCGCGGGGCGCTGAGAAATCATCCTTTAGCACAGACCCAATCGTTAATTCACGGCAAAAACTGTTCCTGGCTTTCCCAGCTAGCCTATAGTGAAGATACAGGGAGTTTGCAGAGTTCCTGAGAAAGCCGCGCTGTTAAAAATCCACTGTAATATTACAACACAATATCCTACAGGAATGTTGTTAAGTTACAACACGTCTGTTTGATGTCTGAACAGGATATCCATCCTATACAGGGTGAGTTTCCTCAATGTGTCAATAATTTGCAGGCAGTTTGGGCATCCCTAGGGGACCATTTTTCGCCAGTGAACTAGTGGGCGCAAACGTCTAGGTATGGAGATAATTGGAGTTTTGTAATTGGATTTTGCGCCTACGAGGTAGGCACCCGGTGCCACTGAGGGCGGCAGGACCTGTCGAGGGGGTGTCGCGGGACTAGCAGTACTCGCGGGAGTGCCACTGACCTCGCGGAAGTATCCGAGGAATCCCGCCACCCTCGCAAAGACAGCCGTGAGATCCACTGTAACGGGGGCCACCATGACAGCCTCTTCAGACCCGCGGCAACCCCTCCCAAAAGACATTTGCAAGGTCCGCCGCACCCCTACGAGACTCGAAGCACCCCTCCTAGACCCGCGACACCCCCACGCGAGGTCCTGCGACCATCAGTGGCTGCGGGTGCCTACCTCGCAGGCGCGAAGGCCAATTACAAAACACCAATTATCTCCGTACTTAGACGTTTGCGCCATGAGCTCATGTTTGCGCCCACTAATTCATTGGTTGAAAATGATCGCCTTGGGGTGCCCAAACTACATACAAATTATTGACACATTGAGAAAACTCACCCTGTAGACAACTCTTTAGTTTTATTACAACTTTCTTGTCTGAAAACAATAATGTAATCGTGACTAAAATCAGTTTTGTTGTCACTCAACAGATTTTCTGTTTACCTGTGCAATCCCAAAACATTGTTGCCAACAAGAATCTTGTTAAGTTGCAACACAATAAGGCCCACACAAATGTGGCCAAGTCAAAAGCGAAGACTCGATGGAAGTGTTGTTTCACAACAATCGATTCATCAGAAAACAGCACAGAGTGCTCCAACATGTTTGTAATTTAACTAGATGTGTTAGGAAAAAAAAAAGTTCCGCCAAGGCAAGCTTAGCAAAGCGGTCTTGCCGTGGACCGGCAGGGGAGGCCGGGCAGAGAGGGGGCAAGAAGGGTGGGGGTGGCTGTGAGGAGTGGGGACTGGCGCGGCGAGGCGGCGAGGCGTGGCGGCGCAGGACGACGACAGACGACGACGACGACGACCAACACGACCATGCAGTCCCCTCCGAGCGCGCTGCTCCGAGCGCGCTGAATGGATGGATGGGTGGATGGATGGGATGGGATGAGTGGGATCGTATGCAGAGCTAGAAGCGGTAGCAAGACCGCTTAAAAAGTTCCGCCAAGGCAAGCTTAGCAAAGCGGTCTTGCCGTGGACCGGCAGGCGAGGCCGGGCAGAGAGGGGGCAAGGAGGGAGGGGGTGGCTGTGAGGAGTGGGGACTGGCGCGGCGGCGCGGCGTGGCGGCGCAGGACGACGACGGACGACGGACGACGGAACCAACACGACCATGCAGTCCCCTCCGAGCGCGCTGAATGGATGGATGGATGGATGGATGGATGCGATGGATGGGATGGGATGAGTGGGATCGGATGCAGAGCTAGAAGCGGTAGCAAGACCGCTTAAAAAATTAGCAGCAAAAATGTTGTTAACTTACAACAATTTTTATAACAGTGCGAGTACCGTTTAAGCCGTGAATACATTCTCCCAGCGCCCCGGCCAGTTAAAATGGTCTCCGAAGCGCTCAGGCGAGTTAAGATGGTTTACTTCCGAGGGGGCAATACACAAACACACCTACCTTAACAGGAAACCTGACAACGGAGACGGACACTATCAGACTGAGGAGCCAGCACTCACCTTGCTTCGATCCAACTGTCTGCAGTCCCAGCCATGGAGCAGCAGACTGATTCCGAGAGTCGTTTACGTCGCTGTGTCTTTCTCGCTCTCATGGGGCGTCCACTGTGGGTGCGAGAGAGACAGGGCGACGAAAACGCCTCTCGGAATGAGACTGCAGGGACGGCGTCCGCGGTGGGATGGGGGACGTCGAACGCCAACCGCCAATTTCAATGTCAAACGTCCAGTCACAACGCTACACTGATGAGCCGCGAACGCGAGCGCAGCCCCTCCCACCTCACACGCATGCACGAACACGGCGTGGAGCAGGCGGTGATAACGACTCGCCGTCTAGGCTCGTCTGGGACAGAGTCGTGGCCTAGGGGAAATCACTGTGAATTTCGGCGTACAAATCCAGTGAATTTCAGTCGAATTTGAACGAATTACAGTCGTGTTTCGGTCAAAATTCGATGGATTTCACTCAAAATTTGATTAATTTCAATCAAATTTGGATGAATTTTATTAAATTTCAGTGAATTTTTCAAGTTTGATGAATTTGGGTGTACAAATTTGGCTGGAGGTATTTGCCCTTGGTCGTGGCCGGAACAACGAGCCGCGGGATAGCGGGACGCGCGCTGGCGACATCTATCTAAAAGGTAACGAGAGCGAAGAAGCAGAGTGCCACTGAAAATGTGACACATCTCCCGGGGCGCGACAGAACTGTTTCACCGAAAAAGGGTGATACTTACAAAGTATCTCCGACAAAAAAGTAGTACACAAATGTACACTCACCGACTCGCACAGATAAGGGACTTTACAAGGACTTCACACACTAAATGTTTCTGTACATTTTTGTACGTGCCACCTGCACGATTTTGTGCATGCCGGGCATAATATTATGCGTGAAAATGCGTAAATTTATGCGAATTTCTGCACAATTTTTTGCAAATCGTAACGCAGGTTTAAAATCGTGCATCACGACGTACAAAATTCTATCTAAACATAGTGTGCACGTGGGACTCTCTTTTTTACTCGTATTCCAGGCATTTTCTGAAAAGTTGAGAATATGGATTGCCAAAGACACAACTGCATAAAAAGGCTTCTCTTTCCATCATGAGCGAAGCCTCTAAGATATGTTATGCCAGGAACCGAAATAAATCCAAGGAGGCTTGGAGTGCTGGAAACACGAGAAAAATGACTGTCCACACTAAATGTATATGTAGAATTTTGTACGTGCCACTTGCACGATTTTGTGCATGCGGGGAATTTGCACAGTTCTTTATTACCCAAATTTGGGTGAGGAAAGTTTCCTCGCCCAACGTTGGGTGAGGGGGGTTGGGTCACAATAATGGACTTTGGAACCACGTAGCCGACACACCCTTCCTCATCCAAATTTGGGCGACGGCCTTTGAGCAAGCGCGAATGCGGGGGGGAGACAATTGCCCCCCCCCCTTTCCCTTTCACCCCTAGATAGTCACGTGAAAGACGTGACTCATGTTGGCCACTCACAAAAATCGCCAGCCACACTTTTCTACAGCTTCCTCCCTATCGCAGTTCATACCTTAAAGGTAAAAAGCACCACTTTGCCCCTGTAAGTAGGCAAAAAGTGCTACTTTGCCCCCCCCCCCGGACCGACTCTGGATCCGCCACTGCCTTTGAGTGCCGTAGTTGGCTGCGACTGCTGACGCGGCCCCGGCGCGGCGACGGCGACTCGGGCTAGAATGGATAGGGGATCATGCACATACCACGTGACCCAAAAAAGGCCACTTTTAGACCCCTCCCTCCCCCCTTGTGACCCTCTGTGACTCTTCGCCGACCCCTCCCCCCTCCCCCAAAAGTCACGTGGTAATTTTAGGAATTTGGTTATTGCGATTTAGTAAGACTGCTTCGCCAATATTGTCGTCTTTTCATTGTTTCTTGGATTGCGTAAGATTCGAGTGTGAACAAGAAAGCTTTACCACAGCTGGACAGGACTGGGAAGGTTCACATGAACTGTCTATTAGGTATTTGTGCGCGCCCGCGTACGAAAACATGCGTTACGTGGTCAGTGTGATAATAAATTACTGCTGTTTGCTTGCTCACTGAAAACCTTGCGATAACTTGTTCGTTATAGAAAGATTGTCGTCGGGATGACCAATCATTTGTTCGCTGTTTGCAAACCTCCTGGTAGTAAAAAGAACGTGTTTGCATTGTGAACTCTTATTTGAAGTTTTTTTCGCCAAATTACGAAAGCAAAATTCTTTGCAAGCTGCGAACTGAGTGGTTTTTAATGTGAATAATACATTCCTCGGCAAGAGTGTGCTTGTGCTGTAGGAATTGTAATTTTTATTGAAGTGTCATCATCTTTAATTTTAAAAACAATGTGCAGGGCAGTCCGTTAAGTTCCGAAAAGTTCATGTCACGTGACTTTTTGGCAACCCCCCGTCCCCCCTTGTGACTTGCCGTGACTTTTTCGCGACCCCGCCCTCCCCCTAAGTGGGTCACGTGGTATGTGCACGACCCCTAGGGAGCCACCGCTCAGGTCCTCTCGTGAGCGGACCCGACCGAACGCGCAGCCGACGTTCGGAGCCGAACGCCGAAGCCGAACGACGAAGCCGAAGGTCCCGAGACGTCACATTCACATTGCAGTGCCGGCGCCATTTTGTCCCGTCGTGTTTACGTTGCTGGCGACATGCTGAAACTTTTGTCATAAAGACATGGAGAATAGACGGGATATTCTCCATGATAAAGAGTTGTTTTGGAGAATAATTACTGTGGTTTCTAAAAGAATATCTGCCCCCCTTTCGCGCTGGATTGCCAGTAAAGATATGGGTGAATGAAAATGTCAGTCTGGACGGAAATATAAATGAAACTGTAACTGTTTTGGATGCCGCGGTCACTGATCTAGGTTAGGTCGCTGAACGGGAACTCAAAACCGCATTTTGGCTTGGCTATGTCATGAGCTGCATTACGGTTAAATAAACTGAACTAATCATAAACTCACGCTTTCCCACACCTTCGAAATAAATTAAGGTTATTATTGTAAAGTGAAAAAAGTGGCTGTGTCACATTTTGGATATACTTGTGTCAGATGCCTCAATTTAGAGCTGAAAGTTCCTTTCTAATACATAAACTCATTCCCTAAGACTAGGGCTCCAACTCCTATTAGTTTCTGAGTTATGGAGGTTTACGTAAAGTTTCAGTCGTTTCTCCCAAATTCTCCTCATGACAAGGGATTAGCTGCCCAGTCTTCAGATTCTGGCAATTTTATCTATTTTTGAATAGGAAAAAGACAGCGTTGCCCTTTTTTTAAAATAGCAGCCTTAGTTTTCCTGAAAAAACAAACACAAGACTAAATTGGGTCTAGATCTCATATATTTGAAGAAAAATAAAAATAGCTTTCTTTTACAGCCTCTTTTCGACTGATATCTCCAAATCTGTCAACGCTATCTTTTTCCTGTGCAAAACTAGATAAGATTGCCAAAATCTGAAGACTAGGTAGCCAATCCTTTGTCGTGATGAGAATTTGGGAGAAACGACCAAAAGTTTACGTAAACCTCCATAACCCAGAAATTAATAGGAGTTAGGGTCCCCAACTTAGGGAATAAATTCATCTAATAGTGGTTGAAGTTTGACCACTAAATGATCTTCCTGAGACAAATCTTTCTAGGACATGCTAGTTTCATTAAACCAATTTACAAAACTGCCACAATTATTTAAAAAAATCATACTTTACATTTTTAAAAAAAAATTCAACAATAACCTTCAAAACTTTACTTAGTCTAGAGACTTTTTTGTTCGTTTCTGTTTTGTGTTTGACGGATGCTTCAAATCAGACTTCTGCTGTGCCCGTTCAGCACAAGTTCCCTTCGGCTTTCGGTCTTCGGTGGGACTTGGCTTCGGGTCCAAGCTTCGGCTGCGCGCTCGGGTGCCGCGCTCGGGTCGACCCGAGCGGACCCGAGAGGACCTGAGCGGTGGCTCCCTATCAAGACGTACTCGGGCGGGCCAGGGGTTGGGAGGGGGAGGGGGAAGAGCTCGGCTCGGCTGGAACTCGACTCCCGCCTGGCGGTCGCAGAGGCTGTAGGTGCTGCTGCTTGCTGCTGCTCAGAGGCGGAAGTAAGTAGAACTCAAACGACTGTCGGAATTGACCCACCAGCTGAACCGATCTTGATTCGAGGGAAGCGTTTTTCCAATGTAGAGGGACCAACGCGAGGAAAAGTTGGGTCAGTTGGCAGGAACTGAGGACCTATAGTAACCCATGAGTGAGTTAGTGGGAGGGTGTCCACGGTGTCCCCTAAATCCGTGTTGGTTTGCCTGTAGACTTCTTCAGTATCGTCGGGTGAAGATCAATAGCAATCGAAGGCAGGAACCAGCGGTGCGCCACATTACGACCGTGAGACTAGCAAAAGGTAAGCCGAGCTGAACTCGGGTCGGTGAGCGTTGCTCTGGAGGAAGTTCACGCCAGTGGCCGCTGGGCGGCGCGTACAGTCGGCTCACCGAGAGTTTGGTAGGTCAAACGACAAAGAAGGATACAATTTCCCGTGAGAGAGAGAGAGGAATAGCCGATTCTCACGGGAGGAGGGGTATAGCTGCATCCTGCATTTTGATTACCGTGAATTTTCCGGAATTTTCATTCGGCGATTGTTAGAAAGGGTCTATCGCGCTTGGTTTCCGGCCGTCCGAAACCGCGTGGGAAGTCGAATTCGCCGACGGCATTTCAAAGGTCTGAACGTTGGAGGGTGCGGGTCAAGCTGTAAACTTTTCGAAACCAGCACCACGTACGCAGCATGTCAAATTGTGGAAAAGATAACGACGCATAAGTTACATTGTGACCGTCACATAGGTGTAAGTCGTAATTGTGTAGTCGACTTCCGGTTTAGGATCGCCAAGAAATATCCTACGCGCGTGCGACGTTCCTCTAACGTCAGCCGGTAGATGCTATTTCGGGGTTCCGATTTTCTTCCTCCTCTCGGTCCACATCTTCATAAATAATCAACTTTCTGAGTTGGACTGTTTGATGGCGTTGCGCTCCCTGCAACCTTGGCTTAAGGAACCTGCACGCTCTGGGTCTTCCCAACCTCGTGTCTTACCACACCACATGTGGCACTTGTGAACGGGGTTGCGGCCAGCGTATCGTCGTGAGCACATTTTATAAGGATGAGAGGTTGAAACCAAGTTTAGTAGAGAGTTCTCGTGGGGCAAGAGTCTCGGGGACGGGCCTGCGTAACGCTGCGTAACACGGTCGGCCCAGGGAGCGGAAAAGTGTCCGAACCAAGGGGTTGACAGGAAGTCGGGAGCCACGGTTCAAAGATTAACAGCTAGCACTCCATGCAGCGTTCTTGAAGACCGATGGTGCCTCTGGGGATCAGTCACTTCGCTCTGCCCACACTTACTTGCCAACGTAGGTGGTACTAGGTGGCTCCAGGCTTGAGCCTTGAGCCGAGCTCACGTGCGGGTTTTGATTTTCTATTGTGGCCCGGAGCCAGCGCTTTTGTGTGTGCGGTAGGTATTTAACATTTTGGCCTCGGGTGTTTCCGGGTGTTTCGTTATGAATCTTGCGAGGAATGGAACACCGTCGACATCGCATACAATATCTCGCTCATTTATGGCATAGCTAGCGGGCATTTTGTGGTAAAAGCTTGGGGAAACGGTCTATTTCTACTCATTCCCATCCCGTTGGCTGTCTCGCTGTGTCCACATTGACCTTCGAGCAATCTTATGTTTCGGAAGTTGGGTCGCGTCAGCTTATCGGAAACATCTGAAACGAAAAGATGTGCCCATATCGTTAAATGGAAGGAGGCGTCAATTGCGGTAGCGATGGATCGAAGTGGTCTCAGCGCAAAGGGAAATTTGAGAACCTCGTCGAGCGACCTCTGCGTTGGTTCAATAGAGTGCTTGAAAGAAGTTCTGGACCGGAAGGCGGACACGGTAAAAACGGAACCTGGTTTTCCCAGGAAGCCAATGGCGAAGGCATAGGCGATTGTCAGGGAGTTTCTGGGAAAACCAGGAACAGTTTTTACCGTGGAGCCAAAACGGAATCCAATAATGTCAGTTTTCAAGAGTTGTAAACGCGGCGGATGAGCTCGAGACCTTATCCGCCGAGTATTTCTCTTAGACACTGCCACTTCAGCTTATGTTCTCCGTCTTCCGGCCCAGAGCTTTGATTTAGCTATTGGGCGGCGGAGTACACTCTAAATGTTCTACAGTGAAGATTCTCCATATTATGGTGAAAATGATCCATATTATGGTGGTGCAGCTGACTTTGTAACATACCATTGAGAATTCACTGTACCTTATAGAGATTTTGACAAATTTCGTTGGTATTATGGAGAAAATCGCCACCATATTATGTTGGTGCAGCCTTTCACCGTAAGACATTTACTGTGTAGGCGACATTTGTCCTTCCGGTAGAGAGGCCCTCTCTGACCAAAATGTGACTCCTTGGCGCCGTGTGTCCACGAACTCTAATGCCATACACTTTCTCTATCCGACAGTATTGCACTGCTTCGTCCGGCGGGGGCCTCGTTCAAGACTCGATTCGCTTCCCGAAGAAGACGACTGCGGCGGCCGTTTTCGTCCGAACGGTCATGGAGTCCGAGAGGAAGCCGTCTGACGCCACGGAAGTCGGTGTCGCTGCTGTGGACAGTCTAACCATGGAGATGGAAGATCAGATGCAGGGATTAAACGTGGAGGTGAGTTCACTCCAGCTGCACTGTCAGGGGAAGTGGTATTTTTACAACTGTATTGAAGGGTATGGTGTTGACTGCTTCACTCTGCAAACGCAAGTGTGCACTGTTACAAAATTCTGTCAGACTTAGTCAGACTTAGTGGTCTAAATCTGTAAATCAGACTTTTTTTTTTCAAAAAAAAAAGGGCGTTTTTGTCTTAGTTTTTGGAGCTTGGCGAGTGAGTTCCAGTTTTTTTGTAAATGAGGCTGAAAAGTGAAAATAGAGAGTCAATACTTCATTTTTTGATTTTTTTCTGCCGTGTTTACAAAAAACTGGACCTCACTTTCAAAAAAGGGTGACGGTGTGAACTAGATATATGTGTCAAGTATCCTGTACAGAATACCTGGACCTGGAGATCAATTACTTTTCGAGAAAACGTGCGCACCGAGGGTTGGCATCGTTGTTTTTTGGCCGAAGTTTTCTACACTCATAGGGTACTTGGGTTAAATGTCTGGCCGAATTTGGAATCTATAAGGAACACATTACAAGACAAAATTAAACTATTTAAGGTAGGAAAGAGTTTGCAATGAAAACTAGGCACTTTAATAAAAGGGGCTTCAATGGGTATTTCCCACCTTAAGCGTTGTTTATTTGAAAATCGGAGAGGGGGGGAGGGGAAAGAATCCAGAGTCCTCGGACAATAGGGGCTCTTGGGAACCCCTAAAAATTGGAGAACTTTCCTCCTACTCAACATTATGTTAAATCACAATGACAGTCAAATTAATCTGACTCCGTTTCGGGGACGTCAGACCAAACGAACGTAGTTTTCTGTCCGCTGGCACAAGATGGCGCCAGTGTCGGTAACGATCCTGGGTAGTTCTTCCTCAAATCGCACGACCCCCCGAAATCGATGTCTCGAATTCGGACCAAACTTGGACTCATTGCTTGGGTCACCAAAAACAAGCCATGTGTCTATTTTTGAACGCATTTCGCAATGCAGTATAGGAAGCCAAGTTAGGGGATAATGACTAAAATTTTGACGTATCCCACTGGTAGTACCAAACTACAATTCATGGTATAAAACCCTCATCAATAGATACATATGATTCCTTTCTTCCTATTCTACCTTCCTCTGGCCTGCGGCCTGCTGCTAACATCGGCGACCCGACCCGTGGCGCTACCTCACGGACATAATGCGAACTACTGATACGGCGGGAGATTTTGAAATTAGAACATATCAAACGAGGTTTGGGAAGTGAATTTTGATCCGTATGACCTAAATTTCAATGAAGATGCTTCCCATGATTAAATATTGTGGCCTTAAGTTGATCCCAGGCATGATTGACTACTTTTTGTACAGTTTATAAAGAAATCGACACTACAGCTATAATTCTCTCTTAACTGTGATAATAAGGGCAAGCAAGTGAACAATTTGTTAGTATATATTAAGATTTAATTAATACAAATTTTAAACAAAGGTGAGGAACATTAATTTTTCTCTTCATTTGCGTACAAAAAGTCAAAAAAAAAGAAGCTGCATAAATAAGTTTTCCCTCAATTGTTCAAGAAGTAACATTGAAGTTCTAATGAAACATTAGGTTAACATGATCAGTGATCACATAACACATAAATAGTCAATCAATAATTCAAGAAAAAACAAAAGGTCTAAAATAAAAGATGTCGAGAAAGCTTTAGTCGCACCACCCCAACCCGAGCTCTTGGGAACACCAAAAAGTAGTCAATCATGTGCCTGGGATCAACTTTAGGCCACAATATTTAATCATGGGAAGCATCTTCATTGAAATTTAGGTCATACGGATCAAAATTCACTTCCCAAACCTTGTTTGACATGTTCCAAGTTCAAAATCTCCCGCCATATCAGTAGTTCGCATTATGTCCGTGCCGCAGCGCTGTATGTTGTCCCCTGTCCCCTGAATGTAGGCAATTTCAAGGAGCCGAGGAACCAAGAATTAAATGGATTTTCATTCATATTCATCTTATTTTGAGTCCTAGAACTTCATACGAGAAGAAACTGTTGGTGCTCAGGCCATTTGATCAAAATAGTGAAATCTTAACTTTTCTTCCTGTAAAGTTGAAGATGTGTCCAAGTCAAAGGTCTTATTTAAGTGATTTGTTCGATCATAAATTACCTTCATTTGACCATAAAATGAGTTAAATCCATGACAACATATTTTCAGAAGAGCAAATCTTAAGGGGAGGTTCTGGTGAAAATGCTATTTTTCCCTAAATAGGTCCCACTGTAAAAATTAGTTAAAAATTTGATGTCTTACTAAGAAATTAATATAAATTTTCATTGGGGACTCACATTCTATGCCTTTAACCCAGTCGAAGAGTCTTTTTGAGCCTATTTTGGCTGTAACTTTAAAAACCTTCTTGCGCATACTATTTTGTCGTTAAAGGTTGGCCTTGACATTTTTCACTTCTTCGATTCATTTTTAAAAGATGTCGGCATGCACAACTCAAAATGTAAATAACATTTTCATTCGCAAGCTTTCTAACCAAGCATTTCACTATAATTGATCAAAAATGTAGAAAATAGACAAATTATAGGGACTTTTCAGCTTAAAAAGCTTACAGTTAATAATACAATGGAAATTTTGAGCTATGCATGCCGGAATTTTTTGAAAATGAATCGAAGAAGTGAAAAATGTCAAGGTCAACCTTTTACGACAAAATAGTATGCGCAAGGAGATTTTTTAAGATACAGCCAAAATAGGCTCAGAAAGACTCTTCGACTGGGTTCAGAGCCTGGGATGTGCCTTCGTTCAAAAATCAAATTTTAGTCTCCTCGAAGAAAGATTTTATATTCCAAACAAATTATGACACTGGGATCCATTTGGGAAATGGCAAAGTTTTGGTCAGACCTGAAAGTCTCGCCAAAATTTGGTCAGACAAAAAAGTATCGCCACAAAACGGTCATACACAAAAGTCTGACCACAAAATGGCGAGACTTTTGTGTCTGACCGCCACCTAAAGGCCGTAATGCGCCGGATGGTTACGGCCTTCCGTGGTCAGCCACGAAAGTCTCGCCATTTTGTGGTCAGACTTTTGTGTATGACCGTTTTGTGGCGATACTTTTTTGTCTGACCAAATTTTGGCGAGACTTTTAGATCTGACCAAAACTTGGCGAGACTTTTATGTCTTGCCTCTGGAGTGGCGAGAAGTCTGACCTTTGGATTTGTAGTGAAGTTACGAAGGGCTTTTTAAATTCTCAAGGGGCTTCGTTAATCTACGACGGGCCTTCGTATATCTGCGACAGGCCTGCGTAAATGAACGAAGGAACTGTTGGCAATTTTTTTCCCGAAGGATCCGTTGTTGATTCTAGACCTATTATAGCGAAGGTTCTTTGTTTTTTAACGAAAGTTCCCTGTAAATTTACGGATGATCTCTGTTTTTTAACGAAGGTTCCCTGTAAATTTACGGAGAATCTCTGTTGATTAATGAAGGTGCTTCGCAAATTTCTATTGTGACTGTAAAATCGGCTTAGGTCCTTGTTGCGTTCTACCTGAACTTGCACGTTCTTCAAACGTTTATTCCAAACATTAGTTTTTACAGTGAAGTCTTTCATAGATTTTGCGCGTCACCTATGTCGGCCTTGCGGGCTAATCAAGACACCAACCATGACACGGTCCTGAGAGCACGCCTGCAGGTTGCCGATGACGCGCTCGCTGGACACTGGGGAGTGATTCTCACGTTTCGGGGTAGTTTCGTTTCTTCTGAATCCTGTGCCCAGACGAGCGCAGATATCGACATGGGGTTTGTTTCTGATGTAAGGGAGGGCCATTGCCCACTAAACGCACACATTTCGAAAAGTTCACGTTCGTTGGATTGGTCTACGTAGCGTTTGGAATACCCTAAATGTAACTTCCGTGATTGTCCAAAGAGAACACACTCGAACTTTCCGCCCCCAGTGTGGCGGTGTGGTTCGGAAATGCTTCCAACTGTCGACAGGGATTCGAAGCCTGGCATGTCTCGAGCTAATTTCAACCGAAGACCAATACGCCAGACTCCTTTCAAAGGTACTTATGCTGCAACGAATAATGTCCACCGTATATTCAATTTCACTACACAAATTTCGAAAAGGCAGTTCTGGACTTCTCCCCAAGCCAAACTTTTAACTTTCCATGACACAAGCCATCAAAGTGGAGTCCCTGGGATATAATTGCATGGGTCGCGGAAATCTAAGACGCTGTACACGGTCTCAAAGCGGGCTAGAGCATTATAAAATGGCGTGTATCAACAATTACCTGTAACTTCCGTGGCACCCTTTACCCAATGTTGCAGCAGCACTAGGTGAAAAAAATTTCCGCTTAAATGTCGGGCTTAGAGTATCATTTGACCCTGGAACGTTTTTTAAGCCACAGTAAGCCCGAGTCAGCCGTTAAAGCCGATTTTCACACTTTGTAACTTCCGTGATAACGTAATTTCCGTGATCAAAACACCCACTAAAACGTATGGGAATACCTTATGGCTCATGCTTTTAGGAAGGTAGTACAAGGTCTTGACTATAAATACCATTGCCATAACTCTAGTGTCATCCAGGACCCCAATAATCAGAAAAACTTAATTGGATATTTCTCACTTTCGGCAAATCAGAGACGCCAAAACTACCCCGAAACGTGAGAATCGCTCTGTTGCATACTTCTGGTCAGACCACTGGGTCTTGCAATATTGGTCTGAATTTTAAGATGTTTGATAACATAACAATGGAGGGTACGACATGACCAAGACTCCTTTCTTGTCAGTGCCTTCTGCCCTTCTACCCCTAAATCTGCGAACGCTCTGCGCAGACGTCGCTGCTGTCGCTGCCGGACGACGACCTGCTGAGCGTGCTGGACTACCTGAGCACGCCAGACCTGCTGTCCTGCCTGGCGGTGTGTCATCGCTTGCGGGACGTCGCTCTTCGGCCGGAGCTGTGGCGGCGACGCAGCATTGGCTTCGTGGAACACAACGTCTCAACTAGAAACCACGGGGCCGCTGTCCTGCGCATGGCGCCGTGTGCCTCCCGCCTGTCCATGCGGTTTGATGGCCACAGCGACGCGCTCCGCACGCTGGCCGCCACGACCAAATGCGCGGTGGCCGAGCTGATCATCCGCAACGAGCACGACTCCGTGCGGCCTGAAGCGGCCAAACTAGTGATCCGCAACCAGGCGGCGCCGGGGACCCTGAGGGCTCTGGACGTGCTGGCAGAGGTCTTCTCCCCTCAGGGTCTGACCCGGTTAGCCGTGGAGGTCCCCGAAAGTAGTTACCCGGAGGCTGAGCCCGCACCGCTGTCCCCGGCGTCCATCAAGGAGGTGACCCTTGTGACCAAGGACCCCCGCTTCGTGCACTGCGTGCTGCGCTCGCACGCCGCCACGCTGCAGGCCGTAAAGTTGAGGGGGGATTGCCAGGGCGTGGCACCGCTGCTGGCCGCCATCCCCGGGCTGCAGCACTTGGACTGCCCCGTGATGGAGGACCTGCCGCTGCTGACGAGAGGCACGTCGCTGCGCTCCCTCAGGCTGACCCTGAAAGAGGACCAAGTTGCGTTCCAGGCCACCGCGGCGGCCTTCCTGCGCACCGCCACGCACCTCGAGGAGCTCGACCTCAGTTACGCATGTCCCGCATGGCTTCTCGGGGAGCAGAGGCTGCTGACGGCGCTGGCGTCCTCGGGCCAGGCCGCCCTGCGGAAGCTGGTATTCTCTCTACCTAATTATACAGGGCTAACAACCAGCGTTGATAAGGAGCTGGCCGCTGCTCTGCCTGGGCTGCCCGCCCTTGAGTGGCTTATCCTGCCCCAAAGGGTGTGCTGGCGCGTCCTGAACGCCATCAACCCGGACAACTTGCCCCGCCTTCGCGGCCTCAGCCTTCTGGGCTGCAGCCGGGTGTCCGAACCCCAGTGCACGCACGCCACCGTCATGCACCTTTCAAACGTGCGCCATATCCTTGCCAAATACAGCCAGTTCTATCTGGTCGTGAGGTCCAGATCTTGCGAGGAGTCGAAGTGGAGTAAACTCTGCGAGCACTGTCTGAGGGGCTGCCATGGCGTGCCCTGGCCAGGTAACTCGCTTATAGGCTTCTACACGCACGAAGCACCCGGCAAGGATGTAGTGGATGAACTGAGATGCACAAACTGGATCAAATTGTGAAACGGCACCTCGACATTCTCCGTACGTGGTGACAAGCCTATCTTCATTTTGAGCGTAAGACTTGGTTTGTATAATCGTCGGGGTGGATGCGAGTGTGACGCGTTTGATTGCCTGTATGCTGATCACAGCAGCAGATGTTGGCTTCTTAAGTGTTTTGGAAGTCTGAGCCTGCGACCTACAGTTTTCAGTAGGCTGACATAATTTGTTAAATCGGAAATGAAAATAATTATGAACGTGCTCTTTGCACAGTACTACTTTTTTTATAGCCTACTCATTTAGATTGTCGGAAGAATATCAAAAGTGCATGCTTAAATGTTCAAGTCAATAATAAATATTAATTCAAAACTTTAACATTGTTAAATATGTTTTTTTTCTGTGTCAACACTAAAATGTTAAACAAGGCATTGTTTTAACTTGACGATGTTGTTCTTGTGTTTGCTTTTGTTTGCCTACCCTAAGGCGCGGGATCACCTAAAACTGAAGTTAACGGATTGGGCTCAAATTTTGAACACGTGTTCGAAACACACTTCTGATGCACCCCACAAATTTTTTTGGCGCTGGTTCAAATTTGAACAAAGACATTGAGCGTTAAACTGTTCAATCTTCGTGCAGCTCACCCACCAAAAGTACGAAACGTAGACCAAAACTAAAAACATATTCCGGCAGTAAAAATGAGCGCCTATCCGTTATGATACCTCCGAAGTTCGTGGCGAAGCTTAATGTAGTCCAAAAAGTTGGTCAAAGTTGGGCCAAAATTGGGTCAAAGTTCAACTCCAGATTTGACAGACATGCCCCTGGAATTTCGTTCCCACAGGTACCACAACGTGTGCGCACGTCTTTCCCCTGCACAAATCTACCTTCAGATTTTTTGTGGTATCGATACTTTCTGAGGGTGAGCTGCACAAAAAAAGCACTGTTTTTCCCTGATTTTACTCGTTTTGAATTTGGCGGTCGGCTCGTGGCGTTCTGAGAGGTGGCGAGGCGGAGGTTTTCGGAACTGCACGGAGGTTGGCCGGTGCGGCGTGACAAGTTTGTGATGGACAGCTGGCTGCATTCCGATCCATTGTCTCCGACGCGTGTGCCCCCTCCCCTCCCCCCGCTGCAGTCGCCAGGATTCGGAGGCGAGGACCGGCAGCGCGCTCGGCCACTGGGGCAGCCCCAGACGGCCCACTTCTCGGTTGGGGCAGGGAGGCGAGCATGCAATTTTCCTCTATTTGGATAAAGTTTTATACCACCGAAACCGCAATGAAACAATCACTGAGAATGAAGGAGTCACCACCGTCACCCTTTCAATAGGGCAGGCTCACAACAGCTTCTGCGAGTCACTAGCGGTGGTGGGACCAACAACGTTCCCTTCCATCTGGGGATCATTCTCGCGGGAAGCTTGAATTTTGACTTCTTTTCTGCTGTTTATCGGGCATTTGGATCGATTTATGCACTTGCCTTGTATTTCTTAGCATGAACGCCTACCTAGGATGCGTATTCACTGAAATTATAATAACGTTTCGCATGAAAAAATAAAAGCGATGTGGTTGGAGGTTATGGGCGCCTTGGTAGCGGACGCTGCTACTGCGGGCCCCACTTTCATTAAGGGGAAATTGTTTTGAAGCAATTTTGACGCTCCTAGGCAGCTTGTACGCGTGCTTGCGAACGTTAGTATTCCCTCTGAGCAACAAAACGCCATTTAAAGTCACGAAATAATCATCCCGATGCTTAATTACGAGAACACTACTTGAATGTTCCCGCTCGTTTTGATCCCCAGATGATCGTCGCTTGTCGAGATGTGAGCCTGCCCTATGGGTAACGCACGCACCGTTGCCCAAATTTGGGTGACGAGCCCGCGGTGACCAAATTTTGGACAGTCATAAAATCGTCGCCCAAATTTGGGTAACGTCGTCGCGACGACGCTCTTCCGGGGCCACCACGATGACCCGCAATGTGGCGTTGAGGCCTCCGGTCATCGTGGTGGCCCCGGAAGGACGTCGTCGGGAACCTTACGGCGTCGCCGACGACGTTACCCAAATTTGGGCGACCAAACACCTGTTACCAAATTTCAGGTGATGATATCGAGGGGTCCTATTCAAAAGATCTTATCTGGGCGTTCCCCCCAAGACAATCTTATCTTAAACGCAGGTGAATTTCACATAGTTTGATCATTTGGTACAGCTACATATCAATATAATTTGTGAGTTTGTTCAAGTAAATCTAAAGATAGAAGATCAAAGAAACCAAAAGTGCATGTAGAAATGTTTCGCTTACCGTCGTATTTGTTCTGATTGATCAAAATGAGTGAAATTTGCCGGCGTTTAAGATAAGATTGTCTTTGGGGGAAGGCTCAGATAAGATCCTTTGAATAGGGCCCCTCGATATTTTCATCACCAAAATTTGGGCAACGAAGTTGCATCACCCATTTAAAGGGTGATGGTGGTGACCAATTCATTCTCAGTGAAGGAACACAGCTAAAACATGTTCGAATTCGAAAATTTGAAATTTGAAGAAAGAGTTCGTTGCTGGACGCCCGCAGGGAGCCACCTGTCAAGCCGTCTTTGTGCACTTTGACGAGGGTGACGGAGATCGTCTCGGCTGCCCCGGCGTCTACACTGCCAAAACAGGCTGCGCCGACAGGAAATGCACATGGGACTTGGTCACAGCTTTTAGAGTGTTGAGGAATACGAAGCACTTCTTCGTGTAACGAAGCCAAGCCGCTTCGTCCATGCGAGAAAAGAGAAGAAGAATAAAATCAAGGAACCTACTTGCTTCTAGTGTTCAGTCAAAACACTTTAGTATAATTCAAAAAGAAAAAAAAACTTTTCAAAAACATAAAATCTATTCCCATCCCATTTACAATTCTTCGATGGAATATTTGAATCATGATACAATTAAAACAATAAAAGAAACTGTTGCAATGCTCGATATGTACTTTCATCCCTAACATGTATGCACAAACCATCCAAAAAATGCTTGAAAAGTGGCAAACTTCAACGCAAGCATTAACTTACAAACACCGATATTGTGATCTTTACATAACATAACTTGATATGTAATGAGAAACGTGTGAGCTTCATTATCAATTAACGAAAAAATAATTTGACTTTTAGACGGACATGTGGTACTATGAAGAACTTCACTCAATCGGTCTTCGTCTCCGCCATTTCTTCTGCCACAGGTTCCTGCGAGGGAGAAGGCGGCGATGCGCCGTCAGTTGGGACTGGGCCTGGGACAGGTCCCTCCGACGGAGAAGGCGGCAACGCCTCGCCAGTAGCGACGGAACCGGAAGCTGAATTGTCATCCTGAGCCGCAGCTGTAAGACAGTATACAGAAAAGATTAAGATGTGAATAGAAACTTAATTCTTATGTAGACTATTTTCGTGCATGGTCTCGCACGATTTGGCAGACACGTACTTTTGGAACAAAATTGTACGCAATTTCACACGAGTTTGTGCGATTCTGCAAACAAATTTGTACGAAGAAGTTCGCGTATTAAAAATTGTGTGAGACCACGAACAAAATTGTACCAACATACATAGTTTATATTAAGGGAGGGTGGGGAACCATGACCAATTTTTTTTGTGCCTCCCCCTACTCCACCGTGTGGTTCGAAAACAGGGTCGCCAGCGCTCGGGGCTGTTGAAAATAGTATACTGTTAAAAAAAAATTCTGAAATTTCAGACAAAATTTGACTGAAGTTAATTAACAGTAAGGGGTTCTGAAATTTCAGACCATTTCGGCGGTCTGAAAATTTAGAATAGGGTGGTCTCAAAGTTTAGAATTGGGAGGTCTCAAAGTTAAGATTTAGGTGGTCTGAATTATTAGACACGGCCAGTCTGAAGAAAATTCAGACAAAAACACAAAATTGTAACGTTGAACCTTCACTCCATTGCGAGAGAAGTCTTTGATAGAACTTGCGCGTAACTTATCGGCCGTTCTCTTTACTCGGAAACTCCGAATATCTTGGTATTCGAACCATCGAATCCTCGCTCGTCGGCTTTGCGGGTTATCCATTACACCACGGGACCGCTCTGAGAGCACGGCTGCAGGATGCCGATGACTCCAAGCGCGCTCGCTGGACGCTGGGAGGCCACAAATAAACAAACCAAGCGCGTGTTGCGGGAGTTTAACTGCGGACAATTTGGGCTGTTCGTGAATATTTAAGATTCTGTATCGAGCGCTCAAATATTGCGGTTAAATTTGGTCAAATGAGGCAACCAGTCTGACATTTCAGAACAATACGTCTCCCGTTTCAGACCCATGGTCTGAAAATACACAACCAGTTTGAAATTTAAGATCAATCGGTCTTCCTTTTCAGGAGAATAGTCTGAAAAAGGGATTCAGACTACATGGTCTTGTACTAAGTCTGAATTTTCAGTCACCCCTGTCAGACTTTTTGTCTGGATGGTCTGAATTTGCTTTTAAGACTGCGAAAGTCTTAAATTTCATCCGAGGATTCTTCTTTTGAATACTTCTGGTCTTAATTCAGAAATGAGACCACTAGGTCTTACAAAATTGGTCTGAATTTTAAGATTTTTTTTAACAGTGTAGAAAAGTGACTTTGCGCCCTTAAAAATAGTGACAAAAAAGTGACTTTTTTGGCCAAATAAAGACAAACAGGTGACTAAATTTCGCTATGATCTGTGGAAAATGATCGCTTTTGGCACTTAATTGGAGCTTAAATACAGGGTATGTGGGCGTAAGGACAATAAAACCGGAAAAAGCGCATGAAACAAGGGAAAATGGAAAGGTTCTGTAGAGTTTAGGGACCTTTAATACTCGGAAGAATAATTAGAGAAGCATGAAAACAAAAGCTTTGAATAAAGCAAAGCTTCATCTTTCCGGGATTATTTTAGAGCCTACTTGAAAGTTTCCACAGGGTCCCCCCTTGACTGTTCAAGAGGATTGCGCATGCGTTTTCGATGTGCGCAACAAAGCACCTTCGTCCTTATTAACGCACAAATGCGTGTATGTCACAACGCATGCTTAACGAGCGAAGCTTATGCACAAAAGAGTGTTGAGTAACTTAGTATGTCTGCATGCTTTTTTCAGCTACCGAGTTACCACCCGCTGGTATTTTCTTACCTTTGGCGTTTTCTTTAGCCTGCCGACGCCACCTCCTGCGCTCAGCTCTGAACTGCTTCTTCTTCTGTTTCCTTTTGTCTTTCCGAGCCTGCAACTTTTCCTTCTTCTGCATGTCAATCTTGGCGACATTTTCATCAATCTTCATCTCTTCTGTCTCCTGCAAATCAATGAACCATCAGAACCCAAAAGTTACCTGCTTTCTCAATACTCTGGCGGGTTTATGCTGAGTTTTCCTTACGCTAATACGAGTTTCCTTACGCTACGCGGATAGTCTTACGCTACGGCAACATTAGTGACCATTTATGCTAAGTCCTCACGCTATTACGGGTTTGCTTACGCTAGGCGGCCGTACGCGGCTCCCCATTGGTCGGACACGCGAACTTGTCATAGCGTAAGGGCCTGTTACGCCAAAAAATACATCCTGATGGATTAAGGCTTAAAACTAACCGTCCGTCGTAGCCGTTCTGCGTAGCGCAAGGGCTTGTCATGGCGTAAGAGCACTGTAAATGCCCCCATATAACCACACGCGATGGAATTTTCGTTTTTTCGTAAGAATCTTGTTATAGCGTAAGGAAACTCGTATTAGCGTAAGGAAAACTCAGCATAAACCCGCCTTAATTACTATGCACAAAGTCATGGGACTCTTCGAGTTCAATGCAATTTTAAGCACATCCGATGGTAATGAAGTTTTGTGACCGCCGGCAGGGACAAATTGTCGACTGGCAGTGCAAATGGAATGTGCGACGGAAAATATGGGTCACCAGCAGGCCGAATGAAAATTGTATCGTTGTTGCTAAAACTTGCATAACTTGGGACAAAAAATGTCCCATGACTTTTAATGTGTACCTTAAATCGAATAGGGCAGTTCAAAAGACTTTTTGAAAAAGAACAACAAACACGTCACTTGAACGACCTACAAAGAAAGTGACTCTGTTGGAGACTGAGCGATAGCGAGGCGAGTCACTCGTACAGGGTTGAAAAACTTTTGATGCTGAAGTGTTTTTTCGTTGAAATGTATTTAAAGAATGTGACATCATAGGGTTAAGTGCCGAACATGGATCGGGGTTCCAAACATGTATCACACACTCATTCCAGGAACGTGCCATCACGTTGAAACGAACGTCACAAAATGTCACGTTCCTTTCAACGTGATGTCACGTCCTGGAATGAAAGTGCATTTCTGTTCGTGAGTCTATCTCAAAACCTGTGACCAGATTCTAAATTTCCATATTTCCTAGCGACGACTAAGTGTTAGATGTGGCGCTGATAAGTTTGCAGCTGCCTCCCTCTACTCTGCAGGGTTGCATTAAGAAAGGTACCTAAAACTAGAGCGCGAAAATCGATGAAGAATAACGTTTAAAAAGGTGCTTTTAATACCTCCGATTATGGGCTAGGTAATCAACGCAGTCACTTCAAAAAATTTTCGTCGTGCACAGTAGACAGGTCATGGGACCAGTAAGGTAAATATCAACCTTAGATTCAAAAATAGTAGTCAACCAACACTTGACTTCGATTAAAACAAGATTATGAGCGATCGATGGTCTGGTAACCTTACCCTATCCGTAGGGTGGATTTTAGAATACGAAGTCACATTTATTTGCACATGGATCGATCAACACACAAACGAATGAGACATCGTATTTTAACGAACAGAACAAAAGCCAGACACTGACGAAGACGAGCATGAGATCACATTCGATGATTTATGTGACGTCATATTCGATGAATAATATGACGTCACATTCGTTGAATAGCAAAGTGGGTGGGCGCGCGTGCTTCGTAAGGCCTTGGTCCATCCAGCTGATATTTCGCAGGGATATTAGATATGTTCAGGGCTCACTACACGTCAAAATTCAACTTTCGAATGACTTTAAATCCTTGAAGTAGGTCTCGGAATGACCTCAAATGCGAAAAAGTTCCGCAACAAACTTAACCATGCCAGTGGAGCACCGCGGCTCTACGGAAGTGTTAACAAAAAAAATATAATCTTGGGTGTCAATTTATTCTGAGAAAATATGTTCTATTGGACACCCAGCAAGGAACAGAAATCTTTCAGATTCTTAAGACGAAGCCCACATTTTGCTCGTTGTTTCTCAGGCACACTCTCATCCTCATATTGACTTTTTGTGCTTGGCTTATAAAGGATTTTGTGCAGCATTAGCATAAAAAGGATTTTATGAGTTAATACAAACAACTTTGTCCATTTTATTGAATAAAAATAGTACTTCATCCATTGACTGACTCCATTGTGTATGGAAACAGGAAAAAAAAAAAACTTGAGGACAAAGAAGTAATGAAATCCTCTTTACGCTCATGCTGCACAAATTCCTTCTTGTGCCGAGTACAAAAAGTCAATAGCAGGATGAGAGTGTCATCGGATAAGTTCCCCTTTAAACTCTCCATTGCTTGTGTTTGTAAAGGAAGTTAAAACAAGACATGGGAGATGAAAGGAAAAAGAGTCCCAGACATTGACTCGGATGCTTACCATTGTCACTGCGACGTTTCTGGATTCTGAACTGGGACTTCCCGATCTATTCCTGTTGACAGCGACAGTGAACATCTCGGAGGGTTGAGTTTCCGCAGGCGGGGTAACAAAAACGTCCTGCCAGAACTGAAAAGAAAGAAAAAGACACTGTAAAAAGGCGAGAAACCAGATGAATCAGCATTCTGCTCCTCAATTAAGGAACGCTTGCTGAAATTATAGAGGATTGGCTCCGTTAGTATCTACCTCTGGTTGACGCCGCATCAATCTGTGGTGCTTACGCAGCTTCACCAAATCGTTCAAGTTCGAGCACAGCTGTTTCAGGTCACCGTCTTCCAGCTCTAAGAATGTGGCCCACTCAATCTTCTCATCTGTGGTGACATAAATACATCAGTCTCGGAATCGCGGTAGGCGTTACACGGTAACAACGGAACCTGGTTTTCCCAGGAACTGCCTGGAAATCACCTGTGTCTCCACCAAAGGCTTCCTAGGAAAACAAGGTTCCGTTTTTGCCGTGTAATTACCGAAGTTATATTGGCGCTCAAGTTTTACCTTCAAATTTGGGGCCCAAGTGTACCAATCCCCATGTCCTCAGCGTGGCTTCGATCTGGGGGTCCATGATCGACTTATAAATGCAGTCCAGAGGATAGAAAAAAGGGCGGACACAATCCCGTCTGAGGTCAAACGATTCGACGACGATGACGACCGGACACCGCAACTTCAGCGAGGAGAGGAAGACAGAGCTTCGTCGAAGGAATCCGGAAGCAGCGCCGGGAAGACGTTTTTCTCTTCTCACTCGCTCTGACCGCAATCGCTCGCCCTCTCTCTTCGTTGCTCCAAACTCTTCGCGTCTTCAGATTTCCTGTTCCTGCACACACATCAAGCACTTTGATTAATACACGTTTCTTTCACTCCAATCCCAATGGTGGAGCCTTTCTTTCGCACTAACGGTCGTGTGACGTCAAAAAAGAGTCAGACTAAAAATCTTTCCATCTAAGAGGTGACGAGCAAACCCATCGCCAGATCACCACTTTGCAGCATTCCCAATATATTTGGCAATGGACTAGAAGTGAGTGTCCTAGTTAGTTGAATGCCAATTTAGGCACAATATCAAAATTATTGACAATATTTTAAATATTTTCTCTTCGAAGGCAAGATCTCTGTATCGTTCTATTTGAACGAGACACAATCGTATCACCAGAAACGTCACTACTGAAAGACGCTGGACCTAGGACAACAACGCTAGGAAGGAGCACAAGAACGGAAGTACAAAACGGCCGTTTCTGGACTGGCATATTTCTTCATACTTTCGTCTCTGACTTCCGGTTTAGCTGTTCTACTTCAGGGCAAGAGTTCCCTCCAAGTAACCTCTTGACGTCAATCTCTAAGGGCCAATAGCGCACTGGGAAGGAGCTCCAGGCCAGAAGTTCATGAACAAAACCATCACGAAGTTGATGGAAAGGCAGGTACGAGGGAGAGAACTTGAATGAGAAATCGGTGTTGGACCGCGGTCCAATGCTTTGAGGGCGCCAAGGTGAGTGGCGGACTTGCATGCAACGGATTTAACTCAGGCTGTGCAGTCGTAAGCAGTTTCCTACTGCTCAAGTGGTCGCCGAGGTGTCGTGAAATACCCCAACTCAACGCCGATTCAACAGTCGAGCTCGCATGTGATGCGAATTCGTAACGGTGAACAATCTTAGCAAGCGAATTCGTGTGATCAATAGATACTTCAGGCTGGGCTTGAAGCTAAGAGCAAGAAGAACAATACAGACCGGAAACAGTAGAATAATTTGTCTTTCTCGGAGATTTTACCAGGTTTGAACCAAAGTCTATCCAAAAATTAAGCTTACTTGAAATTTTGGATTGAGAATAACACTCATTAATAAATAAGCGTTATTTGGCAGCTGTTTCCGGTATGTTCGTCTTCTTATTCTTCGCTTCAGGCCCTGCTTCAAGTGTCTATCGGATCATAAAAGGGATCGTAATGTAGTCCACGCCACTTATGAATGACAGACGACAGAAACCAGTAGAAGTCAACAGCGGTAAAAAACATTCCACCACCTCTCGTATCCGTTCCAGCACATGAAACTTCTAATACTCCGCTTGCGTTCAAGAAAAGATTCGCTGCCCTGAAGGAAAAGCGCATCTTCCACCGCAAACTATCACGCAAAGTCTTCAGCCTCGAACACTGGTTGACTGAATAGGGTACTTTCATAGATCCCGAACCGGAAGCAAGCAGACGCCATATTGGCTGGAAACTAACCTCTCTTCGGTTCTAAAACTATAGCCGAGCTGTACAAATATTCCTCGCAAGACACATATGCACTGCAAGTAAGTATCGAATGACTGATAATGTTCAAGTGTGGCCGATACGTTTGACTATCGTCTCTTTGCCATGTCAAGTTTTGATCTACTTCCGCCAACAGGCGTCTGTATGCTTCCGGTTCAGGATCTACGAAAGTACCCTATTGACTTATACATACGAGAGCGAATTTCAAGTACGGTAAGCGTCCTGCAGTCAACATGACGGCACCTGACTTGCAATTCCCTCGTAGCAGCAAGATACTCCACTAACTGTAGAAAGTAAAGGGGAGTTTCCTTCAATCGGCTCATCAAGTGGTGGGGAACTGTCTGAGCAAGGTGAAAGACATTGCGTTACGCACAACACGTTAAATTTTAAACGGTATAAACGGTTCCTGGATTTCCCAGGAACCCCCTGGAAATCGCCTAAGTCTTCGCCATAGGGCTCCTGGGAAAACCAGGTACCGTTTTTACCGCGTAGTAAAGTTGAGAGGTCATCCTTGAAGCTCAAGCAGTGAACACGGGTATCAACGCAGAACTGACGCGTAACATTTCACCCGGGGGAGGGGGGGTCTGGGCCAGCGTAACGCCGCGTTACGCTGGCGAGGGGGAGGGGCAATACGTGCTCAAAGCTGCGCACCGTTCAGTCACTGAGCGAACTTAACACCGTGAACACAGAAGTAGCATTTCAGTTACTTGTCTCTGACACGTGACGTCCGGCTGAAATTCGCTGTCAGGAGAAAAGCTGGTGCGGGCAAAAAGCAGAGGTACCAGGAGGACGACGATGAATGAGCCGATGGCACCCTGACGAGTGAGGTTCAGGACCGCAGTTCTGCAAACGTGCGTTAAATCATATCCTATCTAGTCGTTCACCGATGAGTCTGTAACTCGATGGACCGTGTACCTCAGAGAATCGTAAGTGTGAAGCCCTGCCAGTGAACTGGGCTGCTTATCAACTATGTTACGCAGGCGGGACGGGGAATGGCCAGAGCTGCGTGTGTGTCTAGGGGACGGGGGTTTGTAACCATCTTCATGATACGTCAAGCACGTTAATAACATGAGAACAATTTTAAGAAGACTTTTGTATTATTCAAGGTAGAACAAAGGTGGACTGAAAGATAGGTTGGGGTACTCACATCATATAATTCTCTACGGCTATCCCAACCAGCTGATGCTCACAAGAATCGGCGCTGCCTATAGGGTATTTTAACGAATCCCTGGCCCGGAAGTCAAAGAACAAAAGTAAGAACCAAAACCGCTTCTGCGCATGCGCAGACGTCCCCCCTCCACTCTGAGGCAGCGTCTGCGCATGCTCAGAAGCCGTTTTGGTTCCTACTTTTGTTCTTTGACTTCCGGACCAGGGATTCGTTAAAATACCTTATTGTAGGCAGTGAAAGCTACTGTCTTGGTCTTCCGTGCCATACTAATCTGCGAGACGTGCTAAGCATCCGCACCGCCACGTTCGTCGGACGCCCAGTTGTAGAGATTCATACTTACGGTAGGGTGCACGTTAGGACGCAGACGACTTCAGCCAGGCGTACGGAGGACACTCACTCTGATCGGTCCCGGCAGCCGACGGCGGCTTAACTTAACGCGTGAAGAAACTACTTTCTTCTTTCTTTCCTTTAATTTCGCTTAGCTGTAGTCGACTGCAATCCACGTTTCGCAAGTGACTGGTCGCGGAAGCGAGTGAATAAAAGGCTAAAGGGCAACGTTTTTCACTTCGGGCCCAGTTGTGTAGGGTTTGTTTTGAATAGAGAGAGACCGGAAGTTAAGAGGGTTTGCGGATTCTGCTTGCATGTGCGTTTGCATCGCTGCCCTACGACTTCCGGTGAGCTCATTGCGCGTCTTCACCTTGTTTCTTTGTGTTCTTTCACGAACTTCGACTTGGTCCTCTATTTGATGTTGGACAGGGTTCTCTGCTCTATTCTAGCTTCCTCTGGCCTGCTGCTAACATCGGCGACCCGTGGCGCTACCTCACGGACATAATGCGAACTACCGATATGGCGGGAGATTTTGAACTTGGAACATATCAAACAAGGTTTGGGAAGTGAATTTTGATCCTTATGACCTAAATTTCAATGAAGATGCTTCCCATGATTAAATATTGTGGCCGAAAGTTGATCCCAGGCACATGATTGACTACTTTTTGGTGTTCCCAAGAGCTCGGGTTGGGGTGGTCCGACTAAAGCTTTCTCGACATCTTTTATTTTAGACCTAATGTTTTTTCTTGAATTATTGATTGACTATTTTTGTGTTTTGTGATCACTGATCATGTTAACCTAATGTTTCATTAGAACTTCAATGTTACTTCTTCTTGAACAATTGAGTGAAAACTTATTTATGCAGCTCCTTTTTTCTTTGACTTTTTGTACTCAAATGAAGTGAAAAATTAATGTTCCTCACCTTTGTTTAAAATTTGTATTAATTAAATCTTAATAAATACTAACCAATCGTTCACTTGCTCGTCCTTATCACAGTTTATAAAGAAATCGACACTACAGCCATAATTCTCTCTTAACTGTGATAATAAGGGCAAGCAAGTGAACAATTTGTTAGTATATATTAAGATTTAATTAATACAAATTTTAAACAAAGGTGAGGAACATTAATTTTTCACTTCATTTGAGTACAAAAAGTCAAAGAAAAAAGGAGCTGCATAAATAAGTTTTCACTCAATTGTTCAAGAAGAAGTAACATTGAAGTTCTAATGAAACATTAGGTTAACATGATCAGTGATCACAAAACACAAAAATAGTCAATCAATAATTCAAGAAAAAACATTAGGTCTAAAATAAAAGATGTCGAGAAAGCTTTAGTCGGACCACCCCAACCCGAGCTCTTGGGAACACCAAAAAGTAGTCAATCATGTGCCTGGGATCAACTTTCGGCCACAATATTTAATCATGGGAAGCATCTTCATTGAAATTTAGGTCATAAGGATCAAAATTCACTTCCCAAACCTTGTTTGATATGTTCCAAGTTCAAAATCTCCCGCCATATCGGTAGTTCGCATTATGTCCGTGCCGCAGCGCTGTATGTTGTCCCCTGAATGTAGGCAATTTCAAGGAGCCGAGGAACCAAGAATAGGGTACTTTCGTAGATCCTGAACCGGAAGCAAGCAGACCAGCAGACGCCAAATTGGCCGGATACTAACCTCTCTTCGGATCTAAAACTATAGCCGAGCTGTACAAATATTGCTCGCGAAACTCATATGCACCGCAAACAAGTTTCAAACGACTGTTTATTTTCAAGTGTGGCCGATACGTTTGACTAACGTCTCTTTCCCATGTCAAGTTTGGATCTACTTCCGCCAACATGGTGTCTGTGTGCTTCCGGTTCAGGGATCTACGAAAGTACCCTATTCTTTAACATTGCGGTATGTTGCCTAAGTGAAGACGAGCAGGAAGTAGAATAGAGTATGATAGTTGTCGTCAAGCAAAGGACGGGCGAAATATCTAAACCGGAAACTGTCTATGATTTTGGAATCATTGTACTGCATGAGTTCAAGAACTTTCCGAAGCGCCTACCTTGTTGAATAATCTAAAGCTTTGTCAAAGTACTTTTTGGTAAATGAAGGAAACACATTATTCATCTGCCTTCCTTTGAATCATGGTCGCTGCCTTGTTTAATTTCGACCGGCATTCGGTTGTGCTATCATCCTCATGTTCTTCCATCATCAACGATTAAAATACTGCGTTCTAGAACATAATGAACTCTTATTTGATAGGCGGCCATGGTAGAATAGATTCTAGTCGTGGCCGATTGAAGAACAAGCAGAATCACAAGAGACAACTTTTTAGCACTCTTACTTTAAATATTGAAGACTCTTTGCGTGGCAGAAGTTAGTTAGACTATTGTACAGTAAATACAACATACTTTCAGTGATGCACTGCGTGGCAGAAGTTAGTTAGACTATTGTACAGTAAATTCAACATACTTTCAGTGATGCACTCTATAAATGCCCAAAATGAGTCTTCCGTGATTCTTCTTGTTCTTCACTTGGCCACGACTGGAATGGTCTATTTTCGAGACACAAAGCAGTTACAGCGCTCCATCATGTGAATGCTTGAGGTGTTGTACCCATTCAGGCAGACGCTGTGCTGTTCTTCCGTTTAACACCTCTTGCGCTCTCGTTTCTCGTCCATCCACTCTCTACCGCGTAATCGCTTGCAACGTTTTCCATTTGCTACGGAACGTTGCTCGGCTCACCCTTCGGTCATTCCAGACTTCCGTTCCCGCTTCTTTTCTTTTAAATATTCCCTATCTTTTCCGTTCCTTTTCAGAGAATCAAGTCGGTCATTCGCTCGCAGTGACACCTCTTCGAATTCCATCGGCCAACCAATCAACCCTCATCTAATCAACTACCATCAAACCAACCGCATCATGAGCAGGTACGCTGTAATCAGTATATGTTGTTGGACTTGCTTTAAGTAGCGAAGCAAGAGCTCTACAGAGCGGACCCATTTATAGGAAGGTCTGTCTACGTCGGTTGCATCCAGTTTAGCAGGCTGAAAGTGGGGTGTGGGTGAAAATTTGTACGAAAAGTGATTAAAATGTTAAAATTAATTCACTTGATATTTTAACGTACAATGTTCTCCTATTAGCGACAGTATGTTCTAAAAGTCTGTGTTATGAACCCTTTGGTGAGTGGTTCATGTAATATGGAATGATGTTTGTATGAGCCTTTTCTGCTCACTCAACATTTAGAATCAATGTAGAAGATTTTTTCTTCCTACTCCGTCAACTAGCCACGCAGTCAGTTTTGTCTTATGCTGACCGTACTTCTTGGAGTAGCTCTTTGTGGTCCAAGTAACAAAGTAACAGAGAGATATTTCAAATATCTGGCCTCTTACTCAAATAGTTTTCCTTGAAGTGGTTAAAAATGGAGAAAAAACTAAGCTTTTCTAATAAAAATTGTGAAGTCTGCTGTTTGCTCTTCAAGAAGGGCGTACAGTTTAAGCGTATTTGTATGCTTACCGAGTGTAGAACTACGTACACTCTAAAAAATAATGGCATTTCTACTACACCGTCGTATGGTAAAAGTACCAACTTCGGTATGGGAAATGACATTCCTATACATGATTTGGAAAATTCCTATGCTTTTCGTTCTTTTGCCAATGCGGTGTAGTAAAAATCCGAACCGAGTATAGGAATTTGATTTCCTGTACTCGTGATCGGTTTTTTGCCACACTTTTTAGTAGAAATCCTATTACTTCAGGCCGTTGTATAGTGCTTTTCCTACAACGCATTAGTAAGAATCCCAAACATTTCTGAAAAATCTTTGGAGGAGAGAGGGGAACAAAACGGATATTCAATATTGGTAACAGGCTGCACAAGGACCAAGGCGGCAAAACTGCCCAGAGGAAAGTAAACAAAAGCTCATGTGTGTCAGAAATTGGCACTGTAGACGATTCGTTAACACTGGTTTAAAGTTATTTTGTATCTTGTTCTGCCCCATTATCTCATATGGTTTTGGATTATTTCGACTTCTTCAGTAAAACTTGAAATGGGTAAGTCTCTGAAAGTCGCGGAAACTCTGAGAACTATTTATGTAAATGAGCCACGGTTTTAAATCCTTGCGAAATTTTACGTGATATTATAATGAGACTGAAAATAAACGTAGCGCTCCAAAGCATTTTGACATCGTCTTTTGTTAAGTTACCTTGCAAAACGTAAACTGTGGGTTAGGGTATATGGTCCACTGTCAGCCGCCTGGCGCCAGGTTTCACAAACCTGCCGCTAGGTGGCGCTTGGAGCGCCGTGCCCGTTCACCAATAAGTATTTCCGATTTATGTTACTAAAGAAAATAATTTTCGACAACTATATCATCTGTTGCCTAAGTAAGTGTCAGCCCTAGCCGTTGGCTTTCAGTTTTAAACAAAATATGGCACTATAATCGAGAAAAACGCATCTCCATGTTGCCACTCGCTGGCGACTGCGGTCGGCCATTAGGTTGGGTGCACGCAAGATCTTCTTCATGTCTAGCTACGCGGTCCACCTCGTCCAAGGGTAACCTTGACAGGTCTGAACTGTCTTCCGAGTTTGAGATTACTTCTGCTGGAGTCCTCACTCTCACTACTTCATTTTTGGTAAAGCCTTCCTGTGAGATGTGCCGCCATGTTCTTCCGAATGATGATCCACTAAACAAGCTTTCCTATGCTTGAATAGGAGTTTCACCACCTCACGTAACGAAAATATCCCACAATTCGTATGGGATTTTTACCATACACGGTGTAGTATTTTTCCCACACCCTAATATAGTAGAAACCTAACAACATGAATAGGATTTTTGCCATATCGACATACGGTCAAATTACCATGTCCTGTGTGGGAAAAATCCTATACCGAATAGGTTAAATGCGTCCGATACTTTTATAGGATTTCTACCACAATTTTTTTTAGAGTGTATCAGTTTTACCAGTTTGGTCCCATACTATTTTAATCAGTGAAAAAAATTGTGCGACATTGCGTACAAATTTGTATATTTTCAGCGCGTTACTGACTCTTTGCTCAATTTGTCAGAACTGTTGGATGTAACTTGTTTGTGCTACCATACGTACTTTTCATTTCTTGATGAATTCAAGAATGAGCTAATAGTGTTGGGTGTGCTACCTTACGTACGTTTCATTTCCTGATGAATTCCAGAATGAATTATCAGTGTAGAAAAAATTTATTGTTGTAATTTTACTGCACTTGCTTATTAGATACTGAGTGTATTATCCGTGCTATAACAAATGCGCATTTTTTGAGAAAGTGAAGAACGTTCTGAGAGTGTGCTATACGCAACCGCGTAGTGCTCAAAATTGTGAGAGACCACATACACAGTAAAAACTCTACGAAGAATCGCTTCGTGCGTATTACGAAGAAAATGAAGGCATTTTAAAATCAACGGAGAAATGCTTCGTATTATGAAGCAAAATCCTTCGCAATACAAAGCATTTCTTCACTAGACGAAGCGGTTCTACAATGCCTTCATTTTCTTTGCGGTTTTGAAGCAAATGCTTCGTAGGCTTTTAAGAGGGTAGGAAAACTGCTCGTAAGAATTGAGTGCACTCCCAATTTTCTACTGAGAAATGCCGTGCTGTCATAATACTAAGCTAATTCTCAGTACTCTACGACACAAATCTATCATAATACAAAGAAATTTGTTTGTAATACTAAGAAACTGGTCATAAGTTACTGAGAACCCCTCACCATACGTTACTACCTTCGCTGTGCTGTCATAATACTAAGCTTTTTGTTCGTATTACGAAGAAAAAGCTCAGTAGGATCTTGGGAGTGTGTGTAACGTCCCCGTGCGTGTGTTCCAGCTTGGCGGTGCTGGCGGACCCGGGCGGCAGGCCCAAGGTGACGCTGCAGCTGCTGTGCGACGGCGTGCCGCTGCGCGGCCTGTCCCAGGTGGACGCCTCCACGGGCCGCGCCAACGTGCGCTTCGTGGCGCCGCACCCCGGCGGCCGCCTCACCGTCAGGGTGGCCAACGGCGGCGTCGACGACGGCGTCTACGTCCGGCTGGAGCGGGCGGAGCTGGGACCGAAGGACACCTGGGAGGCCTGCAGGAAGCCCGGGGTCGTCAACAAGGCCAACGTGCTGTTCCACGGCAAGAGGTAAGGGTTGTTACGAATCACACTTATGGTACACTACAAAATTCACTGTGTACTTATTATACATCTATAGGAGTGTACTTGGCAAGTACACATCTATAGGAGTATACTTGCCAAGTATACATCGGGCAAGTATACATCTATAGGAGTATACTTGTGAAAGCGGATAGGCGGTCCAAGTACACTCCTATAGGTGTATACTTGCCAAGCACACCTCTATGGATGTATACTTGCCAAAGGATACTCTTATGTGTACTTGGCAAGTATGCTTCTGTAGATGTGTACTTGCCAAGTACTAAGTACACAGTGAATTTTGTAGTGTAAGCAACAATGATACTTAGTATTTTCTAAGGAAGTATGACAAATTTCCTTTGTAAAATTATGGACATAAACTTATTGTTAGTACATTATTAAATATCTCCTACGTAGTCCTTTTTAAATGAAAAAGTACACAGAACGGTGCACAAATTACTTGCATAAGTACTGACAACATGATCGAAAAGTCAGTAACGTGCTGAGAGCGTAGCAGTGCGTTCTGTGTCTAGATCGCTCCGGCAAGAACAAGGGGAAGTCAGTCACTGTGAATTTCGGTGTACAAATGAATTTCAGTCGAAACTCGATGAATGTCAGTCAAATTCGATGAATTTCAGTGAATTTCACAAGTTTGATGAATTTCGGTGGACAAAGTTGACTGGAGTTAATTCCCCTTGCGCCAAATGGTGACCGCGACCCTGACGGTGTGTCTGCCGCAGCTTGACGGTGGAGCGCGACGAAAGCGCCGGGGGCGCAGCGTCCTGGTCGAGCCCCTGATGGACGCGCGGGGCCGCGCCGTGGGTGAGGCGGACGCAGAGGCGCGCGGCATCCGCCGCACCAAGTGGCGGCTCGGCGTCTGGCCCCGGGAGGGGTGCGGCCATGAAGTGTTTCTGAGCCAGTGGCGCCTGATCGACACCAAACTGGGCCTCCGGGAACAGCCCTTGCATGTCAAAACGCCCACCGGGGACACCATCCTGGCTGCCTCCGACTCGGTGTCTCTCGACTGGCTCAAGGTGAGTGTGAATGTTTGCCATGAGGATCTTTCCGTCCGAGTAACCACTTAGTGAAATCGTGTGTAGACTACACGGTATTATGCTGCATGACGTGGATATCATATGTGTGGCCTTAGAATGCCAAGGTTTGGCACATTTGACCCTCAAATGGTACTACGTTCAAGTGTGCCGTAAAAAATTGATATCAAAGAAGAAAGGTTGGGTGCAACGTAACAAGTCTGACTCATAATTTGCGTGGCCCGTTCGTGCCTGCCAACTTTTGGCCTCATTTTTCGTACTTGGAAACTTCAGTTCGTTTGAAACTATCTCAGACGTTCTGTGGTTTCTTTCATTCTACTTTTTTCTTAGCGTTGAACTTCCGTGCAAGGAACGGAATTTCGCACACTAAACTGGGGTAATACGAGACAATTTTGGTGTGCTTTGTACGGGAGTAAAACTTTCACCCGCGCTTTGGCTGTCTCAAGTCTGGATAACCGGAAATACTCAGCAATATTGAAATTTCTCTGGAATAATAAGGAAAGCTGCAATGAAATTTGATCCAGAAAGCGGAAAAAGGGAATAATTTTACTCTTCAAACTGAGTTATTATTCTATTACTGCGCCTTAAAATGGTTTGCTTTATTGCTTTAAGTTATTTTACTCAATTTCTAGTAGTTACGGAGAAAATGAGTTTTACCATTTTACGAAGTGGATTTTCAACGGAGATATGCTGACTTTGATAGAGTTTCAATTTTAACGGAAAGTCGTTTGTTACAGAAGTCCTACACGCAGTGACCTGATACTGACACTCGTTGATGTTATCTTAAAATTTAACTTGTGCTTTTTGATCTTCCTATCAGCTATGACGTTCCTTTGTTAAATGTTTCGTTCTAACAGTTTTTTGATTCTCCTGAAAAGATGTCTAAATGGAGTTGTCCCCTTCTTCAGCTTCTTGGATCATTTGTTACTCGACATGGTATTTTGTAATTTAACGCCCTCAAAACTGAAAAGAGAACTTAATTATCTGGTCGGTCAGTCATAGCATCAGGGGTGGATTCGCTTGCTTGTTTTAGTAGCACCATTTAAGGGGGCTCTTACATGTTAAAAGCACTTCTGTAAAAAAAAATTTTTTGATGTAGATCGATTCAGATTTTACAATTTCTGTGTTTAAACCCCATTAGATAATTGAGTAAGCGTTGTTTTGGCTTAAATTAAAGTTACATTGGACATTTTTTGGAAATTTAGTTGAAACGATTTAAAGTCTGGTTCTCGTAAGATTTTGTTCGCATACTTGCTCAGATCTGTGGGGGGAAAGTCAGGGAACCTCATTCCTAATAGCGTCATCGAATTGACTAGAATGGGCTCTTTATCTCCAATAGTTTTCAAGAAAAAAACAAAAACAATTTTTGGTTCTAAAATTTGTTTCAAAAAAAGGCAAAAAAAATTGCATTTATTTCTTTTCTTAAAAACTGTTCCCGATAAAAAGCCCATTCTAGTCAATCCGATGACGCTATTAGGGATGAGTCTCCCTGATGAAAAAATGTCCAAAGTCACTTTACTGTAAGCCAAAATGAAGCTTACTCAATTATCTAAAAGGGTTTCAACCCAGAAATTGTAAAATCTTATCAAAAAAATTTTTTTTACAAAGTGCTTTTAACATGTATGGTCCCCTTTAGCAGTGTGTAAAGGAATCGGAATTTTTTTGGGCAGAGTTTTAATACAACATTCTTCAGGGTATACGAATCTTGAAAACCTTGAAATCAGGGAAAAGTCAGGGAAAAATATAAGGTCAGGGAAATGTCAGGGGATTTCGCAAAATGCAGCAAAATGTCAGAGAAAATGTATTTACTGCGACACTGGACCTGTTTGCTGGACAACCACGGAGGAGATCGCGACACACCGGTCGTTCGAGTTCAACTCAATCAATGTTTTGATGCGCTCAAATATCAGGGAACTTTGCAATTTCGCGTCAGGGAAAAGCCAGGGAAATTCTCAATTATTTTTTGTATAAACCCTTCCGTTGATTCCAATGCTCTGCTGCCCGCAGGAGAGCGTGGAGCGAGAGCTCGGCATTCCCCGCGCCGAGCAGCGGCTGCGCACGTCGGACGGCTCCTGCCCCTCGAAGATGGCCGACGTCCTGGGGAGGCGCTTCCTCAGCCTGCTCGTCTGCGGCAAGCAACGTGTTGGAGCCAACCTCTGGTTCTGGGTGCAGCACCCTGCGGGCAAGGCGTTCGTGGAGGCGCTGTCGACGGACACTGTAGGCAGCGTGCTGGCCAGGGTTCGGCAGCACGGCGGCGAGTTGGACGGCCTGCACCTGGACGATGTCGAACTGAAAACCAGCCGAACCCTCGCCGACTACAACGTGGCGTGTCTGGACACCCTGGAGCTGCGGGAGCGCGGATCGCTGCGTGTGGCCGTCGCCGTGGAGCACGAGGGTGCCGCGGCGGCCACCAAGACCGTGAAGGTGGGCGTCAACCCGGACGACACCGTCGCCGAGCTGCGGAGGCGCGTCGTCTTGGTGGCGGTCGCCGAGCCGATGAAGCGCCGCCGCTTGGAGTACGATGGCGGCGTGGAGCTTCGCGTCGGGGAGGAGACGCTCGCCGGCCACCTCAGCGTGGAGGAGAGCGGCCTGGCTGCGCCGACGGCCCGGCCACCCCTTCGCTGCTTGTAAGTACCTCGCTCGAGTTTGCACTCTACATATTCGTAAGCGTACATTGTAGCTCTACCTGGAGCATGCCTGCCAAGCATGCACTGACAAATGCATACACGCTGACTGAAGCATACCTCTAGTGCCTAAGGGATAGGGAGTTACCTGCATCAGATAGTGTGTACCAGAGCCGTCCATTGTGTACGTGGCATGTATGCACTACTTGTAAGTGCGTGCTTGTCAGGCATGCGCTAGCTAGTGCGTGCTTGCAGGCATGCTCCAGGTAGAGCATACAATGTACGCTTTTGGGTTTGTGGAGCAGCTTTCAGATGTGTGCTAATTTTGAACAGAATTCAGACAGGTTTCTCTGACGTTCTAACAAAGTTTACAGGAGAGAATTTTGTTCATTTGTTTACAATAATTTGTTTGTTTGTGCAGGATTCCGTCATACGAAAACAGGATGACGATTAAAGTCTGCACATTGACCGGCAAGTTGGTCACAGTGCCATGCCAACCCAGTGATTCGATCGAGGTCAGTATCTAGTTGCTTCAGCCCCTTGTCCTGAAGCTGGATGACAACTCAAGGCGACATAATTCCCCCCCCCCCCCCGAATGGAAGTTCGTATGAGAAATACATGTGACGGATGACCTTCGCCGCCTGTATTTCTCACGAATACTTCCATATACTCCCATGCGCGGTTTAATTTTATCCATAATTTTGCCGTTGCAGATGATCAAGCAGCTGATCTTGGACATTGAGGGCATTCCGATCGACCGGCAGAGACTCATCTTCGCCGGGAAGCAGCTAGAGGACGGTCGCACGCTCTCGGACTACTACATCCAGAAGGACACCGTACTTCATATCGTTCTGCGTCTCCGCGGTGGCGGCGGCCCCGACGTCGTGCGCGGGCTGCAGGTCGACGAAGAGGCCGCCCCCGAGGGAGCTGAACCCATCGCCGCCCCCGCCGCCGGTGCGTCCGCCCCCGCGGCGGCCCTGACAGTGGGAAAGATCAGGTCGGGGGAAGTGGTGCCCCCTCAACGAACCAAGACCTGCCAGTTCCCGGTAGAATCATATCGGCTTTGCCCGTGGCTGCAGTTTGACGTTTTCGTTCTGTGATGCCGTGCCAGCTTTCGTTGTAGCGTTAGTTTAAGTTGGTCTGTGCCAGTCATTTTGCTGGTTGTAATTCACATCCCTGAATGTAACTGTTTAATTGTGTTTGTGCTCAACACCATTCCATGGCTCTAGTTGCTGAAAGTATCTGCTTACGACATAGGGTATGAAGCTGTTTATCCTTTTGAAAAACGGACGTCAACCTGCGTTCATAAGTTTGCTTCCAATCTGTTTTTAATTATGCTTACCTTGGTGTCTGAGGATGCAATGTGTAAATTATTGCCTATTTTATTCTCCTGAAAGTTTTTGCAACATCACGACATGTATGTCATTGAGACTTAATTTGTAGGTGCGCGTAAGCACTGTTATTTGTAAAGTGAATTGCGTTGGCGAATTTTATTGAATAAATTGTGCAATATTTTCATTTGTCATCGTGTTGTCATTTATTTACATGTACTTCAACTGAAATTCGTATCCCATGACCGTTATTCATGTCGCACTCTACGGTAATTTCACGATTTCAATGCTTAAAAGTAAAAGCCTCGGCCTTCATTGATACCTAACAGTACACTACACGTCAAAGTGTGGAATAAGCCTGCGAGACAAAACGTCACGTGTGACATCCCAAGCGAACAGCCGCATCACCGAGCGGGACGGGGGATGCACTCTCTCAACCTGTGATCCTAGAATCGACTATTACGTCTATTACGCCTCAAACTTATCGGGATTTGGCTGAAAACGGCCCAAAAGCAGACCACTTAATTCCTAAGTAGGTTGTTGTGCGCGCTAATGCACGAAACCAAACGTGCACTTCGTAACGCACGAATTTGTGCGCGACAATGCACGATTTTCTGTATACTTGCGCACGAAATCGGGCATTGTCGCGCACAAATTCGTGCGTTACGAAGTGCATGTTTAATTTCGTGCATCAGCGCGCAGAAAAACCTACATAGTAATTTAGTGTGAGGCAAGATTCGTGGTATATCGGCTATTACGGCTTCAATTATGAGTCATTAGGGACGAAGTGAACCGACTCTTACGCGATTGCATAGTACCTCCTCGCACATCGCGTTATAACAAATGTGACCAAGTTGGACATAATTCACATTTCACCAAGAACCGTAATAAGAAATACATTCCAAAAGTTTGGTTTCATTTCCTCGTACACTGTGGCAAAAAGCTACGGAAAATTCTGTTAATTTTTTTTTTGCCAGGATTCTCCGTAGCCTTTTTATCAATACTCTCGGTAGGCTCTTAAAGTATTCTCCGTAGGACCGCACAGTCCTCTCGTAGGACCGCACAGTCCTCTCCGTAGGACCCGTAAAACTCTAAAGTCAAACGGAGAACACTGTAAGGTCCTACGCAAAATACTGTAAGAGCCTACAGAGAATATTGACAAGGGGGCTACGGAGAATACTGTAAGAGCCTACGGAGAATATTGACAAGGGGGCTACGGCGGACAATTACCACAAGCTGTTTACACACTAAATGTCATGGGACTTTTTTTGTCCCACGAATGATGCAATTTTAAGCACATCCGGTCGTGATGCAATTTTGTGTCCGCCAGGCGGGACAAATTGTCAAGTGAAAGTACAATTCGCAGCAGGCGTCGGACAAAATGTGTTGCCAGACGGAAACAAAATTGTATCAGCGTCGGATGTGCTTAAAATTGCATAAATCGAGGGACAAAAAAAGGCCCATGACATTTAGTGTGTATACAGAATTTTCCGTAGCTTTTTGCCAAACGGCGCAGCTTCATCAACACTAAATCACTGCGTACCTTTTCACTGGTAAAACTTAAGCATAGTATTACCCTCTGTTTTCAAGCGTAATCAGTTTACGCTTGAAATCGTGTAATAGGTTCATCCGCCAAGTTTCCCCGTATCTAAATGCTTGGGGGAATTTCCAGTCCATGCTTCATTTCAAGCGTAATGTCTTCAAGCGTTACTTTATGCTGACTCAAGCATAGAGTTACGCTTTAGTTTTACCAGTGTTTGTGCAGAAGCTTCGCACAAAATTTAACATGCATTTTGAGACGCACGAGTTTGTGCGTTGCACTCAGCACGAAAAAGCGTTGTTTCGCACAAAATTCGTGCATTTCAAAACGCACGCTCAATTTTGTGCGAAGCTTATGCACCAAAAAGTACATAGTGATAGTGATTTAGTGTGTATGGAAAGATACTGGCTGAGGCAATACCACTATCTTCAGGTACTTCATATGTTTCCGGTGGCAGGCAAAGGAGAGACATTGATATCGCTAGACTACTAGAGCTATGAAAGAAATAATGAAGATGTGGCCTGCGTACTGTATGTACGCGGTTCGTCACGATTTCAAAAAAAAACTTTTGCGAAAAAAAAACATGTCTTTTATTCTGAAAACTTAAGTCCAACGTGCAGAAATACTTCTAGTGCTGTGCGAACCACGACAGCAGCGCGACCAGGGTCACCAGGATACCGGCCTGCAGCGAGGCCGCCCCGCACGTGCACATCCTGTCCAGCATCTTGTTCGTGCAGTTCTGGATGCACGACACGTCGGTGCCGCAATGGAAGAGGCAGGAAGGGCTGTCGGCCGTGGCGTCGTTCATGCACTTGGTCAGGTCCGTGATGGCCGACCTGAAGCGGAGACGGCCAGTTTTAAGCAGGTGGTACCTTCACCTTCAAACATCAACTGAAGAGTGGGGTGGGCTGAAAGAACACTTTTTGTCTCTGATCGGAAACGGGCACCCGAAACTTTACCCTCAAAGTGAAAACCGAAGATTTTGTCCGATCTGAAAAAAAAATTTGCAGGTGCGTTTCTACTGTCAAGTGGCAACTTTTGCCGGGCAGGCACGGACTAGCTCGGGTTGGTAGGGTTTGAAATCGAACATGCCCCCCTCCAAAATGTATCATTTCGGGACCCTTTCACTGAAAAACAAGTCTGGTCAAAAGTACCAGACCAATCCTAGTTAAACGAGTACAAATTTGGCCAGTACAGAATTTTTGATCACTTTACGGCGATGACTGAAAGGGTCTATTGGCATGCACTACACATGTGCCGATAAAATCCTTCTAAGAACTGCTCGCTCTACAAATCAAAGAGTGTACATGGTATGCTCTAACTGGAGCATGCCTGCAAGCACGCTCTAGCTAGCGCATGCCTGCCAAGCATGCACTACATACATGCCATGTACACGCTTCCTGACGCAGAAAACTCCCTATCCCTTATGCACTAAATGTATGCTTCAGTTAGCGTGTACATGGCATGTATGCACTAGTTAGTGCATCCTTGGCAGGCATGCGCTAGTTAGAGCGTGCTTGCAGGCATGCTCCAGTTAGAGCGTACCATGTACACTCTTTGATTTGTAGAGCGTTGTTATACAAAGAAAACGAAGGCTTCGCAGCCAACGAAGGAAATCGTTACAGTACAAACGATTTTGTTTGTAATACAAATAAAAAATTCTTTGTATTACACTCGAGTTCCTTAAAAGGCATGCACTAGATAACTTGGGATGCTCCGTGTCCCAAACTTGTGAGCGTCCCAAGTTATCTAGTGCATGCCTGTCCCACACTTGGATTTGCAGTGAAACAGCGTGAGACTGCCGCACACTCGGATTTGCAGTGGAGCGGGCGATTCCTCACTTGGTGCCAGAGAGCCGCAGGATGGCGTCCCTGGCCTCGGCCGCGGAGGTCGAGGTGGGCGCCGTGCGGGTCATGGCGGGCTTGCAGTCGCAGATGCACTTGATGGCCGTCCTGGCGCACTTAACGGCGCAGTCCTCGTCGGTGCCGCAGTTGACGGTGCACGGCGTCTGCGCCGACTGGCACGACGACATGCAGTCGGCCGAGGAGGCGGGGATCGTCGCCAGGAAGGCCGCGACGGCCAGGGCGGCGAGGAGCGTCCGGGACACCTGCAGAGGCCCAATGTCAGTCAGAGCCCACCCACACGCTAAATGTTTATGCAGAATTTTGTACGTGCCACTTGCACGATTCTGTGCATGCGGGGAATTCGCATAATAATATGCGTGAAAATGCATAAATTTCTGCGAATTTCTGCACAATTTTATGCACAACGTCACGCAGGTTTAAAATCGTGCATCACGACGTACAGAATTCTACATAAACATTTAGTGTGCAGCTCGTTGCGGAATGTTTTAAGCACGTGAGGTGCAATACAAACTTTTCAGTTTGTTCCACGAAGAATGTTTTCGTACATTACGAAGTATTTTAACGCCTCACACCTTACGAAGTATTTTGAGCACACCACTCACTTTTGCGACACGATGAATGCGTCCTTAAATTACAAAGTCTTTTCTTTGTAAGCTTACGTAATGTTAAAAAAAACTTTCTTACATCTAGCTTCTGTTGTTTCTTAGGCTTAAAATAGATTAAGAAGTTTTTGAGAGAGTGACAGGCGTGGATCCAAAAGGCGAGGGGAATCAGGAACCGTTTTCACCGTTAACGGATGAATGGATGGGATGGGATGAGTGGGATCGGATGCAGAGCTAGAAGCGGTAGCAAGACCGCTTACAAATGCAACTTTGCCCCTTCCTCGGGGCGGCTCTGGATCAGGGCTGGGACAGATACCTTATATTTTTACCTAGGTACAGATACAGATAGTAGATCAAAAAAGTACCTAGGTACAGTTACAGGTACTTGATCGAGCTCAGTACCTAGGTACAGTTACAGGTACTTTGGCAAAATACCTAGGTACTTTTCAGGTACTTTCAGTTATTTTGATATTTCAACACATCCGCCCAGTAACGCAACCAAAACAAACCTCGCGCGACTTTTTCGTCCCTTTAAACTTTCTTGCGTCAATGACCCTTTTCATGCCAACGTGTGTGCTGTTTACAACCCCGATTCGTCACGCCGCATCGCCGGCGGCTCCAGGGACCATCCTTGACCTCGCTCCTATAATGGGATGGTTCCGGTAACGCACTTTAGGGACAAACCCTAAGAGCCCCGCTGAGATGTGTCCATTGTTTCATAGTGCAAGTCCTCTGCGTTCACCTTGGCAGTGCATGCGGTGACCAGACCTGCCACATGGAGCCCGGAGGAGGCACATAAAAAGGGGAGGGGGCCGAATATCTGTTTCTTCCCCGCAAACAGGCAGTCCTCTGAGTGTCTTTCTTTATCCCCGCACTGTTTTGAGCGCATCTCATTACCCGTCTTTCCCTACATTCGCGCCCAAAAGTACCTATAAAAGTACCTGCAGTTCTAGGTAAAGTTAATGCCCAAAATGTACCTAGGTACAGGTACAGTTACAATTGTGACTTGAGTACCTAGGTACAGTTATAGGTACCAAAAAAGTACCTAGGTACAGTACCTAGGTACTTTTTACCTAGGTATTTCCCAGCCCTGCTCTGGATCCGCCACCGGTCAAAGAGGTCGGCCCGTCTCGTTACATAAACGTGACGTCACTTTCGCGGAACGTGAATCGAGTCTAGTGCCGTGAACTGGTCGCCCTCTCCTTTCTTCCGAAAGTGACGCATATCTATCTGCCCGGGGAATACTGTTCGGACGCACCTTCGCCGATTGCTGATAACGACGTGTCCCTCCTATCTCTGGAGGCGCACTTTGACTCAACATGGCTTTGACGCGGCATGAGGAAAACACACTAGACTTCGCGTGGTGCGACACAGGTGCAAAAGGACCGAAGGACTTAAGGGGGCACTGTCTTGCAAGCGTACGACGCTCCAGTCACAGAGGTGGAATTGGGGGTAAAGCGGAGGGGGGACATTGTCCCCCACCTTGGCTTCTGTAGTACAACAAGAGTACAATGAAAACTGAGGGGAAAAGGTTTATCGAGGATTGTATAAAGTACAATGAGAATTGAACAAAATAAAACGAGGCCTGGCCTGAATTAACCCCACTCGTCCTTGTAGAATTTTAAAACTGAGCACATGCACCACGAGAGGAGATAAAGGCGATGATTTTGCCGCGACAGCGTAGCTCAAAGTTAATGTGAGCGTGAACTTAGGTGGGGGGAAGTACAGCCAGAGGGAGGTAGCGCCTGCGAGCAAGTAGGGTAGGCAGCTAGCCACGCAGCGGAGCGTGGCGGGCGTGCCTACCTTTCACTTCGCAGGCGTTCCGGAGGCAAGTCTTGTAGGAAGAGCAAATTGTGGCATTTTTCTGCCGAAAGCAATGCATTTTTCACGGTTTCTCGAGCTGCTCCAAGGGTGGGCCAACACGATCTTTTTATGACGGATAATGTTAGTTCGATCCTCTTTCTTCTAATTCCAGCCCTGGGATTGGTCAAAATCGCGCACTGTTAAAAAAAATTACTGAAAATTCATAATTTTTTGTAAGAAGTCGATTTACTTACATTCAGTCTGAATTTTCATACCAAAACTTTCATACTTCGCGGTCTGAAAGTTTCTGAATTTTCTGAATTTTCAGATCAACATGTTGTATGAAAAATGATACCAGTCGGTCTATTTTATCAGACTAAGTTGTACGAAGAATATGAACAGTCGCACTAAACAATGCCACTCTGTCGAGTAGAGCTCAATACGGCGAACTTTTGCCATCGGTTTATCGTACACGCTCAGCGGATCGTCTCGGCTCAAAAATTAGGTACACGGCAGTAGACTCCTACTTGCAAAGGTAGTGAAGAGTCTAGAGGTGACTGCTGAATTGCGAGGGAGAGCGGCCTTAGCCCAACCACGCGCCGACCCGTGGCCATGCGCGAGAGTGAAGTTGTATTCTTTGTTATTTAGCTTATACTGCACTTATTAACCTGAATCTTGCTTTGGTGCGCTCATGCCCTTTCAGACAATCACTTGGAATAAGTTTGTAACAAAATATTCGCAATTTCGCCTTCAAGTGGCAATTTTAGCTCCAATAGATCGTCCATGCGACACTAGCGCCACCTAGCGGATAGAGCAATAAGTGTCCATTTCGGAGCTCTGAAACATTCTCTATGCTTTTACGACACTAAACGTAAATATTATTTGAAATACAACAGTAGTATTAATAAAAGTTCTGAGAAAATCGAAAAATGTACAAAGGGGACGGGGTTTTTTCACTCGTTTTCCGATTTCACAAGTATGAATTTAGTTTTCGGACGACAATGTACAAAACTTGATAACCATCGCTCTAAATATTCAGACTTGCTAGTCTAAATTCAACTTTCAGACAACAGGTCAAACTTTTCAGACAGTTGGTCTTAATATTCGTACCATTTTATGAATTTACGATTCAGACCACCAAGTAAGACGAAATCAGTCTGAATTTTCATATTTTTTTTAACAGTGATGCCCATCACCAAAACTCCGGAAATAAAAAGAAAATGACTGAAAAAAAAAAAACAGAAAAACAGCCATGGACAAAATTAGAGCAGTCCAATCCGAAAACCGACGCTGGATTCGTGTCTATCGGCCGATTTACATAACATTTGTGATTTTGAGCCCGCAAGAGCCAACGGGGACCGACCAACAACAATTTTTACATTTTGACCAAATTCACCCAAATTGTGTCAGAAAAACTCCTCCATAGAATCCAAACCATGCGTTTTAAACCCACAATATTTTGAGGCTTTTCGAAGACCTATAATAAAAAGTACCTTTGACCCAAAAATAAACGAAATCGGAGATGGTTATGTTCCTCGATCGGACTCCTTTAAAAACGAGCCTCCGTTGTACTTTTTTTACAGCATTCGCTGTACTTTTGCTGTACTATTAACCCCTTTTTTGGCAGTGCAATGTACTTTGTGCAACAACTGTTGTGCTTTTAAAGTACAACCCATCTTCACCATGGTAAACCTAAAGCGGAAGTTGCGCTCGAAGACGTTAGGCTCGAAATGAAAAGTAGATTAGAGATTTCCCCATGCATTTAGAAAGAAGAGGGCGGACACCCAAAATCAAAAGCTGTGCTCCAAGGGCCCAGTGGATCACGACATGATTGGAAGGCTTACCATGGTGGAAGTGATTAGTCGTGCGTCGCTTGAGGTACTGAGTCGGCAACGCTCGTCCTACTACTAATCACTTCGACCAGAGCGGCCGACCGAGGGACCACGAGTGGCGGGCGTTCGAAACTTCGTGCCGTCGCCTCGCTTGCTCACTTTGGGAAGTGCGACAGACCTGCGGCAAAGTCGAGCGTTCGGACGTACCTCTGCCGATAACGGCTTATCGCATCGCACCTATCTTTAGACCAGACGAAACGTCCTGTCTCCGGGTGACTAATGTTCCTTCTTTTTTTTTTAAAGTCGATTCGTCACCAAAAGGAAAATTGCTCGCCCCTTCTTTTACTGCGTGCAGAACTGCTTAGGGTAATATGAGATAATCTTGGGGTAACTTGAGAGACCCTAGTTTGGTAATAACGAAGGTATGCCCTTTTCTTGATTCAATTTTTAGAGGTGAACGAGTAGGGTAGAGACATCACATGAAAGTAGAATTACATCTCTGTAGGTGCAAATAATGTGTCCCAAATTACCTCGAAATCGTCTCATGCCACCTGTTACGCTCAGGTGGATAAAGGGTGGTTGGCTGTTATTTTTGGTCTCCGTAAATAAAAAAAAGGAGGATTTGAGAATAATTTTCTGGGTCACCGCCTGTTGGCCAAGCTGTTGGCGCATTTAAATGGCGCGGTGGGTCATTCTCCACAAAATGTGACGATTTGATGCCCCTGCCCCTCGCCCTGCCCCTTTGAGACCAATACATGACCCGTTGTTTCAACTCATATTCACCTTATTTGCTTGAATATTTTAACTCCGCAGGTGTCAATTTACGCAAGATCCGTAGTCATTTCCTCCTCTAAATAAGGTGAAAATCCAATTTTTCTCAGAACCTAGCACTCGACTTAGTTTTGCATTGAGCCTGCTGAGACAATAAAAACAAACCCAATTTGAACATTAAATGGACAACTTTTAGTTTTTCACAGATTGCAAGTCCGAATTGTTACGTTTTCGGACAGTATGACCCCAATGCCTGTACGATTTAACTGAAAAGTAGAGTGTACACTACAAAGCGGGCAGTCTCGTCCCTGTACCCTTTTTAGGGGGTTTTTACCCCTCTTTTGATGACGATGATTTTTTTAAATATGTCTCTTAGAGATGGTCGGTGTTTTTGGAAGTTGGACTGCAAAGAAAACTTGGAGTTATAAGAAAGGTGTGCCATAAATGAAGAGATAACTCACATTTCAAATCTCGTTGCAAAGACGTTTTAGATTGTGAGCGGCAGCCTGAGCTCCGCTTGTTATTTAGGCGGCGTCGAGGAACCCTTCCTGTTTTCAGCTCTCGGCTCACCTTGAGAAGACATCGCTCACCAGCAGAAGACATCGCGATTTTTTACAAAGTCCGGAAATAGATTTATTACATGTTACATTTATGACATGATTAGATATTACATGTTTTAAGAGTGACACATTTTCTTTAGGTGTAGACGCAGGTGCGCTAGTGCTCCCTATGGGATGCGCAAACCACCGTGAGTTAACAATATACAAAGAAATAAACAGATAATGAGTTCAGCTTTAACAGTAAATCATGGAGCGGTCGCATGCACTAGATAAAATTGTACATTCGAGGAGCTGCAAATCATCAAGGCCACTTGAAGCAGCGTGCGCTAGCGCTCCCTTTGGGATGCGCAAACCGCCGTGAGTAAACAATTTAGAAAGAAATTAACAGATAGTGAGGTAAGCATTAAAAGTAAATCATGAAGCAACAGGCAACACTTGATAAAATTGTACATTCGAGGAGAGGCAAATCATCAGAGCTCCGTCGCCAAGCTGTGTGACGCGAACGTATGTCAGTAAAAGTACATCATGAAGCAACCACCACAACTTGATGTAATAGGAGGAACGGCAAATCATCAGGGCCACTGGAAGCAGTAGCTGCCGCAGCACTCGGCCGCCCAGCTGTGCGATGCGAAAGTATTCCAGTACTTCCAGCCGCCCTCGGCCTTGTGTAGGCACCACCGACAGTCGCACCCGCTCGGGACCCTCCGGCCAGCGTGTTCAAGGCGGAGGTGCAGCTGTTCGTTGCGTTGGAGGAGGTCCTTGATGGCGGGCTCGTGCAGCATGTCGTGAATGAAGTGCGTCGTGCCCAACTCCAGCATGGCGAGGCACGGCGCTGACTCGGGAGTCACTGCCCGCAAAAACTCTTCAGTGGGCAGAGTGCGCAGGCGAAGTGTCGTCAGGGAGGAGAAGCGGTGGAGTGCAGAGCCCAGCAGGTCCCACGGAAAGTCAGAGTCAAGTATTAAGTCCAGCTCTTGAACAACTTCGGCGAAAGGGGATTCGGTAACAGTCAAAATGGATTCATGGTCAATGTAGCCACGCAGCGCCTTAAACTCTAGTTGAGGGTGGAGGCCCAGAAAATCAAGTGCTCCCGGAGGGAAGACGTTTTCATCATCATGCGGAACCAGTCCCAGAAATTGAACTACTCCCGGAGCATCGTCATCAACAAGATCATCATCTCCTGCATCGTCATCAACAGGATCATTATCTCCTGCATCGTCATCAACAGGATTATTATCTCCTGCATCGTCATCAACAGGATCATTATCTCCTGCATCGTCATCAACAGGATTATTATCTCCTGCATCGTCATCCACAGGATCATTATCTCCTGCATCGTCATGAACGGGATCATTAACACCTACATCGTCTCCAGCATCATCAGCAATAGGTTCATCAACTACAGGATCATCATGTCCAGCATGATCACCTACAGGATTATCATCATTGTCATCATCTACAGGAAAATCATTTGCAGCATCGTCATCATCTACAGGAAAATCATTTCCAGCATTGTCATCATCTACAGGAAAATCATCTCCAGCATTGTCATCATATACAGGAAAATCATTTCCAGCATTGTCATCATCTATAGGAAAATCATCTTCAGCATTGCCACCTTCTACAGGAAAATCATCTCCAGCAATGTCATCTTCTCCGACATCATCATCAACAGCTCCCGCATCGTCAGCTACAGCAAAAATGGACCAAATTTCGAAGCTCACAGACTGCAGCTTAGGCATACCTAAAAGCGTGGGCAAAGAAAAGTATTGAGGAGGCAGACCCACGTACGTCAGAGTTGACGCGTGCGTTTGCAGTAAATACTCGAGGAAGTAATCAACTTCATAAAAGCCGATGCCAAGGTATAACAGGTTGGTGAGGCAAGGCCTGGCGTGGCCAGCCCGAACCCAGAACGGTGTTGGAATCAACGGTGCTGAACAGACCAGGGTGAGTTCACCGATATCTAGATTGTAGACCAGCTCCAATAGAGAGTCAGGCATTTCCCAACTGTTGTGCGGAATATTCCAGTCGTCCACATGCATGAAGACCGGGCGTGACTTATTTAACTCGAGCGAGCTGAAATCTAATTCAAGTTTCTTGAGGCCCCCGAGATTGGCGACTCGCTGAAGCACCTCTCGGGCGTAGTAGCCGTCCCCGCTGCCATCGTCACCCAGCCTGAGGCTAGCGACCACGCACGCACTGTCGGACAGGGCGGAGGCCGCGAGCTCCATCCCCTGGGACACGTCCAGCTCGGCCAGGCAGGGGGCCAGGCGCAGCGCGGCGATCGGCAGGGCCTCGCCCCGGATCTTGAGTCGGGCATCGCGCCAAAGGGACCGGTGCAGGCTGAGGTCCCGGAGGCGGCGGCACACCGGCCGGCAAGTCATGAGGTCCAGGGGCCCCAGGTACGCCAGCACGGCCAGCAGCGCGTCGTCGGGCAGGTCCAGGAGCTGCGAGAACACCACCACGGAATTAGCACGGCAAACTCCAAACTCGGCAGGGATTTCAGTAGTCGACGCCTCTTACAAGAATAATTCTAACTGCCGGGGTAGATCCGAGATAATCGTAAGTGCCACAGCAGATCCAAGACCATGCTAACTATCAGTGCAGATTTAGTACCATCCTAAATGCAGAGGTACCTTAAACAGTTCATGAACTACCGTGAACCGCAATATCTCCGGAATACATGTCCACGTAAGGATGACACTTTTTAAGGGGAGGTTCTGGCAAAAATGCTCCTACATAGGTCCGACTGCGAAAATTTGTTAAAAATTTGATGTCTTACCAAGTAATTGTTAAAATTATTCATTGAAACTATTCATTATTCATTATATGCCCTGAACCCAGTCGCAGAGCCTTTTTCTCCTATTTGGGCTATAACTTTAAAAATCTTCATGCGCATACTATTTTGACGTAAAAGGTTAGCCTTGACATTTTTCACTTCTTCGATTCAGTTTCAAAAGATGCCGGCATGCACAACTTAAAATGTAAATTACATTTATATTCGCAAGGTTTCTAACCAAGCATTTCACCATAATAGATCACAAATGTACAAAATAGACAAGTTCAAGGGACTTTTCAGCTTAAGAAGCTTACAATTAATAATAAAATGATAATTTTGAGCTATGCATGCCGGAATCTTTAGAAAATGTGTCGAAGTGAAAACTGTCAAGGTCAACCTTTTACGACAAAATAGTATGCACAAGAAGATTTTTTTAAGATACATCCAAAATAGGCTCAAAAAGACTCTTCGACTGAGTTCAGAGCCTGGGATGTGCCTTCAGAAGTCAAATTTTGGTCTCCTCGATGAAAGATTTTATATTTTGAACAAGTTATGAAAGTGGGATCCATTTGAAAAATAGTGAAATTTTCACCAGAACCTCCCCTTAACAAATCCTTTGACAATTCATTTCACGCAGTATGAAGATTTAGAGGAAAGAACGCTTTTAACATCATTAACCGTTAGGATACACTCTCAGACCTATGGACTTCTGTCTCTAGCTTGTAAAGTTTATTGCGTAAACGTATCAAGAACCTATAAAGCCCCAATCCGACTGACTCACTCACTGACTCACTCACTCACTCATAGAAATGTTTGGGGTGAAGGAGTGGTCGTAGAGACTTGCGGTTTTTTCCATTCGATTCCAAATTTGATGGGAAAATTGGGAAAAATCCCAAAAGTTCAAAATTCCTCACCGTTTCCGAGAAAACCTACTTTATCTACAAAAAAGGGGAACAAATTTCTCACCGTTTCCGAGCGAACCTACTCAATCTTCAAAAAAGGGGACCGACCGACTAAAAATTTTTATTCGCCCCATCGGTAGGTCTGGTCGAGACATTTCCGAATCTGTGCCGCAATCCGGTCTCCGTCACTGGCAACATCCTAAAAAAACCATTAAATAGGCCTAAATTCAACAACATCCACTCAATCTTCAAAAAAGGGGACCGACCGACTAAAAATTTTTATTCGCCCCATCGGTAGGTCTGGTCGAGACATTTCCGAAACTGTGCCGCAATCGGGTCCTCGTCACCGGCAACATCCTCAAAAACGATTAAATGGGCCTAAATTCAACAAAATCCACTCTATCTTCAAAAAAGGGGACCGACCGACTAAAAATTTTTATTCGCCCCATCGGTAGGTCTGGTCGAGACATTTCCGAAACTGTGCCGCAATCGGGTTCTTGTCACCGGCAACATCCTCAAAAACGATAAAATAGGCCTAAATTTAACAAAATCCACTCAATCTTCAAAAAAGGGAACCGTCCGACTAAAAATTTTTATTCGCCCCATCGGTAGGTCTGGTCGGAACATTTCCGAAACTGTGCCGCAATCGGGTTCCTGTCACCGGCAACATCCTTAAAAAACGATAAAATAGGCCTAAATTTAACAAAATCCACTCAATCTTCAAAAAAGGGAACCGTCCGACTAAAAAATTTCATTCGCCCCATCGGTAGGTCTGGTCGAGACATTTCCGAAACTGTGCCGCAATCGGGTCTCCGTCACCGGCAACATCCTCAAAACGATTAAATAGGCCTAAGTTTAGCAAAATCCACTCAATCTTCAAAAAAGGGAACCGTCCGACTAAAAAATTTCATTCGCCCCATCGGTAGGTCTGGTCGAGACATTTCCGAAACTGTGCCGCAATCGGGTCTCCGTCACCGGCAACATCCTCAAAACGATTAAATAGGCCTAAGTTTAGCAAAATCCACTCAATCTTCAAAAAAGGGGACCGACCGACTGAAAATTTTTATTTGCCTTTTCGGTAGGTCTGGTCGAGACATTTCCGAAACTGTGCCGCAATCGGGTCCCCGTCACCGGCAACGTCCTCAAAATCATTTCCGAAACTGTGCCGCAATCGGGTTCCCGTCACCGGCAACATCCTCAAAACGATGAAATAGGCCTAAATTGAACAAAATACAACCGTTTCCGAGCAGTAAAAGCCATGTAATATATTGCCGGAGAAATCAGAAATGAAAGACGCAAAAGAGGCCCATTAGTTTGGCCTTCGGTCACGTTGACCATAATGAACACAGATCTTATTCTTGTCAAAGCAGTCTTCAATATTTTCCGGACCTTGAATGCCGTTGACTGCCACAGTAGCCAATACAGGACAAGCTATCTATTTGGGCAGTAATAGTACCTTAAAAATTAATGGTCAAAAGCAGTTAAATAGACCCTTCCAAAAAGCAGGACAGTTACTTCATTAGAAAATTTCCCTTTGGTCACCACGGACTTACTAAAAATACTTCGGTACGCGCCCCACACATGCGGGGGTCTGGGGGCGAGCCCCCAGCGAGCAGCATGTCGTAAAGGTCTGTGAAATGAACCCTTAAGTGAGTGGTTCATGTAACATGGACTGATGTATGAGTGCGCCTTTTCTGGTGACCCAACACTCACGATTAATGTCGAAGAAATTTTTTTCTACTCCGTCAGCTAGAGTAGAGACGTATTCAGTTTCGTTTTATACTGACCATACTTCATGGAGCAGGTCTTTGTGGTCCATGTAACAATGTAACAAGGAGGTATTTCAAATACCTGGCGTCAAAGTGGTAAAAATAGAGAAAAAAACACATTTTTTCCAGTTAAAAATTGGTTAAGTTTGCTTTGTCAAAACAAAAACAAAATTCAAATATCTTTCTGTTTCATATGTGAGTATAGGGGTCTACGTAACTCCAAAATAAATTTCAGATCATTCCCTCAAAAAGCTTTGAGTGCTTATTTTTCCACCAAAAGCTAATTTTCAATGAAAACAGCCTACTGTGGCTAAATCGGTGGGTAGATTTGGATGAAATGTGGTGTGTGAGAGTTTCCTATTTAGTACTTAAACACCCTAAAGTTTCGACTACGACAGATAATTGGTATAGAAGTTTTCACTTTCACCCACACTTCACCTTAAAGGTCTTAATACCTTGTACAATGAACACAATAGTAGTGCATAGCCGGGGAGAAAATAGTGCATTTTACGTTCGAACAAAAAGCTCTTTGGAAAGAGATAAAAAGTCATTGCGAGACTGACAGTGTAGCTCTGAATCAACACAAAACGTTGGGATTGGCTTGGATCTAATCCGGCAACTGACTCAGGGGAATTGCCCTCTGGTGGTCGCGTTGTTTATTCCCGTTCTGACGCTGACTTCCGGTCTAAATTTCCTGCCAAGTACCCTTTTCAAGCTAACTGGAATTTACAGATCTTGCATGAACACTAAGGAGCAATTAAACGACGATAGTTAGCATCTGTTTCCGGGTACTGTCCTCCCTCTCACCCTCTCTGGGCTAAGATAGGTCGGCGCAACCGAGATGCATGCTGGGAGACCAGGCAAGCCGGCAGGCAAGCTGGCAGGCAGGCCTCCGCTGCACCCAGCGACGGAGACGGATTCGGGAGGGATTCGTTCGGTTGCGCCGACCTATCTTCCACATGACCTAACTCTGGGCTCCGCTGGAAGTTTCAGAGGGGAGATAGTGGGAACCGAACAACGCTTCAGTAGTCCTTTGAATCGCAATCAGCTGGAATTTACTCACAGATCGGTCCATTACGGTGGGATGTGAAGCACTGGCGAGTTCCGTGCTGGGCGTATGGTATGGTAGTGAAAACTGCAGACAAGCGTCAACAAGTCTCAGAGGGTTTCAACCGCCGCCCCGCACTGAGCAACTATTCTTGATCTGCCGAAGTCCGCTGCTCTGAAACCACCTGGGCCAGAAAGAAACATGAGAAATCTTATTCCAAACGCATGAGAAATCTTTTGTCAAATGCTGAGTCAGGTTCTTTCTGCGTTAGGACCCTTTCAGTCGTCGCCCAATAAAGGACATGAGTGATCAAAACTCAGGAACCAGATGCACACCACCTAGCATCCACTGCTATGACCTTCGGCCACACTTCAAAGCCGGTTTACTTGCCACAAATTTGGCAAGCCGCTTTGAATGCCTTGGCAAGCTTGGCCCGGAAGTGCTCCCCAGCTTGCCAAAATTTGGCAAGCTTGGCCCGGAAATACTTTTCACCCGGCGACGAGTCTTACTCTTCCAATTACCATTTAAAATAAGGTAATACCTGTGAGTGATGTGTTCCTTGGAGATGAGCGAGATGTTACGCTGCCTTGGGGGCCGTTCATTGATAGACCTTTCCGGGCTAAGCAACTTGTTCAGTACACTCGGATCTTTGCGCCGCCACACTTTAAGATCCAGCTCATTTGTGGCGAAACGGAAATGAACTCTGTGTCTACTGGAGTATCAACAACAACGAGTTTAATGCCATTTCGCTGCAAATAGGTTGGGTCTTACAGTGTGGCGGCGCAAAGATTGGGTTATTGTACAAGAAGCTTAGCCCGGAAAGGTCTATTACGTTACGCAGGGGGGGGGGGGTGTCCCAAAGCGAGTAACGTAAGTAGTGGACGAATCGTTTGCACTCCCCCGCCCATAAGGTCAGAAATCAATTGTGGGTCACTCCGCAGGTATCAATTTCATTTCCCCTCATAAGGGAAGTTTATTTTCGTTGCACTGGTTCCGCACAACGCTGAGGTACGTGAGGGGCGAGCCAGCGTAACGTTACGCCAAATACTTCCAACAGGGTACTCCAATGATCCTATAAACGGATGAAGAAGTAAAAGAGTAAGCCCTACAAACAGATTCTGCGCATGCGCACCGGGCGGTGGGAGCATGCGCAGAACCTGTTTCAAGAACCTATAAAGCCCCAATCCGACTGACTCACTGACTCACTCACTCACTCACTCATAGAAATGTTTGGGGTGAAGGAGTGGTCGTAGAGACTTGCGGTTTTTTCCATTCAATTCCAAATTTTATGGGAAAATTGGGAAAAATCCCAAAAGTTGAAAATTCCTCACCGTTTCCGAGAAAACCTACTTTATCTACAAAAAAGGGGAACAAATTTCTCACCGTTTCCGAGCAAACCTACTCAATCTTCAAAAAAGGGGACCGACCGACTAAAAATTTTTATTCGCCCCATCGGTAGGTCTGGTCGAGACATTTCCGAATCTGTGCCGCAATCCGGTCTCCGTCACTGGCAACATCCTCAAAAACGATTAAATAGGCCTAAATTCAACAAAATCCACTCAATCTTCAAAAAAGGGGACTGACCGACTAAAAATTTTTATTCGCCCCATCGGTAGGTCTGGTCGAGACATTTCCGAAACTGTGCCGCAATCGGGTCCCCGTCACCGGCAACATCCTCAAAAACGATTAAATAGGCCTAAATTCAACAAAATCCACTCAATCTTCAAAAAGGGGACCGACCGACTAAAATTTTTATTCGCCCCATCGGTAGGTCTGGTCGAGACATTTCCGAAACTGTGCCGCAATCGGGTCCCCGTCACCGGCAACATCCTCAAAAACGATTAAATAGGCCTAAATTCAACAAAATCCACTCAATCTTCAAAAAAGGGGACCGACCGACTAAAATTTTTTATTCACCCCATCGGTAGGTCTGGTCCAGACATTGCCGAAACTGTGCCGCAATCGGGTTCCCGTCACCGGCAACATCCTCAAAAACGATTAAATAGGCCTAAATTTATCAAAGTCCACTCAATCTTCAAAAAAGGGGACCGACCGACTAAAAATTTTATTCGCCCCATCGGTAGGTCTGGTCGAGCGGTTTCTGGAACTGTGCCGCAATCGGGTCCTGGTCACCGGCAACATCCTAAAAAACGATTAAATAGGCCTAAATTTAACAAAGTCCACTCAATCTTCAAAAAAGGGGACCGACCGACTAAAAATTTTTATTCGCCCCATCGGTAGGTCTGGTCGAGACATTTCCGAAACTGTGCCGCAATCGGGTTCCTGTCACCGGCAACATCCTCAAAAACGATTAAATAGGCCTAAATTTAACAAAGACCACTCAATCTTCAAAAAAGGGGACCGACCGACTAAAATTTTTTATTAGCCCAATCGGTAGATCAAGTCGAGACATTTCAGAAACTGTGCCACAATCGGGTCCCCGTCACCGGCAACATACTCAAAATCAATCATCAATTGTCATCAAGAACCTATAAAGCCCCAATCCGACTGACTCACTGACTCACTGACTCACTGACTCACTCACTCATAGAAATGTTTGGGGTGAAGGAGTGGTCGTAGAGACTTGCGGTTTTTTCCATTCGATTCCAAATTTTATGGGAAAATTGGGAAAAATCCCAAAAGTTGAAAATTCCTCACCGTTTCCGAGAAAACCTACTTTATCTACAAAAAAGGGGAACAAATTTCTAACCGTTTCCGAGCAAACCTACTCAATCTTCAAAAAAGGGGACCGACCGACTAAAAATTTTTATTCGCCCTATCAGTAGGTCTGGTCGAGACATTTCCAAAACTGTGCCGCAATCGGGTCCCCGTCACCGGCAACATCCTCAAAAACGATTAAATAGGCCTAAATTCAACAAAATCCACTCAATCTTCAAAAAAGGGGACCGACCGACTAAAAATTTTTATTCGCCCCATCGGTAGGTCTGGTCGAGACATTTCCGAAACTGTGCCGCAATCGGGTCCCCGTCACCGGCAACATCCTCAAAAACGATTAAATAGGCCTAAATTCAACAAAATCCACTCAATCTTCAAAAAAGGGGACCGACCGACTAAAAATTTTTATTCACCCCATCGGTAGGTCTGGTCGAGCGGTTTCTGGAACTGTGCCGCAATCGGGTCCTGGTCACCGACAACATCCTAAAAAACGATTAAATAGGCCTAAATTTAACAAAGTCCACTCAATCTTCTAAAAAGGGGACCGACCGACTAAAAATTTTTATTCGCCCCATCGGTAGGTCTGGTCGAGACATTTCCGAAACTGTGCCGCAATCGGGTTCCTGTCACCGGCAACATCCTCAAAAACGATTAAATAGGCCTAAATTTAACAAAGTCCACTCAATCTTCAAAAAAGGGGACCGACCGACTAAAAATTTTTATTAGCCCAATCGGTAGATCAAGTCGAGACATTTCAGAAACTGTGCCACAATCGGGTCCCCGTCACCGGCAACATACTCAAAATCAATCATCAATTGTCATCAAGAACCTATAAAGCCCCAAAATCCGACTGACTGACTCCCTCACTCATCAATCATCAAGAACCCATATAGCCCCAATCCGACTGACTGACTCACTCATTCATAGAAATGTTGGGGGTCAAGGAGTGGTCGTAGAGACCTGCGGGTTTTTCCATTCGATTCCAAATTTAATGGGAAAATTGGGAAAAATCTCAAAAGTTGAAAATTTCTCACTGTTTCCGAGCAAAGCTACTCAATCTTCCAAAAAGGGGACCGAATGACTAAAAAATTTTATTCGCCCCATCGGTAGGTCTGGTCGAGAATTTCCGAAACTGTGCCGTAATCGGGACCCCGCCACCGGCAATTGGGCAATCATCTTCAAGAATCTATATAGCCCCAATCCGACTGACTGACTCACTGACTCACTTACTCACTCAAAGAAATGTTTGGGGTCGAGGAGTGGTCGTAGAGACTTACGGTTTTTTTCCTTTCACCTCTATCCTTGTCAAAGCAGTCTTTAATATTTTCCGGACCTTGTATGCACCCATTGACTGCCACAGTAGCCAATGCAATACAAGCTATCTATTTGAGCAGTAAAAGTAGCCTTATTATATGGTCAAAAGCGGTTAAATAGAGCTTTCAAAGAAGCAGGACATTTACTTCCTTAGAAAATTTGCCTTTGCTCACCACGGACTTACTGAAAATACTTCGGCACGCGCTCCACACATGCGGGGGTCTGGGGGCGGAGCCCCCAGCGAGCAGCGCGAGTGTACACACTAAACTTCTTACGGATTCATCTATCTGTATTACGGACATTTTTGTGCAATTGCAATTACGGATAGATTTTGCTTGTAATACGGATGAAATCATCCGTATTACAAAGAGTTTTTCGTCCGTACCTTACGGATATTTTCGTCTGTATGTTACGGACACGAAAACCTTTGTATTACGGATAAAATCATCCGTATTACAAACAAAATCCATCCGTAATTACGCTTGCACAAAACCGTCCGTATAGGGTACTTTCGTACACTGTTAAAAAAAATTGCTGAAAATTCAGACTATTTTGACTGAAGTAAATATGCAGAACAACCTACTGAAAATTCAGACTAAATCCTGGTCTGAAATTTTCAGACTTACATAAGTCTGAACCTTTCAGGCAAGTCGTAGTCTGAAAAATTCAGACAAAATTTACTCAGTTATTACATTTTTTGTCTGAATGTGGCAGCAGAAAACTGTTCCCATAATTCGGTAAAATGATAATGTTTGCATCCCAACCTGAAGGAGACGTGCTCCAGGAGACCGCCTAGGTGAAAAATTGAGGGTAGGGAAATGTCCCCGGAGAGGGACTCTTCCCTGCACTCATCTAGAGCCGGCCTGACGCACCCAAGGAAACGACGGCACGGAGCCACCCGCGAGAGGTAACTTCAAATGTCAATTGTTAAACTCACGCGTTTGCTACAGATATAAATTTGGTATGGGAGCGCGTGTTTCGTCATATCCAATAGAGTAATAGCTATTTCGGGTTGGAAATATTAAAAATTTAACAGAAAAAAACGTTTTTAACAACAGCAGCCTTTTTAACGACACTGGCGCCACCTAGCGGAGAGAAAAATGCTCTCGTTTTGTTTGAAGTCCCCGAAACGGAGTCGGATAAAATTGAATGTAAGACTGATTGTGAGTTAACCTAAGGTTAGGTTTGACGAAAGTTGTCCAATTTTCACTTTTGTTTGAACATATTTCAGAAAGTAGTCTGAATCCGAAATTCAGACTCTTGAGGTCTGGAAAGTCTGACGCAAGTTCATCTGAATTTTGAGAATGAGTACAAATATCGAGACTCTTCGAGTCTGAACCAAGCTTTCGGACAAAGCGTCCAAGAACTAAGACAAAAACTCTGATTTTTCAGAATAAAGTCTGATTTACAGATTCAGACCGCTAAGTCTGACAAAAGTGGTCTGAATTTTCAGAATTTTTTTAACAGTGTAGAATCCTGAACCGGAAGCAAGCAGACCAGCAGACGCCAAATTGGCCGGAAACTAACCTCTCTTCGGAGCCAAAACTATAGCCGAGCTGTACAAATATTGCTCGCGAAACACATATGCACTGCAAACAAGTATCAAACGACTGTTTATGTTCAAGTGTGGCCGATACGTTTGACGAACGTCTCTTTCCCATGTCAAGTTTGGATCTACTTCCGCCAACATGGCGTCTGTGTGCTTCCGGCTCAGGGATCTACGAAAGTACCCTATTGCGGATACATGGTATCCGTAAGGAGTATTCAGTGTAGGACTTTTGTTCTTCCGTTTTAGATTCATTGGAGTACGATGTGAGAACACATTCCAGAAGAACAAATGGTAAATAAGGGTAAAAATGTACTTATCTGAGGAAGTTTGTGTAACGTTACGCTGTAGAGGGGGTAGGGGGTTGTGGCCCAGCGTAACGCTGCGTAACATGGTGGGCCGGAGGGTCAGACAGTGGGCCGAAGTGAGTAACGTAATTAGTGGACGACCCGTTTGCATCCCCCTCCTTAAGGGGGCAGTCTCGTCCCTGTACCCTTTTTTAGGGGGGTTTTCCCTCCCTCTTTTGATGACGATGATTTTTTAAATATACCTCTTAGAGACAAACGGTAAAAACCAAATAAAAGAACAGAATTTTTACAACATTTTCAAAAAAAATATTTTGTTTTGTCTTCAGTTGTAAGGGAGTTATAGGGAATGCAACAAAAGCCGACAAAACTTACAAAATTTCACTGCGCGACAATTTTCTCCGGAAGTTCTTAACTTTTTGGCAATCGGTTTGCGGCATCTTGAAGATGAAAAAATCCTCTTTACTTTAACCTACAATCGTCCATATAGCCCAAGGAAAACCTAAATTAAAACCGTTCCTAAGTTTGTGTAGGTTTTTGGTTACGTTTTAAAATGTGTAATCCTTTGGCTAGATGGACGATTGTAGGTTAAAGTAAAGAGGATTATTTCATCTTCAAGATGCCGCTAACCGATTGCCAAAAAGTTAAGAACTTCCGGAGAAAAATGTCGCGCAGTGAAATTTTGTATGTTTTGTCGGCTTTTGCTGCATTCCCTACAACTCCCTTAAAACTGAAGACAAAACAAAATATTTTTTTTTGAAAATGTTGTAAAAATTCCGTTTTTTCATTTGGTTTTTACCGTTTGTCTCTAAGAGGTCTATTTAAAAAATCATCGTCATCAAAAGAGGGGGGGGGAAACCCCCCTAAAAAGGGGTACAGGGACGAGACTGCCCCCTTAAGGTCAGAAATCAATTGGGGGTCACTTTTGAAGTTTCAACTCATTTTCAGGTATTTGCTTTTAAATTTTAACTCCACATGTATCAATTAACGCAAGATCCGTGGTCATTTCCCCCTCTAATTTCAAAAGGAAATCCTATTTTTACCGAACCTGGTAGCACTCGAAGTTTGTTTTGCATTGAGCATCTTCACTGTAAAAAATCATGGGTAAATTTACCCTTCAGAGCACTGTTAAATTTTACGCCATGGCCCGAAAATTTTATCTCTACATATTGCGCAGAGCTAAATAACCTATGTAGCTAGAAAATGTATCCACTGTGTGGGGAACCTATGTAGCTAGAAAATATATCCTTTGTGTGGGGAAGTTTATGAGTCACAAGAGTAAATTTACTCCATGGGAAGATGAACTGATTTCAGTTGCTAAGACAGTAAAATTACCCTAGCAAATCGGAGTAAATATCTACACCTGGAGTGACCGACCAGCTTTCCCGCGCCACGGGGCCGAATTTCCTCGCGCCTCTGCTCGGCCAGTCCAGCCGGACCAGTAGGGTAAGGTTACCAAACATGGATCACTTCTTAGAAATGTCCTGTATTTCGGCTCAAACAAACGATGACCCAAATTTTCTTCGATACACTCCGAGATTACCACAAAGACAACCACTTCTCAAGAACTGAACATTGAATAACAAATACTTTGAAATTTACAGGGCTTTGAATTTTCACTGATTTTGGTGATCCATATTTGGGTCTGACCCAAACATGGATCACCCCCCCCCCCTCGCGTTTTGACAGGGGCGGTCCGATAACTTCCGGTCGTCTAAATTATGGAAGGGTACACTCTGAAGGTGCCTCGAAAAAATTTGAGACATTTCTGATGAGTGGATTCTTTGTTATAACGCTTTGAATTTTGACTCCTAGCCTAAGCTTTAAACAGGCCGTTTTCGGACCCTTTTTCCGAGGCACTTTTTCATGTGCCTATTCTAAGGGTAAAGGTTAAATTGAATAGCTCCCCCACGCGTGATTCTAGCAGTCAAAAGTGCAGACTACATGAAAAACTTGGAAAAATGAAATTGGTCGATTGGTTTGGCGGTACGGGCTCGCTAACAAAAATGATCCATGATTGGTACCCCGATCCATGTTAAGCACTTCACCCTACAGAGCTCGCAGCGACCTGCCTGAAGGATCCCTCGTGGCGCAGTCGATAGCGTGGTGTGATCTAATCCCTAATGATGCGGGTTCGACTCCCACTAAAACCGAAAACGTGCACGGTAAATACGGTTCCTGGTTTTCCCAGAAACTTCCTGGAAATCGCCTGTCTCTACCACAGGCTTCCTGGGAAAACCAGGTACGGTTTTTACCGTGTGGGCAACGGTTCACACCGTCATGGTTTTAGCCACTGACGCGTGAGTGTGGCGTGAGTTATTTTGAGTCGGTAGAAATTTAGCCCTGTGGCTCGGGAAAGATACACCCTCCACATTTCAAACCTCGTTGCAAGGACGTTTTAGATTGTAAGCGGCAGCCGGAGGTACACTGAAAAACCAAACGTGGTCTAGACGGCACCAACTGGTGTGGTCAAATGATGCCATTTTGACCGCATCAGTTGGTGCGGTCTATAAAATGACAATAACGTAAATTTGAATTAACGCGTTATTTCAAATTTACGTTATTGTCATTTTAACGTTATTTCAAGGGCATTTCAACGTTATTTCGCGTTACTTCACCGTTATTTTAACGTTATGTCACCGTTATTTCTCGTTATTTCACGTTATTTCAAGGAAAATGTACACCAAAATTCAAGTTGTTTGCCCCTCGGTACACACCTACAGATGTATACCTAGCTGGGTGCACATCTACAGATGCATACCTGTTAAGCATGCTTCTGTCGGTGCATACTTGGCAGTATGCATTAGTACGTGTGTACTTGTCACCATACAAATGCCCAGTATGAAGTATAACTTAGTTACTAATAAGCTTGCATCTGTCGATGCATACTGAGTACACACTTCAGTTTGTAGAGTACGCTTGTTATTTACGAGGCGTCGAGGAAGCCTACCTGGGTTTGCTCTCGGCTCACCTTGCGAAGGATAGGCAAAGCAGAAGACATCGCGATTTTTTTCTAAGTCCAGAAATAAATTTATTGCATGTTACTTTTATTATGTGTTTAGATATTACACGTTTTTAGAGTGAGGCATTTTCTGTGAGTGTAGCCACAGGTGCGCTAGCGCTCACTATGGGGAGGCCCAAACCACCATGAGTAAACAATTTAGAAAGGAATTAACAGATACTGAGATCAGCATTAAAAGTAAATCATGAAGCAACAGGCAACACTTGATAAAATTGTACATTCGAGGAGAGGCAAATCATCAGAGCTCCGTCGCCAAGCTGTGTCACGCGAACGTATGTCAGTAAAAGTACATCATGAAGCAACCACCACAACTTGATGCAATAGGAGGAACGGCGAATCATCAGGGCCACTGGAAGCAGTAGGTGCCGCAGCACTCGGCCGCCCAGCTGTGCGATGCGAAAGTATTCCAGTACTTCCAGCCGCCCTCGGCCTTGTGCAGGCACCACCGACAGTCGCACCCGCTCGGGACCCTCCGGCCAGCGTGTTCAAGGCGGAGGTGCAGCTGTTCGTTGCGTTGGAGGAGGTCCTTGATGGCGGGCTCGTGCAGCACGTCGTGAATGTGGTGGTTCGTATCGAACTTCAGCATGGTGAGGCACGGCGCAGATGCCGGAGTAACTGCCTGCAAGAAGTCTTCCGAGGGGATCTCATTCACGGACAGTGTCGTCAGGGAAGAGAACCGGTAGAGTGAAGAGCTGAGCAGGTCCCACGCAATGTCAGAGTCAATGATCATGACAAGCTCCTGAACAACGTCGGCGAAAGGGGATTCGGTAACAGTCAAAATGGATTCGTGGTCAATAAAGCCACGCAGTGCCTTAAATTTTAGTTGAGGATGGAGGCCCAGAAACTCAAGTGCTCCCGGAGGGAAGACACCTACATCGTCATGCGGGCCCAGCCCCAGAAATGGAACTACTACGGGAGCATCGCCTTCTACAGGACCATCATTTCCAGCATCCTCATAATTATCTCCTGCCTCGTCTTCTCCAGGATCATCAAATTCAACATCACCCACAGGACCATCATCTCCAGCATCATCCTCAACAGGATCCTCATCTCCATCATCACCTACAGGGTCAAAATGTCCAGCATTATCGCCTTCAGGAGGATCATCATGTCCACCATCATCACCGACAGGATCATTATGTCCATCGTCATCACCCACAGGATCATCATGTGCAGCATGATCAGGATCATCATCTACAGGAAAATCATCTCCAGCGTTGTCATCTTCTCCAGCATCACCATCAATGGCTCCAGCATCGTCAGCTTCATCAGAAATTGACCAAAGTTCCAAACTCACGGACTGCAGCTTAGGCATACTTTGAAGCGTGGACAAGGAGAGGTAGCGAGGAGGCAGATACACGTACGTCAGAGTTGACGCGTGCGTTTGCAGTAAATACTCGAGGAAGTAATCAACTTCATGAAAGTCAAGGCCATGGTAACGCAGCTTGGTCAGACAAGGCCTGGCTCCCCCGCCAGCCCGAACCAAGAACGGTGTTGGAATCAACGGTGCGGCACAGATCAGGCTGAGTTCACGGATATCTAGATTGTAGACCAGCTCCAATAGAGAGTTAGGCATTTCCCAACTGTTGCAGGGATTATTCCAGTCCACTTTCATGTAGACGGGCCGTGAATCATTTAACTCAAACGGGCTGAAATCTAATACGAGTTTGTTGAGGCCCCCGAGATTGGCGACCCGCTGAAGCACCTCTCGGGCGTAGTAGCCGTCCCCGCTGCCATCGTCACCCAGCCTGAGGCTAGCGACCACGCACGCACTGTCGGACAGGGCGGAGGCCGCGAGCTCCATCCCCTGGGACACGTCCAGCTCGGCCAGGCAGGGGGCCAGGCGCAGCGCGGCGATCGGCAGGGCCTCGCCCCGGATCTTGAGTCGGGCATCGCGCCAAAGGGACCGGTGCAGGCTGAGGTCCCGGAGGCGGCGGCACACCGGCCGGCAAGTCATGAGGTCCAGGGGCCCCAGGTACGCCAGCACGGCCAGCAGCGCGTCGTCGGGCAGGTCCAGGAGCTGCGAGAACACCACCACGGAATTAGTACGGCCAACTCTAAACCCGGCAGGGATTTCAGTACATGAGTCGATGCCTCTACTGAGATTCCAAACGCTGTAAGTACAGCACTATGGAGCAATGCATTGAGATATTGCACCGTACGTGCAATGCCATAACCATATTGCACCTTACGTGCAATGCGTCCCGAAAATGCCCTTGCAATGCAAAAGCATTGTACCAATTGACGCTATACTCATAGCGTTTGGATTCTCAGTGTCCTAAAAGAATGATCCTAACTGCCGCAGTAGATCCAAGATAATCCTAACTGCCAGAGTAGATCCAAGACCATCATAACTGTCAGTGCAGATTTAGAACCATCCTAAATGCAGAGGTACCTACAACGGTTCATGAACTATCGTAGAACGGGGTAATGTGAGAAAAATTTCGAGGTTTCTTGTGAATTTTTCCCTTCTAATTTCAATTTGAGACACTGAGGTGTTGATCACTTGGTTATTGACTCTTTGGCTACACTCCCACCAAATTTCAGATTTTTAGCTGCAGTATGGACCTTTCAATAACCCTCGGAATGCCATCCCATATTTCCCTACAATGTGGGGTAATATGAGACACACTGATTAAAATTTTGTCGTATTTTAGCGACACATTTATCGCTAACTTTTTTAGCGACAAGATTTGTTGTGGAACAAATAGCTTGTTAAACCATAGTCGTATTGGAACTAAGGGATAATTTCACAACGACTGTCTTGTAATAACGCACCAACAATAATACATCAAAGACAAGTATTGAAAGTCCAAAAGAAATTTTGTAATGTCAACGACAATATTCATAGAGTACCTTTGTCGCTAAATTTATTTTGCATGGTTTTTTTTTTTTTACAATAGTAATTTCCATATGACTTTAAAGAACAAAATAGATGATTATTCATAAGATGCTTTAAATGAGCAGATAATTGCAAAAGATGTTGTTTCCACACAAATTGTATTGTAAAGAGTGACAACAAGAATTTTGTTCTGCAACGACAAAATGTTGCTTACTAGACTCAACGACAATTTTTTCGCTTTGGTTCATGATGAAATTCTATGTTTTGGAACGACTAAATTTTCACTCATCTGATTGTTTCTGTACAACCATTTTTTAACAGTGCAAGAGAGAAAAATGGTAAAAGAAGTATGGAAAATTAACTCATTTAGGCGGGTTTTGAACTTTTCAACTTCTTTTTATTCATTTTAAAGATGATTGGGAACCATAATGGAGACGATATTAAATCTGGGGGGAGAAAAATGGGTGTCACTAGAAGAGCTGAAAAATGTAAAAGAAGTCATGAGTTGTGCCTGCCACATGAAAATTCTAAACGAAGACCATAGATGCCGGTCAGATAGTTAAACAAATTCCTGTTAAAATCGTTATTACTTGAGATTATTAACAGTGGAGTACGGTAGGCCTCATGTTTCAAGCGAAAATAGGTGTCTCTATTTTCCCTGCAAGGTAACAACATTATATTCCTTCTGAAACAGGCGGCCTGGGAGAAGACATAACGGAACCAAATTTTGTCCTGATTATGTTGACATGATTGCCTTCAGATTTAAACCTCGTTCGGACGAGAACCCGAGTTCTAACCGAGGTTTCTGGGGAGGTTTTTACTACCTTTATAAAACTTGTTGGCTGAGCGATAGCGAAGCCTGTTACTCAGGTGGGGTTGAAAAATTTTTCCTGTCTGCGTGCGTGCGTGCGTGCGTGTGTGTGTGTGTGTGTCCGCGCTACTCCTCCTGAACGGCTCGGCCGATCTCGGTGAGATTTTGCACACTTTTTGGGTATGTCCTTGGCTCGTCACACGCGAAATTTCACTATCCTAGCTCAACTGGTTCGGTTTTTATAGCCGAAAAACACCTAAAAAACGGCGAAAAATCGAGTTTTCTGCAGGCAGATCACTTCTGTCTTGAAGAAAGGGGGGTCTGGGGGGCGGAGCCCCCCAGCCTCGACAAGTTAAAAAGTCAGGCCAATGCAGCCCTAGGCACGAAATCAAATGCTGTTTTGACCTCCAATCACGCAAATCGGTATGCGGATGCCTGGAAATGAAAGGCAGGCAAGCGCCGCAGGCCAAGGTAGGTGTAACGCCAGGCGTGGATTGTCGAAACTGGCGCAGCATAGCGAAGCCTGTTACGACAAGACACGGTCTGGCGTACACCTACCTTGTTATTAGAGATTTTTCCTTTGATTCTAAATAATCCTGGCGAGTCTCTGATTGCCTTCGTGCGTTTCCTGTATGAGCTGCCAAGGCCTCCTAGATTACGAAAAAAAATTCACGTCGGTCTTCCAAACAACCGCTAGAGAGCAACCCGATAAAAACCGAAAAAAGTGCACTTTGTCTCGATTTTCCTTCATGTCTCATATTACCCCGTTCTACGGTACCGTGAATCGCAATAACTCTAGGATACATGTCCACGTAAGGATGACACTTTTTAACAAATCCTTAGACAATTCATTTTCCGAAGTAAGTGGGCGTCACGGATTTAGAGAAAAGACCGCTTTCAAAGTCGTTTGCCGTTGGGATACACTCTCAGACCTATGGCCTTTTTTCTCTCTAGCTTGTAAAGTTTTTTGCGCAAACGTAAAAAGGACTACATTCTCCTGAAGTATGTACAATTTTGTTCGTTTAAAAGGTAAAATTGTCTATAGGGCATATAGAAAATAAAAAGTACATTGCAAATGACAGAAAGTCAGAATTAAGGTGAGGTGTGGGTGAAAACTTGTACCAAAATTGATAAAAATGATAATTTTATTCACTAGATATTTTAATGAATAATATTCTTTTATTACCGACAGCATGTCCTAAAGGTCTGTGTTATGAACCCTTAAGTGAGCGGCTCATGCAACATGGACTGATGTATGTATGCGCCTTTTCTGGCCACCCAACACTTACGATTGATGTCGAAGAAATTTTTTTTCTACTCCCTCAACTAGCTACGCATTCAGTTTTGTTTTATACTAACCACACTTCTTGGAGTAGTTCTCTGTGGTCCATGTAACGATGTAACAAGGAGATATTTCAAATAGTTGGCCACTTTCTCAAGTCGTTTAAGTCGAAGTGGTGGTAAAAAATGGAAGGAAAAAAAACAAATATTTTCCAAATAATAAATTGTTAAGTTTGCTTTGTCCAAACAAAAAAAAATTCATATATAATTGTAGGGGAGGGGTCTAGGTAACTCAAAACAATTTTCAGATCACTCCCACAAAAAACTTTGCGTGGCTGATTTTTCCACCAAAAGCTAAATTTCAATGAAAACAGCCTACTGTGGCTAAATGGGTGGGTAGATTTGGATAAAATTTTGAGTGTAAGAGTTTCGTACCTAATACTCACACACCCTTAAGTGTCGACCACGACAGATTATTGGTGTAGAAGTTTGCATTTTCACGCACGACCTCCGGTCTTGATACCTTGTACAATGAACACAGTGCATAGCTAGGGAGAAAATAGTGCATATTACGTTCGCACAATAAACTCTTTGACAAGAGAAAAAGTCATTGCGAGACTGACAGTGTAGCTCTGAATCGACACAAAACGTTGGGATTGACTTGGATTTAATCTGACAGTAAGAAATGTTCTTTTAAGAGGCGTCGAAGAGTTATGGCATTAGAGCAGGTGCAAACCACGAGCTAGGTGCATACGAGGGGGCCACCACAATCTCCGGTAATCAACGCCGTAATCACGAAATCCTTGACAAAATTCTTCCATTTTTCTGAGGGGTGAATCACTCAGCGTTCTGGTGTTCACATGAGTGCATGAGCAGGGTGAATACACCTTCTACACTCATAAATTCCACATTTTAACCGGTTTTTTACTCGTTCTTTACACACCACTCACTAACATACAAAACTCTATGTGAAGAGAACGAGTATTGTGTTCAAAAATGAGTTTTGGGGGGACATCTTTCATCTCAGATCTCACAGCATGTGGGAAAATGAGAGTGGTATCAAATGAAAGATGGAGTGTCAGTCGCTTGATCGTAAATGAAGGTTTTTTTTTTACATGCAATGAGAAATATTGAGAAAATGAACATGAAAGAGAGACGTTTTTAGTGCACTATGTGTAACTAACCTCTTTTAACGTGTCTGTATCTTTTGATGTTGAACGCCACTGAAACGCAAAGTACAACAACAATGACACGAGATCTTTGGTCAACAAAAATCTAGGAGGGTTTTTTGCAAGTGACAATGGATAATTTTGAGAAATTTGGTAATAACGAAACATTGTTTAACCCTAACCATGATACATGTCTCAGTAATGCAAGCTGTGTCATCTTAATGAATTTCTTTTTGATGGTGTTGCACGTCTTATGTTCGAGATGAGAGATGAAATAATAAGTTTCATTTGACTGTTTTCTAAAATAAATGTGTCCTTCTGAGGGTTTTGGTCATGGAAAAAGCAGGTTTTTGGCACGGACTCACGGACTCTAGTGTAAACTCGATTATGCACGAGAATCGATATCTCGAGATATCGCGATGCATCGATGTTTCCTGCCTGAGAGGAGAACCAACCGGAAGCGTTCGTTAAAAGGCAAAATTACAAATCGTCAGAGGACAATTCATGTAACGATCAGCGACTGACACATCAATCTAGCTTTGTAAAGAACGAGTCCCTCCCATGTGATATCAATTCTTTGATGTCTTTCCTTCTTGTTTTGCTTGTTTTAGCGGTTGAGACGACACACAACGCCAAATCGTGTAAAAACTGAGCGAATTTTGCTCTTTTTAAACTTGTGAACACGCTAAATGTCTTATGTACTTTATTGTCCATAGCTATGGCCGTTTTTGAACATACAGAACATATGTACAAATTTGTACATAAATTAGGAACAATATTTCCATATTGTGCTTAAGTATGTAAAACATTGTACCTAATTTATGTACAAATTTGTACGTAACTTCGGTATGCACAAATACGGCCATAGGTATGGACATAAAGTCCGATAAAGTCCATAAGCATTTAGTGTGTACACTGAGCGTGCGGGCTAATTTGTACACATGAGTACGCTAGTGATTCATCCCTCGCATTTTTCAAAATTTTAGAGTCAATTTTCAACGTTTTTGAACCGAAATTTCACGCGTAATCCCTAGAAAATTTCCCGTAACCCCGTTATCTGTGGTACGCCCGAAATCAGAGTGGCGGCCTTCCTCGGGTGCATAAAACAAGCCAGGGGAAGGCCTACGGCCCCGCCGCTGCACACCAAATAGCTAAAAACATTTTTGAAATCAGTTAAGGGGAGGTTCTGGTGAAAATGCTATTTTCTCCTAAATAGGTCCCACTGTGAAAAGTTGTTAAAAATTTGATGTCTTACCAAGTAATTATTAAAAATTTTCAATGGGGAGGCACATTCTGTGCGCTGAACCCAGTCGCAGAGCCTTTTTCTCCTATTTAGGCTGTAACTTTAAAAATCTTCTTGCGCATATTATTTTGTCGTAAAAGGTTGGCCTTGACATTTTTCACTTCTTCGATTTATTTTGAAAAGATGCCGGCATGCAGAACTCAAAACGTTAATTACATTTTTATTCGCAAGCTTTCTAACCAAGCATTTCACTATAATTGACCAAAAATGTACAAAATAGACAAATTTTAGGGACTTTTCAGCTTAAAAAGCTTACAATTAATATTGAAAGGGATATTTTGAGCTATGCATGCCGGCATCTTTTGAAAATGAATCGAAGAAGTGAAAAATGTCAAGGTCAACCTTTTACGACAAAATAGTATGCGCAAGAAGATTTTTTAAGATACAGCCAAAATAGGCTCAAAAAGGCTCTTCGACTGGGTTCAGAGCCTGGCATGTGCCTTCAAAAGTCAAATTTTAGTCCCCTCAAAGTAAGATTTTATATTCCGAACAAATTGTGACTGTAGGATCCATTTGGAAAATAGCAAGATTTTCACCAGAACCTCCCCTTAAAGAACACCTAAAACTTCCCATGTTGGATTCATCGCTCCACTCTAACAACCAGGTCTGGTGCCAACCAACAAGTATTTAAGTGAGTAAGTGTGCCGACTCAGGAGAACTGATCTGTGGTGGTCGCGTTGTTTATCCCGTTCTGTAGCTGACTTCCGGCCTAAATTTCCTGCTAAGTACCCTATTTCAGCTTACTGGAGTTTTGGGATCGTGCATGAACACTCAGGAGCAATGAAAAGACGATAATTAGTATCTGTTTCCCGGTACACAATACATTTGTATGTACTATTATTGTCCGTAGCTATGGCCGTTGTAGTGCATAAGGAAGTATTGTACAAATTTGTACATATATTAAGGACAATATTTCTATATTGTCCGTAAGTATTTTCAAAATTGTACCTAAGTTATGAACAAATTTGTGCACATCTTCAGTATGCACAAAACCGGCCATAGTTATGAACATTAATATTCAGTGTGTACTGTCCCTCCCTCACCCTCAGCGCGCTCCGCTGGAAGTCTCTGAGGGAAGACAGTGGCGACCGAACAACGCTTCAGTAGTGCATTGAATCGCAATCAGCTGGAATTTACTCACAGATCGGTCCATTTGGGTGGGACGTGAAGCACTGATGAGTTCCGTGCTGGGCTTACGGGAGTGAAGTCTGCAGACAAGCGCCAACAAGACTCAGAGGGCTCCACTCGAACCGCCGTCCCGCGCTGTGCAACGTTGATTGCTCTGCTGGAGTCCGCTGCTCTGCATCCACCTGGGCCAGGGAGGAACATACGAGAAATCTTGATTAAAATGCTGAGTCAGGTCTATTTTGAGTTAGGACCCGTTCAGTAGTCACCCAGTGAAGAACATGAGTAATCAAAACTCGGGAACCAGATGCACACCTAGCGGCCACTGCTTATAAACTTCGGCGAGACCGACGCCTGAGACCAATCAGGGTTCAGCTTTTCACAGTTCACAGCAACGGCCGCTAGGAGGCGCGCCACTGGTTCCTGACTTTTTGATTTCGTTTGTTCTTCACCCGGCGGCGAGTTCTACCCTTACCCTTACCTGTGAGCGAAGTGCTCCATTGAGTTGAGCGTGATGTTACGCTGGCTTGGGGGCCGTTCATTGATTACGTTACGCTCAAGGGGGGGATCTGTTCGGTGTAACGCTGCGGTACGTGAAGGAACCAGGGGGCCGAGCCAGATGTTTAAGCGGTACTTCAGGGTAAAAAAGTATCTACCTGAGAAAGTTTGCGCAACGTTACGCTGTAGAGGCGGCAGGGGGTTTTGGCCCTGCGTAACGATGCGTAACATGGTGGGACTAGGGGTCAGAATGTGGTCAAAAGTGAGTAAACGTAATAGGGTACTTTCGTAGATCCTGAACCGGAAGCAAGCAGACCAGCAGACGCCAAATTGGCCGGAAACTAACCTCTCTTCGGATCTATAACTATAGCCGAGCTGTGCAAATATTGCCCGCGAAACACATACGCACCGCAAACAAGCATCAAACGACTGTTTATGTTCAAGTGTGGCCGATACGTTTGACTAACATCTCTTTCCCATGTCAAGTTTGGATCTACTTCCGCCAACATGGCGTCTGTGTGCTTCCGGTTCAGGGATCTACGAAAGTACCCTAAAGCGACGTGTTAGCCGTCGGCCGCTCCCCCGCACCTCCCCGCCCCTCCGTCGCGCTCCTGAGACCCGGAAACAGCGAGGGTGAGGGGTGAGGAGGGGCTAGGGGTGGGGGAGGGCGGCGGCTTGCCGCCTTAGCGCGTTTCCCCCACCCGATTTCCGGTGCCGGGCTCCCTCGACGGCCAGCCGTGCGTCCCGTAAGGCTCATCTGGCTCATGCAGGACCCCCGCTCTAAAGGGAGGCGCGCGACGGGGGGGCGGGGAGGGGCGGGGGAGCGGCCGACCCCTACCACCTCACTTGATCCACGAAGCGGAAGAAGGGGTTAAGTCGAGTTGATTCAGTGACCTCTTATCAGTCTTTCATGTAAACATGAGCGAAAATTTGGTCCAAAAATAAGTGTGGTGAGACACGTCCCATCCTCTTGCATCTATTTTTAGATGACATTCCCCACCTGTTCTTCCACCTGCAAAGTATAGGCCTTGCAAAAGTGCACGGATTCAACTCGACTTACCCCCTTCTTCCGCTTCCTGGATCACTTGTACCCTATTAGTGGACGACCCCCTTAGCACTCCCCCCCCCCTCAAATAAGGTAAGAAATCAATTGTGGGTCACTTTTTTAAAAAATGCATAATTAAAACATTAATTTTGAACAAGTATCCAACGTAGATTTGAGACGTTCATTTTTGACGCCCATAGAACGGGCGCAGACAAGTCGCCGAGCATGGGTCGGGGCACCAAACGTGGATCATTCGTGTGGTTCTGTGGTTTTTATCCGAGAAGGAAACGCACGTTTTCAAACGCTTGAAGTTTCCCGCGGAGCTCGGCACTTCCGCACTTCGTGTCAAACCACAAGGCGGTGCCTCCCTCCTCCCCTCTCCTCTTCCTTCACAGCCAAACAAACAAACAAGGCCTACAACCAACAACAAGTGTGCCCGGCAAGTCGCCCTAGGAGGTAAGTTTACAGCGACTGGAAGTAAACAAATAATCGAAATGACTTCAAACTTCACCAGACTGTGCCCTCCAATATTCTTCACCCGCTGTTGTCCCGAAAAAGTCGTGGTGGAAACGCGTGGGGGGATGTAAATACCTTTTTGCGCGTTTTGAGCTGGTGGCGTTGTGAGCCTCTAGCTTTCAAGTTTTCTCTATTTCGGACGTTCCGTGTTTATGAAGGCTCGACATTTGTCCATTCCCGCCCGAAGAAAGTAATATGTTAGTGTGTTTTACATTCTGTGTGCCCAAATAACCCTTAATTTTAGAAACATTCGCATTGTTTGGAGAACATAACCTAGCAAACACTGTTTTTGATTCAAATAGACACTGAATTGTTGGGTGTTTGAAACAATTTAGCACTCTTTTACTGCAAACCACACACCAGGATGGTTCCGTACGTGACTAATTGTGAGTGGAGGTCCTGCTGGAAATCTTATTTTCTTTTAATTGAGTCTGACTGTCAAGTCCATTGTTAAGTATTATTACATAGTAAGTGCTAATACATGAAGTTAAGAGAGCAATGCCTTGATCCAAAAATCTAGTCAAAGAGGAATCAAATGCCAATTATTGTTGGATCTCCAGAAAGTCTCCTCCTCTTAGTATTTCAACATAAACTATTGAACGGGGTAATCTTCACTACTGCGCTCAAACTTGACAAACTGTGGCTGGTCACTAAGACCGTGACACTAGCAGTGCTTTTAAGAAATTTTCATAACGTGATTAAAATTCTGCCATTTTTATGTTATATTCTTGTTTATGTTGGTCCGTATGTCTTGCTTTTGCCTGTGCTTGTTGTTTGAGCTAAGCAAATGAAAAATGTCCGCATTATCAGTTGACATTTATTTACTTTCTGTTAGAGACTTTTAAAAGGAACTGCTTAAATGAGTTCATAAATCCTCTTACACTGGATATGGAGTATGGTATAGGCTCTTTTGTTCTTTTGTTTCTTGTTTCACAATTACATGTTTTTCTCCTACAAATTTTCATGTTAGGGCGCAATTTGGAAAACTTAACATGGCCAGTACAACCCTCCTTGCAGAACATAAGTGCCATCCCATATTTTTGAAATATTAATCATGAACCAGAAGAAACTTTCCTCACTAAACTAATCCATTTTTGGAAGTTGGGCATTGTCTGGTAATGTGAGATCATAGTGATCTGTTTAGAATGCATTAAAGCTAAACCCCTCCATGGCTGAGATGGGTTCGGTGACTGAAATTTTGAGCGGTTACCCAATTTCAACTGGTATCATTACTTATCAACCTGACAGTCCTACATTTCCAGTATCAGGAACCAGGTGCTGGAGTTTCACAATAGTGGGTACGAAAGTTATGTGTCAGGTTGTGCAGGATGTGAACATTCACTTAAATCCTAACACTTGATCAGGAAAGCAACTAACTTCTATGAGTCACCAAAGTTGCTTCCTCGAAAATGGGTATCACTGATAAAGTTTGTTGGATGTATGATGTATTCCGTTGTAAAGATCAAAATAGTAAGTTTGAAGGAGCATACCGCCCTCCCAACACAGTTCAAGGGACTTTTATTCATTCTTTGGCCTTTATTTTTTTATTTTTCCTTGGTGATACTATTTGAATGTAGATAGTTGGTCTTCACATTTTCCATTACTTCAACTCACCCTTTGAAGATTCCGTCAACTACCCAGTAGACCCATTACAGAGCTTCTTCAGTCAAAATGTTATTATATTTTGTAAGTTTTGTTCAGCTTAGAAAAGTTTGACATTATAGCTTCAAAAAAGTGTCTTTGATTTTGTTATGAACCCATTGGATTGTGGGTGCTGAATCGTTTCAGAGTGAGTTGAAGTAGTGGAAAATATCAAGACCAACTCTTTACGTTCAAAAAGTTTGCTAAAAAAGAATTTTCAAAGGAAAGCCAATAAAGGCAAAGAGAGGTCTCAATGTGTTTAGAGAATGGTATATGCCTTTAATATTATAATTTTGATCTTAACTACAACAAACTTCATATTTTTTTAAAATAAAAATTCTACCTAATCATAGAACCTCCTGTTTACAGAAATCTCATTGTCTCCATTGTTTTTATTCAGAACGGTTTTGCTCACTTTTTTGAAACAGTTCATTTACGCTTTTTTTGTTTGTTGATACATCCAGGTCTCATCTTCCTATCTAGATACCTCATCGTCTCCATTGTTTTTATTCAGAACAGTTTTGCTCACTTTTTTGAAACAGTTCATTTACGCCTTGTTTTGTTTGTCGATACATCCAGGTCTGTCTCATCTCTGTATCTTTTTACAAAACTAAATTGTCATGCTAGAACTTTGGGTGGCACTTCGCCAATCAAATTTCAGTGTCTCAACATGCGGTTTCCTCGTTTGGCATCCCTGAGGATCACATTGGGCTCCAAGATCGAAACCATTCTTGTTTTTCTGTGCTACAACGCGCCCCATCACTGCAGCGAAGTGGGGAAAAAGTTTCATCGCTGCCAAATTGGGCAATAACTTTCTTTTCATTCTCTTTCAGTGGAAGCTCGGACCCTGTGGCAGGGAAGCCTCTCCGTCACTTGCCCGTGTTCCCCTCCGTCCACATGGCTAGGAAGCCGGTGCGGACGCTCCGCACCTGCAGCTGCCAAGCGCTCCTCAAGGGCCTGCTGGCGGCGGTGGAGTCGGCTGCGGCCCGAGACCCCGCCCCGCTGGAGCCGGACGAGGGACTGCGCGACTTGATCAGTCGGGCCCCACTGCAAGTCCGCGAGCAACTGTTCAAGCTTCTCGAGAATCGGCACCTGTCCGGGTGAGTCACCTCAAGCGCGAACTGTGGGGTTCAAGGTGGTCCAACGTCTAAGAGAGCTGGACTCGCTTTTGATGGAGGATCTTGGTGTAAAAGTGGCCAAAATTGTCACTAATAGTTTTTCCAATTTTGTAAGCTTCAAAGGTGCATGAAAGGTTTCAGATTCAGGTGTTTGAACCTTCAAGTTTACTTGTTAATTTGTAAATAAATAACGTAAAGGTCAGTCGTGTCATTAGCTTACATTTTACTATACTGCCATGTATATATTTAATCGACAAAATTCTCAGCCATATTAGAAATACTTGCGTTCCTGGTTCAGACATATATGAGTTTCCTTGCTTGGAATTTATTCATTGATAACTGTAGGTAGTTTTTAGTGACAATTTTTTCAAAATCATACTAATTCCAGTGTGGAGGCACCAAAGAGTTCAATAACGGACCAAAAATGCACTCTTGTAAATTATTAAAACATAACATATGTTACATGAAGCACAAGCTTAATTTGAAAGTTTCCTTAGTAAAATCTGTAGTAAACCTGTACATGTTTTGAATCACTCTAAACAAATGTCATGTGATTCCGTCCCATTGAAAGCCGCTGGGAAATTTTTTGGCAACGCTCTTAAAGGCACTAAAATGTGGCTTTTCTCTTAAAGAAATCAATATTTTGAGTTCAATCACATTTGGAAACTCACCATTCTTTCCTGAATAAATTACCAAAGCTTAATTTTTGGGGGGAGTTTTTGAAGCCAACTGGCAAGCTTTTTTTTGTTTACGGCACATTTGTGTCACACATCGTGCATAGTTTCAAGCTTCTCCTACTTCCTCTTAATGTTCACTGACAAAACTTAAGTGTGGTTTTACGCTTCATTTATGCCTGGAACTACATTTGAAGACTTTTATACCCTTCTTGAAGCGTACAACTGCGCTTCAAGGAAATTGCCCCCACCGAGTTTGATAGGAGGAAAGGAGCGCATGAGTTCTGGTACTCTTCAAGGGCCTTCAGGAAAGGCGAAGTGTCAATCCTTGGTTTTCAGGTTCTTTTCGTCAAAAACTATACAGAATGGGCATTGTCACTTCAAAGATACTACTTTTTACATTTTTATGTGTTAGATTGTTGAATACAAATGTTGAATGTGCAAGAATGTTTAATACGAATTCGTACTGCTGCAAGGATAGTGTTAACATAACATAGATGTGGATAATAACAACGTACCATGACTACTATTTCTCATAAACTGTACTGAATGAAAAAAAATATTATTTCCCAATAGGTTTTTCTTTATTCTTTTTAAAATTGTTGATGTTTGTCATTTCCATGCCCGCAGTCGCGTCGAGCTGCTGCTGCTGCGTCTGCTGGCGGCGCCGGGCCTGAAGGAGGTGCGCGTGCCGGAGGTGGCGGACCTGGGCGCGGAGGCGCTGGACCTGGTGGTGCCGCTGCTGCTGCGGCCGCTGGGCGCCTCGCTGCAGACCATGGACCTCCGCTGGGTGACGTTCCCGGACGGCAGCCCCCACCAGGCGGCGCTCTGCGACGCGCTCGCCCGGCAGGAGTTCGCCAAGCTGACCGTGGTGCGGCTGCAGGGCGCCACGGACGCGCTGCTGGAGGCCGTCGCCAAGGGCTGCCCCGTGCTGCAGACGTGAGTAGTGTCGCCACACTGTGTGGCAAGTCTACACTTGATCCAGGAAGCGGGAGAAGGGAACAACTCCATTTTGGCCATTTTTCAGGGGAAGTGTTAGCACGGAAAACTAAAGCTAAACTATAACAAGTTAAAGAAGTGTTAGTTAAATTTTGAGATGAACGTCAAGAGTGTCAGGTCACTGCAAAGAGAATTTCTGTGACTTATCACTCTCCGATAAAATGGAAAATAGACTCATCTTAACTTGCATTGCCTAAACGAAGCGGAATTTGGGCACAAGTCAAGTGGAACTTTGGTCAGCAGAAAGAATTGGTGTCTTTGGTGTATTTTTTGGACTGAGCTCTTTTTTCCGCTTAAGTTCTTAAAATGAAAGGGGGTTAAGTTGACTTGATTCTTTTTACAATCGATACATAAATACACAAGTTAAGCTGTGTCTTATTGTTAAAATTTTCAACAGAGTTATTTTGACTTCAATTGAGTTGTTTCCATTTTCTGCTTAATTGAGAGTGTTAAAGGGGTAGTTGAGTTATATTATTTTACCAGTTGGATTTTCTGCTTTACTGCTAGGAATTGAGTCAAAAAATTTGGTGCAATGATGCAAACCATACTAAGGCTGAAAATGCAATTTGGAGATAAGTAGAATCTTTCCCCTTTTCCGCTTCCTGGATCACTTGTGCGCGTATGCCAAAGCAAGGTCGCCTGGCAGCGTTTCTTCAAGTACGGGAAATGTCAGTTTGAAAATTCATGCCTCCTTACTGTGTATACCAAAGGCTGATGTTCCGTCCAAGGTTCACGTACCCATCTACGTGGGATCGTTGTGAAGACTGGAGAACCTGTACCGAATTTCTTCGTGTACCTTTAATTTCCCGTGCCCTTATTTTCTGTGCAATTTTCCTATCAGTTACTCTAAATTACAACGTAGTTTTGTTTTTGTGCAGACCATTTGCTCAGAATGGAGCATGCGCGTGAAACGCACTCTTTGGTGGTTTGTTACTCACAAATTAGCGCATTTTTTTAAAACACTGAGAAAACCTTCCAATCTATTTCAGGCCATACATAGCAAAGCAAGCCAAGCAGAACAAAGTATTTTGAGCACACAGAAGCTTGCAAAGAAAATACTTTGTAATGTACGAACAATTTCTACGTATAACAAAATAATTTAGTTTGTACATATGTGTGCTCAAAATACCTAATAAGGATTCAAGGGTGAACTCATGAACTATTTTGTGCAAAGCTTTTGCCCCCCCCCCCAAAAAAAAAAAAAACTACAAAGTAATCTTGTGTGAACAACGCATTGCTTTCACAGTGTGTTGAGCTTCTCACCCCGAGTCTTGCTCTGTCCCTGCAGGCTGGACCTGCACTGCGGCGACTCCGCGGTGACGCTGCGCGGTCTGCGCGCCCTGGTGGCGGGGCCGGCCGCCGCCGCGACGCTGCAGGAGGTGATGCTGGGCAGCGAGGAGGAGGGCGTCTGCCCCTCGGCCTCCAACCTCACCGTGCTGCTGCGCGGCGTGCGCCACCTGCGCAACCTCGGCGGCGCCTGCCCCTGGGTGAGTCCTAACTGACATCTCGGCTCGCATCCACACTGTGAAAATTTTGGTTGTCACTTTATGACAAATTCAAGGCTGATAATCCGTACGAGGATGTCGTGAAAACATTCAATGTTGTCCACTGGTGAAACAAAGGCATAAAAATTATGCCCTTAAAGGGCGTAAACGATTTACGTCCTTAAAGGGCATAAATCGTTAATGCCCTTGGGAAGGGCATTAAAATTTTGCTTGAAATTCCTATACCATTTACGCCCTTTCGAAGGGCATAAAACGAATTATGCCCTTGCAAGGGCGTAAAAGAGTATTTATGCCCTAAAGGGCGTAATTTTTATGCCTTTGTTTTACCCGTGTCACGCCCACTCAATATGTATAGGAGCGTCGATGAAAATGTCATCCCAAAGTAATGACATTTCCATCACGATTTTGTCATAAAGTGACATCAAATCCTCACAGTGGAACAACACGTCGAGGGGTCCTATTCAAAAGGTCTTACCTGTCCGTTTCCGAATAGAAGGTCTTATCTAGCTGTTATCGAGTAAAAAACATGGCTATGTTCAGTGAGCTGATTTTTTTTAAGGTTGATCATATGTGAGCTAAAACTGAAAAGGAATGTGGTCCATACCTTTTTGAAGAGGAAAGATGGAAATCGGTGGTGTTTGTAGAGGCACACTCCGCTTGCTCGCTTGCCTGTCTTTACAGAAATTCGCTTGCGATTGAGATAAGATTTTCTACCTGAGAACAACCACAACCCTACACGATCTTTTATCCAAAAACTGCATTGAGATCTTTAGAGTGGGACCGCTTGATGTAACAGTTAAGTTCAAAATTTCAAATGTTCAAGTTAAGAGTGCATAGTTCAAATTCTAGTCAGTAAAATTTTAAATCCAGATTCTGTTTAATGCAAGAAATTTTTTAATGTTAAATGTAGTCATTTTTTGGTCCGTCTTTTCAAACTTTATTGTGCTTTTTCACAAAAGTAGACTTGATATTAAGAAACCCCTTTTAAAAGGTTGTGCGTGATAAAACAAATTGCAAAGACGACTCATGTAGGTTTAAACCTGGAATGCAAAAAGTCTTTACGACAAAGCATTGTTGATAAAACGTAGTAGTGAAATTAAGCACAAGGGCTCTTGAAACAACTGACCTTGAGCACTCTCAAATTAGAACGAGATCGAAAGCCACAGATCTGAAACCTTCCATCCATATTTTAAGCTATCGTTGGGAAGACCATGGTATGTTGATTTTGTACATGTTTTCCCTAATGTCCCTACTTACAGAATGTTATATGTTAATACAATTGCTATTGTCGATCTCTTGTAAGCAGTATTTTAACGAAATACTTTTCTTTGTTCAGTAATTTGTTTCTTAACTTTTCATTGTTCTTGTTTCCCCTGCACACGCACCTGGCGTGTTGAACTCACAGGTCACCAAGGCACTAGTCATGCTCAACAAGTCCCTCCCGAAGCACCCGCCCCTGGCCCTCGAGAACTTCGTGTCGCAGCCCGACATCAAGGACAAGGAGGCGGCCGTGGTGGCCAAGCTGTGCCCCAACCTCAAGAAGATCCACCTGGAGAGGCCCGAGGAGAACTGCCAAGCCTTCGTCCCCGACGCATTGTGAGAAAACTGTTTTACGAATTCATTCGGCAATTTCTGTGCCAACGTTCCTTGCATTACGAAACCCAACTGTCTACAAACACTACACACTAATTTTTTTTGTAGAAATTTTGTACTAGACATCACAGTTTTTTGTGCACACGAACTTGTCGTACAAATTTGTACAAAATTTTGTACAATTTTGTGCCAAAATGGCGAAAAATGTGCAGTTTTTCTTACGAAAATTGTACGAAACTTTCGTGTGTACAAAAAACCTATGATGTCTCGTCCAAAATTGTACATAACATTTAGTGTGTACTCAGCCAATGACACAGTTACAAACGCATGTGCGTAGCCTGCAGTTGTACGGTGCAAAGCATGAAGTTGTAAGCTTGCACTTGGCTGAGTATGTGTTTTTGAGTGTGTGCGCAGTAGAAGTCAGGTTTGTAGTGTGCTTTTCGAGACTGTGGGGTTACAATCCCGAGAATCAATTTTTTTCTGAGCTTGACCAATGTTGTATTATATTTATTTTATAGTATGCCTTTGTTTTGTACTCATTTTCACATAATTTACACTTGCTCTAATACTCTTCAAATCGAAAAGTGTACATTGTGCGCTCTATACCTGGAGCATGCCTGCCAAGCATTCACGTACTAGTGCATACATGGCATGTATGCATTAGTAAATGCATGCTTGGCAGGCATGCGCTAGCTAGAGCGTACTTGCAGGCATGCTCAAGGTATAGAGCGTACAATGTACGCTTTTCGGTCTGTAGAGAGCGTCAATACCTTGCTCGAAAAGTATGTCGCGTGTACTTGTTAATACCTCTGGCTGGCTTCTCCCATTGCCGACCCCTGACCGTGCTCCCGCGATTGCTGCCTCTTCCTGCAGGGGCGCGCTGCTGCGCCTGTCGGACCTGAAGCACGTGGAGTCGCTGTGCGTGCTGTCGCTGGACATCATCGAGTCCATGTGCTGCGTGCGGCAGCTGCTGGCGGCGGGGTCGCACCTCACCGAGCTCACCCTGATGAACGTGGTGCGAGGCCCCGTGGAGCTGCCCTACCTCGCCCACTTCTGCCCGCACCTGCGCAAGCTCTGCCTGCGCGGCTTCAACCTGCGGAAGCTGGCCGAGGGCAGGGACGAGTACGGGACCCGCAAACTCAGGTATGCCTAGGCGCGTAGAAACGTCAAGAAAGTTGGGGGGTCAATGTATTGCATGTTGTCTAGCTCGCAGGGGATTGACCCGGGGCAGCTCAAAAACTGGGGGGTCAGCTGACCCTCTGACCCGGTGCCTGATACGCCACTGAATGCCAGGGCACGCGCACTTTGAAAACCTTACGAAGTATTTTGAGCTTACATGTAACAAACTATAATGCTTTGTCATACGAAGAAATAGTTCGTATATTACGAAGTGTTTTCTTTGCAGGCTTATGTATGCTCAAAACACTGCAAAGCCAGTGGTAAATTTACTTGCCTCAAATTTCGCAAGCCGTTTTGAATGCCAAAACTTGGCAAGCTTTGTTCAGAAATCCTCGTTAGCTTGCCAAATTTTGGCAAGCTGGGGAGCATTTCCGGGCCAAGCTTGCCAATTTTTGGCATCCAAAACGGCTTGCCAAATTCGTGGCAAGTAAACTCCCGAGTAAAAATAGAAGGCTGCAGATAGGCTGACGCTTGGCTGACGCATGGCTGTATGGACCGTTTTTTGGCTGTATGCATGGCTGCCGTGGCTGCGTTGCAGCCATGTCGCAGCCATAGCGATGTCCTGGACTTGCAGCCATGCACGCTGCAATGGCTGGTCTGGCTGTTTCACGGAGCGCTTTGGCTGTGGAACGCTTCAGAAGCTGCGCACAGAAGCCTTTTGGCTGCCCGAAGCAGCCTATAAACGCTGCCACGCACAGCCAACTTAGCTGCAGTGGCTGTAGGCTGCGCGTCGCAGCGTGTTGGCTGCTGGCGCCAGCCCTGCCGCGTAGACGTTACAGCCATGTAGGCTGCAATGGCTGTAGGCTGCGCGTCGCAGCGTGTTGGCTGCTGGTGCCAGCCGGGCCGCGGCTGGACTTTACAGCTATGTAGGCTGCCATGGCTGTAGGCTGCGCGTCGCAGCGTGTTGGCTTCTGGCGCCAGCCGGGCCTCGGCTGCACTTTACAGCCACGAAGGCTGCAATGGCTGTAGGCTGCGCGTCGCAGCGTGTTGGCTGGTGGCGGCAGCCAGGCCGCGGCTGGACTTCGCAGCCAGGCGGGCTGCAATGGCTGAAGGCTGCGGGTCGCAGCGTGTTGGCTGCCGGATGCAGCCGGGCTACGGCAGGACTATACAGCCATATAGGCTGCAATGGCTGTAGGCTACGGATGCAGCATGGTGGATGCTGGCGGTATTCAGGCGCACTCCTTGATTAAAGGGTTATAAAAAATAGAAAAAAATAGAATGGGTGCGTGTTATGCTGATATTTGAGTTAAATACGTTAACATACATAAGCCATGCAAGTTTCGTAAAAATCGGGACACTTTTTTGTTATCTTTGATATCTCGGGAACGGAAAGTCCTAGATGAAATTACTTAGCAGATTTGGATCTGGAACGGTGTTGGGACCCTAGAAAATCTACTAAGGGATCCATAGAACTTCAAAGGGCGTAACAGGCCCCCTCAAAGGTCGTCATGGGGACCTTCTTGTACTAAGGAGTGAAGCCTAGTAGCGATATGGGTGCTGCCGATGTCATCCACGAAGCTGCAGGATGCAGCCGAGATGTGGCTGTGACCCGCAGCTTCATAGCTGCCAGGGGCAGCGTGGCCCGGGCGAAAGAAGGCTGCCTGGAGCATCCTGAAGGCTGCGGGGTGCAGCCTACAGCAGCGCCTCACAGCCTCTAGGCTTCCGGGGGCAGCGTGGCCCGGGCGAAGGAAAGCTGCCTGGGGCATTCTGAAGGCTGCGGGGTGCAGCTTAGAGCAGCGCCTCGCAGCCTCGTGGCTGCTGGGGGCAGCGTGGTCCGCGAAGGAAGGCTGCCTGGAGCATCCCGTAGGCTGCGGGGTGCAGCCTAGAGCAGCGGGGGCAGGGCCGACTCGGCTCCAAAGGGACACTTCAATGGCTGGCAGGTGCAGCCAGAGAGGCTGCAGTGGCTGTGGATGGCTGGATTTTGGCTGACGTATGTCCGAATACAGCCAATGTCTGCAGCCATCCGAGATCCATCGGAGCGCTCTCAGGCACCCGGAGGAAGCCAGCCTGCAGCCAATCTGCAGCCTATAATTTTCTCTCGGGCTTACCACCGGCTTTGCAGTAAATACTTTGTTATACAAACTACACTCTACAAATCAAAGAGTGTACATGGTACGCTCTAACTGGAGCATGCCTGCAAGCACGCTCTAACTAGCGCATGCCTGCCAAGCATGCACTAACTAGTGCATACATGCCATGTACACGCTAACTGAAGCATACATTTACTGCATAAGGGATAGGGAGTTTTCTGCATCAGAAAGCGTGTACATGGCATGTATGCACTAGTTAGTGCATGCTTGGCAGGCATGCGCTAGCTAGAGCGTGCTTGCAGGCATGCTCCAGTTAGAGCATACTATGTACACTCTTTGATTTGCAGAGCATTTCTTTATAAGGCCCAAAATACTTTGTAAGGTTTCCTCAGTGCGCACGCCGACATGTTTCTGTGGAATTTTATACGTATAACATCCACGGTTTTGGAAGGACGTAGAATTGGCATAATTTTAATCGTTTAAATGCATACATTTCTTTGGAGACTGTACGCCCTTCTTGAAGCTTACCACTGCGCTTTATGGCAATTCCCCCCATGCTGTTGTACGCTCAAGAAGAGCTTACAGACTCTACGCTTTACAAGGAGGGGCTTACAACTGATCTTTAGGAAATTGGTACAAATCTCCCCCTCCTCTGTCAAAACCTTACATATTAGTTTAGGGCTTACCAAGAAGAGAAGTTGGCTGAAACAGGGTATTTTGATGATGCATGAGCTTTCGAAGAAAATACTTGGTAACATATTCAACATTCCCGTTAACCGTTCTTATTGGTTTGTACATCCCATATGCTTCGAATTTTTCTTAAGTGTTTTAGCGCACTCTCAGCACGTTACTGACTTTTTTGTCACTAATTTACGTATCCGTATAAGCAACAATAATGCTTAGTGTGTTCCAGGTTCGTATCATTAATTTCCTTCTTAAATTTAGGTACAGAACCAAATTGTCAGAACATTATTCAATATTTCCGAAGTAGTTCTTTGAATGTCGAAAAGTACGTATTATGGTTTCGCAAATTACTTGCATAAGTACTGACAAAATGAGCAAAAAAGTCAGTGACGTGCTGAGAGTGCGTGTTTTATCGGTGGGGTGTCCTGAAATCCAGCAGAACTTTTGACGCCCTCGTTCGTTGTGTTGACTTGCTCTGTCCAGGTGGGACGATGGTGCTGACAAGGACGATGCCCAGGGCGACATGCGAGACAAGTCCAAGAAGCGCTTCCTGTGGCCCAGCCTCCAGACCCTGGAGCTGTCGCCCCTCCTGGGCGGCGCCGTGGACAGGGAGTCGCTGCTGGAGATCGTGCGCGGCGCGCCCAACCTCAGGACGCTGGACGTGGGCACCTCGGCGTCGCAGTTGTCGGTGAGTCTGTCGCAGTGGCGGATCCAGAGGTCCCTCGGGAAGGGAGGGATTTTAAAATTCAAAGAAGTTTCATATGTGCTTGTCCTGCATTTTTTACTCGTTCTTTACACACCACTCACTAACATACAAAACTCTATGTGAAGAGAACGAGTATTGTGTTCAAAAATGAGTTTTGGGGGGACATCTTTCATCTCAGATCTCACAGCATGTGGGAAAATGATAGTGGTATCAAACGAAAGATGGAGTGTCAGTCGCTTGATCGTAAATGAAGTTTTTTTTTACTTGCAATGAGAAATATTGAGAAAATGAACATGAAAGAGAGACGTTTTTAGTGCACTATGTGAAACTAACCTCTTTTCACGTGTCTGTATCTTTTGATGTTAAACGCCACTGAAACGCTAAGTACAACAACAATGACACGAGATCTTTGGTCAACAAAAATCTAGGAGGGTTTTTTGCAAGTGACTATGGATAATTTTCAGAAATTTGGTAATAACGAAACATTGTTTGACCCTAACCATGATACATGTCTCAGAACTGCAAGCTGTGTCCTCTTAATGAATTTCTTTTTGATGGTGTTGCACGTCTTATGTTCGAGATGAGAGATGAAATAATAAGTTTCATTTGACTGTTTTCTAAAATAAATGTGTCCTTCTGAGGGTTTCGGTCATGGAAAAGGCAGGTTTTTGGCACGGACTCACGGACGCTAGTGTAAATTCGATTATGCACGAGAATCGATATCTCGAGATATCGCGATGCATCGATGTTCCCTGCCTGAGAGGAGAACCAATCGGAAGCGTTCGTTAAAAGGCAAAATTACAAATCGTCAGAGGACAATTCATGTAACGATCAGCGACTGACACATCGACCTAGCTTTGTAAAGAACGAGTCCCTCCCATGTGATATCAATTCTTTGATGTCTTTCCTTCTTGTTTAAATTTTGTGCTCTTACATAAAATGAGGCTGGATGCCGAGGAATCCTCACCCTTCCATCCAGTAAAGGGGGGGGACACAAGGGGAAAAGTGGACTGAATTGACAACAACGGTGATTTTAATGTTTTAAGCTGGAAATGTGCATAAAAGGTTTCAGGTTTAGGGGTTTCAACTTATAGAAATTGCTAATATCTTAACTATTTGGAAAGAAATAACTCAGAGGTTAGTTCTGTTACTAGCTACGTAATACGCTTTATTTTGCTGCTTTATCTGGTGTCGCAGGAAGTGTTCCGGCATTCCTGATTCAGACATGAGTCTGAGTCATCTTGGTTGGAATTTATTTTTGATGACTTGTCGAAAAATTGTATTCAGGATTTCTCAATATCATACCCTCTTTTGTTTAAAAGCTGAAAAAAGGGGGCAAATAAATTCTCTTTTTCATATTAGGAAACTTCATATGATTGCAACATAAAGCAGTAGTTGAATTTGAAAATTTATTCAATTGAATCTGTAATGTACATCTTAAGAAATACCTCAAATTAATTTCAAGTCTTTTTGTCCCATTTAAAGACGAAGGAAGATTTCTTACTAACACTCTAAAAACACTAAAAAGGGACTTTTCTCAGAAACTGTGATACATTTTGGGTTTAATTTTGTTTTGGGAACCCAGGATACTAGGTAAGTTTCAATCTTGAGGGATTTGCTTAAGCCTACTTTCACGTTTCACTGGGGTTCCCTCCTTAGAGCTCAAAGACATTGAAAAACAAATTTTGTCATTTTTGGTCATTTTTCCCCTGTGTATGCACTGGCTTGCTGTTTAGGTAAACAGCCATGAAAACTATGCCATCGCAAAGCATGCACGATTCACGCCCCTGGAACGGCGTCAATTAGTACAGGACTTTCAGGTATAAGTCCAAGGCCCTTTAACGGTGTGGAAAGACTGGTTATGTCCTTGGGCATAGTTTTTAAGCTTTTCTTATACAAGTGTTGCCATTGTCTTGCCGCTTGACTCGTTCGATTCTGCCTCGCTCAGTGGGTCATTGGATCGATGGAGGCGGCCAAAAACGTTGAAATCTCGGTTTGAGCTCTAGTCACTAAATGTGATTCAAACCGAACGCGTGACCCCACCAATCAACTCCTCTCCGAGCGGAGAATCAATTGGCGGGGCCACACGCAGTTCGAGTTCTGTTTAGCGAATCTGGAGCAAATCCCGTTGAGAGATTTGGCCGCCTGTGCTTTGCCTCACACCCCTCTCTGCCCGCAGGACGAGGACGTGCCGGCGCTGAGCCCCGCGGGCAACAAGTTGGTGTCGCTGACGCTGCGCCGCAACGCCAACATGGGGGAGCCGCTGCGCCTCACGGGGCGCGCCGTGCTCGGCCTGCTGGAGCGCTGCAGCCACCTGACGACCCTGGGCCTGCTCAACGACTGGAGCGTCTCCGAGGCGGAGCAGGCGGAGCTGCGACGCCACTGCACTGCCAACAACCTGCGCGTCTCCCTGCTCGCCTCGCGCTGCGGCTGCTCGTGCGCCAACTGCTGAAGTCCTGTGTACTTGCGGTGCGCGGACTTCTGATATCCTGTGAACTTGTCGTACGCTGTCGTCCGTGCTGACGAAGTGATGTGGTATTTGCCCCTCAAAGTGGCCTGGAAAACGTTTCTCGTCCACTGAGTTGCGCTCGGTTCCTCTCTGGGAATCGGCACTTTGACTGTTCACTGATCTTAAATTTCACGTACCATGTCCTGCGGACCCTTAAAATTACTAATTATTTTAACTACATGGGACCTGTTTGTGTACCACATTCCTGACGCAATGTAATCTATGTTTCCCTACCATCCTTTCACCTACTCGTCTGACGATGTTGATTCCTGGCTACATTGCCGTCATTAATCTCAGTGATTTCAACAATTTTGTTAAAGTGATATCAATTGGCGCGAACCGAAGTGTGGAGGATCAGTGTTCTGCTGAAGCTATGATCTGTTTTTGATGTGGTGCAGTGTTGAATGTAGCCAAAACTTAAAGCTCAGCTTCGGGGTGCCAAACTTAAAAAATAAGACTTGCATTTGAATTAAATTTTAAAATGTTCTAATTGCGTTTTTAGTGTTTTGTCCGCTTAAAACCACCTAGAAACTCATATTTCACAGCTGCTGACCCGACTTAGGTTAGACCTCAGATTAGAACTGTAGTACGTTTCTTCATCAATGTGACCAACTCGACCGTAGCCTTTCTTGCGGCCAGATTAGACCGGAGAGACAAGCAGACAACATCTTCCTTGTACTGAAGGTCATTGTAAAGTGGAAAAAGGTGACTACTTCCATCTTATTTCAGTTTCTGGTTTATGGGTGTTAACATAAGCTAGAAGGCGTTCCTTTCCAATTTTCCTCACGACATAAGCACCCTTCCTTCAGATACTGGCAATGACATATTTCTTTTGCATAGGATGGAACCGCGACCCGCATGACGTCATTGCCGACCACGGTCTTAGTCCCTCTTTCCAAGTCACCATTGTAATAGTCCATTTTAAGAGAGGTCCTCGAACTGCCAAGAGCCTAGTCACGGTCTGTTCGCTAGAATTCCTCCCACCGTGAACACAGCAAGTTTCTGCGAGACTTGTCGCGAAAAGCACGAGCCTCACGACGCCATCACTAAAAGACGGGGGGCATGGCTGCCACGCTAGTAAAATCGCCACATCAGTGGCCCACCTTCTGCAAAGCACGACGTTGAAACTTGCTGCCAGGATGGACTTCAGCATCTTGCTTTTCGCAAGCTTTTAGGGAGTTTTTTTCTTAATTGTTTTGAAGCGTCGACGTTCTTAATGTAATTAATATAACTTAAACAATACGAGTACTGTGTAGTTGAGGTAATATTTACCGTACTGTTTCAATGCAACCCTATAAAACTGACAAGTTTGCCCCCAAAGGTAGGCAACCCGTAACAGCCCCCCTTTTTTCCCTTTTAGTCGGCTCTAATTATGCTCCTGAGAAGAGGGAACACCAACCAAAACTATGAGTCGGAATCAAGAAACCCCCTTTTGTCAGCTCGGTCCTCGGTACTACGTAGATCTGACGCCGCACAGTTTAACTGGGGCTTCATTAGATGTTTTCAACCACATCGACTGGATTCCCATCGTTTTTGGTAACAAGGTGAATGAAACCGCAGGAAAGCAAATTAACCGAGGGGGCAAAAACTCGGGATTTTCGTGTACACATGATTCGGAAAACGCAATGATTGCGCATGGTTTTAATTGATTTCATGGCTGATTTTGCCTTATTTCGCGACGCACCAGGGTGATGTTGAGCGTGATTGCGTGTGATTGTGTTCGGAAAGAAATGATTTCGGACTGATTTGGCCTGGTTTCGTGTGATACTGCCTAATTTCGGTCGATTTTAGTGATTTTGGCTGATTTCGGATTGCTTGATTTCGCGTGATTCTCAATGATTCGCGTGTGATTTCGGGGGCCGTGTACACATGATTGCGCGAGTTTTTGCCCCCTCGAAATTAACCAACCACGCGCCCAACGCGCGGCTCCCTTTCCGTGCGAATATCATCGTCCCGCGCACTCCCAAGTAGTGCCTTTTCTCCCTCCCACTACGATCAGTTCAACACATGTGTGTGTCATTGCTGTCTGCCATTTTCGTCCCTCGTTCCCATGGTTCAGGTCACCGGAGCTCGTTTTAGGAAAGACCGCCAAGTGCAGTCTGAAAAGGGAGATATACTACTGCTTGAATTTCCCAGGAGCTCATAAACAAAGTCATTTCCACGAATTTTTTTACGTCAATTGATTTTGTCTCACGACACCACCACCATAAAACGACGGGCGTACCTGCCACAGTAAAGTAACGATCGTCACACCAGTGGCCCACCTTCTGCGAAGCAGGACGTTGCTATTTGCTGCCAGGATGGACTTCAGGATCTTGCTTGTCGCACTAATGTGCTTTTTGAGTGCTACGGTATAGTAATTCCAATAGCTACTCGGGTGGGAAAAGGAATTCACAAAATTTAAGTTAACTGCCGCGAAGTTTTCGGGTTTGGCCGGAGAAAATAAGAATTTTCGTCGTCTTGCATACCTTAGGACGATAAAAAGTGGTCACTTTTTCGCAATATTTTTGTATCAGTTCTCATTCACAGTGGATGGAGGCACATCCAAAATCCTGCCTTGAACTGTTTTGTATACTCGTTCAAATCTGTTGAACGGTTTAAGTGGGCAAGGTCAAATGGGGAAGGCGACTGCAGACGTTCGCCGCTAGGGGCGCCACTGGGATATACGCCACTAGCAGCCAGGCGGCAGTCGGCACGGATGCTGTTTTTGACTTATAGCTCTCACTGCAATTATCGCACATGTATGAAAACTAGCTTACTGGGAAGCTAGCAGCGTTGCCTACAATCGGCTCGCTTACACTACGGGTCTATCTTGCATGATAAAGAAGTTATGGGCGAAATTGGCAGACTCCTGGGGGCTCCCCTGGCTAAATCGTGGCGCGTATCCCGGTGCTGCCCTCTACCCTGAGCTTGCCGTGTCGCCTTCCTCATACGGGCCCTCTCGTAGACCGTGAAACGCCTCTGAATCCAAGGAGTCCGAACGCATTACCTATTGACGCGACATTCGTCGTATTTAAAATGTCCATGCGTACTGCATGTTACCACTGAATGCCAATCGAGGGGTGAATCACAAGTGTACTCATGTGTACAAATTTGGCCGGACTCAGTGTACTCACAAGTTTAAAAAGGGCGAAATGAACTAGAGTTTGGACCGATTTGGCGTTGAGTGCTGTTTAAAACGCTAAATAAAGCCTTAAAATGTGTTTAAATGTGAAATTTATAAGTAAAAGCAAGGTGTACTCACCCGTACTCATGTGTAGGGGTAGGTTGGGGAAGAAAAGTACAAAACGCGTACTTTGCACTATACAGAAGTTCCAAATGAGGATTCAACGATTCTGCTCTCGTGAACTTGTAATCCAATGTCTTCCTAATGAAATGGATCACTGTTTGTTGATTATAGTTCCCCACATTACGTACAACATGCCAAAATGTATGTGATTTCGGAACTCCTCGAAAAGGGTAAGAAAAGTACACCACCGGGAAAGAAAAGTACAACGAAAAGAATTGCGAGTTCGAACCAGGAGACCACCAATCTTGGCTCAATACAGGTTTACCCCTAAAGTGGAGAGCTTTCACTTGCCATTAGTTTAAGTTTCGTCAAAATCAGTCAATTGGTTCTGATTCTACATGGACTCATCACAGAAGGTCCACGAAGCCTTTTCTTAGAGATAAGTGGGTACAGCATTTTTGTACTTTTCTTCCCCTTTTCACGTAAATGCCTAATAACTTGTTTATTTCGGGTCTAATTTTATAACTTGTGTTGACATTTTTTGCTTGTTTCGTCTAATCAAATCTATTTCCGTGATCAATTCAATTTTCATCCCGCTTTTAGTTTCTTAGAGGGTGTTCTTTTCTTCCCCAATACCTGTACTTTTCTTCCCCAGCCGACTGTACTTTTTTTCCCTATTTCATTTTTACACTTATAAAAAATTGTGTTGAAGCCTAAGAGCATCGAACGGCACTGTTTTTCAAAGATGATGGTCTAAGTTATAAGGTGGTACCTTACATTGGACTGTCGGCTGATTCTGCAGGAAGCTGTACTTCAAAGTACAAACATTTAAAAAAAAGATTTTCAAAGTTATTTTTGATGTAATTTTCAAACGTGCAGTTTGATTCTAAATAATATATGTAGAACTGGGCTAAATTTATTTTTTGTGAGCGGGATGACCAACCTTTCTAAAACCACTAACGTGATGGTTCAGTGTAGTTTCAGTTCGGAGATATAACGGGTGTACTTTTCTTACCCGACCTTCGAGTGTACTTTTCTTACCCAACCTACCCCTACACCAGAACGCAGAGTGATTCACCCCTCGATGCCAATGCCGGCCAATGCTCTAATCCATGACCTGCAACCTGCAGTATTCCGGAAAGGCTTAGCCTCACTCCTTGCCGCCCTCCACCCCACTCGCCTGCTTCATCATTTTAATGGAGCCTGTTGCTACCTTTCAAATTTGTTTGCGAGTTTGGCGAAAGACTCATCTTTGGTGGTCGTGCGTTGCAGATGCAGTTTGCGGCAGCCGATCACGCGTGTAGCGGCGACGAACTCCACAACAATTGCATCAACCAGTGCGGCCGCCAGTTCCTTACGAGGGAACAATTCAACAACAAGTGCATGCCTGCATGCCAGAAGGCGGGCAATTGCATTGTCCTGTAGGAAATAAACGGGAATAAAGCAGGGATCCTTAACTTACCTCATAAGGGCATCATAACGTTATCATTTAAGAGTTAAAGTTATTACCCTTAACTTCTAACATCTTTTCAAAAGGGTAGGTTATTTTTTTTATAGCTCGAATTTGTGTGGATATACTTTCACTGCGAGAAAAGATCACGGTAAATCCTGTACTGATTACTCCAGACTTCACCGTACTTTTTTTAACGGGCAATGCCGTCGTTTTTTTACAGGCTATACCGTACTCTTTTTACAGGAAACGCCGTACTTTTTTTACAGGGAATCCCGTACATTTTCCCCCGGCAATCCCGTACTTTTATTACCTATCAAAAACTGCTATAATTTTGTTCAGTCGATTGACCCTCTTTTTCCAAGTTCCTGATGTACGCAACTGCTGAAGTCGGACTCCTGGACCCCTCTTCCGACCACTCGTTGGAAAGGTCTTGACGAGACCTATTGAAAGGTGCAATAAAATTTTTCAGTCGGTCGACCCCCTTTTTTCAAGATCCTGATGTGGACTTTTCTTGGAAGCGGCCTTTGATGGGACCAGATCTGGTCTTTCCTACGGCATGGACTGTACGGAAGAACGGTATCTACTGTTAAAAGACTACGGAATATTTTGTAAAACAAGTACGGTAAATACTGTAGACTGTACGGAGGATACTGGTTTTTGAAGTACGGTAAAGTTTGGCAAAAAAATTATCCAGGATTTACCGTCATTTTTTCTCAGAGTGTTTGCAAGTACTTTCATAAGTCCGTACCCTTAACCTTTCGCGAACATTGTCTTAGGTTACGTTCCCGGGTGGAAGGATCTGCAGTTGAAGTGCAGTTTGAACTCAGTGGAAAAACTGCAGTATTGGAACAGTACTATGGATTCAAAAGTAACTGCAAAAGTATTAGAGTTGAGAACTCCAATTTATGTGCATTGGTCACAGACTTTAAACTAATAATAAATTGTTCTTCTGGTCTTCAGTCTTACTACAGAGCGCCTCTGCAGAAGGATTTCAGTTTTGACTTAGTTTAAATTATAGTCACTACAATAGACATGAAGTACAGCAGTAAGTGCAGTTAATGATTAGTTCTGAGACAGTTAGACTGCATGATAGTGTCAAGATTAGAGAGTGCAGAAGAATCTGAAGAAAAACTGCAGTTTTAACTGAGTTCCCCTGCTAATGCCCCCGGCACCAGGCCTTATTATGTGGTCACGTTGGGTGGATCACCTTCTCAGGCAGGCGGCGTAGACCAGTGGATAAGGCACTTGGTCCGCAACCAAAAGGTGCGAGGTTCGATTCCCCGCAGAAAAAAATGATTTCATCATCAGACAATAAGGAAGTTGACCATAGAAGATCGAAGGGGGCAGTAGAATCAGACAGAAGTAGGAAAGTTGAACGTTCAAATTCATTTTTAACACGTACTTTTAACACTACACTTTAACTTCATTCTTTCTTTAAGTGAATTCTGTAGGTGTAACTATGATTTATAAGTACATTCACTGCAGTATGAAATTCGTCTAAACTGTAGTCAAAACTGTAGTTGGGCGAAAAAACTGGTACTTTTTCTGCAGTTTTACTACGCTTTTTGTACAAAATTCTATACTCTTTTTGTAGAAAATTACGGTTACAGAATAGTTTAAACACAGAAAAATCTCGGCTTTTCTTCCACTTTTTTTATAATTTACAGTTACTTTGAACACTAAGTTAAGTTCATTAAAACGCAAGTGAAGAAGTGCTGTTCAGACTGCAGATCCTTCCACCCGGGTTATGAGAGCAGTGTTAGTTAAATGTTAAGTTAAGTTAAGGATCCCTGGAATATAGTCTGAAAAATTAAGAATGTACGGTTTGAATTCAAAACCATTGAACCCACACACTAGAAAAACCTTGCGAAGTATTATCCGGCATTGTATTGCAAACTCTCTTACAAACTCTTTTCTTTGCATTGCGAGGTATTACTTTGCAACTTGCAAAGAAAATGCTTTGCTACGTTTATGCAAACTTTTTTCTTCACAACTTACGAACTATTTTTTTTGCAATGCGAAGAAAATAGTTCGCAAGGGAGTTCGTAATACAGTGAGTGCAGTTCTGAAAGAGTCTACGTCTCATTGGCGATCCTTCACTCCAGCGTACAATTACGCTTCATGCTATTTATTCCCCCCAATGCATAATTTAGATGAGAGGAAAGGAGCGGAGGAGCTCTTGTATGCTACAAGAAGGGCGTAATTGTACGCCTTAGTTTTTCCTGTGCACAGTAAAAACTCTACAAAGAATCGCTTCGTGTTGCGAAGAAAATGAAGGAAAAAACCGCGACAAACGCGGCGATATGTTTGACTTTTGTTGTTTAGAAACGTGAAATTTGTTGCGTACCGACCCAAATGAGTATCTCCTCCACAACCGTGCAAGCGGAATGGCAATCGAACAAACCCACCCCTTTCCATAGTCACCCACACCCCCTCGAGGGAGTTGTTTCCAAACATGTTTTGGAACTGGCTGCAAACGATCCAGTGGCCTCTCCTGTACACACTGGAAAGTTTTTATTTCGATTTCGACCACCCGCGGCCAACCCCTCGGAGGATCTACCCCTTTTCGAATTTGTAGCGTTTCAGTCTCAAAGGGGTTGAATTTGGGCGTTGAAATTCATAGGTACTTGGAAACCCATTCTAATCAAAAAACCGAGTTCCGGGAAGTTTCATCCACCGTTGCAAGGGTGGCCACCCCCTTGCACCCCTGCTCACCCAGGAGGAGCCCGCTGCGGCAACGCCTGCGGCCCAGAGAACGACACGAAGGCGGTGATGCTTTGACAGCGCGGCTTGAGGCCTTGCGCCGATGGGGTAGGCAGCCTATCACACGGGCGGCACAGGTGTGCTAATGCATACTGGGGGCGTGCGAGCGCGCCAGGTCGGCGCTTTTCACCTGGGAGTCCAGAAGCACCGTGAAGATGACTCGTGCTTGCGTGCGCGACCGCGTGCCTTTTTGCGGTGCTGCAGTTTTAAAATGAAAAATAAAGTAGTTGAAGGCACTTACACCGCAAAAATGAAGGCATGATTTTATCAAAATATTACAATGACTAAATAATTTACCCCCATGAATCCTTGGAATCTCAAACCCTGTTTCATTCGCGGTTTCATTGCAAACATTTGACGTAAAAGTATTTAAAACTGAAGTCCTGGCTGTATAGAGGCTGTCCACTTGCTGCCGGGAAATGGAAATTTCATCGTTCACGCCTCTGCACAACGGTTGTCCCCTCTGGATCAATCATGCCGCAGCGGTCTATGTTGATGGATGGCCTTCGAGCTCGGCTGCGACCGGTAAGTGAGGAAGCATCGAGCGGACGAGGCCGAAGTGCCGTTGGAATGCACAGGACGTGCGAACCGGCCGCCGAAGCCGATCGTCTGATGCTTAAGGCAAGACTGTTCATTTGAACTTCAGGGATTATCTGCTAGAGCAAAATCAACTAAGACGGACCACTTCTTCCAGCGACCCTCTCCGATTTGCCTGATTTTTTGTAGGCTTAAGGCCAGGGACAGGTGAAAAAATGAAGAAGTTTGGTGAAATTGAATGAAATGAGTTCTGGGTGGAAAATGGTCCTTTGGACCTTCCTCTTTCAGGATCTGTCGGGACTTCGACTATCCGGGACCTGGAAGTGCTTAAAATACATCTTTTCGCACACTCCTGCATTTACGACACTTTAGTAAAATTGTCCGTTTTGCCATCAAGGGGGGAGGGGGGTTCTAGCGAAAATCTTGCCATTTTTAAAATGAACCCCACTGTCATAATTTGTTGGGAATATGAAATCATACTTCAAAGAGACTAAGATTTGATTTTTGAAGGCATATGCTAGGTCTTGAACCCAGTCGAATTGTCTTTTTTGGACTGTTTTGGCTTTATTTAGCCGTATCTTGAACAATCCTCTTGCGCATACTATTTTGACGTAAAAGGCTTATCTTCACATTTTGCACTTCTTCGATTCATTTTAAAAAGATTCCAGCATGCCTAGTTCAAAATTTCCATTATATTAGTAATCACATGCTTTTTTCATCTAAGAAGTCACTAAAACTTGTCTATTTTGTACATTGTTGATCAATTTAAGTGAAATGCATGCTTTAGAAGCTTGCCAATGATAATGTAATGGACATTTTCAGTTGTGCATGCTGGGATCTTTTAAAAATGAATCGAAGAAGTGAAAAATATCCAGGTCAACCTTTTACGACAAAATAGTATGCGCAAGGAGATTTTTTTGGCTGAAAATCCATTAAAATCTGTCACCAAACTTTAAACGCCCTTTTCTCCGAAGACATTTTTTTAACATTTGAATGGTCCTGTGCGCATACAGTTTGAAGTGTCGTCAATGATATTTTTTCCACTGACTCAGTAGGTTATTGCGAGGAAACGCAAGTGACAGTTTTTGTATATTCCACCCAGAAGTATGGTTTTGGATATCGGTTTTTACAAAAAAAGGGAAAATCTTTGGTTTTTGAAAAATGTCAAAATTGAAAAGTTGGTATTTTGCTATCAGTGCCGGAAACTAAAATCTGTCACTTGCGTTAGTTCTTTGGACTTAGACGAACAAAAAAATATGTCGGTCAGGTCAATAACCCAAAATGGGAAACGCACAGGAATTTTTTAACAAACACTTAAAAAATTATAAAAAAGCCTGTATCTCAGGAACCGCTTGATATTATGGGATGGGATTTTGGGTGAAATAGTTTATCATCAAGAGTAAGATTTTGACAGAAAATAAGAAGTTTTGGACCAGCAGTTTCTGAGATCATTTTTTCACCTGTCCCTGGCCTTAATAACTAACTAAAGGAGAGTCTAAAGCCTAGGTCCGGCAAAAATTTATTGCCCGAGATATGAGTCAATTCTGGAAGTACGACTGTATACAAGACGTCAGTAGTGTAGATGCCACCAGGAGGCTGATATACTACTGACGTCCCAGTTCGGCCTGCAAGTTCAGTCAATATCATCTCGTCGGGGACACCGAAGTCTATCCTTTGTGAAAACTTGAGTCAAGGTGAAAAGAAAAAAAAGAGGTTCTTTTCAAGCTAAACGCAAGGTTCACATATATCGATTTGAATGCGCAAACGTTTAATCCTTTGAACATTTACACTCTTTTTCCGAAGGGAATGACGATTTCTCTATTCTTTCGGCCCAGATACATTTCTTTTATGGAAGGTGCGAAAGGCAGCCCACAGCAGGGCTCCTTTGGTTGTTTGCAGTTCAAGGAACATGGTTCTTGGTGAGTGCGAGCTCTAGGGATTCATTCAAGCTGTGAATTCAAAAGATTTGAACGTGGCACTTTCGCTGTGATGCGTTAAATCACCGCACCACGAGCGCGTTTAAGGGGAGGTTCTGGTGAAAATCTTGCCATTTTTCAAATGGATCCCACAGTCATAATTTGTTCAGAATGTCAAATTTTTCATTGAGGAGGCTAAAATTTGACTTTTGAAGGCACATGCCAGGCTGTAAACCCAGTCGAAGAGTCTTTTTGAGCCTATTTTGGCTGTATCTTAAAAAATCTCCTTGCGCATACTATTTTGTCGTAAAAGGTTGACCTAGACATTTTTCACTTCTTCGACTCATTTTCAAAAGATTCCGGCATGCATAGCTCAAAACTTCCATTATATTATTAATTATTAGCTTTTTAAGCTGAAAAGTCCCTAAAATTTGTCTATTTTGTACATTTTTGATCAATTTTAGTGAAATGCTTGGTTAGAAAGGTTGCGAATAAAAATGCAATTGACATTTTGAGATGGGCATGCCGGCATTTTTAAAAAATGAATCGAAGAAGTGAAAAATGTCTAAGCCAACCTTTTACGACAAAATAGTATGCGCAAGAAGATTTTTAAAGTTATAGCCTGAATGGGAGAAAAAGGCTCTGCGACTGGATTCAGGGCATAGAATGTGCCTCCCCAATGAAAAATTTTAATAAATACTTGATAAGACACCAAATTTTTAACAAATTTTAACAGTGGGACCTATTTAGGAGAAAATAGCATTTTCACCAGAACCTCCCCTTAAGGGGGGACATCACTCCAAAAACAGTACTTTTGTAAAATCGTAATAAAAACCAAACGGAAAGAGAAAAATTGTTCATATTTTAACAGATAAAGTATAAAACAACACTAAGTCAATCCGCCAGGGCAGTATAGCGCTTTCGTTGAAAACGCATTTTTCAGTGTTAGGTTAGACCATTTCGCACGGTTGCAGCACTGGACGCCAAACGGTTTGACCTAGAACAACGTAATTTGGTGACAGCCTTCCTGAGATGTCTGGCTATGCTGGGTACCTCAATCACATTTAAAAAATCATTTAAAGTTGTATTTGTTTCATGCCAAAAAAAATTGTTCAATTTTTTTGGTCAAAATTGTTTAATTTTGAACGTTAAAAAAATAATAAAAATTGACCAATGCAAATTATTTTGCTACCCACCATAGTGGCATGTCGTAGGAGCTTCCATGCTAAATCTCCCCGCTGTAGCTAAAAAACTGGGCCCTAGAGGCCTGCAACCGTTTGCAATTTCATGTTCCGAGAAAAACGCGATCAAAGTTGGGGAACCTGGGCTTTTCCCCTAAGCATGTTTGCGGCCCACAACCTCCCAAAACTGCATTTTTTAAAATTTCAGAATGCGGTTTTCGCCATTCGACGCAGAAAAGAATGGTCTATAGTATAAACTAATAAAACAAAGTTGCGATTTTTTATCATTTTGGAGTGATGTCCCCCCTTAAAACCTAACGAAGTATTTTGAGCATTCTAAACAATTTTAGTTAGTAATACGCATAAATAGTTTGTAAATTACAAAGTGGGCGACGGAGGATTATTACAAGTTGTTTACAGAACTTTCCGTTGCTTTTTACCACAGTGTTGGAGCACTGAGAATGAAAAAGTAGTCTTTATCGATACACAATTTGGGGCGAGGTATGCTTTATCAGACGAATTTGGGCAAGGAAGGCTTCCTTATCCATTGGGCGAGGAAGGGTGTATCACCTACGTGTATGCCTATTATCACCCAAATTTGGGTGCGGAAATCTTCCTCACCCGAATCTGGGCGAGGAAACCTTCACCCAAAATTTTAGTCCTGTTCAAGACTTTTTTATTCTCAGTGAGCCTACTGGCCCCTTCCCAGCAATTTCATTTCGCAGGCAGGCGGTCGACTGGAAGCTCCAAGGCCCGACCTGTGCCCTGAGGAAGACTTCCTCTTCGACTTCACGTCGCTGTTCCTTCGGGGAAGATCGGGTAACATGCAGTACCTAAGCCATCCACAAACACTATCAAAAGTTGAAAATTGTTTGTTGCAGAGTACGATGAGTTTCCTGCACGATATAACGAACAGAGCCATCTCGATATGAGCAGTTGCCAAAATTAAGGATACCTACATGTAATTCGTATGTTACAGTAAATTCGGGGGCGGAACCATAATCAAAGCTGTACTTATTTCCTGGTAATACGAATCTTTTTGACGTTTCAAAATTGTCCAAGGAGCTCCTGTGCCGTGAATTGAACCGAGCGTTCTGTGGGCCCACGGTTTACGAAACAATAGACCATCGGCCCACACAGCAAGAACGCTCGGAGTACCAAAAATCATTTTGAAACTATGCTTCGACACACAATTTCCTGAAGCACTATATTCTGCGTTCTCTGTTTAAGCCGCGTTAAAGACATGTCGACGGCACACGGACAGGCGGGATAACAGCGCATGTTAGTTATACTTCCGTATTTCCGTAGCCGCAGATCGTTAACCGGCACAAGAAACCTTGTTCGCGTTCTTTCCATGCATTCTTGCTCTATCTGCTTCATCCAAAGGGGCAGCCACTTGCGAAATCCTAGCCGATATCGTGCATAATTTTGGCCCGAAATCTTGCCAAATCTCTTCCTTTCAAGAACCTTGTGTGCGGGAAAAATTAAGTGGTTGCCCTCTCGGCTCTTCCTGTCCGTCTGCTTTTACGACTCTGGAGAATTTTCTGGTGCAGATGCTGCCGATGCGCTGGTTGTGTCTTTGCCGCAACACCGAGGCTCCAATGTGACAGCTCTTGCAGGTGCGTACGGAGACTCAATATCGTTACGGTTGTACAGTCTTCATCGGCAAAGAGTCGACGGGTCGGGACCGGATTTCAACTCTTTGCGACACGAAAACCAAACAGCACATGGTGGTAGACAAAAGCTCCGGTAGTGCCGAGGGGTTACCCACTCCGGGAATCATGTGTACACTCAGTCCGGGAATCATTCCTAAATCTTTCAAAATTTGATGGAAAATCCTCATAGTTTCAATTTAAAGTCATGGTAACCATGTGATACACACAAAAACATTCAAATACAAAGAAAATTTTCGAAAGTTCTCTCTTTTTCTCAGAGATATGTTCTGGGAATCGCGGGAATCCGGAATCGTGTGTACACTAAAGCAACGAGTGGGTAACCCCTCGGGTAGTGCTCCGAGCTCGGGAGGGCCATAAAACTATTGTGGCTCGAGCTCACCCCCGCCGCGTAAGCGGGGACCGTCGCACGAAGTCGACTCTTTGCCGATGAAGACTTATCAAAGAGTGATCGTGCCCGATGAGACGGAATTTTCCTTGGTTGCAAGCTATTTTACTATGATCAGCATGATGGTTGGAGAGCGTTGAAAAAGTGTGCACAGGATTTCACTAGCTGTCGGCGTGTCTTTCCAATGATTCCTCTTCCTTTTCGGTCTCAGGGGACTCTTCTTGCCCCGCCGTGCTGCGCCGCCTCGCCAGCGAGCGTTTGCTGCTGCTGCTAGCTGGACCGGCTGGACCGCAGCGCACGCCGCGTCCCCGCGGGCTGCATCGGCCGGTCTCGGGCTGCTTGCTAATCGGCACCCTGGACGAGGTAGGACCGAGTAAGGTACACTGTAAATGTCTTACGGTGAAAGGGTGCACCAACAAATTTTTGGTGAAGATTTTCTCCATACTACAAACGAAATTCGTCAAAACAACTCTAAGGCAAGGGTCCGTAACGTAACAAAATATGATTTTAACATTTATTAGCATTTTCGAGCATATCTCGAAAACGGTGAGGGTGAAAATTTACGAAGGCCTTAATACGGGTTATATTTGTTATCCTATGACTGGAAGCGACTAGACGCCTCCTTCTGGCCGAAAGTAATTTAATGTCATACGTTATTTGTAACTTTAACTATTTTCTTCCCGAAGAAAGCGTCTAGTCGTTTCCAATCGTAGGATAAAAACAATTACCCTTGTTCATACCTTCGCGAAGAACCTATTCACATCATTTTTAGTTTCTCTGTTTTCAAGATAAACGAAAATGCTCGAAATCATGAAAATATCATTTGTTGAGTTACGGACCCCTCCCACAAGTTACAGTAAATTCTCAAAGGGGCGTTATTATAATCTTCACCATACGACTTTAAGAGTGTACAATGCATATCCATAGGAGACCGACTTAATTTCGTATCTCCACTTAACAGTGCTATATAGCTAACAGTGCTATAGCTAACAGTGCTATAGTCCTATAGGACTCCTCGACCAAAGCCAAATGCCAAAGTTTGTTTTCTTGGTTCTCTAGGTCGAACGCGCGGCCTCTTTTCTGAGGCACCGTGCGGAGTGGGCGCCTCATCTGCGCGTGCTGGTGCACGTTCGTGCCGACACAGGAGGTAGTACTAGTTGGTGCCACGTTTCGCGTTTATGTTCATTGCAGCTCAAGAAGCTTTCAATTTTACTAACTGCATCGCAACTTACGTTGCGCTGTTGATATTTAATGACCCGTGACCCGTCTTCCTCCTGACAGATCTTGGTAAGACTTAATGAAACTCTGACTGCTTTCATGTTAAGTCAATTTCGCTTCCGTCAAATATAAGGCTCCCGTCCTGAACATCCAGAACAACGGATCTAGGACAACTCGTCCCCGCTATCTCGTCCCCGGCCCAAGTCGTCCCACGCTCATCTCGACCCCACCCAGTTGGTCCCCGGGTTAACTCGCCCCCAATTAAATCTTTTTTATTTATTTTTTAAAATTTATTTGAAGGGTGGACTCGTGGACACTACTCAAATCTGGCCTGCCAGGTTGTGGCCGATGGCTCGCAGGTAGGAGACGACGTCTTCGCCGTCCTTGTAGATTTGGTACCGCTCAACGATGCGGTTGATGCGGGCCTCGGCAGCCTCCAGAGCGCTGCGCCGCTTGGTTGGTGAGAAGCCGCCTTCGGCCCGGGTTATCTGCAGGTCTACCTCGCCGATTTCTTCCTGCAGCTGAGCTAGGAAGACGAAGAGCGAGGGGTGGTGCTTACCCACCAGGGTGCCCAGGCGGCGGTGCCAGGCCTCACAAGTGTTTGTTGTCCGCGGTAGGCCCTCTACGGTCCTGTCGTAACAGTTCCACAGAGCGGGCGGGAACATGGGTGCACCACGCTCGCGAACTCGACCCCCTCGACGGCGTGCTCGCAGACGACCCCGCAGATAATTATCCTCTACGTGCTTGAAGACCGGATCCAGGGACACCACGGCGACGTCCGCCAACTCGTCGAAGACGTCCTCGACGTCGTTGACGGGGACGAATGCGATGGCGATGAGCGCATGGAAGTCACTGCGCATCTGGTGGTTCTCCTCGAGGCGGTACCTCACGGCCAGGCCCACGGCCTGGAGCTCCCTCCATAGGACTTGGCCGAAGTGGAACAAGCATCCAGCAGGCCTGCTGCCTGCAGCAAGTGGGTGACTCGCCATCAAATCATCGCCCATTGTTTACTTTCAAATATGTATAACTTTTTTAATACCTGGAAATACTGTTCGTACGGCCTGTATGGAGGCCTGCTCGTAGTCGGTCGACACTACACTCTAAATGTAGGGTGCCCAGTAACTGGGCGCCTTTGTCGCCCGCCCCACTTTTTAGGGTGCCAAATGTCGCCCAGTTTCTGGGCACCTTTGTCGCCCAGTCTCGGGGTGGACAAATCATACAGTAACCGGCCCTCTCCCAGGGTAGAACATGTTCAGGTGTCTAGTTCCTGGGCGACTGAGGTGCCTAGATTCTGGGCACCTTTGGCACCTCAGTCGCTGCTGGTCCATGGGTGGAGGCAGGTTCCTTAATGGTTTGTCCACCTCGAGACTGGGTGACAAAGGTGCCCAGAAACTGGGCGACATTTGGCACCCTAAAAAGTGGGGCGGGCGACAAAGGCGCCCAGTTACTGGGCACCCTACATTTAGAGTGTATGGCTGGGGCCAGGGTCTTCCGCAGACGCCTCCTCACCTCCTCCTTCAGGATCTCCAACAGGTGCTCGTACGTGGCGCGTGATTTGCGCTCGAGGAGCGCAATCACGAGTGGCACCCATTTGACTCCGTTGACTTGGCCATGAATGGCGTATATTTGGCAAAAGATGTTGGGCGCCGACTTAAGAGGATGCTTTACCCGCGGCCGGGAGTGGGGATTCGGGCCCCCGGCGGGCGGCAAGGCGCGCGTTGCACCGATGCAAATGTAACGTCGCCGTGGCTTCACTTTTGATCCGATTGTCACGAAACTTGGCAGACGCGTTCGTGATGCCCTGAGGCAGGCCTCGCTCGTTTTTGCCGCGTTCCAAACCGTTCATTTGAACATTTTTTGAACATTTCCGTTCAACAGGTTTCGGCCACAGCAGCTCAGTTTGCGGGACAGTATCCCAAAATCGGAGATCAAGGTGAGATGCGCGCTGAAGTTTTAAGTGGCTTCCCGCAAACGGATCGGCAAAATGTTGAACGACCTCGCTTGAATCTTTAAAATACAAACGCCCTGCAGCGGCGTGGACGGCGTGGATCAGCCCGGCCCGGCTGGAGCGGCTCGCCACGGCCTGGTGGGGAGCCCCCTTGCACCCGAACCCCGCAGCGCAAGCCCGCCCCCACTCCTCCGCCGCCTAGGCCAGCCGGGGAAGCGGGGGCAGGGGGAGGTGACAATAGGTGCATCCGCACGTACAGTTTTGTTTCACTCGCACCCGCAGGAGAATAGACAGAGACGTGAGCGACAAGAACGCGACCCTCCGAGCCGGGCGAGGAGGCCCCGAAACCGTCCGCCGGATCGCCGGCCGCCGGACCGCAGAGATTTCAAGAAATTATGAGAACAGGGCCAAAATCAACCTTTTCACGAAAAATCGTAGTTGCGCGTTTCGAGTCTCGCTGATTATTTCTATACCTATTTCTAAAAACCCAGTTCGGGACCTAATCGCCGCTTCCTTCTTTCACTAGAGTCACTAGAGGGCACTAGAGGCTAAATTAGAATGGTCCAGAACTTACGAAATCAAGTATTCTTTTATTTTCTGCCCTGCCGACCACTATTTGAACAATGGTTGCTCAAAGTTGAAATCACTGCTCCTAATACCACTAGAATGCTTTATCTATTTGACCTAGAGGCAAGCAAGTATCACGAGACGATGCAGAAAACTATGTTTAACAACTTTTATTTAGCATCCAATTCGATAAACCGCCTGTCAGATTGGTCAAACGGTAAAATATGTATGTATGAAAATCACGATTTGGGCTGACTTTGGGCGGCCACTGCCTCAAATCTAGGCCCTCTAGTCACACTCTCTCTACAGGGCAGTGGTCTTTAGAGGCCTTGTTTGTAAATCCTAGCTCAGGAGAGCGATTTTCTTGCGTAGTTTGGACGCTGTGTTGTCGCGAAGTTGGGCGAAACGGCGACAAATGAATAGAAATTGCGATGTGGGGTGACTTTAAGCAGCCACTGCGTCTGATCCGAGGCGGTATTTCGTACCCCCTCAGTGGGCAATCGATCTTTGGACCTTCCTTTAGCACGCCTTTGTTACGGAGTGCGATTATCCGGCTTAGTTTGGAAGAAGTATTGTCTCAAAGTTGATCAAAACGGTCACAAATACCTTTGAAAAATCGTGTTTTGGGCCGACTTTAACCCTGTAACGGCCAATGTGACCATATGGTTACAACCCGTGTTTTCGTCGTCAATGGTGTCAGGGTGGGCTGATATGTGAAAAAACACGTACTTGTATTTTTACAAAAATGGCCGGTCCCGGGACGGCCAAGGTGACCATATGGTCACAGTCGATTAAAACTGCTATTGCGGGCAATGCAATTCAAGTTTTGACTTCCAAAGTGTTCCTACGGCTTCTTCTTGTTCTGTTCTATCATTCTCCCAACAAATTTTTTTTCCGACACCAGAGGTATCCCCTACAAAGCAATGCAAAGTTTTTATGGACCGCACCGGGGACTACCAACGTAACCATATGGTTACAATTCTAACTTCGTTGTTTGTTATCCGATTCTTGTATGGACGGGCATTTTGCTTTCTCAAGGACCTCAATAAGAAGAAAAACACCCTAAACAGTAGTTTTAGTCGGTGGGGAGTAGTCTGGCCGTTACAGGGTTAAGCAGCCACTGCGTTTGATCCGAGGCGGTATTTCGTACTCCCTCAACGGGCATTTGGTCTTTGGACCTTCCTTTGGCATGCCTTTGTTACGGAATGCGATTATGTGCCTTAGTTTGGGAGCAGTGTTGGATCAAAATGAGTCAAAACAGTCAAAAATGCCTTTAAAGTCGGTTTTGATCAACTTTGAGACAATACTGCTCCCAAACTAAGGCACACAATCGCATTCCGTAACAAAGGCATGCCAAAGGAAGGTCCAAAGACCAAATGCCCGTTGAGGGAGTACGAAATACCGCCTCGGATCAAACGCAGTGGCTGCTTAAAGTCGGCCCAAAACACGATTTTTCAAAGGTATTTGTGACCGTTTTGATCAACTTTGAGACAATACTTCTTCCAAACTAAGCCGGATAATCGCACTCCGTAACAAAGGCGTGCTAAAGGAAGGTCCAAAGATCGATTGCCCACTGAGGGGGTACGAAATACCGCCTCGGATCAGACGCAGTGGCTGCTTAAAGTCACCCCACATCGCAATTTCTATTCATTTGTCGCCGTTTCGCCCAACTTCGCGACAACACAGCGTCCAAACTACGCAAGAAAATCGCTCTCCTGAGCTAGGATTTACAAACAAGGCCTCTAAAGACCACTGCCCTGTAGAGAGAGTGTGACTAGAGGGCCTAGATTTGAGGCAGTGGCCGCCCAAAGTCAGCCCAAATCGTGATTTTCATACATACATATTTTACCGTTTGACCAATCTGACAGGCGGTTTATCGAATTGGATGCTAAATAAAAGTTGTTAAACATAGTTTTCTGCATCGTCTCGTGATACTTGCTTGCCTCTAGGTCAAATAGATAAAGCATTCTAGTGGTATTAGGAGCAGTGATTTCAACTTTGAGCAACCATTGTTCAAATAGTGGTCGGCAGGGCAGAAAATAAAAGAATACTTGATTTCGTAAGTTCTGGACCATTCTAATTTAGCCTCTAGTGCCCTCTAGTGACTCTAGTGAAAGAAGGAAGCGGCGATTAGGTCCCGAACTGGGTTTTTAGAAATAGGTATAGAAATAATCAGCGAGACTCGAAACGCGCAACTACGATTTTTCGTGAAAAGGTTGATTTTGGCCCTGTTCTCATAATTTCTTGAAATCTCTGCGGTCCGGCGGCCGGCGATCCGGCGGACGGTTTCGGGGCCTCCTCGCCCGGCTCGGAGGGTCGCGTTCTTGTCGCTCACGTCTCTGTCTATTCTCCTGCGGGTGCGAGTGAAACAAAACTGCACGTGCGGATGCACCTATTGTCACCTCCCCCTGCCCCCGCTTCCCCGGCTGGCCTAGGCGGCGGAGGAGTGGGGGCGGGCTTGCGCTGCGGGGTTCGGGTGCAAGGGGGCTCCCCACCAGGCCGTGGCGAGCCGCTCCAGCCGGGCCGGGCTGATCCACGCCGTCCACGCCGCTGCAGGGCGTTTGTATTTTAAAGATTCAAGCGAGGTCGTTCAACATTTTGCCGATCCGTTTGCGGGAAGCCACTTAAAACTTCAGCGCGCATCTCACCTTGATCTCCGATTTTGGGATACTGTCCCGCAAACTGAGCTGCTGTGGCCGAAACCTGTTGAACGGAAATGTTCAAAAAATGTTCAAATGAACGGTTTGGAACGCGGCAAAAACGAGCGAGGCCTGCCTCAGGGCATCACGAACGCGTCTGCCAAGTTTCGTGACAATCGGATCAAAAGTGAAGCCACGGCGACGTTACATTTGCATCGGTGCAACGCGCGCCTTGCCGCCCGCCGGGGGCCCGAATCCCCACTCCCGGCCGCGGGTAAAGCATCCTCTTAAAGGTGCCATCCATGACCCAGAACTGGGCCCGCTGCAGCATTTTCAGGTGCAAGCTGCTGCTGAACACTACCATTCTCTCCCTATCCTCGTGGTCGTAGTACAACAGCCACCTGTCACCTAACAAAGTCCCCAGTGAAAACGTCGTGTGATTTTATATCGAATCGATTGTGGTTGACGACATTAAAAATGTACCTTTCAGGGTCGATGTAAAGCGGCGAGGCACTACTTCAAGGCCCTCTAGGTCTTTGGGCTCTGCGGGCAAGTCCTTCCTCTTAACTCGTCTGACCATTTTTTTTCAAGTTGGTGAATTTCGGAAGTTTCATGGCAGTTTCATCAGAGAGCTTTTTAACTTTGGACTGGATCACGGCAGCTGTTGATGCCCGTGATGTGCCTGCAGCGGCCTTGATGCCCTGTACCGTCTCCTCGGCTTTACATTTCCCCCAGTCAGGGGCGTGCGAGTGGGCCTGCTCGTCCACTACCTTGTCACTGTCGTCCACAACCATGCGGCCCAGGCACCTGCCCCGCTGCTCGCACCGCCAGCTGTTGCCCAGTCTCACTTTTCTGGCAAAAGTGTACACTGTAAATGTCTTACGGTGAAGGGCTGCACCAACATAATATGGTGGAGATTTTCTCCATAATACCAACGAAATTCGTCAAAATCTCTATAAGGTATAGTGAATTCTCAATGGTATGTTACGAAGTCAGCTGCACCACCATAATATGGAACATTTTCACCATAATATGGAGAATCTTCACTGTAGAACATTTAGAGTGTAGAGGTAGCCCCGCAGATGGCTTTGCGGGCCCCACGCTGGGTGACGGTGTAGCGCACGCGGGTCATGGCTAGCGCGGCAGCGCGGGGCAGTGCAGCAGTCCCTCCGAGTCTCCGAGTCCACGTGTCCACCAGTCAAACAAAGTGCGGGACAACAATGCGCAAGTCGGGGCCCGCGCGGAAATTTAAAAAAAAAAAAATATCTGGGGGCGAGTTGGCACAACAGTGGGGGCGAGTCGAGTGTACGGACCGGGGCGAGTTAGACTGGGGTCGAGATATGCCTGGGACAAGTTAGCGGGGACGAGTGTTGTCCGTCACCCAGAACAACGGAACTGTTGAACACTTCTCTCACTTCGTTTTCAGAGCCGATTCATTGGAGAGACTTTTCCGTGCGTGCCTTGCTTCGCCTCTTCTGGACCAAAATGTCAGCCTTCAATGTTGCGATCTCCATAATGGATCCTGGGGAAAGTCGCGTTTCGATCTACACCATGTTCCCCTACAAGGAGAGGTGAGGAGGTTTGTCGCCAATCGGTTTGTTTCGCGCCTTTACTACACTGCAAGAAAACGTATGAAAAGTACAACAAAAGTACAAGGAAAATGTTTGGAAAAAGTACAACGAGGATTTTGGAAAGTACAACGAGGTCTGGGCTGGACTGCACTCATCATTCCGGTTCTATTGTGGTTTGTGAATCAGTTGTTGTACTTAGAAAGTACGAAAACAACCCATCCCTGGAAAATATAATTGCGAGGAATTGTTGAAGTTTTGCTGCAGTTTTGGCAGAGCGTTTTGTCTCGCTGTTTGAAGCAGAGAAGTAGTCTTGTGACAATTTTTCTTTCGATTCTCTTCTGAGAATGTTTTGCACTTTGCCTGCAGTGGAGAGCAGAAAGTGCGCTGTGGCCAGGGTTCTGGCCAGATAGTCTTAGTGGGCCAGGTGTCTGCATGGCCTTCCGTGGACCCGAAAATGGTGGCTGCTTTGGATCCGTTCCCCGACAAGGTGGGCACACTCGAATTCCTCCACGTAACAGCAAGGCTTCCTTCTGTCACTTCTCGGCGGAAAGCTCGGGAAAGCTGCATTCCATTCAGTGCTGAAGTTTTACACGAAACTGCAGAATTAAAGAAAAACAGGGAAGGTATGAGGGTGATGCTGCTCCAGGCCTAATCCTCGCTTGGCGTTAACATCTCAGAAATTACACCTTTGGCAGGTTTCTTTTACTGTAACTTTTGTCTTGAAACTGAAGCAGGCGTTGAAGGGCGTCGAATTCTGGATCCAGAATGCGGGTTCATTTGACGTGGAATTTACTACAAAATCCACCGACGGAGTGTGCTAACAAGTACACATCTGTTGGAGAGTCCTTGCTAAGCGAGAAGCTATAGAAGCGTGACGGACAAATAGGAACCAGTCGATGAGATGAGAGTATGCATTCTTATTAAGTGCACTCCAATAGAGGTGTATTTAGTACACATTAGATCGTGTAGCCTTGTGTGATCCAGGATCGCTTGTCTCTGATTTTACCTCCAGGTTCCACGGAATCTGCTTGGCTGTACAATAAGAGCAAGCTTGTCTTTAGGCTTGTCGGTGTCCTGCACTCGACGCTCATTCTCAATTGAAAATGGTATGAACACTTTCTCTTAATGTTGCAACCTTACGTGTCGCAAGAGCCTTAGGTCCGTCCAAGGCGGGGGGAGGAGCAACCCCACGCTTGCCCATTGAATTTTTAATGATATTCTAACATGTTTGAAGTGACAGATCGAAAATTTCACTTGTAACCGATACCCACCCACTATGGTGGGATGGTTGTACTTCCAGTGCATAACTGGACGCTGGAGACCTACATCATGAAGAGCGTGTTTGAGGCGGCAGCTTTACACTGGAATTTTACACCAGACATCTCAATGACTCCAGACATACCCACGGTTCGTCCAAAGTCACCTACAAATTTGAATGAAAAGACTATGCTTGTGGAGACTTTCGGCCCGAATGAATTTGCTCCCGAGCAGAGGAGATCGTAGGAAGCTTTACTCACAAACAGCTTCTTAGAGTGCTCCTTGTCAGCGAACTCTGCTCGATTGAGCACCAGAAACTTAAATTTGTAGCTGAAGCAAAACTTGCGTTGACTTGGCGCTTTGCGTGCAGGTTCCTCTGGACAACGGCTCCTACACCGGCAGGCTGGGCATGCTGGAGCGAGGTGACTGCGACGTGGCGCTGGCCCCGTACGACTTGTCGCCGAGAGGCGCCTCCTTGCTGCAGCCCAGCTACGTGGTCAACCAGGACTCGTTCAAAGTGCACGTGCGGTGCGGCGTCACCAGGGCGGGCAGGTGTGTGAGTTTTCGCGGCAGGGTGACACTCTTCACCTAGGCCCATCACGCTCTATTACGCCTCCATATGATGGGGATTTGACCGAAAGCAGCCCCAAAGAACCCCACAACACAGGTCAAATCTGTCAGCTATTATTTCACTGTAACGCAGACTTTTACGCTCTATCCGCGTGCTATTGCGGACAACGTGATCCAGACGTGGCCCGACTATACCGCGAGTGCACCCCTGACCTCTACTTTTGGGTTTTGGTCGGGCTGGCCAAGGGTTTTACTGCACGAGAACTTTGCGGCGTATACGTTTACACTCAACAACGGACTGACAATTTCACGGACGCATATTCCTCAGGAAGGGAAGCAGAAGAACGGGAAAATATCAGAACCAACTTCATAAGGCTAAAAGCTGAACAGTAACACGCCAACTCAGAACAACAATAAACCTCCCTGCCACTTATACAGAAGTACTCATCTTATAAAATTCAATGACACTCTGAAAAGCTTGCAAAGAAAAGGACTTTGCAATACAAAGTATTCTCCGGCATTGTATTACAAACTCCCTTGCTAACTATTTTCTTCGCATTGCAAAGAAATAGTTGCGAGCGAGGGGAGGCATTGGTTTGTAACGTTGCAAAGCATTCTCTTTGCTAGTTGCAAAGTATTACTTCGCAATGCAATAGTTTGTAAGAGAGTTTGCAATGCAATGCCGGAGAATACTTTCGCAAGGTTTTTTGAGTGGAGCACCTAAATTGTGAGAGTTGTCGAGAACATGCGTTGCGAATCGCCGTTGACAGTGACGCTGCCGTTTCGTTTCTGCTGCCTGGCTCCGTTGTTGCGATGCTGTTCGGCGGCCTGCTGCTCGTTCTCGCTGTGCAGTTTTGGATCATTCGAGCAGGTAACCGCGATCATGTCTCGCCGCCATGGGAGGGCAAAATACAAACCATATTGTCCATTTTCAGGGCAAGGCGACGATCGTCGTTCCGAATTTAGCAAGCTCCTCCTCGACAATCTATCAACCCTGACTGAGGTGAGACCGTAGGAGCTCAGGTCTGAAAGTGCAGTCAGCACTCTGAAAACCTTGCAATCTATTTTAGGCCTTACAAAGAAAAGCAGTTTGATATAAGAAAGTATTTTGAGCATACATAAGCTTACAAAGAAAATACTTCGTAATTTACGAACTGTTTCCACCTACACCAAAGTAAATTAGTTTATACTATGCGTGCTAAAAATACTTTGCAAGGTCTAAAACGTGAGATCGAACCTCCTTCTTGATGGAACGGAAGTCCTCCTCTGTTTCATAGTGAGCCAGAACACCCTATTATTGTTGAAACTGTCGAATCTATAGAATGCCACCATAGGAAATTCTCCTTAGATTTCAAATCTGGCCTCGTGTTAATGCCAGCCAAAGGTCCTGTTCAAAACATCTATCGCTTTTGATCGCAAAAGAAAGGGTTGGTCTAGCACAATTTGTGTGTTTGGTTTCGAAGTTTCCTTTGACGTGCGTTTAACTGAACTCTCAATCCACTCCTTTCTACGAATGGAACGCTAGCTGCAATCGCCGATTGGTTTTCAGAAAAGCACATGTGACTGACAGGTGCCGCTTCCCAAAGGACCGTCGCGGGCCGCGCTGCGCGCCTTGCTCGGCTCCTGGCTTCTCTTTGTCTTGAACTTCAACGTGGTCCTCAAGTCCCTGCTAACGGCAGACACCACCACGGTCACTACTGCATCTCGCATCACTTCGGTGAGAAAGAAAACATACCAGTCATTTCACGAAAATACGTCCTGCAGGTGCTGGTGCTTCGAGAGAGAAACTCACCAAGTTCTCGTTAATAATATCACTTCTCTCTTTCTATATCTTTCCCCGGTCTCTCTCTCTAACCCTCTCTCTCCCTCTCCCTCCCTCCCTCTCTCTCTCTCTCTCTCTCTCTCTCTCTCTCTCTCTCTCTCTCTCTCTCTCTCTCTCTCTCTCTCCCTCCCTCCCTCCAGGTAGCGGAACTGCAACACACAAAAGTCACGGCGGTCGGCTACAACAGCCGCCTACTTGTGGAGAGTGTCGCGACGATGGGCTTCGGAGGAGACAAGTCGATGTTCTGCGAGGATGACACTGTTGCATTGTGTTTGGACAGGTTACTAAAATGCTTTAGTTGTACACTACAAACCTATTAAGTACACACTTAAAAATGCATGCTTGCAAGTACACTTACAAATGAATGCTTTGGCCAAGTACACACAAATGCATGCTTACCAAGTACACACTTACAAACACCTATGCTTAGCACGGAGTTATACGGCGCCAAGCATGCGTTTGTTAGTGTGTACTTGCAAGCATGCATTTTTAAGTGTGTATTTGGCCAAGCATGCGTTTGTAAGTGTGTCCTTGCAAGCATGCATTTGCAAGTGTGTAATTAGTAGACAGGTAGGTTTGAAGTGTAGCGAAGGTTTTGATGTAGCAAGATTGAATAAACATTGCCAACATCTATTTCGAGGGGTCCTATTCAAAAGATCTTATCTGCGCGTTCCCCCCAAGACAATCTTATCTTAAACGCAGGCAAATTTCACTCAGTTTGATCATTTGATACAGCTACAAATCAATATAAATTTGTGATTATATTCACTGAAATGTAAAGATGAAAGATCAAAGAAACCAATAGTGCATGCAGAAATATATCCCGCTTACTGTCGTACCCATCCCAAATGGTCAAACTGAGTGAAATTCGCCTGCGTTTAAGATAAGATTGTCTTCGGGGGAACGCGCAGATAAGATCTTTTGAATATAGGACCCCTCGATTTGGCGGAAACTTCATTTCCTGCTCCTGCTAGCGTCCTCAAACACGTCATGCTTTCCCGTATATTGCAGATTCGAGTCGGACGAGAGCTTCGCAGTCATACGGTCAGTGATCATGCCTGCCTCAATGAAATGTTTGGGCGGCTGCCACTACGTCGTGGACGAGAGCGTGGCCATTTCGAGTACAGGTTGTATCAAGTTACGGAAATAAACGTATCAACATGAATAAATGTACAAGTGGGGCCAGGGCACAGCGGGCTCTGGCCCGAGTCTGCTCGAGACGCTCTTCGACGCGTCCTAATAGAATAATCCTACCAGGGTGGATCCAAGACAATCCTAACTGTCAGAGCAGATCCAAGACAATCCTAACTTTTCGTGTCAATTCAGTACTATCCTAACTGCATATAACTTGAAAAGTGGTGTTTTCTCTAAGTCCGTGACACAAACATATTTCATAAAATGACTCGCCGAAGGGCCTCTTACAAAGTTTCATCCTTACATAAGTACGTGGACATGGTATTAAGATACATCGAGATTCTCTGATTTGCAGTGAAGATACTTTATGAACACTAGTGTTAGCTTTTAGGTACCTCTGCAGTTAGGATAGTTCTAAATCTGCACTGACAGTAGGATTGTCTTGGATCAGCTCTGGCAGTTAGGATTGTCTTGGATCTGCTCTGACAGTTAGGGTTATTCTATTAGGACGCGTCGATTTGAGCTCCGAGTCACTTAACAAAGACTAGAATCAAACGTGTGACCCTAGGATTTATCGTTCGGAGAGCAATCCATTGGTGGGGTCATACGTTTTGGAGTCCCATTTAGCGACCCAAAACCCGTCCGGGATTTTGACCGTCTCCACCGGTCTTCTCACAGTAAAATCTCTACAAAGAATCGCTTTGTAATACGAAGAAAATGAAAGCATTGTAAAATCTACGATGAAATGCTTCGCATTATGAAGCAAAATCCTTCGTAATACGCCCCGCCCTTCGTAATACGAAGCATTTCTTCATAATACGTAGTAATTTTACAATGCCTTTATTTTCATTGAAGTTATGAAGCAAATGCTTGGTATGCTTTTAAGAGTGCTGGCCCACCGCAAGGGAGGTGGGGATCGGAGAAAGTGATGCGGACTACTTGCCTCACCAACTCCCCCTCCATCTCTGTATGAGTTGATGTGGAAATGCTGTTAATGCGAATGTGTTTAATTCCTTCCTTCACAACCAGTGTTCTACATGCGTCGCCACGACCCGCTGGGCCGCCGACTCAGCGACACTGTGCTGGCCTTGCACGCCTCGGGCATCATGAACTACTGGCACCGCCTGCACCGGCTCAGCCGCGTGCGAGCGGTGAGTGCCACAGTGGTGTGGTTAAGCTTGCTTTGGAATCCACTCGTCTTCGTACGCGTATGTCAACTAGCCACAGACTTCTTTTGATGACGGCTCCATGTTTTAAGACTGCCACTACACTGATACCGAGCGTGGAGAACTCCACACTTGAATCGGAGGTGTGGAATTTTCAGTGTAGTCTCCGCGCTTTGAAGTGCAGAGGTCGTAACTCCACACACTAAATGTTTATGCAGAATTTTGTACGTGCCACTTGCACGATTTTTTGCATGCGGGGAATTTGCATAATATTATGCGTGAAAATGCATAAATTTATGCCAATTCACGCGCAATTTTATGTACGACGGCACACAAGTTTAAAATGATGCATCACCACGTACAAAATTGTACATAAACATTTAGTGTGCACCTGCGGAGTTCTCCACGTTTGCGCGGGAATAGGGGATATCCTTGAGGTTTGCAGTCTGGGTCCTTCGCTTGCAGTAGCTGCTTACTCGAACGCTAGAGGTCTGCTGAGGCCTAACAGCGCTGATGATGATGAAGGGATAGGGACTCTGTGAGCCTCTCTCCGCAATTTTAGAGACTCTGAGGTCTCCACTTCAAAGTGTGGTGAACTCTGCATCAGGAGGTGTAGAGTTTTCCACCCATGGTTTGACATGCAGTGCCCCCACACTGAATTATTACTATGTGGTTTTTTTGTGCGCCAATGCACGAAATTAAACATGCACTTCGGAACGCACGAATTTGTGCGCGATAATGCACGATTTTGTGCGCAAGTATGCAGAAAATCGTGCATTTTCGCGCACAAATTCGTGCGTTGCGAAGTGCATGCTCAATTTCGTGCATTGGCGCGCCGAAAAACCCACATAGTAATTTAGTGTGATCCCCTGTCCGCTTGTTCCAGCCCAGCGACCCCGCAGCCCAACCGGACGGGGCAGCTCCATTGAGGCTGGCGGCCGCCGCCTGGTCGGCAGGCATCGCAGTGGCCACGGTGGCGGCGGTCTGTGAGGTAGCCTGGCGGAGGCTGCAGCAGCGACGAGGGGAGCGAGGGCGTTCCACTATCGTGGTTCTTTCCGGATCCAACTGACGGAGGACTGTCACTGTTAGTGCAGGTGGACCTCGTGGTCAGACTATGTGATGCAAAATGAAGCGCAAGATGGGGATCATTGCTCAATTTCAATTATTTTTCAGTAGACACAAAAAACTGTTTGCAGCATGAACTAAATCTTAAAAAATAATTGATGCGTGAATATTGGTCTAAAAAAGCATGAGTGAGAACTTTCAAAAATTTCAAGATGAATGTAAATGTAAAGTGGTTTAATTCTTTAGGTTAAAATGGACCACGGCAGCATTCTCCCTACTCAGGTCTCCCTAATAAGGTGGAATTTGGAGACAGTTCAAGTGGAGTATGCGTAGTCTAATATTGCTCTCGTACATGTTTGGAGTTCTCTTTACTCCAACTTGTGTTCTGATAAAAGGAGGACTTCAGCTGCGATGACTCTTTTTAACATTGGATTCATAAAAATACAAGTTGAGCTCTTCTCTGTTCTGTTGCATATTCTTTTACTTTGTTTATCTCCATTTGTCGATGAAATTTTGACCGTAACTGGAGTTAGTTGAGTATACCGTTTTTCCATGTGGAATTTTTTCCTTAACACTGGCAATTGAGTCAAATAATTCTTTTGTGATGAGGCACAAATAAATACTTACATTAGAGATAGGTCAAGTCACGTTATTCCCTTCTCCCACTTTCAGAATCATAACTACTTACTGGCCTAAACGTAATTGTGTTTTTAATTTATTTTTGTCTGTTGCGTCTTAGGAAATTAAATTTAAGTTGGTGACACCCGAATATAATGGGTGTACATGGCAGACCAAGAGGACAAATCTGTCCATCAACATTGTAACGTGCTCCATGCTGCAACAGACACACTTTGCAACTCAAATAGCCGGACTCAATACCTTCATCAAAATAAAGCATTTTTATTTATTTTTTTATTTTTTCAAAATAACATTGAAAGTAAATTAATTCCGTTTCACGCTCACTCTTCTTTCACAAACAAAGCCCTGACTGACGACATCCATGAAACTTTATTATTATTATTTTTACATACACTATTACTTATGTTACACAGGCACTTTTACTACCCTCACAGGAGGGTCTCAAGCTTTTTTCCGTCAAACGGCTACCATTCGTTGCAGCCCAATCTGACGGCGGACGGCCGCCCGGCAGTCTCTGTCGCGAAGGGTGGCGGTACTGTGCGCCCGCGGTGGGACGGCAAGGGAGCGGCGTAGAGATTTTGCGCTTATAAACTCTTTTAATGGGGGATTCCTTGAGAGAGAGTAAACGTTGACACAATGTCACTGGCAAAACTGAAGCGAGTTGTACGCTTTATTCAAGCCTAAAACCACGCTCGAAGACTAAACGCTTGAAGAAGCCTAGAGAAGAAATCATCCCATGAATATAGGCGGGAGAGGTGCGAAATAAAAAACTACGAACTCACAAGTACACTGTTTGGACTGTACTCACGAGTGCACTCTCACGAACGTGTCGTACCCAGCTATTTCCATAGGAACTTAGATGTGTAAACTCTGTAAAAAGTGATCGGAATTTTACCATACAGTGGTCTAGCAAAATTCCTACAATTCCCATACACCTAGATGTGAACTAGTTGAAACGAAACTGATAATATTTTTTGTGAAACATACAAAAATGTTGACACGCTTACTAATGCGCACAGACGTCAATTCGTTATTGAGAAAGAACTCAGTACGAGTCGAGAGTGTGGGGGCACTAGTAGTTGGCGGCGAGGGGAATGGGGCGCCGCTGTCGCATGTTGGTGCGCCCCACGTGCACGCCCGCGCTGATGGCCGTGCCCGCCTGCCGGGGCGCCGCGAGCGTGTCCTCCATCGAGGGGAGCAGCGCGTGGGTGCGCACCTCGGACACCACCTGCAGCAACAAACCAGTGAAAAGCTCCAAAAGCTCTGCCAATTTTACAGAGACACGGGCCCGATGCGACACCCTCACTTAGCTGCTCCACAAATCGATCTACCTGGGGAGCATGCGAGGGGTGAACCCCAGTGGGTACTCATGTGTACACGTGTCCTCATCCGGACTCATGTACTCATGTGTACACCACAACGCCGAGTGATTCACCCCTTGGAGCATGCCTGCACACACTAAATGTTATGTACAATTTTGTACGAGACATCACAGTTTTTTTGTGCACTTGCACGAAAAACTGCGCATATTTCCCCAATTTTGTACAAAATCGCGTACAAATCTGTACGAAAATTTCGTGTGCACAAGAAGCTGTGCGACGTCTCGTACAAAATTTGTACAAAAATATTAAGTGTGCAAGCGCGCTAAAATCATTTTAAAAGCATTGTTGTATATGAACTAAGAGCTAAATTGTGCACAAATGTGGACAAATATGTCCGTAATGAAGTTCACAAGAAAGTCCATAAAAAAACGTTAACGCTAACGCTAACGTGAAAGCAGATGATACTAATGAGAATGTTTACTTAAATGTGTGATGTTTTTATCTCCACTATTAGTAGAAAAATTTGACGATGATGAGTGACATTTTGTGAATTAATTTGAAAGAGTAAACACTCGGAACTGTTCATTTGACAAATTTCTTACGCATAATAATTCACGAAAATGTAAATATTATTTTAACTTTTGGATGTCCTAACGTGCCATTGTTTTGTGTTAAACATGTTCGCAATGTCGGTGGGACACTCATATGTCGGATACCACTTGTGTTGGGTATCATTTTCGTTGTTTCAAAGCGAGGATGCACAATTTGGTGGCTAATCACATGAATACTCCACACCCGTAAAAGTTGTTTTCGGTACTAGGGCGGGATGCCTCGCCGGACGCAGCGTGCCAGCCTCATCTCCAAGCAGGGCCGGCCGGCCGCGGCCTGCGACACCCGAACCCGAGACGCTCAAGATAAGCATGAGTGGCGTGCACTGCCGACTGCCGGCGCGCCGCTTCTCGAGAGGGGCAGGGGTTCGGGGGGGCGCTGCACTATGCGTTCTACGCACTCAAGGTTCAAGTGGGTGTGTGTGTGTTTGGACTGTTGCGGGGTGTGGCGGGGCGCGGTGGACGTGGCGTCTCGGCAGAGGAAGGGGCGCGGGGGGCTGCTGCGCGATGCGTGCTATACCAGTGTCTCGTGACGAGAGGAAGGGGAGCGGCATAGCGCGCAACGTGAGGGACGCACTTTATGAGAACTAGATAACTGGGTGTCGAGGTTCTACGCGCGCTCAACCCGAGCCCCCGCAGGCGCCCCGATTCATTGTGCGGCGCGCGGCGCGGCGCGGCGCGACGGCGCGGCACGCTGAGGGCCCTCCGCTCATATTCTTCTTGGCAGGCCAGCCAGCCGCTGCCTTGCCAGCGAGGCGCTCGACCTCTTCTAGGCTTGCTAGTCACGCAACGAGGCAACTGCTGCCTGGCTAGCCGGAAACTCGGTACTCTCTGCACGAGAGTACAAGCACGCTGATACGTGAACGTATCATCTGCTAAAAAGTCTGTAGCAAATTCAAGAAATATGTCCTTAAGCTATTGACTTTCTTTGTCCCCAAGGTCTGGAGGCAAAGTGATGCGTCCTTCCGATGGGCAAATTTGTGGACAGCTATACATTGAATTGTTTAAAAGCCATGGAAAGTTATGTGTACATTTGGTAACGCTTAAAAACGTTTCCACTTTGGTTGCAATATTGTCCCTAGAATTTGTTCATATGCATTTTTGCGTCCGATCATGAGCAAAGTGGTGCATAAGCATTCACAATAATTGTTCTGAGCCAGTTGAACATCTGCATTGTTCCTGATTCTGTGAACAAATAAATGTCCATTGATAGTGTGCATGAAAGCTGAGCCTACCTCCGTGACTGTGGGCGACTCGAGGTGGTAGGGCTGCTTGCTGATAAGGGTGACGGCCACCTTGGGGTCGAGGGGGCCTCGGCGCGCGGGCTGGTAGTCGACGAGGCCCTGGACGCGCCGGTGCACGCAGTCCAGGGCCGCCTCCAGCACGGCGTCGTCGCGGCCCAGCGCCTCCCGGACCTGCGCCGGCCAGGAGGACGCGCGGCAAACGCGTTCCTCGGCCTGCAAACACACCCAGCACGTGGAGGGGGTGGTAAGGGAGAGTGGGGCGATTCGTAACAAATCCGTTTATTAGTTTAAGTGGAGGGAGCAGAGGAAAATCTGAGTATGGACCCTCTCTTTCGTTTTAAGTAGAGGGTCTTTGAACAATCGAAGCGGATGTGATCGGTGCTCAGGTATAAGTTTGGAGGGAGTCTGAAATATAGGGTACACCGAAAACAGCTAGGCAAATCTTAGATTTTGAGTTCCAGGAAGTTTCTGTCTGAGGCTCCCCAGCTATGAATCACCATCAAAGTACCGTTGGGGCCTTGAAGCGAGCGTGACCCCTTTATAATGTAACTTGCACGATTTTGAGCATACGTGGAATTTGCATGCGTAAAAATGCACAAATTTAAGCAAATGCGAGCACAAATTTATGCAAAACGTCACATTAGTTTAAAATTATGCATCACCGCGAACAGAATTCAAATTGTAAAACATTTAGCGTGACGCCTGCCCACCTTGCGGTCCAGCTTGAGGAGGTACTTGAGCAGGGCGGTGGCCAGCCCGCCCGGCTGGCTCTGCAGGGGCCTGACGGCGGCCTGCATGGCGTTGGTCGAGGCGTCCAGCAGGAAGGCGGTCACGTGGCAGCCGCGGCGCTGCGCCAACACTCGCGCCACCTCCAGGGCGACGCAGCCGCCCCAGCCGCGGCCCGCCACGGTGTAGGGGCCGCTGGGCTGCGCGCGCTCCACGGCCTCGGCCACGGCGGCCGCCGCCTCCTCCACGGTCGACGCGCCGCGCGGCGGAGACACCACCACGGCCGAGGCGTACATGTAGCGCGCCACGGAGCTCAGCTCCCTGGCCGGCGAGTCGCCCAAGCCGGCCACCAAGAACACGGGCGGCACCTGACGAGGACGAGGCGTGCAGAACCATGTGGTTAGGTTAGGTTGTTGCTTGTATGTTCAAAATACTTCGTAAGGTTTTAAGCGTGTAAGGTTTGAAGCGTGTTGATCGTGAAATCAGATTCACTTTCCGTGTAGACTTGCTACGGATTCCGCCATTCCAATTAACACAGCGCGCGAACCTCCTTGTTCCGGCGGTCCTTGGAGCCGCCGCCGATGAGGGACGGCAGCACGCGCGTGGCCACGCCGTCCTGCAGGGCCTGGCCCAGCCTGCGCAGCGCCTCCACCGAGTCGGGCAGCAAGTCCGACAGCGCGCCGCCGCCGAGGCCGCCGTCATTCCTGCCGGGGCTGCCGGCGTGGTGGGCACCGTCCGCCGCCGCCATCTGCATCGCCTCCACCGTGTGCACGCCGGAGTCGCTCGCGCAGCGCAGGGCCTGCAGGAAGCCAAGGCGGCCGTCAAAAACGGACCCCGCGAATGCACTGCCGAATGTGTGCTTAGGACTGTATACTCAAGACGATTGGTACAGAGAGACAGTTTTGGGGTAAATAGAAACAATTCTGGGGTAAGAAAAAACAATTTCGGGGTAAATAGAAGCAATCTTGGGGTAAAAAGAGACAATTTTGGGGTAAATTGAGGCAATTTTGGGGTAAATTGAGGCAATTTTGGGGTAAATTGAGACAGTTTTAAAGAAACTTGAGGCTTACTCCAAACCCCCAGACTATAATTCGGTAGTTTAAGATCATGTGTCTTAAATCACTCAGGCAAAAACTAAACTGACGCGTAGTGTTCAGGCGTTATCAATTTACGCTTGAAATCAAGCGTAACAGGCTCACCCGCCAAGATTCCCCCTATCTAAATGCATAGGGGAGTTCCAGGTGTATGCTTCCTTTCAAGCGTAACGTCTTCAAGCGTAACTTTATGCTTGACTCCAGCAAAGAGTTACGCTTTAGATTTACCAGTGAAACTATCTCAAAATACCCCAGTTTACGGTACTTCGCTGTGGGGGAGTATAATTGAAAGCACGCTCCTATAGAATTCTGAAACAACCAGGAATTTCAGAACCACTTACTGTTAGTTAACTTCTGCCTAATCTTGTCTGAAATTTCTTGACGGCAGGAAAAAGATAGCTTTATTCCCCTGCAAGAAGGCAACATTTTCAATGTCTCTTTCTGAGCCTGTCTCTGAGAGCGCTCTTTCCAAGTACAGTCCCTCAGTCCCTCTAGAGCACACATCACTGTAAAAAAATTCCATACTTTTGTACGGAAAATGTGCAGACGAAAATGGTACGGAAGTACGGAAAATTCCACACCTCTGCATTTCAAATGTGGAGTTGTCCACGTTTGGTTTTACAGTGCGCGGACGCTCGCTCACCTCGGCCAGCGGCACGGTGCGCACGTCCGTGGGGAGGTCCCCGATGACGGCGAGCACGCCGGGCAGGCCGTCGTCCTTGCGACGCCGCACCACGTCCAGGAGCGCGCCCAGGTCCTGCTTGCCCTCCGCCAGCGCCACCAGCGTGCAGCGCGGCGCGCGCGTCGCCGCGTCCAGCGCACGCACGCGCTCGGCGGGCTGCTCCAGAGTCACCACCAGCCCCAGGGGCGACTGCCGGCCGGCCGCCTGCGGGGAGGAGGGAAGGAAGAGCAAAATCAAATGCACTGAAAATAGAAAGGTCAGACTTTTGACCCCTATAAGGGTCTTACTGAAATGTACGACCTAAAAAGGGTCATACTGAAATGTAAGGCCGAAAAAGGGTCATACTTCGATGTATGACCGAAAAATGGTCATACTTTATAGTAGGATGATATATCCCCAAGCTAAACAATAGACGGTCTCGCTGATGTCTGACCTTCTTTTTGGTCATACATTTAAGTATGACCCTTTTTCGGTGATACATTTGTGCATGACCGTTTTTCGGTCATTCTTTTCGTATCACCGAAAATCGGTCATATGTCTCACGCTTCGAATTTCAGTGTGGGGTGCTTTGTAGGGTATTTTGGGGGGGTTTACACTGTAGATATTACACGATGGTAAAATCCATGGTCACATTCTTGTTTCATGGCCAATTTTACACGAAGTGACCAAATTTAGCCATCTACCATGAAAAGGGTAAAATCAGGCCAAAATACCCGAATTCGTGATTGCTCAAGTTAAGCTTAAATAAGCCATATCTCGGCCTATAACTTTTTTTTTTGGAACTAATATTTCGGGTTTAGGCTGTCCTTTAGTTAGTTTCGCCCTTTCGCTCTGAAATCGTTTTCATTCTTTACGAGGGAAAACAGCTTGAATTTTGGCGAACTTTTCCCGTGAAATAACGTGAACTAACGATGAAATAACATCGGAATGACGTCGTGAAAACTTGAACGTGAAATGGTAACCTGTCCCGATACCCGGGAGGCGCAGGGGACAGCTTACCAGGGGCCGGGCAGGGGGGCCGGCCGACCCGGGACCGGGCGAGGGGGTTAACACTCGTGTAATACCCTGTACACAAAAAACGGTGTATTACGCGTAATACACGTAATTGTAATACCATTTTTGGGCCAAATGTGCCAAATTTTGGCATTTTAGTGCCAATACACGTGTAATGTCCCCGTAATACCCTGTAATACCGCATAATACCGAGTACTCTGTACACGATTTCTTCGAGTGTTTACCCCCTCAGGACCGGGGATAGCCGGTAATGTCTCGGCGGCCGGTGGTGGTGGTGGGGATGTCTCTGGGACAGCTAACCAGTGGCCAAACCGGGACAGCTGACCAGAGGTGACTGTACAAAATTTTTCACTGTTGTTTGCTCCTTGCCTTGTAATCATTCTGGTGCCTACCTCGACGAGCTGCTGTGGGCCGGCAGGCTGCAGCGCGCGCACCGTGGCGCCGTAGTGCGCGGCGAGCTGGGCCGAGCGACGCGCCAGCCACGCGCTGGCCGCGCCGACCGCCGTGCTGGGGGCCAGGCTGACGTCCCTGGCGCCGATGGACAGCAGCCACTCAGCCAGGGACACGGCCTTGGCGGCCGGGGCCACCACCAGGCAGCCGCGGCTCGCGTCCAACGGCGGGGCGCTGCGGCCGTCCGAGGTCACGGACAGCACCACCTTGCCCGCGCCCTCCGCCACGCGCCTGCGCACACGTCCACAGTGAGACTGCTGGTGCAGTTAGACGACAGCGAGGCTGCTGGAAGTCAGTGAGACCGCTGCTGCAGCTAGACGACTGTGAGACTGCTGCTGCAGGCTGCATTTAGACGACAGTGAGACTGCTGCTGCAGGTTGCTGCGGTTAGACGACAGTGAGACTGCTGCTGCAGCTTGCTGCAGTTAGACGACAGTGAGACTGCGACTGCAGGCTGCAGTTAGACGTCAGTGAGACCGCTGCTGCAGCTAGACGACAGTGAGACTGCTGCTGCAGGCAGCATTTAGACGACAGTGAGACTGCTGCTGCAGGTTGATGCAGTTAGACGACTGTGAGACTGCTGCTGCAGGTTGCTTCAGTTAGACGACAGTGAGACTGCGGCTGCAGGCTGCAGTTAGACGTCAGTGAGACCGCTGCTGCAGTTAGACGACTGTGAGACTGCTGCTGCAGGTTGCTTCAGTTAGACGACAGTGAGACTGCGGCTGCAGGCTGCAGTTAGACGACAGTGAGACTGCGGCTGCAGGCTGCAGTTAGACGTTAGTGAGACCGCTGCTGCAGCTAGACGACAGTGAGACTGCTGCTGCAGGCTGCATTTAGACGACAGTGAGACTGCTGCTGCAGGTTGCTGCAGTTAGACGACAGTGAGACTGCTGCTGCAGGCCAAGCTGCAGGCTGCAATCTGTCCCGTGAAGCGGATGAAGGAGCTACTCGGTCTGGAGAAACAAAAACCTGTTGGCAGGGAAAAACTGAAACGCAACAACTCAATGATGCAAACAGATATTCGTCAAAAACCCATAAGCACGAACCAATTGTGAAAAAATTCAAAAGTTTCAGATCACCTTGTGGAGAGTTTTTGAGACAAAATTCAAATTACAACGAATATGACGTCAAGTTCGTTGAAGAACACTGGACAGCAACACAGGAAAGCACTTGGATACGTGCCTCTGCGACCCGGCCAGCGTGTGCAGGGGAGCCGCGTGGAAGGGCAGGGGCCGCACGGTGCCGTCCTCGATGGCGGCGCGCACCACTTCCTGCACGCGTCTCTTGGTGTCCTGGCGCGCCTTGAGCGGCCAGTCCCAAGCCAAGGAGTACGCCGAAACGTTGAGGAGGAAGTTGGACAGACCTGCACGACATACAACAGAATGGTGCGCGACGAAGTATTTTTATTGCGAACTTACAGTATGCTACAGATACTTGGTTATCACAAGCTACTTTTGTCTGTAAAGCCCAAAATAGTTAGTCAGGTCAGAGTGCGTCTCTACATTTCTGAGCGAGAAACCCTCGGATCTATTTCCCTTTTGATTTCTGATATTCGAGAAGGCTTACAGCACTTTCATTCCAGGAACGTAACATCACGTAGGAACGAGTGTGACAAAATGTCACGTTCCTTTAAGCATTGTCTCACATTCGTCTAAATGTGCGTAAGCTTATTTATGGCCGATTCACAGCCAAACGAATGTGACAAATGCTCAAAGGAACGTGACATTTTGTCAAATTAGTTTCAACGTGATGTCACGTTCCTGGAGTGAGAATGAGACCACGATGAACTCGATGCGTCCTAATAGAATAATCCTAACTATCAGAGCAGATCCAAGACAATCCTAACTGCCAGAGCAAAGACAATCTCAACTGTCAGTGCAGATTTAGAAGCATCATAACTGCAGAGGTACCTAATCTAATAGTGTTCATGAATTGACATTATCAGTCAAGATTGTCTTGGATCTACTCTGGCGGTAAAGATGATTTTATTAGGACGCGTCGAACTCTGCCATTTTCCTTGACCGTGTGCTCACCCACGCTGCTGCCAACATCCGTGAGGCCGGCACCCACGTGTACCAGGCGGCTGAACTTGTTCATGATGCCGAAGACGCTCTTGAAGGCCTCGCCGCCGCCCTGCGTCAGCGCCACGTCCACGCAGCCCCTGGCGCCGAAGCGGCTGGCCAGCGCGGCCGGGAAGTCCCTGGCGGTGCCGACGACCGTGTCCAGCGCGGCGTGGGGGAACTGGGCGCGCAGGGCGGCCTCCTCCTGGCGGTCCTTGACCGTGGCCACCACGCGGCACTGCGCGCGCAGCAGCAGCGCGATGGCGGCGTGGCCCAGCGCGGAGGCGCCGTCCACCACCAGGGCGCGCTCCCCGCGCCGGACGAACAGCTGTCAACGGACACGGCGTGAGAATCCCAGTAAATCCAAAACTCAGTTTCTGGGGCGTTTTCTTTCACCCAGAATCTAGGAAGACATGAATCTGTTTTTAAGTGTCACAGCCCCCGAGGCGCGTGAAACAAGCCTCTGGAAACACCATGACAGTTTTCGAACCGTCATCCCACCAGAAACTGGGATGTCATGATGTCCACCTGCTCAATTTGGTGGTAATGGTGCGCGACCTCTGTTAGAAAAGCTACCGGAATCTTTCACTATCGACTTGGGGTTTAAGCGTCTTTTTTTGCCCTAGAAACTGGGTCTTGGTTTCACTGTGAACTTCTTAACGCGTCAAGAAGTTTGACAGATTTACCAAGACCATGATAAATGTGTCTTAAGGGGGCTCATACATGTTAAAAGCACTTTAAAAAAAAAAAAAAATTTTGATGTAGACGGATTAAGATTTTACAATTTCTGTGTTAAAATCCTTTTAGATAATTGAGTAAGCTTCATTTTGGCTTAAGGAAAAGTGACTTTGGACATTTTTTGGAGATTTAGTCGAAACGTTTAAAATTTTGCTTCTCGTAAGATTTTGTTCGCATACTTGCTCAGATCTGTGGGGAAAAAATCAGGGAGACTCATTATCAGTAGTGTCATAGAATTGACTAGAATGGGCTTTATATCTGCAATAGTTTTCAAGAAAAAAAAATAAAAACAATTTTTTGTTGAAAAATTTGTTTAAAAAATTGTTAAAAAAATTGTTTTTATTTTTTTTTGAAAAATATTGCAGATATAAAGCCCATTCTAGTCAATTCTATGACACTACTGGGGATGAGTCTCCCTGATTTTTTCCCCACAGATCTGAGCAAGTATGCGAACAAAATCTTACGAGAAGCAAAATTTTAAACGTTTCGACTAAATCTCCAAAAAATGTCCAAAGTCACTTTTCCTTAAGCCAAAATGAAGCTTACTCAATTATCTAAAAGGATTTTAACACAGAAATTGTAAAATCTTAATCCATCTACATCAAATTTTTTTTTAAAGAAGTGCTTTTAACACGTATGAGCCCCCTTAAGGCGGTACAGTGGTGAAAGGTGGTAAATTTACCGCCCTTAAAAAGGGTGCCCTTGGAAAGGCGGTAAAAAATGGATCCCGCCCGTAGAGGGCGGTAATTTTTTTTACCGCCTTCGTTACCATGCGCCTTTTAGGTTAGGTGAGGCCCTGGCGTCACTTTTCAAGATTTTTCTTAACAGTGTACACTTACACTCAATTAGTGTATAATTTTGGTCAAAGGCTGACCCCTGCAGAAGCAGCAGCCCGAGCCACCCCAGCCCACTGCAGGAAATAACCACAACAAAAGTACACAAATTTCTGGCAAATTTTTTATCAGGAATTTAGTGTACATTTGTTAGTGTACAACAATTGTTGTACAAAGTACAATGGAACCGGCATGAGGAGTGCTGTGCAGTCCAGGGCTCGTTGTGGTTAGTACAAATCTCGTTGTACTTTCTACAATCCCTGTTGTACTTTTATTGTACACTTTGTGTTGTACTTTTGTTGTACTATCCACACTTTTTCTAGCAGTGCCCCGCACCAACCTGCTGGTGCAGCGCGTGCGCGGCCGTGGCGTAGGCGAGCGGCACGGTGGCGGCGGCCTCGTCGGCCCAGCCGGGCGGCACGGCCCACTCCAGCACGGCGTCGGGCTGCAGCGGCCCCGCGCTCGACGCGCACACGCCCATCACGCGCACGCCGGCCGCGCGCACGCCCGCGTAGTCCAGCAGCCCCACGGCCGTGCGCCCGTCCTCGGCCGCGTCACTGTAAGGGTTGACGCCCAGGCACCGGACCTGCAGCAAGGAGAAATAACTTTGAGTTCCAGTGTACGAATTTCTGAAATCCACACAAATTTTGGATGAATTTCAATGAAGTGCAGCCAAATTTCATTGAATATCAGTAGAAATTCACTGATTTTTGAAGAACTTCTATGAGTTTCGCTAAAGTTTCATGAACTTTGAAGAAATTTGACTAAAATCCGAGATTGTCCATGAATTTTAGTGCGCAATTTCTATTGGAGTTGTTTTCCCTTGACCTGCAGGCTGTCCATGTGCAGTTGCCGGGTGCGCTGCAGGCGCGGCCCGTCCTCGCCGCCGCCGCTCAGGTTGGCCAGATGCACGCGCGGCAGCCAGCCCCAGCGGCCGCCCTGCAGGATGTTGACGCGCAGCCCCAGGCGCAGCTGCGCCGCGTACATGGGCGTGTCCAGGGCGAAGGGGGGCGCGCCGGCGTCCTGTGTGCGAGTCAAGGGTTTTAGTTTCACAGCAGACAGAAAAAGAGTCCGCACTGAGAAAACCTTACAAACTATTTTGGGCCTTACAAAGAAAAGTAGTTTGAATAACAAAGTATTTTGAGCATTACGTAAGCTTACAAAGAAAATACTTCGTAATTTACGAACTATTTCTTCGTATAACAGGGTATTTTAGTTTGTTATATGTATGCTCAAAATACTTCGTAAGGTCTTAAGGGTGCGGATTTCCCTGGAAGCCCACCCTGGAAAAAAGAACTGTTTAGCCAGGGTGCGCCTGGGAAACCCGGACACTGTTAAGGGAGGGTGGGGTACAATGGGACGCTTTTTTTGTTTTTGGCCTAGATCCGAGACCGTTGGAGCTAGAATGTCTCCCGACAGCTCAAAATGTTCTTCGTTTATTTATCTATAACTTTTATTTCAACAAAAAATTGATTCTACGGCATTTTTGGTCTGTGGAGACATTTTGCCAAAGAGCGTCACCTGTCTCATTGTGCCCCGGGCTGGGGCACAATGGGACAGCTTCGGGGCACATTGGGACACACCCTTATATAAGCTAAAAATAAAGCGAAGGAGCATTAAAAAAATTGTGGGCAATAGGTTTTGATCTATTTTCGTCACGAACTATTTTAAAAAAGAACTAACGTTACTGGTTGCCTTTAAAAAAAAAATACCGGAGTAAGATGTGTAACAAATAAATAATGTGCAGTGTTAAATACAATAAAAAGCACAAAAGAAATGTGTGATGCCAAAATTCTTATGAATAACATAATTAACGTATGGTTTGGCTTCATTTATACGTAAACTACAACCAAAACTTGAAAGCCCTTTGATTAACACGTCCCATTGTGCCCCAAACGAGGGTGTCCCATTGTGCCCCGAACGACACGCTGGACTGGACACGCTCTAGCTCTTTAACCCCATAAGCCAGAGCGCCCAGACAAGTCTCGCTGAACCTCAAAAGACCAACGAACGCACTGGTGAACTCGCCACGAACGTGTGACAAATACTTTAAATGCTAGAGGAAAAACAAAATTCTCCGGTCTTGCTAGTTTTGCCTAGTTTTTCTTACATTCGCACTTTGCGTCGACCTGCCGAGAGAACGCTCAGTCGAATAGAGTTCCCGCCTTGTGAAACTAACATGGCAACTGCTGGCCTATAATCGAGCGTAACCCGCAGATCCTACGAACACCGCAAGGTGGCTAATTTGACAGTGTCCCATTGTGCCCCGTGTCCCATTGTACCCCACCCTCCCTTACTTGCCGTGTTCGAATCGAATCCGAGGGGTGCCTCACTTCGTTTGCCCCTAGCTCCCGCGCTAACTCCACTCTCCAAATTTGGCATGCCCTCGAACCTCGAACTGGGCGCTTCTGTCGCCTTGCTCTGTTCTACATTGTAGGGCGCCAAATGGTTGCATTTGGCGTATAATTTGATTCCGTTCAAATCCATCCTGATTCCATTAGAATCTGTCCTGACTCGATTCGAACCCAACCTAATTCGGTTCGAATCCAACCTAATTCGGATCGAATCCAACCTAATAAGGTTTGAACCCATCCTGATTCGATTCGAGATCATCCTGATTCGATTCGAATCCAACCTGATTCGTTTCGAACCCGTCCTGATTCGTTTTGAACCCATCCTGATTCGATTCGAACCCATCGCTGATTCGATTCGAATCCATCCTGATTCAATTCGAATCCATCCTGATTCGATTCCATAATCCACCCTGATTCAATTCGAATCCATCCTGATTCGATTCGAATCCATCCTGATTCGATCCAAACCCATCCTGATTCGACGCTCCTTCCCCACCTGCAGGAACACGCAGTGCGCGCGGTGGCCGCCAGGGGCCGCTGCCAGCGTGCTGAGGACGTCGGGCACGGCCAGCATGGGCACGCCGCGGAACACGAGGTAGGCCTCGCCGGTGCGGCAGAGCAGCAGGCGCTCCAGCGGCAGCGCGGCCTCGCCGCCCTCCACGTGCAGCACCTCGCTGCCCAGGTCCACGGCCTCGGCGTGCTTCAGCAGCGCGTACCGCCGCCCGCCCTGCCGCACGCTCAGCAGCAGCCGCAGCTCGGGGGGAGGGGAGAAGCCTGGCGACAAAGCGGCGTGGTGCACTGCCAATTCCCCACACTGATAAAAGTCCAGCCGTTTTAGAATGGAAAATTTGCGCAAAGTTTAAAAATAATCATTGATGTTCGCAAACGGCAAATCACTGAGTTAGAAGAAAAAAAGATAATTCTGGAACAAAAATATACTGCTTTAACGGAAAACACAAAAATACGAAAATGATGAGAAAAATCCGTTTGAAAACAAGAATTAAGTGTTTACAGCCCTACCTGGCGGCAGCTCGGCCAGCAGGAGGCCGCGTTGGCGGCGCACGGCATCCAGGGTGGCGCTGTCCACCACGTCGGCCGCGCTGCCCACGCGAACATGCAGCTGGAAGCAGAGGCAGTGCCGGTGTTTCGTGTGACCCCCCAAAGGATTCCTCAGTGGGAGAGCAATCCATTGGTGGGGATCACGGTTCGAGTACCATAAAGCGACTCTGGAGTTCAAAACGCGTCTCGAATTTCGGCCGCCTCCACCGGTTGCCTGGCCTTGAGCTGTAGAAATGCCATTATTTTTTAGAGTGAGGGGTCACCAATCTGGTAATCATGGAGACATACTAAGTAGGGGAGTCGCAAGGTCTGGTGACACTGTACACTTCTTACCCACTTGACGGGTCTGTGGGTGCACCTATCGCCATGGTTTTGGTACCCACGTAATCCTGAAGAATCGAGGATTGACGACGTTTAATTTTTTTGATCGAAATGGGCCTTTGAACTTGGCTGGACTCGGAAACAGGCTCCCGTACCAGCTATCGAGATATTGTGGGAGTGAGACAGACAGCTATGGCGACTTTCTTAACCACTTTGCGCCGACACTGCGGTGTGGTCGGGGTTGATGAATGTTTTTATGATAACATATAATGCTATAGAAGAACGACTTTTGGTCTGATTTTCTAAAAACAGCTTATTTCAAATGCTCAGAGGTTATATCGGACCTCTCTCTCTCGCAGGATCGCTCGAGACCTAGTACCGCCGAGCGCCACCTTGCGCCTCCCTAGCTTAGTATGTCTCCATGTGGTAATCGTGTACACTTCATCCGGTAATCATTGGTAATCACACGCCGAAACTGCAATTTCCGCAGTTTTTATAGGATTTTAAGGGTTTTTCTTATTAAGAACAAAAATGCTCTTATATGGCCAACATTATAGAGTTTTTGAGTATTATTGTATGTAGTCACTGGTTAGTAATCCTGTGTACACTCCTGAGCTGAGTGCTCTACAAATCGAAGAGCGTACATTGTATGCTCTAACTGGAGCATGCCTGCAAGCACGCTCTAGCTAGCGCATGCCTGCCAAGCATGCACTTACTAGTGCCAGGTGGTGGCAACGGCCTAGGAAGAGCGTGAAGCGATGCTCGCGCCGTCAGTGCAGAGGTTGCGCACTTGTTCGAGATTATGAAAACTAGACTGTGTTCTTCAAAACGCTTTGCACCGATGGAAAGGGCTTGAAATTTAGGGTGCATTAGGCTAATTGCTCTTCTCCAAACTCTCACCTTACCTGATATTAAGGTGCAGTGAAAACACCTAAAAACACGAGAAATCACAAAATTTAGGAAAAACTCGAATGCACCATGTTGATGTAAATTGTTCCACTCTTGTGTTCGGTTGAATTGGAAGTATCGGGCAGTCTACTAGGCCTAATGCACCCCAAATTTTGTGCTCTTTTGATATGTGCAAAGCGTTTTGCAATCAACGGGCTAGATCTTACAATCGAAGCAAAATAAGTAACCAATGCACCTGACTCGCGCATGGCTTCACGCGCTTCCTAGGCCGTTGCCGCCCCCTGCTAGTGCATACATGCCATGTACACGCTTCCTGATGCAGGCAACTCCCTATCCCTTATGCACAAGATGCATGCTTCAGTTAGCGTGTACATGGCATGTATGCAAGTAAGTGCAAGCTTGGCAGGCATGCGCCAGCGCGCCAGCTAGAGCGTGCTTGCAGGCATGCTCCAGTTAGAGCATACAATGTACGCTCTTTCGATTTGTAGAGTGGTGGACCCCTCGTCTGGCCCACAGTGCACCGGTCTCCTGCCCCAGTGTGTCGCACTCACGTCGGGCAGCTGCTGCTGCGCGGTCCTCGCCACGGCGTCCGGCAGCGCGCTGCGCCCCGCGACGGCCGCCACCAGCAAGGGGCTGCGGCCCTGCAGCGACGCGAGCTGCAGCGCCAGCGAGCACAGGTGCTCCAGGTCCTTGGCGGCGGCCTCCGCGTACGCGAGGAACGCCCTGGTCTGCACCAGGATGGGCGGGAAGGCGGCCGGCAGCGGCAAGGGCTGCGTGTCCACCTGCACCACGGCCAGGCGGCCGCGCGGCGAGCACAGGCTGACGCAGCGCCGCAGCAAGTCGAAGTGCAGCGCGTCCTGCGAGCCCGCCGGCAGCACTGGCGGCAACAAGGACAACCGTACCTTCACACATATATTCTTGTTAAGGGGGGACCCTGGTGAAAAAATCGCCAAAATTCCAATAAATTGTATTTTCAAAGTTCATAGATAAAAATGTGCATAGAAGGTTTCAGATTCAACAGGTTGAACACTTTTAAGCTAAGTGGGTAGTTTCTTTATCATTTGGAAGGAAATAACATTGAGATCAGTTGTTGTTGGCTTGTACGCTCAACTTCACAGCTTTGCTCAGTCGACAAAAAATTTTGTCGTAGAAAGACTTCCTGCGTTCCTGGTTGACACCTACATGAGTCGTCTTGCATGGACTCTGATCATTGATGACTTGTTGACAAATTTTAGTGACGGAATCTTGATATCAGCCCTACTTTTTTAAAAACACACCTAGAAGTTTGAAAAAAGGGAAAAAAATCACTTTTTTTTCAAATGTTAAAATTTGAAAACTCATATCTCAGGACAGAAGTTGAATTTGAAAATTCCGTCACTAAAATCTCTTCAATACATCTTTAGGATAACCCAAAAAAAATTTCAAGACTTTCCGTCCCAATGAAAGACGCAGGAAGATTTTTCCCCAACGCTCCAAAAAACACTAAAAAGCCACTTTTCTCAGAGACCGTTCAACATTTTGGATTGAATTTTGTTTTGGGAACTCACCATAATGAACCTAATAATTAAGCAAAGTTTCAACTTCCTGGGATTATTTTGAAGCCTACTTGAAAGTTTCACCAGGGTCCCCCCTTAAGCCAGAGCGAAAATAGCACACCCCTTTCAGAAAAGTTTTTCTGAGGTTGACACCCGGAAATGCGTCCTACTGGTAGTTTGAACCCTTCACTATCGCGGTAGTATTAGTGAGACTCAAATTAGGGAAATCTAGTCGAAAAACTCCTAAATACTTCGTACAAAAGCCCAATAATACAAGAATAATACCTACCTACCTATAACACTAGAATCCATAGTACAATCAAAAGCCGCATGTGTCGTGCATTTTGGCTTTAAAATAAAACTAAAAGTAAAATTATAGCTCAAGCAAGTTCAGCGATTTATAAATGTAAAGTAAGAGTATTTGGGGCTCAGGAGCGCGAGCCAAAATCCTAGTTTTCGCTTGTATTCTTCTTATTCTTCTCGTTTTAAACTCACTGACGGTTGTGAAGAAAACCATGAAAAATTACAGAATTATCTAAATATAATACTGGAAATAATACCCATAATACTCTATAATACCAATAATATATATAGCACTTCGTACACGGTTCAGCGGAGTCACCCCTTGAAAAATTTGAGAATTCAGACCAATTTTGTAAGACCTAGTGGTCTGATTTCCGATTTAAGACTTCTAAGTAAGCAAAAGAATATTCTTGGTATAGGTAAATCAAAACTCTTTTTCTCAGTGTAAGAAAGGTGTTTTCAGCAAGAACGCCCTGTCAATGAATGGTGAGGTCACCTTGCGCCGGCTCGAAGACGACCTTCTGGATGCGCTTGGGCACGTGCAGCTCGTGGCGCCCCTCGGACCGCTCCAGCGTCACCACCTGCAGCAGCGTCTCCAGCTGCAGCGCGCGGACCGCCTCGACGCACTGCTCGTCGTCCTCGCGGCTCGCGGTGCCGCCCAGCACGGCGCGCGCGCCCCGCTGCAGCCACGCCAGGCTGCGGTACGCGCCGCGGCACTGCAGGCCGCGACGGCCCAGCTCCTCGTACACGGCGTCCGCGTCCACCTGCGCCCTGCGACGCGAGGCTCGGCCATTAGCACACACGCAAGATCCTACACTCAAAAATTAACTGACATGTTCTTAGGACACATACTTCAGTGATCTACATCACTCAAAAATTCATACAGTGAACATTCTCTATATTGTGGCGGAAATTCTCTACATAGGGCCTGCGGTGGTACAGACGTGATGACTTACCTTTGAAAGGTCATTGCACCTTAAAGATATTCGGTCGAATTTAATCTTTATTATGAAGAAAAGCGCTCCATCTTAGATCACGAATAAAAGTCTGCGAAGCATCGCTTCGTAATACTAAGAAAACAAAGGCACTGTAAGATCCAGGAAAAATTGCTTCGTATCCTGAAGCAAATCCTTCGTCATAGGAAGCATTTCTTCATGATGGGAAGCCTACAATGCCTCCATTTTCTTCGTAGTTACAAAGCAAATGCTTCGTAGACTTTTTTGAGTGTTGGTGCAGCACTCTCAAAAGCTCATAAACTTTTCGCGGCCTTGCAGAGAAAAAATGTCACAACAAAGTATTTTGAGCATACATATTGTTGAAAAGAAAATACTTCGTAATTTACGAACTAATCTCTTATTTTAACACACTAAATACTTTGTACCTTACACTGTCAGACCTATTTGGCTATTGGTTTGAAGCTTACGTATGCTCAAAATACTTAGGAAGGTTCTATCCGTGAGCCTTCCATCGAAAGACGTTCCGAGTGCAAGCCGTGCCTTACCTGTCTTCGGGCGGGACTGCGGCGGCCGGGCCCAGGGGCGGCTCGTCGTGCTCCGAGATGACAACAGAGCGGCCAGTGCAGATCACGCGGTCCTTCACGCTCACCTCGAAGCGGCCGCTGCCTCGCTGCACCGACACGTACACCTTCGTCTCCCCTGCAACGCGAACACACGCTTATAGCTTTCCGAAGTATTTTGAGCATTTGATCCAGGAAGCGGAAGAAGGGAATAACTTGACTTATCCCCAAATTGAGTTTTTATTTTATTATTGTGCCGTAGAATGGTTTACATCATTACACCAAATTATTTGACTGAATTCCAAGCAGTTTAGGAGAAAATCCACTTGGAAAAAGGGTATAACTCAACTTAACCCCTTTTACAGTCTAAATTTCATTGGAAAATGGAGATAACTCAACCTTAGTCTTCATGAGTCCGTTTGACAAATTGGCAAAAGGATATAACTCAACTTGTGTTTTTATGAATCTAGTGTAAAAAGAATCAACTCAACTTAACCCCCCCTAAATTTTAAATTTCAATTTGGAAAAAAGAGCCAAGTCCAAAAAATACACCAGAGTAACATACACTTCATGCAGACTATTGTCCCACTTGACTTGTCTCCAAATTCCTATTTGTTTAGGAAATATAAGGTGAGCTGACTCTGTTTTCCATTTCAACGGAAAGTGATAAGTCGCAGAAATCCTCTACGGAGTGACCTTACACTTTTGATTTTTTTCCCAAAATTTTACTAATGCTTTTTGAAATTATTAACATGTGCAACATTCATTTGTTTTGTTTTAGTTTTCCCTGCTAACAGTTTTTTGTTTCTCCTGAAAAATGGCCAAAATTGAGTTATCCCCTTCTTCCGCTTCCTGGATCATTTGCAATGAACGAGCTACACCGTTCGTTACACCCTCACTCCAGGAACGTGACATCACGTTGGAACAAGCGTGACTAAGTCGCGCTCCTTTGAGAAATGTGTTCACGCTCGTTCGAATGTGAATGAGCTCATTTATGGCTGATTAACTTCAAAACGAGCGTGAGACAATTCTCAAAGCAGCGTGACATTTTGTCACATTCGTTTCAATGTGATATCACGTTCCCGGAAAATATTCCGCCACTTACGAAGTATTTTTTTGGAAAGCTTATTAATGCTCAAATAAAACCACTAGCTACTTTCCTCTGAAACGCCTAAAATAGGGTAAGGTTACCAAACATGGATCACTTTTTAAATAATCTTCTCTATATCCAAATTAAGAATAGGTTGACTACTATTTTTTAATCTAATGTTGATGTTTACCTCACTGGTGATATGTCTACCAAAAATGGTACCTCTAGCTTGTATACTTTGGAAGTTGTGAGGACAAGAAAATATGGCTATTTTTGCTAAGGTTAGGTTAGGGTGGTCCAATCATGGATCACCCCACCAGCGTTTGGACACAAAGCAAGGTATGCATTCAGTAGTCCCAAAATATCAAAGTAGTCCGTCTAAAGTGCACGATGAAAAATTTTGAAGTGACTGCGGTGATTGCTTGGCCCAGAATCAGGGGTGCAAAAATCACCTTTTTGAACGTCATTTTTCCATCGATTTTCGGGGGCCTGTTTTAGGTGTCTTTCTAAACGCAACCCTGCAGAGTACAGAGACGCAGTTGCAAACTTGTCAGATTCACATCGAACAGTCAAAGGGTCAGTCTAAGCAAGGAAAGACAGAAATTAAAAATCTGGCCACCCGGTCTTCAGATATAGACCCCCAAACAGAAATGATCCATGTTTGGTAACCCGATCCATGTTCGGCACTTTACCCTACTTAGTTTGCACGGTTACGAAAGGATTATGTATATAAATGCTTTATGAAATCGAATCTGCGTCACCATCTGGTGGGGCCTGCTTACCCTCTTGGGGCACCACCTCGAAGTCAAAGAAGACGACGTTGTCCAGGACGATGGGGCAGCCCTGTGGCGCGTGGGTGGATACGACTGACAGAACAAGGCTCTGAGGGAAGAGGCGTCAGGAAAACGTTAGAACTGCACCGGTAAAACTAAAGCGTAACTCTATGCTTGAGTCAAGCATATAGTTACGCTTGAAATGAAGCATACTCTGAATATTGCCCCATGCATTTAGATAGGGGGAATCTTGGCGGAAGAGCCTGTTACGCTTGATTTCAACCGTCAACTGATTACGCTTGAAAACAGAGGGTAATACTACGCTTTATAGTTTTACCAGTGTGATTGACGTTTTTCAGTCTTGCAGGTTGATTCGTTTGGCTTCAAGCGAATAGTGCTTCGTTTCGCAACTCTCCCCGCCCATCTAAATGCATTGAAGAATTTCTTCTCTACACGGTAAAAACGGAACCTGGTTTTCCCAGGAACTCCCTGGAAATCGCTTATGTCTCTACCATAGGTTTCCTGGGAAAACCAGGTTCCGTTTTTACCGTGTACCCTTGACTTCAAGCGCTGACACCGAGGGGGTATGCACTCGCGTAATAGTCGGTTCACTCAATCTGTAATAGCACGCGTAATAATACGCGTAATAGTCGCGTAATAGCCGAAATTGTCAAAATTTTATCAAATTTGGTGTGTTTTAGGCCGTTTTTAGCTAAATTCCGATTAATTTGAGGCGTAATAGAGCGTAATAGCGTAATAGTCGGTACACAGGTTCAGAGAGCGCATAACCCCTCGGCTGACAATGTCATGAATCGTCCAAAGTAGAAGCACTCATTGCGACTCACCAAGCAGGTGGCGGGGCTGAGCAGGGTGTGTCCGTTCCACGTGCAGTCTGCGAGGTGGCTCAACTCGGCAGTCGCCAAAGCCAGCGGCAGGCGCATCTCGTAGCGCGGGCCTCCCTCCTGTAGGCCGTCGAGCGCCGGCAAGGTGTGAGCGAGACCACCACGCGCTGACGCGAGTCAATGCCCCACCTTTGGGCCCCTACAGCGATACTCTTAACCTCTCATAGGGTCATGCAGAAAATACTGCCTTCAAAGAGGCGACGAACAAGAGTATCGCCAAAATTTTGCAAGGCAAAACCCGTTCCTGCTTTTCCCAGCCAGATTTCCGGAACCGGCTATGCTGCGTGGCAACGAACCTCGAATGAGTGCAGGTGGCAGTTTATTGCCAAATTTAGGCGGCAACATACATTGAATAAGTGCAGGCGACAGTTTGTTGTCCAATTTTGACGATACTCCGAAGTATCGCGAAGTTTCTGACAAATTTTGCCTCATAAAAGGCAAGAGAGTTTCTGCAATGCCCTTTTGTTGACGATACACAATTGCTCTGAGGGTTGCTCGCGACCGGATCGCAAATTACATGGAACTGAAAATTTTCCTACAATATTTGAACCCTTGTGGGCTAACTCAAACCAAACAATCATAACTAAAATTTGTTCTTGAAATTAATTGTTTCGATAAATGGGTGCAATTTAATTAAAATTAACGTTAACAACCGTGATTATCACACTGAGAAAGCCTTACAAACTACTGTAAGCCTTACAAAGAAAAGCAGCTTGATATAAAAAAAGTATTTTGAGCATACATAAGCTTAAAAAGAAAACAGTTCGTAAATTACGAACTATTTCTTCGTATAACAAAGTAAATGAGTTTGTTCTGTGTATGCTCAAAATACTTCGTAAGGTTTTAAGCAAGCACCAAAACAAGATACTTATAACCTTAGAGTGAACATGTTCGAAATGGAACCATGAATGTCTCTTGGATATCAATCTAGGCGGCACTTTTGCTGTTCACGGGCACAGTCGCAGGTACTCACGGCGGTGGCTTTGAGGAAGTTGAGCGCCCAGGTGTCGCGGTGGTCCCAGGTGGCGAGTGGGGCCAAGGGCGAGGTGTCCCTGCACACGGGGGTGGCGACGGCCGGGTACAGCTTGGCCACATCCGGGTTCAGTCCCTCCATGTACATGCTGGTGGCAAAGATTGTCGTAGTGCGCGCGTTGTTCCACGGTTGTCTACATCCATGTCTATTACACTCTAAAGGACCGAAAAAATTGTCTTGTTGACTTTTTAATGCAGAATTAGGTATGCACATATACGTACGCGAGGTGTGTATCGGTGCATCACTACACTTTTTTCTTGTGCAGGAAGATGCAAAAAATGTACTCATTGATTTGTGTACTTAATATTATACACAGTTTGCGTTCGTATCTGTGCGCATGCCTAATTGTGCATTAAAAGTTCACAATTATGCATTAGAAAAGCCCACAAAAATTTAGTGCGTACTGAGCTTTTTCTTCACAATATAAACAAAAGGTTATGACATCACAGAAGGCACAGAAAGCATGACCAGTTTCTTCATTTAAGAACAAATATTTCTGTATTCTGTTTATGTCGCATAGTACCTCAGTCACTGCAAATCCAAAGGTCCGACTTCTCGCCACTCCAGAGGCGAGACATAAAAGTCTCGCCAAGTTTTGGTCAGACCTGAAAGTCTGGCCAAAATTTGGTCAGACAAAAAAGTCTCGCCACAAAACGGTCAGACAAAAAAGTCTCACCACAAAATGGCGAGACTTTTGTGTCTGACCACCACCTACAGGCCGTAATGCGCCGGACGGTTACGGCCCAAAGACCGTGGTCAGACACAAAAGTCTCGCCATTTAGTGGTGAGACTTTTTTGTCTGACTGTTTTGTGGCGAGACTTTTTTGTCTGACCAAATTTTGGCCAGACTTTCAGGTCTGACCAAAACTTGGCGAGACTTTTACAGGGTGAGTTTTCTCAATGTGTCAATAATTTGTAGGTAGTTTGGGCACCCCAAGGCGATCATTTTCAACCAATGAACTAGTGGGCGCAAACGTCTAGGTACGGACATAATTGGTGTTTTGTAATTGGCCTTCGCGCCTGCGAGGTAGGCACCCGCAGCCACTGATGGTCGCAGGACCTCGCGTGGGTAGAGATGGGCGAACAGGCTCTGTTCGGATTCGAGCGAACACGAACAAGAAATTGAAAAAATAATTCAATCCGATCCGAACAAATCAGAAATTGTCTCGAACCGATCGATCCGAACACAAAGTTGTTCGGAGTCGAACGATCAAGACTCGAACAGTCCTTAATATTTACTGCATAACTGTATTCATGAGACGTTGCTTTCAAAGTACAGATGAAATAATGAATTTGTTTTCATAATCTGCGCTCGTTTGTCGCGTCTGTGTGCAATCCAGCCTCTTGCAACGCTAGCTAGCGAAGAAATTGTTCGGCCTCAAACAGTCTAACTCGAAATTTTCCGAACAGTTCATGGTCGAGCACTTTTTGTTCGTCCCTGAACGAACAAAATTTTTGTTCGGATCGTTCGAGTTCGCTCGGATCCGAACATGTTCGCCCATCTCTACGCGTGGGGGTGTAGCGGGTCTAGGAGGGGTGCTTCGAGTCTCGTAGGGGTGCGGCGGACCTTGCAAATGTCTTTTGGGAGGGGTTGCCGCGGGTCTGAAGAGGCTGTCATAGTGGCCCCCGTTACAGTGGATCTCACGGCTGTCTTTGCGAGGGTGGCGGGATTCCTCGGATACTTCCGCGAGGTCAGTGGCACTCCCGCGAGTACTACTAGTCCCGCGACACCCCCTCGACAGGTCCTGCCGCCCTCAGTGGCACCGGGTACCTACCTCGTAGGCGCAAAATCCAATTACAAAACACCAATTATCTCCGTACCTAGACGTTTGCGCCCACTAGTTCATTGGCGAAGAATGGTCCCCTGGGGATGCCCAAACACTGAAAAACCAAACGTGGTCCAGACCGCACCACTGGTGTGGTCAGATGGATGCCATTTTGACCACATCAGTTGGTGTGGTCTAGACCACGTTTGGCCACGTTTGGTGTGGTCTAGACCACGTTTAGCCACGTTTGGTGTGGTCTAGACCACACCAAACGCCCCAAACGTGGTCTAGACCACACCAACTGATGCGGTCAAAATGGCATCCATTTGACCACACCAATTGGTGCGGTCTAGACCACGTTTGGTTTTTCAGTGAACTGCCTGCAAATTATTGACACATTAAGGAAACTCACCCTGTATGTCTCGCCATATTTTGGCGCGAAGTCTTTCCTTGCAGTGGTGACACGACGCTCAAAAGAACGTGGCATTTTGATACATTCAGTTGAAAGTGACGTCACGTTCCTGTAACGAGAGAGCTCCGCATCATACTCACTTGCCCAGCGCGTCCAGCACCAAGCCTGCGCCGGGCATGTCGCGCTTGGTGAGGGCGACGTTCACCACGTCCTGGTGCAGGGAGCGCTTGAGGATGGCCTGCAGCAGGCCGTGGGGGGCGATCTCGATGGCCAGGGCGTCCCTGTCCACCTGGTCGCAGGCCTCCTCGAAGTACACCGAGCTGAGCAGGTTGTTGGTGAAGTACTGCGGCGAGGCGTACTGCACGTCGTGCTCGCGGGCCCGGGTGAGCAGCGCGGACGTGGAGATCCACCGCGAGGAGCGCTTCTTCGGCTCCAGGATGACGCCCTTGAGCAGCTCCAGCAGGCGCGGCGCGGCCGGCTGGATGTAGCGGCTGTGGTACGCCACGTTGCTCACGTTGACGGCGCGCGCGAAGATGCCCTTCGCCTTGAGCTGCGCCACGAAGGCGTCCATGTCGGCCGCGGGGCCCGACAGCGTGCAGCTGGTGGAAGAGTTGTGGCAGGCGATGTCGATGGACTCGGGGACCATGGCCTTGACGCAAGGAGAAGCAGGGATTGAATGCCGGCGTACTTTCTCATGAATTTCGGCGAGTTTCGGTCATGAGTTTTGACGAATCTCGGTCAGTTGCAATGGCGGTGAATTGCAATGGACACACTGAGTTATAATGTTCTCTTTCGTGTCTAAGCTATGCAAAATACTAACAAGGGAAGTGTCCCAGGTGCTACATCCAGATGTTGGCTAAGGAAACCTCTTTACACTATGAAAATGATTAATTTTCGGCATAAAAGTTGCTGCTGAGATGTATTAGAACAATTTTCAAAGGCGTTTTTCTCATGCAAGATTTTGAGTGAAACAAGCATGAAAGTTTGTGTTGTTGCGCATTAGAAAACGAAACGAACGCTCAGTTTTGTGCAAAGCTTGGGCACAAAGGAGTTCATAGTACTTTAATGTGGATTACGATAAATTTCATTAAATTTCAATGACTTGCAAGTGAAATTAAAATGCAAATTTTGAATGATTTTCATGGATTTTAGAGAACTTGTACGATGTTTGTCGGATTTTTAAGAGTTCCGGTAAACTCCCATCAACGCCAAAGAAATTTTCGTTGACAAATTCATGAAACGTCTCCAAATTTACTCAGAAATTTCGAAGAAATGTGATGATTTGAAATATCGTTATTGATGAAAAATTTGCAGCGGGCATACTGTTGCTCACCTTGACGTCCTTGTAGCCGACGCCCACGGCGGCCATCATGCCCGGGACGAGCTTGGTCTCGTTGGTGGCCTGGCCGCGCGCGTGTGCCGCCAGGATCATCTGCTCGGCCGTGATGCAGCCGTCGGCGTACGCGCAGCCCAGCTCCCCCACCGAGTGGCCCACCATGCCGTCGGGCTCCACGCCCACGGCACGCAGCACGTCCGTCAGGCCGATCTGCGACAGAGGGGCGGTATTCCGTTTTTTAACAATTTTTTTAAACAAATTCTTAAACAAAACGGTTTTTTTTTAAAACTACACTGGTAAAACTAAAGCGTAGTATTACCCACTGTTTTCAAGCGTAATCAGTTTACGCTTGAAATCAAGCGTAAAAGGCTCATCCGCCAAGATCCCCCCTATCTAAATGCATGGAGGAATTTATGGTCTATGCTTGATTTCAAGCGTAACGTCTTCAAGCGTAACTTTATGCTTGACTCAAGCATAGAGTTACGCTTTAGTTTTACCAGTGTATTGCAGATAAAAAGCCCATTCTAGTCAATTCTATGACACCCTTAGGGATGAGTCTCCCTGATTTTTCCCCCACAGATCTGAGCAAGCATGCGAACAAAATCTTACGAAAACCAAAATTTGAAACAATTTGACCAAATTTCCAAAAAATGTCCAAAGTCACTCTACTTTAAGCCAAAATGAAGCTTACTCAATTATGTAAAAGGGTTTTAACACAGATATTGTAAAATCTTGATTCGTCTACATCATTTTTTTTTACAAAGTGCTTTTAACATGGATGAGCCCCCTTAACTTCCTCCCCTGTGCTGGCAAAACACTAAGCCTTTTGGTTCGTATTACGAAGGAAAAGCTCAGAAGGATCTTGGGAGTGTATGGCGAGGATTTTCCATATTATGGCGAAAATATTATCCAAGTTGGGATGAAGATTCTCCGGTGAAGATTCTCATTATTAGGGTCAAGATTCTCCATGACGATTCTCGCCGTCTCACCTGCACGACGGCGATGCCCACAAAGGAGTGGAGGATGTTGTCGAAGATTTTAGGGTCCTTGGTGCTGATGATGTGCTTTAGGTCCACGCCGAGCGGCGCCAGGGTGTTGTGGCAGCGCTCCACGGCGGCCGCGAACACGGGGATGCGCATCAGGTCAGCGCCCATGCCGGCCCACTGGCTGCCCATGCCGGAGTACACGAACCACACGGGGCGCTTCTGGCCGTTGTAAGCCTGGGCTCGCAGAAAAAAAAGAAATATTCCATAACTTTATAGAGGCCCTCGCGTGAATTTAAGAGTATTTTACTCGGGTATACACTCTCAGTCTCATATGGACTTTTTATTCTCTTGCTTGTAAAGTTTTTTGAGCAGACGTAAATTGTACTATTTTCTCCTTTGGCTATGCACATAAAGATAATATTGTCAATATATCATGTAGAAATTAAAAAGTACAATGAATTTGACAAGGCAGGTTTAATGGGCTAAAAACCCTACAAAAGGAACAAAAACGTGCGAAGCTAAAGATAAAATAGTACACGGTGAAAACGGTTCCTGGTTTCCCCGGGAAACCTGTGGTGAAGACATGGGCGATTTCCAGGAAGCTCCTGGGAAAACCAGGAACCGTTTTTACCGTGTATATATATTACGATTGCACGAAAACATTTTGGCAAGAGATAAAAAGTCAATACGAGTCTGAGAGTGTACAGTTTCAAGGTTCACTCCCAGTTTAATACTGAGAAATGTCGGGCAGTCATAGTGCTAAGCAAATGCTCAGCACTTTACGATCTAATACCTAATTTGACGAATTTCGTTTGTAATATAGAGAAAATTTTCACCGTACACATTAAATGTTCAGGTAGAATTTTGTGCGTGCAACTTGCACGATTTCGTGCATACGTGGAATTTGCATAATATATCATGCGTAAGGATGTAGGAATCTATGCAAATTCAGGCACAGTTTTATGCACGACGGCACACAAGTTTGAAATTATGCATCACCACGTACACAATTGAACATAAACATTTAGTGTGAAATTGGCTGGCCTCCTCACCTTGATCTGTGCGGGGCGCGCGTCATCGCCCTTGGGGACCACAGAGAATCCGCGGTACATGTGGCCGGGGATGTTGGAGGAGAAGGCGCGGTGCAGCAGGTGGACGTACTCCGGGTCTGAGGCGTTGCTCTCGGCCTGCCGAGCAGCCAGTTTTCGTGAACACTTTCAGATACCTCGGCAATTAGGATAGTCTAGCAGTTAAGATTGTCTTGGATCTACTCTAGCAGTTAGGGCTGCACTACAAGAAAAAGTGTATATAGTACAACAAAAGTACAACAACAAAAACTGTACAATGACAGGGATTTTAGAAAGAACAACGAGAATTGTACAAACCACAACGAGCCCTGGAGTGCACAGCACTCGTCATGCCGGTTCCATTGTACTTTGTGCAACAATTGTTGTACTTGAAAAGTACACTAAATTCCCGATAAAAAAAAAATTGCCAGAAATTCGTGTACTTTTGTTGTGGTTATTTCTTGCAGAGTGTCTTGGATCTACTCTGGCGCGAGCCTACTAATCGAGTGTGCCTGCATGCACAGTTCACCGGTGTGTACTTTTCCTGTAGCGGCATGCAACCCGGGTCAGTCACACTGCTGAGAAAACAGAGTGCTTGCATGCATACTCTAGGGAACCCAGACGCGGGCAATAACTGCTCTTTGAAGAGTGCATACGGCTCCAGGTGGAGTGCCATGCGCACTGTTCTATTTGTGTTGCGACGGCGAACGCACCAACTTCATGGCGCCCTCCAGGCCCTCGGGGGTGCGTCCCGACAGCAGCAGCAGCTTGGGGATGGGGCCCTGGCTCGCGGCGGTGGGGGCGGGGGCCGCGCCGAGGGCCTTCTCGACCTTCTTGACGCGCGGGTTGGGCCGCAGCAGCACGTGCCCCAGGATGCCCCCCAGGCCCATGTTGTTGACGGCCACCATCCCGGGCGGCAGGGGCGTGTTGTCGGCGACCACCTGCAAAACCATGTTTCTTATCACTGCCAAACCAAGCGTGCAGAAGTCCTTGCTGGCTGCGCAGTAGGAGCGAAGTAGGGGTCAGTTGGGGAAGAAAAGTACTTGGTGAGAGAAGTATACCCTAATGCAGATGATATCTCGACTTTAAGCCATCCTTCGACCAGTTATACTTTGACTCAAAATTAAAATCCGTCAAATTGTCGAAATTGTCAAACGGGTTTCGAGATGTCTGCAGTCGTCCACGGGGGAGCACAATACCAGATTCAATCTTGGATTCAATGCTTACTGGTCATAGTTACTGAAAACCCTTCAACATAGGTTACAAACTTCGCTCAGCTGTCATAATTCTGTTCGTAAGAAGAAAAAAAGCACAGCACACTCAGACTCGTATTGACTTTCTATCTCTTGCCAAAAAGTTTTCGTGCAAACGTAATATGTACTATTTTCTCTTTAGCTTTGCACGTTTTTGTTCATTTTATAGGGTATATAAATATATAAATATATTTAGTCCATTAAAGCAGACTTTTTGTCTATGTCTACATGATCTATTGACAATTTTATCTTAAGAACGATCAAAATTGTGCAAAGATAAAGAGAAAACAGTCCAACAGTCTGCTTAAAAAAATAAGCAACAGAATAAAAAGTCCAAATGAGACAGAGTGTAGGAGCTTGAGAGCTGTGCGCTGACCTTGATGCGGCCCTGCTTGATGGCGGCGATCTTGTTGTTGGCGCGGACGTGGTTCAGGGTGGCGGGGATGGTGCCGGACTCCATGGCCACCAGGACCTTGCAGACGCTGACCAGCCCGCTGGCGGCCTCGGTCTGCCCGATGTTGCCCTTGACGGAGCCCACGAGCAGCGGGCGCGCGCGGCGGCGGCCGAGGACGTCGTCCAGGGCGCCCAGCTCGGCCGCGTCGACGGCGCCTACGCCCCAGCCGTCGGTCTCCACGTACGCGATGTGGTCCGGGTCCACGCCCCAGTCCTGTGGGGCAAGCGCGCCGATCAACAGCGGGAACGGGAGGCGACGAAGTTGCGTTCGCACCACATCAAAGTGTTGTGAGTGCACTGAAATTCAAAGGGTGAGGCATCTCTCAAATTTTCGGCGATACAAAAAGTATGACCGAAAAAAGGGTCGTACACGAATGTACCGAAAAATGGGTCGTACACAAATATATCGCCGAAAAAAGGTCAGACATCAGTGATATTGGCCCTTGCTTTCCTGGGGAAGCATCACCCTTTTTCAGTGAGACATTTGTGTATGACCCTTTTTTCGGCGATAATTCGTGTATGACCTTTTATTCGGTGATACATTTGTGTACAACCGTTTTTACGGTGATACATTCGTGAACGACTTTTTTCGGTGATACATTTTAGTATCACCCTTTTTTCGGTAAGACCCTCACCCCTCAGAGAGTGAGATGTATCACTATTTGATTTTCAGTGTGCGCACATTAGGGTCTAATAGTGTGTACTGAGTGAGCCACCCCCCTCCTTGCGGCCCACGCTTACGCAGGGTCTGTCTGGACTGTTGCAACTCCCCGATAAAAAATCAAGAAGCCAGAAAAACTAATTCTTTTCTAAAGAAGTTAAACGTACAACGCTTACGATAGCGTTATGTCCTTTCGAGGTAAGTTAGGGATCCCTGTGCTACTTGTGTCCTTTGCCCCTGAAAGGTAGGCAAACAGTGCTACTTCGCCCCTGAAAGGTAGGCAAACAGTGCTACTTCGCCCCTGAAAGGTAGGCAAACAGTGCTACTTTGCCCCTGTAAGTAGGCAACTAGTGCTTCTTTGCCCCCTCCCCCCACTGGCCGCCTCTGGATCCGCCACTGCCTGGGCTTACGTCGTAGATGCTGCTGAGCTGGCGGCTCAGGACGCGGTGCTCGATGTCGGGCAGCTCCGAACGGGAGAGCTCGGCGTAGAGGGCCGAGGTCGTGTGCACCACCTCGGCGTACGCGCGGCGCGCCGTGCGCGCACGCTCCAGCACCAGCACCACCACGGCCTCGCTGCGCACGCCGCCGTCAGCTGCAACAGGACTGCACTGAGAATCCAAACGCCACACTGCGGAAAAGTCGATCCCTTTTTTGCCGTGAGTCTCCGTACCCAAAACTCAACATTTTTCGCAGCCTCTACCAATCTTTTCTGCAGAACTTACAGTGTTCACGTAGGACTTGCATAGTTCTGCGTAGGACTTACACACGCTAAATATTTATGTACAATTTTGTACGTGGGAGCATAGTTTTAAACTTGTGTAACTTTTTGCATAAAACTGTGCTCAAATTTGCATAAATTCATGCATTTATAAGCATAACATTATGCATTTTCCACGTATGCACAAAATCGTGCAAGTTACGTTCCTTTGAGCACTGTGTCACATTCGTTCGAACATGATGTCACGTGCCTGATAAGAGTGATTGGTGCGACGCTGTTGCATCCCACGTGAGGTGACCCACAGTGGGCCAGAAGACCGGCGGAGGCGGCCAAAATTCTAGACGCGTTCTGAGCTCGAAAGTCGCTAAATGGGACTCGAATCGGACGAGTGACCCCACCAATGGATTGCTCTCCGAACGAGGAATTCGTTGGTGGGGTCACACGTTCGGTTCGAGTCCTGTTTAGCGACTCTGGAGCTCAAAACGCGTCTAGAATTTTGGCCGTTTCCGACGGTCTTCTGGCCCACTGTGTGACCCAAACCTTGTGAGAATTTGCAGCGGCGTGAGTCCGCCACTTACCCGCCTCGTCGAAGGGCCTGCAGCAGCCCGTGGGGCTGAGCCAGCCCATGTCGTCGTAGTGCGACGCCAGCTCCGACAAGTACGACATGGAGGCGGCGCCCACGATGGCGCGGTCGCACTCGCCGTTGCGGATGGCGCGCACGGCCAGGTGCAGGCCCTGCATGCCGCTCACGAGCTGCGTGTTGTGCACGAAGCTGGTGCCTGCGCACGCAAAGCGCACGCAATGCGTACGCACGCCGCGTTATCGACCTGCCACCGCGCTGTGCACTCTCTTCATGTCTCACAGTGAAAGTTGAGCAATATTACAGTGAATTGAATTCGTAATATTTCTTCACGAACTGAAGTGTGTACTCAGTATGCATCTACAGATGCATACCACAGATGCATACTTGGAGAGGTTAGGTATGCATCTGTAGATGTGTACTCAGCCAAGTACTTATTCATCTGTAGATGTGTACTCAGCTGAGTATGCATCTGTAGATGTGTACTCAGCCAAGTATATGCATCGGTAGGTGTTTACTTGCAAGTATGCATCTGTAGATGCATACTGAGTACACACTTCAGTTTGTAGAGTAAAACTACCTTCATGCTTGCGCCATTCCTTCGCATTATGGGAAATTTATTCGTGAGACATTCTGAGTACACTGTTCGAGAGGGCCACCACCCCCGCGTTATCCTGTGTACTAATTGGCTGGTAATCTCCGGTAATCCATAGCGCAATTACGTAATCCTTGAGGTAATTCTGTCATTTCTCAACGTTTTCGAGTCAATTTTCAACGTTTTTAAGCCGTTTTTAACTATAATTTTTCAAAATTTCACGCGTAATCCCTAGTAAATTTCCCGGAATCCCGAAATCTTGTGGGTACAGTGAAGAAATGTCCACAGGTAAATGTCCGGTCCGTTTTTGTCCATCGATTTTTCGTCCATGCACACAATGTCCAAGGTAGAATGTCCAATAATTTAATGACCACCCCTAAAAAAGGCCTGAGGTTTTTTCGGCACCGAACGAATGTGGTCGACATGCATCATGCTAACATGTGGAGGATCGTTTGCGAGTGGAGGTCTGAGGAACATGATCTCCACCAAGTACTTGGTGGGGTTGGGGCTGGACACATCCATGTCATCCATGGGCATGAATGAGAAGAATGAGATGTGCCGACGCACGATTCATATTCTGTCCAATAGCTACGAGGATTACAACGAAAGGTGGAAGGAATTTCAGGTACTTACACTACAAACCTAATTGTCTACCAAGTACACACTTACAAATACATGCTTGGCAAGTACACACTTGCAAACGCCTATGCTTAGCATGGAGTTAAACGGTGCCAAGCATGCGTTTTGTACGTGTAAACTTGCCAAGTATGCATTTGTAAGTGTGTACAAAGTACACAGGTTTGTAGTGTAGAGACAATTGCGTACAATATCAAGGTGCAGCCATTGTTAGATGCTAAATGCCATTTGGAAGCCATGCCAAATAAAATTGTTTGAGAACGGACTTAGTTAATTTGTCACTATGGATAAACAAATAGTTGGACATTTAAAAATGCGGCCATATAATTCGGGGGCATTCTTTCCACGTGGACATATTTCTTCACCGGACATTATTTCCTAACGGACATAAATTAAGTGGACATTTTTTCAGCGGACATTATTTCCTGAAACCAATCTTGTGTACGCCTGAAATAAGAGTGGTGGCCTCCTCGGCCCAGTTCGTTGCAATGTGAATTTTTTCACGCTCGTTGACAAATAGTTCGAATATTGATGTTTTCCCGTGTTTTTCTGTCGTTTCCACTTCCTCTCCAGTTCCGTTTTAAAAACGGAGTGAAACAAGACTTTTTAGACTTTTTAAAGTCCTGCGCGGCAATAGTAATGCATCGAATTCCCAGGCCCAGGCAGCACTTGGAAAAAAGACCCCTTCTCAGGGTGGGCCATGGAAATCCTAGGCGCTGCCTTTGACACGTGGAAAACAGCCGTGCCACGGCCACGGTCCAACAAATGGAACGTGTTGAAGAACGCGAAAAAAAAATTCTTAAGCGAACATGACGTTGCATTGTTTGAACAAAACAGTGTAGCGTTGCCACCACGTCGCTGCATTGCTGCACCAATACCTTTGAGGTCGAGCCAGTACGACACGCGGTTGGCGATCATGGCCGAGTTGAGCCCCATGATGCCGAAGCCGTCCGAGGACTCTTGGATGAAGTTGGCCTCTGACTCGGTGCAGTGGTAGCCCATGCAGACGACCGTGTTGGAGCCCTGCAGGTCCTTGGGGCTGTAGCCTGTGCCGAATGCCGGAACCAGTTGGAAAGTTACACTCACAGCAGAAGGGGGTTCGATTTTCAAACCGTGGGGAGGCGGTCCAAACCGCGGTAAGTTCGTAATTAATGACGAAGCCTTTTCTTTGCAAGCTGCTCCAAATATTTTTGTTTCGAGCTACTTGTGTTTGTAAAGCGTAGTTGGTTTAGAGAGTGTACCTGCATCGAGGACGGCCTCCACGGTGGACTCCAGGACAAGCCGCATGGTGGAGCTCGTGACCGCCGCCAGCCTGGAGTGGATGCCGAAGAAAGTGTTGTCGAACTTGTCCCCGCAGCGCACCTTGCCGCTCTTCATGTTCTCCCGGGTGAAGGTGGCGCTTGGGTCGGGGGGTGGCGACCCGGCGGTGTATCCTGGAAGGGCACAGTCAGTTCAGGACCGAACGCGGATGGTTCACTCATTCATTCTCGCACGCAACCAGACCGACGTAGGGTATTCCGAAGGAGCTTGGCTCGGAAGAGGAACAAAACACAAAACTGTCATTTCTGTCGTTTTTGTTCCTTTTCTTCCGGGCCAGAGCTAGCTCCTTTGCGAGCGGGATTTGTTTTTAACTGTTTAAAATGGTGTTATTAAGGGGGCTCATACATGTTAAAAGCACTTAAAAAACATTTTTTGTGTAAAAGGATCAAGATATTATGATTTCCGTGTTAAAACCGTCTTAGATAATTGAGCAATCTTCATTTTGACATAAAGTATTGTGACTTTTGACACTTTTTGGAAATTTAGTAGAAACGTTTAAAATTTTGGTTCTTATGAGATTTTGTTCGCATACTTGCTCAGATCTGAGGGGGAAACATCAGGGAGACTCATCCCTAGTAGTGTCATAGAATTGACTAGAACTTTTTATCTACAATAGTTTTTAAGAAAAAAATATAAAAATAATTTTTTGTTCAAAAATTTGTTCAAAAATTGTTTCAAGATGTTCATAGCGTTTGGAAAGTGAGTGTAAACGCCCGGCGTGGATTGTCGGATTGGGTGCACCATGCCTGGGTCAGCCATGACTGAATGCACTGAAAAACTCACTACACTCACACTTTTTTGAACAAAATTTCATTCGGTCGCAGACCCCTCGGCAAATCCAGTCACGAATGAATCGACTGCGGAGAAAGTTATCCAACTCACTCGGCTGCAGGTCACCCGCGCCATCGCTGATGAGATGCAGGTTCCGCAGCAGCTTTTCGCGGTACTCCTGGAGGTTGTCACACTCCGGGAAGTGGCCGCCCACGCCAGATATCACCACCTCGTCCTGCATGGCTTGCACAGCGGCGAAAGAAGTGAGCTGTGAGGCGAAAAAGTCAGCTAAGTCGACCTCAAATGAAACCTCAAGCGTTTACTGAGTACTTCCGCTGCCATTCAGGGGTGCTCTGAAAGTTAGCGCCTTTTGGCGTTTGCCTTATATTTTGTAACACCTTTACGCGCCTCCTGTCAAGGCACCTAAGGGTGCCTTATTTCGAGGCGCCTAAACGTGCCTTATTTCGAGCAGCCTTAGTGACTAAAGTTTCGAGACACCTTTGGTCTTGTCCAGTGGATGAAACAAGGCTTGAGCTGTTGCCCCGGCCACAAGGAAACCAAGCACCTTGCCGATGCAGTGTAGCCTGTGCTGCCGAGCATTTCCCATGTAATGCAACCATGAAGGTGTGGGCAGCAAACACCTTGTACTACATCCATACACTCTCAGTCCCGTACTGACTTTTTATCTCTTGCCAAATAGTGTTTTGTGCAAACGTAACTATTTTCTCTTTAGCTATGCACTATTTTGTTCGTTGTATAATGTCTATGGTCCATTAAACCTGACTTTTTGTCATTTGCAATGTACTTTTCGATTTCTACATGATCTATTGACAATTTTATCTTAGCGATCAAAGTTGTGCATAGTTAATGAGAAAATGGTACATTTTACGTTTGCTCAAAAAACGTCATAAGCAAGATAGAAAAAATTTCAAATAGGTCTGAGAGTGTAGGGAACAAGAGGGGTCGCGCCAATGGGCTGGATCAAAGGTGGCTCAAAACTTAGCGTCTAAGGCGCCTCGAAATAAGGCACCTTAGAGCGCCTCTGGCTCGCAGCCTGACGGCGCTACAAAATCAAAGGCAAGCGCCAAAAGGCACTCAGAGCAGCCCTGAATGACAGTGTATACACACACAAAACGTGTCTATTGACAACCACCTGGGTTTTCAGAGTATCCCATGGAGTTTTCATCAGAAAACAACAACACAACATTCCGATGCCTGACAGAATAATCCTTGTTGTCAGAGCAGATCCATGGCAGTCCTAACTGTCGGCGCAGATCCACACGGCAAAACCAACGTCCGGGTTTCCCAGGCGCACCCTGGAAAAATGCCCTGTTTTTCCAGGGTGCGCCTGGGAAACCCGGACGTTGGTTTTGCCGTGCAAGGACAATCTCAACTTTAACCGCACATGACGTGAAATTCCGTGACGCCCACATACTTCATAAAATTACGTGCCGAAGGACTTGCTAAAAAATTCATCCTATATGTGGACATAGTATTTGAGAGAAATCGCGATTCACTGATTGGCACAGACGAAAGTTTGTTCACACTTTCAGGCACCTCTGCAATAAGCCTAGTCCTAAATCTGCACTTACAGTTAGAATTATCTTGGATCTGTTTTAACAGTTAAGGTTGTCTTGAATCTACTCTGTCAGGTAGGATTATTCTATGAGGAGGCGTCGATTTAGATTAAGGAATGCTGTCAGAGGGTTTGTTTAAATCCGACACCACAATTGTATACAGCGTGCAAAGTTTGGCATGGGACCTCCAATAAGATAGGACCAAACTTCATTGTAATCGAAATTATAAGGCCAGGTTGTGGTACGCATCGCACTAATCCGCTTTTTAGGGTGCAACCCATCCAAATGGGTACTTTGATGACCCCTTGGCGATGGGTTTGACCCATGGGTCGAACCCATCGAATTTTAGTGTGCACAAAAAGTACCAATTAAAGAGGGTACTTCGATGCACCCATTACAATGGATCTGACCCGTATGATGGGTCGAACCCATTTAAGTGTGCACGAAAAGGACCCATTTGAATGGGTGTTGCAATAGCTTTTGTGTGCTGAGCCGCCTGTACAGTGGACCGTGAGCGAACAAGGCTGGCAATGACCTAGGAATATCCAATGAGGCCTCCTAGCCTGATTACCTGCTTTGTGAGACTGCCCGCAGTCCGTGAGCCGCGCGAGGACGTGTGCTGTGTGGTGCCCACCACCGGAGACTGGCGGGAGTTGATTGCACCACTACACTACTGCACTATAGTTGGGCTTGAGTCCGCTAGTGCCAAGGGTGTAAGGGGGGAGGGGGGCTAGGGTCGTACGGAAGGCAACAGGCCCGCGCAGGGCCCGCAGACACGAGACTAGTGTCTGGGGGCAGTCACGAGGCAAGTGCCGACCGAACGTACTCGAACCCCCGACAGACCCAACGCCCAGGTAAAATAGGATTAACCAAGTCAACGAGGGCGGCAGCGAAAGTTTCGACTGTGTTCTTCTGGGAGCTCATCAAACTACCGGCTCTACTCTCGACTTCATGCACACGTCATGCGAACCTTTAATTGAGCTCATTAATATTTGACTCGTTACGCCTTTCCAAGACCTTCTCGGATGTTTATTGAAGATGCCCATATACTGGTAGGCATAAGCGAATTGCTGACAAAGCCGCTCAAAAATTAATTCCTTGATAAAATATCGGTGAAAACCAGTGAAATCACATATAACGGCCCAGGGTCAAGGGAAAGGCAGGCGCACTTAGGACACAGTTATGAAAGCGTACCTGCAATAACCTACTTGGCTTTGAGGCCAAGTACGCACTTCCAAATGCACAAAAAAAACGAATACATAGCACGTTTACACTTACGACTGCATGCCCATAACTCCATGCTATTCCATGTGCACTGTTTCCTCGCGAAGCAGGCACTTGCAAGTGTTTACTTAGGCAGTGAGGAGTGCAGAGTAGGGGAGGGAGATTATGCAAACATGACGGAAACGACTCTTTCCAACACGTTCCACGCAACATGACTGCGCATGCAAAGCGGCTCGTCGCGAGACTCCGACCCGAGTTTCGTCTGTTTACAGACCGCAGTCGCGACCACTACCACAGAGCAGCTCATCATCATCACCATCACCGTCATAATCATCACCACCATCATCATCACCATGATCACCACCACCACCGCCGCCACCATCATCGGCGCTGTTAGGCCTGTCAGCAGGCATTTTGCTCACAGCTAATATTATGTCTCTCAACCTGTCAGCCAACAAAAACGCTTATTGAGCTACCGTTATGGTTTTCGGCATAGAGAAAGGATCGGGTAGAGACTCAGCGGTTGTAAAAACCTAGGTCTTTATTGCCCCCCTCGGCGGCATCCGAAAACTGCTCTATCCGGAGACGGCCAAAGGGGGTGAGGCGGGGAGGGTCGGGGGCCGAGGCCAGCCATGTGCTCTGCTCCCCGGCGGCAGGCCAGCGGCCGGTACGGAGGTACGAGTGCCCCGCCAGCCTCCCCGCTTCACCCCTTCTGGCCGTCTCCGGGTCGAGCGCTTTTCGGATGCCGCCGGAGGGGGCAAAGAAGTCCACACCCCGAAAACACAGGAGGATAGGCTCACTGAGTCTCTACCCGATTCTTACTCTAAGGTTTTCGGTGCAGAAATTTCGAGAACTTTGCCCTCATTTGTTTTACCCATGCGTGGTTCTCAACGTTTGTTTTGGCCGTGATGAAAAATGTTGGTGAATGTTAAAGAGCATCCGCTGAGATACTTTTAGCTGCTTTCAAGAAGATCTTGTCAGCATCGGATCCGCTCCACAAAATTATCACCTTGATTTGACCGAGGGGTTACCCACTCGTTGCTTTAGTGTACACACGATTCCGGATTCCCGCGATTCCCAGAACATATCTCTGAGAAAAAGAGAGAACTTTCGAAAATTTTCTTTGTATTTGAATGTTTTTGTGTGTATCACATGGTTACCATGACTTTAAATTGAAACTTTGAGGATTTTCCATCAAATTTTGAAAGATTTAGGGATGATTCCCGGACTGAGTGTACACATGATTCCCGGAGTGGGTAACCCCTCGGATTTGACCGAGACGGACCAAGGACACCACTAGTCCAAAGTTCAGACTTCGCGCCGGTCCAGAGGAGAGGCGAGGCATGCCAAGTTTTGGTGATTCCTGAATGCGCCTGAAAGTCTCGCCAAAATTTGGCCAGACAAAAGTGTCTTGCCACAACAAGTCAGGACTCCTGTACCACTTTAAGACGAGACACTTTTGTCTGGCCATTGGCGCAAAGTTTTAGTAGAGATGACTCTTGAAAAATTAACCGATGTCTCAAATCTGCGCTGGGTGATCTCAGCTTTCATGATCACTCGAAAACCTCTGCTTCTAATCCCCAATCCTGTTTCTTTATTAACAGTGAGACACCCATGCATTCAAAACGCGCACTCACAAGGGAACGTTTTCAGGTGTCAGGAGCCGATTGCTCCCGTACTTCGGGATCTTAAAGACCACCTTAAAAAAGAATTTTCGGCACCCACAGTTCGTGCTGAAAGTCACTACAACGCCCTAAAATGAAAGTTGAAAATTGACCAATTTTCATAAACTTGACCAAAAAATTTAACTTCAAAGAACGTCCATAAAAGCAGATGATTCTTAGTTCCCGACGAAAAAATTTAAGAGCAGAAATTACAATTTGCCATGGTAATTGTTTTAGTTTGAAAAGGTCTTATGAATTTTCCCAACCTATTAAAAATTGAAAATGAAATATATTGGATCAGAAGAGGCACACAGCACCGTGCGGGACACCATTACCCCTGCCTGCCACACCGCAGGACCTCTGACCATCCGAGCCTATCCTTTCCTCGTTTCGTTGTTTTTGTTTTTGGGGGTGGAGCACAAATACCCCAGGACATCTCGCAAGTGCCCGCGCCCGCGTACAAGCTCAGTGGGGCTGGCTAGGAGGGTCATCGAGACGGTGCTCGGAAGCGGCCGTCTGGCATTGCGAGAGACTCTGAAGAGGCAACTCGCTCGCTTGCCCTCGCTAGACTTAACGACATTGGGGAACTCACTAGGCGCAGACGAGCAAGTACGACAGTCGCACAAAAAGCTGGCTAGAGGCCCACTAGAAGTTTGGAGGCTCAACTGGAGCCAGGCACGCCTGACCTTTACACCCGAGGAGTCGCCACAGTCCCCAAAGGCTTGCCAGAGCAAGCGCCGACCCAGGCAAGGTGCACCAGGGATGAGTGAGCCACCCTCAGAAACAAAAACAAAGGAACGAGAAGAGGGTAGGAAAACAGGGATTCCGCAAGATCGTGCAGTTTGCGAAGTTGATTTCCTTACTGTTCAGGTTTGACCAAACAGTGGTGGGGTGGATTTCGGTATAACCCGCGGTGGCAATGCCAACGGCCTAGTGGCCTAGCAACACTAGGAGTGACAACTCGAAGTGACACACGCGCTTTCGCCGTGTGACCCGACTGACTGGCCACTGGCCGCCGTCCGAAGGCTTGGCCAAAACGGGCCGGCCCTGACCTTGAACTTTCATTTTAGGGCGTTGTACACTGTCAGAAAAAAAGTCCGTAAATTTACGGAGAAAGTTACTCTAATTTTGGGAATGGAGGCTCCGTAAATTTTCCATATTTTTACGGAGATTTTCCATATTTTTACGGAGATTTTCCGTATTTTTACGGAGATGAACCGCATTTTTGCAGAAATAAACGCATTTTAACGGTTTACTTCCCTCCTTCCACCTTCGATGTTAATGCAAACAGTGTCCTTTTAGGCGAAAGTGATATTCTCCAAAACTGTTTGAAGATACACTTGACCGCCATTAGGATTGGATAAATGGACGGAAACCCAAAGGCGAGGTTGCTAGAGAAGGCGGACTCTTGGAACACCTTATCAGTTGGTCACCCAACCCATCGATAACGTGAATTAGTGTGTTCTTTTTGATAAGTAAGGCTTCTATTTCATTTATATACATAACTTCCATATTTTTACGGAGAAAATCCATAATTCAAAAAACGGAGATCTCCGTTAAAAAAAATGGACAGTCTCCGTTAAATTTCCGTATTTTTACGGAGTTTTCTGACAGTGTAGTGACTTTTAGCACGAACTGTGGGTGCCGAGAATTCTTTCTTGAAATGGTCTTTAAGATCCCAAAGTATGGGAGCAATCGGCTCCTGACACCTGAAAACGTTCCCTTGTCAGTCGCATAAGGATTTTTTATTCTCTTGCTGTATAGGTTTTTGAGCAGACGTGAATTGCACTATTTTCTCTTTGGCTATGCACACTTTCAATCGTTTTTAACATAAAACTGACAAAAGTCAAGTTTAATGGACTAAATACCCTATAAATTGAACACGAACGTGTAAAGCTGAAGAGAAAATAGTACATATTACGTTGGCACTAAAAACGCTTTGGCAAGAGATAAAAAGTCTATACCAGTCTGAGAGTGCGAAAGTACACCAAAAAAAAAATGACTTCCTGGATCAAGAAAAATTTAACTTTCCTTGGTTTTTGCAAGAAAATTTTTCTTAATCCAATTTTTTTTTCTTGGATAAAGAAAATTTTTCTTGTGTCAAGATTATTTCTCTTACAAAAACCAAGAAAATCAAAAATCAAGAAACCATTTTTTTTAGGGTGTAGCGTAAATTGCAGAGAAAGATGTGCAGCAATTGTGTTTCCGAGTTGCTAGGTAACACGTGACCTGCTGAAGCGGAAAGCTTTCACATTCCCGCGTGCCGTCAGGGGCGTTGACGGTGTTGTGACAGTTGCTAGATGGCCCCTGGACTTCGACCACCGACCCGAAAAAGAATCGAGCGGCCACAGGCTGCTGACGTAGCGTTGTTCAATGCCTTGGAGGTGTGGGCAGTGAAAGGGTACAAGCTCTCTTTGGATCCTCAAGAAAGAGGAAAACAACATTTCAAACTTTAAGGGGGCTCATACATGTTAAAAGCACTTAGTAATTTTTACTCGTTCTTTACACACCACTCACTAACATACAAAACTCTATGTGAAGAGAACGAGTATTGTGTTCAAAAATGAGTTTTGGGGGGACATCTTTCATCTCAGATCTGACAGCATGTGGGAAAATGAGAGTGGTATCAAATGAAAGATGGAGTGTCAGTCGCTAGATCGTAAATGAACTTTTTTTTTGCTTGCAATGAGAAATACTGAGAAAATGAACATGAAAGAGAGACGTTTTTAGTGCATTATGTGAAACTAACCTCTTTTCAAGTGATTGCATCTTTTGATATAGAACGCCACTGGAACGCAAACAACAACGACAACGACCAGAGATCTTTGGCCAACAAAAAACTAGGAGGGTATTTTCCAAGTGACAATGGATAATTTTGAGAAATTTGGTCATAAAGAAACATCGTTTCACGCTAATCGTGATATATGTCTCAGAACTGCTAGCGGTTTCTTCCTAGTGAAAATTTCTTGGCAGGTGTTGCATGTCTTATGTTGGAGATGAGAGACGAAATAATAAGTTTCATTTGACTTCTTTTTTTAAGAAATGTGTCCTTCTGAGGGTTTTGGTCATGGAAAAAGCAGGTTTTTGGCACGGACTCACGGACTCTAGTGTAAATTCGATTATGCACGAGAATCGATATCTCGAGATATCGCGATGCATCGATGTTCCCTGCCTGAGAGGAGAACCAACCGGAAGCGTTCGTTGAAATGCAAAATTACAAATCGTCAGAGGACAATTCATGTAATGATCAGCGACTGACACATCAATCTAGCTTTGTAAAGAACGAGTCCCTCCCATGTGATATCAATTCTTTGATGTCTTTCCTTCTTGTTTTTTTTATGTAGACGGATTAAGAGTTTACAATTTCTGTGTTAAAACCCTTTTAGATAATTGAGTAAGCTTCATTTTGGATTAAGGGAAAGTGACTTTGGACATTTTTTGGAAATTTGGTCGAAACGTTTAAAATTTTGGTTCTCGTAAGATTTTGTTCGCATACTTGCTCAGATCTGTGGGGAAAAAATCAGGGAGACTCGTCTCTAGTAGTGTCATAGAATTGACTACAATGGGCTGTATATCTGCAATAGTTTTCAAGAAAAAAAAAATAAAAACCATTTTTTGTTAAAAAATTTGTTTAAAAAATTGTTCAAAAAATGGTTTTTATTTTTTTCTTGAAAACTATTGCAGATATAAAGCCCATTGTATTCAATTCTATGACACTACTAGGGATCAGTTTCCGTGATTTTTCCCCCACAGATCTGAGCAAGTACGCGAACAAAATCTTATAAGAACCAAAATTTTAAACATTTCGACTAAATTTCTGGAAAATGTCCAAAGTCACTTTACTTTAATCCAAAATGAAGCTTACTCAATGATCTAAAAGGGTATTAAGAAAGAAATTGTAAAATCTTGATCCGTCTACATCATTTTTTTTTTTACAAAGTGCTTTTAACATGTATGAGCCCCCTTAAATGATGTCTCTTCTTTGAAAGGCATTTGAGTTCAGTTGGTACATGGATTCGCTCTTCATACTCGTTCTTTACAGCTCTTTTCCGAACTTCGACATGGAGAAAGGTTTCAGGACGAGTACATGTCTCGGTTCGGTGTGCGCCTAGGTCACATTGTTGAACTGGTGAGGTCGGACTGTCCGCATGCCGGATTTCATCAACCGCCTGAAAGAACCGCCATCAGTGCTGCTTTGCTTGCTGGCAATGCAAGGGTCATGGTTCCTGGTGAGTGGTAGTCTTGAGAGCCCTGAATAGGCCTGAACAGTGTAAATTTTGTCAATGTCAGAAACATGTCTCAAAGTCTCATTAAAATTCGCGCCCCTCTGAGAGCTGAGATTATGAAAAATTATACTCTGATGCAGAGGTGCTCAAATTTTGATTAGGATTTCAGACAGGTTTCTGTGATAATGATACAAATGATAGGGGTGAACATAGACAGCAAATTTCAGCGATTCAACGCATTGCAGTAAGTGGGATCTCCAACGATGGGCACCGTTTGGATTCGGACGATAGCGTAGCTTACGCATGTTTGTCAAGAAAGTGGTTTCCCACGCGAAAAAAAACTTCAGTATGGAATCCTGCCTTCAGTGCTTTATTCATGAAAAATTGTAAAAGAATACAGTACTGGACAGTACAGCCGAATCTATAGCTTGAACATTCGGCACACACAATTGGCTTGCGTGAACATTGATATTGGCAGAGTTTGGGCCAACTTTGCTTGTGTTATTTTTGATCCGAGTTTATCTCAGTCTTTTCCTAAAGAAAATAAATCTTGTTGAGTTTGTCTGTTCTTAATTATTTGCAGTTTACATGTTATTTCTTAAGTATATAAGTAAAAACTGAAGGTGTAGTTTCATTCTTTTCTCTAACGATATCATCCATGTCAAAGGCTCAGCAAAGAGGACATGGACCATGGATGGACCATGGATGGACCATTTAGATGTCACTCAATATCGAAAATAATCTATAATTGACTGTGCCATCAGGCAAATACCTGCGACAGTCTCGGCTGGGACACCTGAAGCTCTGGTTAACGCAAAGAGACGTCCCTGCCCACGCATCAACATAGTGCTCACAGTTACACGTGAACTTGTTATAGTGAACGAACGTGTGAAGGGAACGCCGTGCTCTAAAGACTGCGTATTCGCCGTACCAACCTGGACCATGATTCCGGCACCACTCGACGCTGCTCTTGCCGCCTTCCTCTGAGTAGTGCACTTCATTGACCCAAAACGAACCGCTTGAATGTGGTTCGACATTAATGAAGTATCCAGGCCTGTCGGAAGCCAGCAGCCAGTGATCGATCGGCCAAAAAATTTTGCACGCAATTCTATCACCAGGATCTGCATCCATGTTTCTCAGTGAAGTATAGAAAGCTGATGTATGGCTCGAGAAGAACGTAAGACCGATGAGAATGGCGGGACAGAAAGCCATCGCTGCAACTTCGTCGATGAGAAACTGGTGCTCGATGTTGGGCTGCGTGTGTGGATCGTAACACGTATCTTCGATGTCAGACTTTGATTGATAGCACCTGCGGGGCAAGATGGTTTTTTTTTTAAATTCGAGTAAGGTTTGTTTTTTAGTTGCACTGAAAAAACTTGTTGGCACTTTATGTTGAAGACACAGATGACATTTGGATCACTTAATGACACTGTCATCACAAACTGATCAACTTTGTCTTCAAAAGTCTGTACACTGCCAATCCAAGGCTTAATGTGAGAAAAGCCGTGTCTCACACTTTTAGGTGTGAGACCTACGGTGTCTCACACATTGCAAGCGTAGGACAAACTTGGCTCACGCCTGTAAGCGTGAGACACAATGGTTCGCACTAAATAGTGTAAGACTGTTCCACACTTGGATTCGCAGTGTGGGCGTAAGTCGAGGAAAAAAGGACAAGGTAAGAAAAGTGCACCTTAATGGACGCTTATAGAGCTGGTATTTCGACTTTAAAGTCGAGAGATAATTATCTCTCGACCGGTCATTTCAACTAGAAGTGGAAATCAGAATAATGTAATCGCCGGTAATCGCCCCAACTGGACGATTTAGTGTCTGCAGTTGGTCAAATGGGGGTGTAATTTCCTTTCGGTGTACTTTACTTCCCCTTCTTATTCCTACTCGACAAGATTGTCCGGTTTGATGACATTCTTGCAAGAAAACGAACCTTGACGTTGTCATTAAGTGACAGCCAAACTTTTCTCCAAGTAAGATTTAGAAAGGTTCTATAACTACTTACCGCAATAGAAATTACATTCCAGCGGTGAGGGTTCGCAGCAAGGCTTGGGCGTATGTGGCTCTACCATGCACACTATGCTCCGTCCACCGACAACTTGCAGCAGCTGTGTTCTGAGCACAGGAGCGCCAGTGACTGGGTCGTTCGTAGTAATGTTATATCCCGTTGATTGTGATAAGGCGGCCATGACCTTCGGCCAGCGTGCGCTAACAACCTTGTGAAAGAGGAAAAGTGGACAGAAATAAATATGGGTCAATACATCTGACTCTTGATAATAACTCCGCAAACTCACCTGATTGTGTACCAAATAAGTACTCCTGGCATGTACTTTCGAGACACTTTTTTCATTCTTTTGGGCGAGCGGTGTGAAAACCACTCTGTTTTGAAAACCCCAGTCACCCTGTTTTGCGGTGAACGTCGTTTGCTCGACCGACTGAGGCTGTGTTTTTCTGCAGACAGCTGCCCGATTGCAAGCTCCAAAAACCGACCTATGCCCGGAGGAAGACTTCCTTTTCAACTTCACGCTCCTGTTCCTTCGAGGGAGACCGGGTATTTACATTCCTCTGGGTTCGAGAACGAACCTGCTGTTTTGTCCGATGTCTGTTACAACACAAGCACTCCTTGAATAGAAATTTAAAATAAGTCACGCCAGACAATATTTGCATCACCTGATAGAAACAAAATTGGATCACCGATCTGATGGGCTTAAAGTTGCATCATTCACGAAAATCAACTAATACGATGTTTTTTCACTTTATTGCAAATTTTAAAACAGGCTTTGGCAGTACGCTGGTTGTAGCTTTGCCACAAAACCGTAGCAGCCTGCTAACTATCTCAGGTACGTCCAAACGGAGAAAAATAAAGGCGGATTCAGTTTTTAAAAAAAGTGCTGTTTCTCATTTATTTGTCGGTTGGCATCGGTGCGAAAAAGTCCCCGGACGAGTGTGCGGCGCCGTCGAACCAAATGTGGAGAACTGCACACTTCAGAGTGCAGAGTAAAGTTCTTCGCACTTCGATGTGTGACGTGTGGCGTTTGAAGTCTCCCCCCTTAAAGTGTAGTGACAGAGCCCCCATCTCTTGGCGTGGTGCAAACGTCCAGAACTACACACTCGACGTGGGAATATTGCAAACTCAGGCTAAAAATTCCTCAACTCCCCATTCCAAGTGTGGTTTCAGCGCCTTGCCGGAACCCGAATCCACGGCCAAGTTCGCGACTGCTGCAGGCGCTGACCTGTGCCCTTCCCTCTTGCTGCGGCGCCTCGCCGGCGAGCCTCTGCTGTTGGTGGTTGGCGCGCAGCACGCAGCGCGGCCCGGCGGACTGCATCGGGCGGCCTCAGGCTACTTGCTGATGGGGACCGTGGAAGAGGTGGGTAGGCAACCCTTCTGCCCGCCCTGAGAGTTGGGTTGCCGCGCATCGAGGCGTTGGCTTGCGCGCCTCACGACAATAGCGTCCGAACGTCGCCCTCTCAGCTTGATTCCACTTGGGTGGACGGGCGGCCATGCTGCACTGCAATAGAAAGTGTCAATAGTACAACAATTAGTACAATAACAAGGTAGGTTTACGCCAGACCGCGTCTTGTCGTAACAGGCTTCGCGATGTCTCGCTGCCTGTTCCTCCAATCCACGCCTGGCGTACCTACCTTGGCCTGCGGCGCTAGCCTGCCTGCGGCAGGCAATGGCTTGTCCATTGTCGGTTATTTTTTAACTTGTTGAATGGTGGGGGGCTCCGCCCCCAGACCCCCCTACATTCTAAAAAGAGTTGTTTTATCTATAGATAACACGATCTTGACCCTTGTCACTTTTTAACTTGTCGAGGCTGGGGGGCTCCGCCCCCCAGACCCCCCTTTCTCCAAGCCGGAAGTGATCTTTCTGCTGAAAGCTCTATTTGCCGTTTTTGGCTGAGCGATAGCGAAGCCCTTGCCGTGTTTGGGCGCGCTGAAAAGTGACTGGTCGTGCGTCTGTCTGTCTGTCTGTCTGTCTGTGAGTCTGTTTGTACTCACCAACGATTCTCAGCAACTACAGTGGCTATAGTTTCAAGATTTCGTATTTAACGTCGCCTTAGTACCCCCCAACACGAGTTTGTTTCAAATCGTTGTTTAGTATCGTTTGAAATATTCAAAACATACTTTTGAATCAGGTTATTAGCATGGTTAGGTTGGCAGCACTCAGCACTCACGAATTTCTCATACCTGCGGCCGCGGCTCTCAAATACGGGACAGAAGCAAATAAGCAAATAAAACAAAATAACGAGCAGAAGGGTTTGGAAATGAGATCGGCCATAGTTTTTCCACATTCTAGAATGATTAAAACCCTTTTAGAGTATCAACACAGCGAAATATGGAGAATGGCAGTGAAAATGATTTACGTGTTTCGTTCCCCTTCGCCCCTCCCCCTTTCGAGGGGAATCTTCTTCAGGTCAGTGCACTTTGACAGAGCAGTGTAAAAAGAATGTTTTTATTTTGACCTTTTGTATTGTGGGCATCTACTTGTTTCATTTTCTATAGTGTAATCCTCTTTTTTAAATTTTCATAGTAGAGGAAATCAGGGAAATGCATAAATAACTTGTGTTGACATTAGCAGGCATACTTAGTTTGGACTCGAGAAATACATTCTATTGCAATGCTGCAGGCTGACAAGAGTGCCAAAGTACTAACATGTGTTTATTAATAGAATCAATGTATGGTTGTGTATATTTAATCCTAATAGAGTTTGAATTGATATTGGGTTCAAAGAGACGACTCAGGTTTTGAGCGGTGAGTGAATTAGTGAATGGATTTAATGAGACGATTCCTTTCACTTCACTGAAGTCAATATAACTGGTACTACTCAGAATTGCATACCTGAGTAAGATAAATTGTGTCGGTTCATTAAGCCTTGGGTAGCCTTGGCATTGGACTCTATGAGACGAATCACTGGATTTGACAATAATTGGTCCCCGTTAACTGGTTCAGATCAGCCTACCCTAAACTGACTCTCTTAATATTAACTGTGATAACGTATGCCAATCAATATTGTTTTATTCACTGGTTCACAATGAAAGAATGACAAAATGTTTCATAGATATTACTTATAAAATTGAGAATTCATTAGTTAAGAAAAAAGAGATATCGAATAGTGACCCAATAATACGAGTAACCAATTAAGCGATTCAATGCTGGCAATTGAATGTTACTCGACTGAGGGATTCACATTGGTGTGGCATCAGGGAATTGGTGATGACAGAGGGTGCTTCATGAAGACAGTGTAGGAATGTACAGAAATTGAGTCTAGATAGTTGTTTGTAGATTTCAGTGTACTAGTCACAAAAGCTACATTTATTTCAATGCCAAACCTACACTTTCACCTAGAGCTACGCAATTTGGGGCGAAACTTTCTAATTTGAGAGTCATGCGTTTCCCTGCAGTTTTCAGTGCGCTGACTTCAATATTGACTTCTAAATAGTCCCCAGACCCAAAATTTAACCGATTTTGGGTCAAATTTTTCAAATTGAATTGCACATTGATTCTTGCAGTTTTTTGAGTGCTGATAGCAAAAATCACTTCCATTTTGACATCAGACTTATATTTTCATCCGAAACGAGGTCAGTTTGGACCAAAATTTTCAAGTCGAGTCTTATATTGTTTTCTGCAGTTTTTGGTGTGCTGAACTCAAAAATGACTTCCAAAATTTTCCCAGACTCACACTTACCCGAATTTTGACCAATTTTGGACCAAAATTTTTAAATCGAGTTTGACATTGATCCCAGCAGTTTTTGATGTGCTGATAACGAAAATCACTCTCATTTCGACTCCAGACTTATATTTTCATCCCAAATTAGGTCATTTTGGACCAAAATTTTCAAGTCGAGTTTAATATTGTTTCCTGCAGTTTTTGGTGTGCTGAACTCAAAAATGACCTTCAAACTTTTCCCAGACTCACATTTAACCGAATTTTAACCAATTTTGGACCAAAATTTTTAAATCGAGTTTGGCATTGATCCCAGCAGTTTTTGGTGTTCTGATAACGAAAATCACTTCCATTTGTACCCCTGGTCCAAAGTTCACTCAATATGAGTCCTTAAGATGCACATTTCTTCTTCTCAAGCAAAGTCCAAAGTGCACAAACCATGTCAATTCGCATCGCTCAGCCACACTACGCGCCCAGACTAAACGGCGCGTACCCCTAGTTTAGGTGTTTTTCGGCTATAAAAACTGAACCAGTAGAGCTAGGATGGTGAAATTTCGCGTGTGCCGAGCCAAGGACATACCCAAGAAGTGTGCAAAATCTCACCGAGATCGGCTAAGCCGTTCAGGAGGAGTAGTGCACACAGACAGACAGACAGACAGACATGAAAAACTTTTCAACCCCACTGGAGTAACAGGCTTCGCTATCGCTCAGCCAAAAATTGTGAAAAAAGTACGAGGATGGTAGAAAGTAGAACGAAGCTTGGACTGGACTGCACTTCTCGTCACATTGGAAAACAATTGTCATTCGACAATTCTTGTGCCCTAAAAGTACAAGCCATTCCTGATTTTTAAAAAAATGACCAACATTATTTTAGGTTTGTTAGTTTTCTCTAGCAGTGTGGTTGGTTCTTCCCGTGATATTTACGTTGTAATGCGTAAGCAAAAAGGTAGCCAGAAACACTCAAAATTGGCACTGTCAAATTTGTCATTGGATATCCATAGCGACGGTCCAAAACTTGCTATTTCTTGGATGAAAGCATTATTTTAACTTGCGGGTGGCCTTTCAAAAATGGTTGGTGGAACATGTTTTTTTTTTTTTTGTCTAATGCATGTTGTTGTGATGTTCTGGGTAATCTTCGACAGGTGCACCATAGCGCCCTTCACTTGCAGCGTCTTCCGGAGTGGACGCCCCTCGCCCGTGTGCTGGTGCATGTTCGCGCTTTTACGGGTAGGGCACCTCTATGGGTCTCATTATCTCTAGAATGGATTTTCAGTCTCCGTTATGGAACTTTTTTCCACAATGTAATACGAAAAACCAGAGTGGAAAAATGTTCCAATTTACATGTGGAATATAAAACCATGTGGATATCAGAAACCTGAATGGAAATATTCCAGACCCGCATGGGATTTGAATCTGCACTCTCAAAACCTTGCGAAGAATGTGTTCGCATTAGAAACCATTTGGTTTGCAGCTTGCGAAGAGTTTGGCTTGATTGTATTACGAACTAGTAGTTCGCAATTTTGCGAACAATGTGTTTGAGGGATCGCAATACAAACAGGTTGTTCGCAAATTGCGAAGCACTTCTTCGCAAGTTGCGAACTACTGATTTACAATACGGATGCGTTCTTCGCATTGCAAACAAGTGAGGCTTCTTCGCAAGCTTACAAACACATCGGTTCGCAAGGTTTTAAGAGAGTGGGACGTCTTACTGTTTTGATTTTGATGAGTGAAGAGAAGCAGCCTGATCTTGGCATTAAGGGCTTTTTGATACACTCAAAAGTATATAAAAGGATTTTGTATAAATTTTGATACAAAATACAAGGCGCCCCCACCCTCTCGCGAGCAAATTTTTTGACTTGGAGCAGAACTTTACCGCAACGCCGAAACTGTTTTACTTTCACTGTTCCTTTTGGCTGCACAGAGCGGATTCAACGGAGGCACTTCGCCGTGCATCGCATACTTCGTCTCCTCTGGAGCCAAATGTCCGCCCTCAACGTTGCAGTATCGACGTTGCATCCTGGCGGACGCACTGTCTACATCCACACGCTGTTCCCCTTCAAGGAGAGGTGACCCTACCTGGACCTCTCGTGCGACCAATAAGCCCCAGTACCGCGGGGCACACCCTAACTTGAACATGCACCGAACGCAACCATGCCCAAGTGTTAGATTTCCACTGCAGTGTTAAGATTCTCACATTTCAGTTGAAAATGGATGCACTTAAAAAAAATGTGTTATGTTTGCACAAATTAATTGCACAAGTATACTGAAAAATTGCACTGAGAAAACCTTACAAACTATTTTAGGTCATACAGACAAAAGCAGTTTGTATAACGAAGTATTTTGAGCATACATAAGCTTACAAAGAAAATACTTCGCTATTTACGAACTATTTCTTCGTTTAACAAAGTAAATTAGTTTGTATTATGTATGCTCAAAATAATTTGTAAGGTTTTAAACGTGTGAACAAAAAGACAGTGAGGTGCGGTGGATGTACCAATACTAAATTTGGTTCAAGCCAGAGATCGTTCGGTTCACTGCCTTTGTGGAAGAGTTACATACAAAATAATAAACCACAAGTCTCATTTGTATGGAACTTCCTCTAAGTTGGAGACGACCATCCGTGGTCACACTAAGACTCATCGGAGGCATGCAACTCTACCCGCAGGGGGGACCGACAAGTGCGCTGTGGCCAGGGGTCCGGCCATATCGCCTCGTTGGGACAAATCTCTGCGTGGCCTCACTTGGACACAACAGCATTGACCGTTCTGGATCCATTCCCGGACAAGGTGCGCAATTAAGAAACTATTCTCTGCTTTAAAATGCAATCTAGCTGCCGAGGGGGCAACCACTTACGAGCGCCTAAAATCTCTCCCCAAAACCAGGCATGAACCAAGCATAAACCAAGCAAACCTTTGGCGTAGAATCTGTCCAAATCTTGTGGAATCCGACGAAATCTCTTCCCTTGAGAAATCTTGTGTAACCAAACATCAAAAAGTGATTGCCCCTCTCGGCGATTCCTCGTCAGAAACCCTTTCTTGGGGATCTATTTGGGGTATTGAGCCACACAATATTATTGTACTTGCAGTTACCTCGAAATCTACTCGGCTGTGAAGTAAGGGGAAGCTTGTCCTTGGGAGAAGTGGAGTCTTGCAATCGTCGTTCGTCCTCAATTCAAAATGGTGCGTCTATCTTAATTGCTGTATGCACTAGCATTAAGCATTAAGTCCAAGTGACACCAACGCTTGCTTAAGTGCTGCATGTACTGCCTTTAAATGCAAAATGAGAGCAACACCACTTGATGAAGCCTCTTTTGTGCAGTGTTCTTTCTATTGGGAAATGCTGCTCACCATTTGAAACTGACAGGCCCAGTCAGGGCCGTTATTTCTACATTGTTTCAAATTTTAATCACAAAGTAGGTGAATATTTTCACTTTAGAATGGGAAAAGTCTCAAGCAGAACTTAGATAATTTAACTTCTTGTTTTACAAGTACAAATACAAATTTGTTATTCCGTGCTTCATCATGGTTAGACTGGGTGCACTTTTTGGCTGCAAACCGAAGCCAGAAGTCCCCGTGCGACGAAAAATTGGAAATATTGTGAGAATTGGGCTTGAGTACATTGTGTTTATCTGTTGGAAGTGGTCTTTCGCTGCATTCCGAAATTACTTTTCTGGGGAGTTTGAGTAGAAACAATGTGCATCACTCAACAAATTGAACGTCTTAAGGAATGTGATGTAAAATGGAACACTTCTGTTTGCATACTAGTATTTTGACTACAGTTTTGTGCTCCCAGTGCACAACTGGACGCTGGAGACTTACATCATGAAGAGTGTGTTCGAGGCGGCAGCCGTGCACTGGAATTTTACTCCAGATATTGACATGACACCAGACATTCCCACGGTGAGGCATGGAGGTGATCTATGATCTTCTCGGAAGCAAAGGGCTCTCAGAAGGAAAAGACGCTGCTTGCCAGAGGCCTTTCGTTGACAATGAAAAAGTAGTGGCAGTAACCAACGTAACTAAAACATCAGTTAGAACAACTTGTCTTCTTTTGTTTACCTAGGCATTGAGTAGGGCCTATCGTTAACCCAACTAACCCAAAATTAGAAAAAATTCTGCTTTCTTTTGAGCGGTTGGCTAAACATAGGCAAAGATACCAACATTCAACGTGTGTCTACTCTTAGAGGGGTGTGATATTTCGTTTGCAAACAGTCTGTTTAGCGGCCCTCGCCACGCGATGTACCACCATTTGCAGTGCAGGCGGCGCTGGCCAACGGCTCGTTCAGCGGCAGGCTGGGCATGCTGGAGAGGGGCGAGTGCGACGTGGCGCTGGCGCCCTACAACCTGGACACGAGGCGGGTGGCCGCCCTGCAGCCCAGCGCCGAAGTCACGCAGGACTCGTTCAAAGTGCACGTGCGGTGTGGCGTCACCAGGGTGGGCAGGTCGGGTCGAGAGGGTGATGCCGCGCTAAAAAAGAAATTAGTAAACCGACCGTATGCGGTAAAAACGGTTCCTGGTTTTCCCAGGAAGCCAGTGATGAAGACATAGGCGATTTCCAGAAAGTTTCTGGGGAAACCAGGAACCGTTTTTACCGTGTGGAATCCACGATGCGAATCTTTGTTAACAGCGACTCCGCCACAGTCCTGTTGCATGGCTCTGCTTTGGCTATGCTCTTCGGCGGATTGCTAATGGTCCTCGTTGTCCAGCTGATTAGTAACCGCTCAGGTACTTTCCTCACCACCAATACAAGTGTGGGGAAGTCTCACACTATTTGACGTGAGACACGGATGTCTCACTGGTAAAACTAAAGCGTAACTCTATGCTTGAGTCAAGCATAGAGTTACGCTTGAAGACTTTACGCTTGAAACGAAGGGTAGGCTTGAAATACCCCCATGCATTTAGATAGGGGGAATCTTGGTAGATGATCCGGTTACGCTCGATTTCAAGTTCAAGCATAAACTGATTACGCTTGAAAACAGAGGGTATTACTACGCTTTAGTTTTACCAGTGCTCACAGCGGCACGTGCGAGACACGGTTTGTCCCGCACTTGCTGCCTTTCAAAGTGTGAGATACTGTGACTCGCACTTCCAGGTGTGAAAACCTGAAACGTGTGATACTGTCTCACACTTGGATTTGCAAACTCTCCTCGGCGTTCTTTCACCAGCGGAACTCAACGTAACGTAGCGGCACTGTACTGATGCTGTCTCTCTTAACCACAGCGCTGGGAGAGGCAGGGGTCTCTTCTCGTCCCGACTTTTGGACACTGCTGTTTGACAACTGGTCTACCTTGACCGAGGTAAGTAAGAACCGCGTGAAAAAGGTTTGTAATGTGCAATCGAAATTCCAATAGATTCAACGAAATTCAATCTTAAGGGGGCTCATACAAGTTAAAAGCACTTTTTTAAAAAAAAATTTTGATGTAGACGGATTAAGATTTTACAATTTCTGTCTTAAAATCCTTTTAGATAATTGAGTAAGCTTCATTTTAGCTTAAGGGAAAGTGACTTTGGACATTTTTTGGAGATTTAGTCGAAACGTTTAAAACTTTGCTTCTCGTAAGATTTTGTTCGCATACTTGCTCAGATCTGTGGGGAAAAAATCAGGGAGACTCATCCCCAGTAGTGTCATAGAATTGACTACAATGGGCTTTATATCTGCAATAGTTTTCAAGAAAAAAAATAAAAACAATTTTTTGTTAAAAAATTTGTTTAAAAAATTGTTAAAAAAATTGTTTTTATTTTTTTTCTTCAAAACTATTGCAGATATAAAGCCCATTGTAGTCAATTCTATGACACTACTGGGGATGAGTCTCCCTGATTTTTTCCCCACAGATCTGAGCAAGTATGCGAACAAAATCTTACGAGAAGGAAAATTTTAAACGTTTCGACTAAATCTCCAAAAAATGTCCAAAGTCACTTTCCCTTAAGCCAAAATGAAGCTTACTCAATTATCTAAAAGGATTTTAAGACAGAAATTGTAAAATCTTAATCCGTCTACATCAAAATTTTTTTTTAAAAAAGTGCTTTTAACTTGTATGAGCCCCCTTAGCCTGATCGCTACGAGGGGACACTTGACGACAACAACCCAGCTTGCGGCTGGACTTGAGCACAGAGCTTGCGCTGCCCCGTGTATTAGAAAGGACCTCACGAGTAACTTCATGGCCCAATGCCCATTTGCCCGCGACAGGTGCCACTGCCCAGACGCACGTCCAGTGCCTCACTGCGTGCGTTGTTCGGTTCCTGGCTCTTCTTCGTCTTGACCGTCAATGTGGCCCTCAAGTCGCAACTCACGGCCGAGACCACGAAGGCCGCTCCTGTGACTCGCATCAATGCCGTAAGGGTTTGAATAAAAATGAAAAAATAAAATATGAAACACTGTTAAAAAAAAAGTCTGAAAATTCAGACAAAATTGGTAAGAAGTTATTAACAGACTTGAGGTCTGAAAATTCAGACCATTTAGATGGTCTGAAAATTCAGAACTCGATAGTCTTACGTTTAAGAGTTTGGTGGTCTGAAAATTCAGTCCTGTACGAAGATTGTGAACTTTAAGGTTCGTGACATGTTCAATATGACATAGAAAGAATCTCAGCTGTGTGTGAACCTCCAGAGAGGACAACAATGAGTAAAAATTGTGATGAGGGAGAAGGTCCTCTGTCCTTCTCCCTGACTCTCGAGGCCGGCCTGTGGCACCCAAGGAAATGGCGACACGGAGCCACCCGCGAGAGGTAAATTAGAATGTGGATTGTTCAACTTCCACCCATATTACGAAGATAAATCTTGCAGCAGAGAACGGTTCTCATATGGCCGATTAAGTCCTGTCAATTTGGAACTTTTCAACTAATATATTTTCACATTAGAAGCCTTTTAAACAGAAGTACGTATGTTCCACAACATGCGCGCCATCTAGCGGACAAACGAAATCTTGGGTTGGTCTGAATTTTCAGACTTAACCATCTAAATTTTCAGACTGCGCTGGTCTGAATTCAGGTTCTGAGACCATCAGGTCGCAATTTTCATACCGGAAGGCAAAATTTTCAGACAAGCAGTCTGAAACAAGTCTGAAAAATAGATTCGGACCACCAAGTCTGACTAAAGTGGTCTGAATTTTCAGATTTTTTTTAACAGTGAAGATTTAGCCGTTACACTCTCATTCCAGGAACGTGACGTCTCGTTGGTGAGCATGACAAAATATCCCGCTGGCTGGTCCACATCCAAACGAATGTGACACAATGCTCACAGGAACGTGACATTTTTTCACGTTCGTTTCGAAGTGATGTCACGTTTATGGAATGAGTGTGATTGTGCGCTAACACTTCTAGATACTCTTGATCAGAAATGAAAGTCGTTAACCTTCCGAGGAATTCTCTCTTTTTTTAAAGCTAGTGGAGCTTCAAGATTCAAAAGTGACGGTGCTGGGCTACAGCAACAGCCGGTCGGTTGTGGAGGCAGTCGATGCGATGGGCTTCGGGGGAGACAAGTCGCTTTTCTGCGAGGACGACACCGTCGAGCCCTGTCTGACCAGGTCTCTGCTCAACGTGGCAATTTTAAAGAAATTTCATAGCAATTCGTTATCATGTGCAGATGAGCAAGGACCCTGCACACAACGAACGCTCATGGACATTTGATCCACGAAGCGGAAGAAGGGGTTAAGTCGAGTTGATTCAGTGACCTCTTATCTGTCTATCATGTAAACATAAGCGAAAATTTGGTCCAAAAATAAGTGTGGTGAGACACATCCCATCCTCTTGCATCTATTTTTAGATGACATTCCCCACCTGTTCTTCCACCTGCAGGGCTTAGGCCTTGCTAGAGTGCACGGATTCAACTCGACTTACCCCCTTCTTCCGCTTCCTGGATCATTTTTGTACTAAAGTATTGACGTATTTGCGCTGGTTTCAGCTATGTACATGTGCTCATCAATTAGGTACAATGTCATACAGCACGATGTGTAAATATCGTCCCTCATTCATGAATTAAATTGTACCTAGCTGACATGTGCGCCAATATGGTGATACATGTGGACAGTGAGATTATTTCGTAAGAGGAAGTGATACACCAAAAATTTTGTACGTGGTCTCACGCTATTTTAAACTTGCGACCTTTTCGTTCAAATTTGACGTGGAAACAATCCGTGAAAAATCTCGTACAAATTTATACGAAAAGTACGTAATTGCCACGCGATGAATTGCGCAAAGGGACTTTGTGTGTATTCAGCGAGGGAAAGTGATGCCGAAATGCTCGATTGCAACAGGTTCGAGTCGGATGACGGCTTCGCGGTGCTGCGCTCCGTGGCCATGCCTTCCTCCATGAAGTGCCTGCGTGGATGCTACTACGTCGTGGACGAGAGCGTCATCATTGCTAGTATAGTGTTCTTCATGCGTCGCCACGACCCGCTGGGCCAACGCCTCAGCGACACTGTACTCGCCCTGCGCGCCTCGGGCATCATGGACCACTGGCAAGACCTGCACCGGCTCCGACGGACAACAGTGGTTGGTGAACGTAGACCCATCGTGATCACTCAGGAGATCACCTCTTTCGATTAGGACTTGCGGATTGAGCTGAGGAATTCTCAACTTATTCACTCTTCCTGAATGTGTACTGATGAGCACAGTGAGTTGAGTAAAACTCCCAGCGGCGTGTTCTCATTTGAGTTCTTAGATGAGCACACACCTTGGCATGTTTTGATGAGTAATTATATCAGTACACTCTATTGTGTACAGTATTGTACTCATTCCAACTAGTATAAACCACAGGGAAATAACTACTAAAGAATTTGTATACGTAATGGACAATCGTGAATTTCAGTCAAATTTCTTCAGAATTCATCCAGTTTAGTTGAAACTGATAGAAATTCTTCAAAAGTCAGCCCAGATTATACCGAAATCCGAGAGAATCAGGCTGCAATTCATTGAAATTCGTTCGACATTCTTGTGGGATTTAAAAATTGATACACTGAAACTTGAAGTTATTTCCCCTTGGTAAAAACTCTCCCTGCGTACTAGAGCTTTCATATTAGTAGTACACTCTCCTGTGTTGCCCGCAACTAAGGACAGTACATTAAACGTGTTTCTGATGCCCGCTTGTTGCAGTCGCGCAATCCCGCAGCCGGGCCCGACGGAGGAATCTCCCTAAGGCTGGCGGCCGTCGCTTGGTCCATGGGTCTCACAGTGGCGACGGCGGTGGCGATCTTTGAAGTTCTCTGGTGGCGCTTGCACCACCGACACGGGTTCTGAGCGGTTCTGAGTGTGTTCGCAACGAAAGGCCCTCATACTTTTTAGACCATGCCAGCAGGGTGTGGGAGAAGCAGCAACACCGAGCAAAACACGCTCATTCCAGGAACGTGACATCAAGATCGTAAGCATTGTGTCACATTCGTTTCGGTGTAAATCAGCTACAAATTAGCTTATTCACATTTAAACGAATGTGATACAATGCTCAAAAGAACGTCACATTTTGTCACATCCGTTTGAACTTGATGTCCCGTTCCTCGAATGAGACAAGTGATGTACTTCACTGTGGCAAAAAGGTACGGAAAATTCTGTTAATTTTTTTGCCAGGATTCTCCGTAGCCCTCTTATCAATATTCTCCGTAGGCTCTTACAGTATTCTCCGTAGGGCCGCACAGTCTTCTCCGTAGGACCTGGAAGAATGTACAGTCCTACGGAGATCACTGTAAGGTCCTACGGAGAATACTGTGCGGTCCTACGGAAAATACTGTAAGAGCCTACGGAGAATACTGACAAGGGGGCTACGGAGAATTACCACAAGCTGTTTACAGAATTTTCCGTAGCTTTTTGCCTCAGTGTTGCCTTACTCAGAGCTGATCTGAGATCAATTCAATTCTTCCTGGGCTGTTAAGGTGAGTCAGCACCGCACGCCGAGAACCTTACACGGAAGTACTTTGAGCATATGAGCGTATGTAAGGGGCAAACTATTTAGTTTGTCATGCAAAGAAATAGCCCGTAAATTGCCAAGTATTTCCTTCGCAAGTTTGCGTATGATCAAAATTCTTTGTTATAACCAGCTACTTTTTTTTTCGTAAGACCTAGTTTGTAATGTTTTCAGAGCGCGCTTCTCACTTCAAAGAAATAGAATTCATTGTAACGCCTTATAGTTTTCGTAAACTCTTTGAGTGTGTGCAGTACAGTAGCATGAGCAAATAAGTCTACAGGCCGTTAAGGAAGCGATTTATTCAATACTGTAGAGACCGGGGAGGACGGCTCGGGGCCTCTCGGCCGTCTCGGCGACACCCTCAGAGTGCAGTGGTCCTTGAGGGCGAGCACGATGCTGCGGCCGGCCAGGAAGGGCGGCGGCAGCGAGGGCGTGGCGGCGCACGGCGACACGTGGAAACGGTGCAGCACCGCGGCCAGGCCCATCTTGACCTCCTGCAGGGCGAAGCGGCGCGCTGCAAACGAACGGGCTGTTAGGGACGTGTGTTGATTTAGGCCCACTGAGACAAATAAAAACAAAAAAAACTGCGAAGCATTGCTTTGTAACACGCAGAAATTTACGAAATTCTTCGTATCAAGAAGCAAAATCCTTCGTGATGCGAAGATCTCCTGCATACTAAGTTATTCTACAAAACATGCATTTTCTTCGCAGTTTCAAACCAAACGGTTGGTAGGTTTTTTGAGTGCACAGTGGGAAGACTGTGCAGGGACAAAAGGGACGGAGAAAACACTGAAAAACCAAACGTGGGCTAGACCACACCAGCTGATGCAGTCAAAATGGCACGCATCTGGCCACACCAGTGGTGTTGTCTAGACCACGTTTGGGTTTTCAATGAGGGCATTTGACTTTTACTCCACCAATCGAAAGGCGTACATTGTATGATCTACGTGGAGCATGCCTGCAAGCACACTTTTAGAAAGCGCGTGCCTGCCAAAGCATGCACATACTATGGCGCATACTTGCCATATACACGCTAACTGAAGCATACATCTAGTGCATAAGGGATAGGGAGTTGTAGCATCAGAAAGTGTGTACTTGGCATGTATGCACTACGTAAGTGCATGCGTGGCAGGCATTGCGCTAGCTAGAGCGTGCTTGCAGGCATACTCCAGAGCATACAATGTGCGCTTTTCGATTTGTAGCTATGTACATATGTGGCAATAAATTTTGAGGTCGTTCTCTTGAGTACAGTGCGCGAAGCTTGTTTAATTAACTTAACGGTACGTGACGAAGGTGATGCTATATTCGTTTGAATGTTGTTGATCCACGTCCAAACGAATGTGACACCCGAAAACGATCCTAACCAAAGGCATCGTGAAAAAATTCAGTCTAACGATTATGACGTCACATTCGTTGAATAACAGCGAATCAGCAACAAGTGCCCGTCAGCCGCGCAATCAGCTATTTCGTCCACAGTACTACAATATAACATGTCCAGTACAGAAAAAGAATCACAAAACGGAAAATTTTGCCGGTAAACTAATCCCACGGATTTGGGAATCTCAACGAAGTGCGTACGCCGACAGCGTGAGCGTGGCTGCGCTTCTACCTTGGCCATTGCCATCGCCACCCCCTGTTTTTCCCCTGTTCTTCGATCGGCAACCAGCGGCATGCACCCCCCCCCCCCCCGACGAGGAAAGGAACCAAAAGGGTATACTGAGGAGGCAAGTTTTGGCGTCCAACCCCTGGAAGTAAGGAAAAGTCACTCAACGAGGCGAGTTGTGCACGCCACTATCGGCGACGACTGGAGAGCTCAAGTCTAAAAATTGAAAGAGTGTACTCTTTATGCATCTCTGTAGATGAGTACAGGCCTATCTGAGTACACAGCTACCTACCCATGCATGCGTAATAGGTGAAGTTTATCCAAGAATGCGTCTGTAAATGTCTACTCTGACAAGCACTGAATACCCGTTCCAGTTTGTGGAGCATTCCCCGTCCTTACCAACGCAGTGGCGGCGGCCCAGGCCGAACGGGAGGTAGGCCTTGAGGTTGGCCGGAGCCACTGTGGAGTCCCCTCGACTCTCCGCGGCGGGGAGAAAGCGTTCCGGTCGGAAGGCCTCGGGCTCCGGGAAGTACGCTGGGTCGTGGTGCACCGCGTACACGGGGACCACCAGGCGGGTGCCCTCCTCCACTGTCACGGCCTGGCGGGGGAGAAGACAATCCATCACTTGTGTGTCGCGCACGCGTTGTACTGTTTCACTCACACACTGTGCCAAAAGGCTACACTGTAAAAAAATTCCGTACTATTGTACGGAAATGGTACAGAAAAATATAGTGCGGAGGTACGGAGAAAAGTACGGAACGTTCCGTACTTGCTCCATATGAACCCATGTAAATGGGTGCGGAAAGAAAGTACGGAACGTTCCGTAGGTGGCAAGTACGGACGTTCCAGGCAAATTATTGACCAGACATGTTCCGTACTTTTTCCGTTCTTTTTTCTCACAGTGTACGGAAAATTATGTAAACAGCTTGTGGTAACCCTGAAGACTGTATTGTCCTACGGAGAACACAGTAAGGTCCTACAGATGGACAAGACTGTACGGTCCTCCGTAGAATAATGATAAAAGGGCTAAGGAGAATATTAGCAAAAAAAAAATAACAGAATTTTCCATACCTTTTTGCCACAGTGCAATGACTAAAGTTCACTCTCATCCTTCAATGGACATCACTTCATTATTGATGAATGTGCACATTTACAGAGTTTCGTTAAGAAGCTTAACAGAATTCTCAAGACAAAATATTCATAATAGTTTTACGAAAACAAATAAAAATGTTAACATGCTCATTTATGTGTACTACACACACACACACACACACACTCTCTCTCTCTCTCTCTCTCTCTCTCTCTCTCTCTCTCTGTCTCTCTCTCTCTCTCTCTCTCTGTCTCTCTGTCTCTCTCTCTCTCTCTCATCCTCTGTTGGAATTTTGGAATTTTGATGGTTTAACGTTGAAGTTTAGGTGCATTTATAAGATTTCGTTTGAAAGCTGGATAAAAATCTCAGCAAATTATTGATAAAACGTTACTAAGTTTGTTGAAAACCCTATTAATGCACACAACCACGAATACGTCACTGACGAAATTCGAGGTGTTCTAATCAAAAGATTTTATCAGGACACTCCTGTATGCAAAATCTTATCTGCAACGCAAGCTAATTTCACTAAGTTTGACCTTGGGACGGATAAAAGGGTACGAGCGGAACATATTTCTACAAGCACTATCGGTCTCTTTGATATTACATCTTCAGGTTTCTGTGGCTTAAATCACAAATTATTTTGATTTGTAGCTGTATCAAATGATCAAACTTAGTGAAATTCTCTTGCGTTGCAGATAAGATTCTTTGTACAGGAGCGCCCAGATAATTTCTTTTGAGTAGGACCCCTCCAATTTGCGGGACGAGTACGAGAGTGCACTAAATGTATTTTGAATTATTTTGTCCTAAGTCTCTTACTTCTATAAGCATACGAGACACTTACATTTATATTTTTCAAAAGGACAAAAAGTTCCACATTTCGTAGCAATTGAAATTGTTGTTAAACATATGGCGAGCGGCTTACCTCATCCCCCTCCGTTCCCGGAAGCGTGCAGCGACTGGAGGCGTGTCGAATGAGCGTGGCGTTCGGAGGGTACTTCCGAAGGGTCTCTGCAGAAAGATTGAAAAACACCTAAAGTTAATGAAAACTTGCGGAAAAACGTGAGCTAGCGACGTAATACACGCACGTTACAAAGGCACTCTCATTCCAAGAACGTGACGTCACGTTGAAACGAATGTAGTAACAAGTTGTCACGTTCCTTAGAGCATGTGTCACGTTCGTTTGGATGTGAATCGGCCATAAATTAGCTTTTTCACTTATTCAAACGTATGTGACTCGATGCTCAAATTTGAGCATCGAGTCACATTCGTTTGAATAAGTGAAGAAGCTAATTTATGGCCGATTCACATCCAAACGAACGTGACACATGCTCCAAAATGTCACGTGCCTTAAGGAACGTGACATTTTGTTACATTCGTTCCAAAGTGATGTCACGTTCCTGGAATAGAGTGAAATCGGATTGAAAAATTTCAGAAATATTTGGACAAACATTTAAGTACATAAAAGTAAGAAATAATAATAAATTCTAAAAATTTAAAAAAAAAACAAAAAAAAACAACAGATTTCCTCACGAAATTTCACAGTGGGTCACCCATCGCATCCTTACCTTTGACGACGCAGTCGAGATACGTCATATCAGCCAACGACTGCGCGGTGAACACCGCCTCCCCGGCGTCTCCTCCGTCCTGCTGTGCGTGCAGGTCCAGCTCCTCCTGCAGCCTCCGCTGCACGTCCTGGTTGTGGGCCAACTCCAGCAGGGCGAACGCGAGGGTGGGGGCCGTGGCCTCGAAGCCCGCTCTGAACGTGGCGAACATCTGAGGCGCATGGACGGAGCGCAGCATGCGGCCCTGCGCTGCGTCTGCTATTTCACCAAACAAATTGCAAATTTTAACTACACTTGTCGCTGTGGATAATATTCGTATTTCGGTTAGCACATCCACGGGCAGTGACGATCGTTCACAAAGTTCGAACTTTGTTTGTGACAACGTACCTTTCTCCATCTCATTTTCGGCCTGGATCATGCTGTCAAGGAGGGTGGAGTGAGACGACTTCTTAGCTTCTCTTGCGGTTCGCAAGTCACGTACAATTTTCTGGAGAAAAAAAAGGAGAAAAAGATTACTTTAGAACAAGAAAGCAGGAGGGAAAAACTGGGAAAAACCCACTCACTACTAGAACCGGCTACAACGTCCCTAAGGACGTAACTTCTGTTTTGACAAATTAATCTAGCTGTTGCCGTTGACAACTCTCACGCACTGCAAACCTAACTGTCTACTAAGTACACTGTTAAAAAAATCCATCTTAATTTTAAGAAACTTTTTTATGAAGCAGTTTACAAAGACTTTTTGCTTGTAAAAGTAATAAACTTTTCCTTCTTAAAAGTAAGAACCAAATTTGAAAAGTAATAATCTGTTTCTTAAAAGTTGTTTTTGCATTTAAGAAGAATTTAGTGTAGAGTAGGGAAAAATTGAACTCCTTATGTACGTTATGAGTTACTCATTGCATGGTAGTAGTCGATTTCACTGCCGAAGTTGCTTGGAAGCGTGGTTGAAACTCGGTCTCGAACCCGGAATTCCGGATTACCGCACCGCGACGCTACCAACTGCGCCACGAGTGAGCTCTGCGAGGCGGGGCTTAGGATGTGGATGACTCCAAGCCTCTCGGCGGAGACTCCGCTAGGCAGCGGAAGCGCTCATCCAAGGGCCTCCAAACACGACTTCACATGACCAAGATCACACAAATTTGTTCTTTACGTACACTGGTAGTGAAGCGTCCAATGATCACAATGTTAACTGGCAGGATGAGAATCAAATATAAAAAGTCATAGTAATTTTGAATTTTAAGAAACAAATTATTACATTTGGTAAACAATCTCAAATTTTATGAACCTGTTTTTCAATTTTAATAAAGTTTCTGAAAGTTGCCAATATTTTCATTACTTGTCAGAAATGTTTTGGTCAATGTAAGAAATTTTCTTAAACTTCACAAACCTTTATGAGTTACCATATCCTTTCAAAAGGTTCTTAAAATTAAGATGACATTATGTATTAAATTTAAGAATTTTTTTAACAGTGTACACACTTACAAATGCGTGCTTGCAAGTACGCACTTACAAACGCATGCTTGGCCAAGTACACACTTACAAATGCATGCTTGCAAGTACACACTTACAAACCCATGCTTGACGCATGGAGTTATACACTCCACAAAAAATGTCCTGTCAACGCCGTTAATTTATTACTAATGTTTGCTGTTATGCAATTCACGGCGTTTGCTGTGAACTAGTTCATGGCGTTCATTGTGATCTCGGTTACAGTGTTCACTGTGATCTGGCCACAGTAAACGCCGTGAGAGCCTGATTTGCAGTACTTCGTGGCTCAGCGGCGTCAAACTCACAAGACCAGATCACAGTGAACACCGTGAACAAGATCACAGTGAATCGCGTGAGCAGATCACAGTAAACGCTGTGAATTGACCTACAGTGAAAACTGGTAATAAATTAACGGCATTGACAGGACATTTTTGGTAGAGTGTACGGCGTCAAGCATGCGTTTGTAAGTGTGTATTTGCAAGCATGCATTTGTAAGTGTGTACTTGGCCAAGCACGCGTTTGTAAGTGTGTACTTGCAAGCACGCATTTGTAACTGTGTATATACAGGGTGAGTTTCCTCAATGTGTCAATAATTTGCAGGCAGTTTGGGCATCCCTAGGGGACCATTTTTCGTCAATGAACTAGTGGGCGCAAACGTCTAGGTACGGAGATAATTGGTGTTTTGTAATTGGATTTTGCGCCTACGAGGTAGGCACCCGGTGCCACTGAGGGCGGCAGGACCTGTCGAGGGGGTGTCGCGGGACTAGCAGTACTCGCGGGAGTGCCACTGACCTCGCGGAAATATCCGTAGAATCCCGCCACCCTCGCAAAGACAGCCGTGAGATCCACTGTAACGGGGGCCACCATGACAGCCTCTTCAGACCCGCGGCAATCCCTCCCAAAAGACATTTGCAAGGTCCGCCGCACCCCTACGAGACTCGACGCACCCATCCTAGACCCGCGACACCCTTGCGACACCCCCACGCGGGGTCCTGCGACCATCAGTGGCTGAGGGTGCCTACCTCGCAGGCGCGAAGGCCAATTACAAAACACCAATTATCTCCGTACTTAGACGTTTGCGCCCACTAGTTCATTGGTAGAAAATTATCGCCTTGGGGTGCCCGAACTACCTACTAATTATTGACACATTGAGAAAACTCACCCTGTACTTAGTAGACAGTTAGGTTTGTAGTGCGCTTACAAGCGTGAGCCACGTTTGTCCCACGCTTGCAAGTTTGAGACACTGTTTGTGTCACACCTACACTTCCAAGCGAGGGTCCTGTGGCATTGAACTGAAATGAACGACAGGTAGCAAGTGTGGGACAAACCATGGCTCATGCTTGTAAGCGTGAGACATGGTCGTTCGCTCTTAATAGTGTGAGACTGTCTCACACTTGGATTAGGGTTCTAAACACCGGGAAAAAAACATGAAAAAACGGAAAAAACTGTTTTTTTCGGCTTTTTATTTTAGCAATTTTTCCGGAAAAATATGTTTTTTTCCTAATTTTGGTACTTTTTGGTGTTGTTTTGCTATTTGTGCTTATTTGACATGCTGGCAAGCTTAGTTAGGTCAATATCAACACCCAGGTATGACAATAAAAATAAAAATCGTGAGCTTCGTTTTTTTTCCACCTAACGCGCCACTACGCTAGGGTTCTAAAAAAGCGTGAAAAATAAAATTTGGAAAAAAAACGATGAAAAAAAACCGTTTTTTTCATCGTTTTTTTTCCAAATTTTATTTTTCACGCTTTTTTAGAACCATAACTTGGATTGACAGTGCGTGACTAGTCTGCGAACCTGGAAGAACCTGGCGGTGCTGTTGCGGTACGGGATGTGCACGGCGACGCGGGGGCACACATCCATGAGGCGCTGCCGCAGCCGCCGCCACCACGCCGAGTTGCTGAAGGCCTCGGCGCAGTGCGCGTGCATGGGGTTGCCAGGCCGCTCCAGAGCCCTGCATTCGACGCCGAACAGCGTCCGGCCCACGTCGTCGGTCACGAACCTGAGACGCAGAGTGCCATTGGAATGCGCTGGAAACTCTACATTGCAAGGCCGCGTGGGGCACACTGAAAATCCAAACGCTATGAATATAGCGTCAATTAGTGCAATGCTTTTGCATTGCACATGAAGTGCAATGCCTTCCCATTCCCATGCACTAGCATAGGGCACTTTCGTGAAGCATTGCACGTAAGGTGCAACATGGCTGTGGTATAGCACGTATGGTGCGATATCTCTGTGCATTGCACTACACGTGCTGTACTCATAGCGTTTGGAATCTCAGTGCAAAATGTCTCACGCTTGCAAGTGTGACACACCAATGCCCCCTGGAAGGGTGAGACTTGATCTGTACCACACTTGCAATCACCGGTCTCGTGGCACTGAACCACATAGCCAGCATAGACAATTTTGGTATTGTGAGACTGCCCCACTCTTAGATTTGAAGTATACTCTAGAAACTAATCAGGGCCACGCATCACTGTCGTTCAGAATGTTACGCCACATTCGCCAGAATGTGAATTTTGTCACGTTTGTTTGAGTTATTACGATGTCACATTCGTTTGACCACACGGTCGTTCAATAAGGGTGTCACTTTCGCTTTGAACGTGGAACAAAATACAAACGAACGTGACAAAGTACATTTTCTAGCGAATTTGACGTAACATTCATTGAATTCAGCGAGCAGTGTGCTAAGATGCACACTGTTCCTGAGAGTGTGCTTACCAACAAAAGCAAAAGAAAATACTGGTGATTTTAAGGGATTACGTACCTTTCCATGACGTCCTTAATTTCCACGTCAGCGTAAAGTTGGTCTCCAATAGTCGAATCAACTATATTTTGGAGGGTCCCAGTAGCGTGTAGTGGAAAAACAGCCTAAAATCAAAACCAAGAACTAAATTTGAAAACCGATTGTTAGAAATATGAAGTCTAGGGTGACCGTAGCGAGTCAATACCACTTTTACCCAGGGAACTGATGACGGGAGACCAACAACCGAGGGGGTAAACACTCCGAGAAGTCGTGTACAGAGTACTTGGTATTACTCGGTACGGTACACATGTATTACGGCATTAAAATGCCAAAATTTGGCACATTTGGCCCAAAAATGGTATTACAATTACAAGGTGAAAGCGAGTGTTTACCCCCTCGCGAACAACACCAATTACTATTTTAGAAAGATACCATCAATGTTTAGTGCTAGCAAGAGAGTCACACTCAAGTCGTGCAAAACTACGGGTGAATCATGTTTTTTTTTCCATCACTGGTAAATGCGGATAAATCAAAATAATGACAACTTGTCATTCAAAGGGAACGCGGCGTCTGCATCACGTTCCTGGATTTCCAGTTATTTTTGGCTTCGGTCTCCTTTCCGCATGCACCAGTTTGTTGTGTCTTCCGGGGGCCAAGGCGAAAAATGCCGCGCTGCTGAAGTGCCAAGCGCCCCCCCCCCTTTCTAAACACACAAGAGAGAGAGGAGAGAGGAGAGAGAGAGAGAGAGAGAGAGAGAGAGGAGAGAGAGAGAGAGAGAGAGAGAGAGAGAGAGAGAGAGAGAGAGAGAGAGAGAGAGAGAATGAGTTTCTAGAGCATCGAGTACAATTTGAAGGGCGTTGCCCTCGATGCGAACAGCACCAACCTTGAGCTTGGCCTGCGTGAAGGCCGGAGACATGACGGCCCGCACGACACTCCACCGTTTGTCTTCCAGCGAAAACAAATGCAAACTCAAAGGATTCGCTTTCTCGTTCTTCGGAAGGCCGCGGTTGGGGAAGAGGCTGCCAACAGAAAAGGTTTCACCATGAGCGTATTGGAAATGAACCGGTCAAAGGTTCATAAGGAGCGGAGCCCAAATTCTTTGTTTGGAACGCAAAACTGCAGAATATGCACTCAAGACTCTCACAGTGAGCTACGTTTAAGAGAATTCAGCGCAAGCATGATACGAACGTAAATTTCGACCCCTCCTAGGAAAACTATCCTAACTCGCACTCTCAGACTCGCTTTTGACATTTAGTACATGGTATTGTAGCCTAGTTATTTGTGCCAACGTACTTTTCGCTTTGCCATTAGTACACTGGTATTTCTTATGTGATAAGTTTCATAAAATTTGCTGCGATAAAAAAGCTGGTGTGATTCCTTCAAATTATCGCATCTTTGGCAGCGATAAAAAGGTATCGCATTAAAAATGCAATAAGTATCACAAGTTTCGGCCAGTCTGTGACCAGATTATCACAGTTTCGGTGAGTGAAATAATAACTACGGTAATAAAGCGATAAATGCGCTAATGCAATGCAATAATTATTGCACTTATAATGCAATAACTTTTTCAGGGCGCTACTAATGCAATAAAAATGTTATTGCTTAATTAGTTCATTATTACACTTAGAAAATCAGCCTAGGCTGAGAGTGCGCCCGGGCGAATGTGCCCTCATGCGATTCGACTCGAGAATTGAAAAAGGCCGCTTCGCCACTACGCCACTGGTTCCGCCCTACTCACCCGTGGTCGTGGCAGACGCGGTGGATGACGTCGAGGCGCGTCACGAGGAGCTGGCGGCCCCGCAGCGCCACGCACGGCCCGCCGGCAGCGCGGTATGCCTCCTGCAGCAGCAGGGCCTCGGGGACCTCGGCGGGGGCGGAGGCCGCGGACGGGGCGCGGGGCGAACGGACGAGGGCCGCCAACTTGCCGAACAAGCCCGCCAAGCTGCCAGTCCGAACGACGAGCGCCAGGATGACCAGCGCGAGGCCTGCAATCAGGGGACCAGTGAGCTGGGGCGACGAGACGCATCTCTCCGAAAAAAGATGGAGAATGATTGGAGTCTCCATGAACGCGATTATAGACTTTTTCTCCATAAAATTTCGGAGCTAATTTCTAACAGTGTATGGTGCGATATCTTAGCTTCATTGCACCACGTGCTATACTCATAGCGTTTGGAATCTCTGTGCTAGTCTAAACCCTATTCGACACACACTACCGAAATTAAAACAGACTTACTGCCAGTCACCGTCCACAGAGGCGTCACGTTCCCACTGCAGGTGTGCTCCATGGCGAGGGCCGCGACGCTGTTGGACGTAGGAAGGGTCGCCACACTCGCAGCCGTAGTCAGAGACGAAACACTGGTAGCCGTGGTCCGGGACGCGACACTGGTAACCGTGGTCAGGAGAGCCGCTGCCATGTCCGCTGCGTCTGGGTCTCGGTGGTGCACTGCCGGACTGCACCCGGGACGCCGCCTGGTTGGGAGAGAAGGAGGCGGGTGGCGTCCGAAAACACGCACCCTCGACTCCGTCGCTCCGCGCGGCCAGCAGCGGCGGGACGCGTCCGAGAGGCCTCCTGCGGGGAACCCCGCGCGGTGCCGTACCGCGGGGCCTGCACCGGAGGGGCTGCCCGCGCTGGCCGCCACCCACGGGGAATATCGCAGCCGTCTTGCACTCGCGGGCGGGATGCATGCTGCTGAACACGTCGGAATGCTCTCGTGGTGGGAATCAGCGTTTTTCAACCTTCTCTTTCAGATAAGACAGAGCGAAACTCGGAAGCTGAAAACAACACGAAAAGCAGGTTGCATGTCTGCAAGGATTATACGATTAAAATTTGCATGAGAACTCGCTTCAAATTGCAAACTTTTAAACGCGGTGTGGTGACGAAAGCGGGGGTACGTTTAGAAGGCACGCAGAGGTGCAACTCTCCTTGTTTCCTGCACTCTGCTACATAATTTGCGACCTACAAGGCCAACAAAGTTATTTATTGAACAGCGTCGTTCGTATTAACAACCATGCGATTTATTTGACATTTTTCAGCACTGGTAGAACTGAAGCGTAGTTTTACGCCTGTCTCCAAGCAAAGTAGAACTACGCTCAGCTTCAAGCGTAGTTCTCCGTTCCACCCCTCTCCCGCCTATCTAAATGCATGGGGGAATTTCTTCTCTACGCCTGGCTTCAAGCGTTAAGTCTTCAAGCGTATTTGTATGCTTGAATGATTCATACAACTACGCTTCAGTTTTACCAGTGAAATCGAATGTACGAATGCCTTGGCACGAATGGATGCACCCTTTAATTCACTTTCACATCAGCGATTAAAGGGGGCACACCAGTGAAAATGTAGAGGTTTTGAAAAACGATCATTCTGAGAAAAGTAACCTACGTATTCGATTGATATTTTATTCGTGGCTCAAAATTATATCAAAGAAAAGAAAAATCAGTATGGGAGGGTGGGGTGGCGATGGCAAGACGGAGCGCCAGTGCACTTCATTTTTCTGCGACCTCGTCTCACTCCTGCCACGATTCCGCCTCTCTGGATTGAGCTTCGAGCACGGGATTTGAAAATTTCTCAACAGGACACATGTGGCTATGGTCTGAACCACGGGGATGCAAAAAGAATGATTTTAAATTTGTTTTTTCAAAAGGCAAAAATAGAAACAAATTTTTTAACCAAATTTTTTGCGCTTTCATGGCTGCAGCTCACGTCCTTTTTATGGGATGGTCATTTCCGAGGTTCAGACCATAGACGCAAGTTTAACGAACATTTTGCCGCAAACCGCATTAATTTATCTCAATTTTTGCACCCGTGAGAGTGGCACAAAGGTACAAAAAAGGTGTTTTGAGAAAAAGCCCTTTTAGTAGAAACATAGATTTGACGTGTTTTTTCGGATTATAAATGGGCCTTTTGAAGTATTTAAGTTCGTTTTGCGCCAAAATGACCCCCTTTTTAACTGCGTTTGGGTGGTTCAAGGGTTTTGTAATTAAACTTTAAGTGAAAAACCTAAACGTTCACAATTGGTCTAAAATATCCAAAAATAATAACTTTTTTAGCAACTTCAAAAATGTGCACAAGCCAAAGTAATTGGAATTTTGGGGTGGGGTTTGCGGCATTCGACTCGGGATGAATAGCAGAAAAATGAGATAAAATAAAAAAGAAGGCAAAAATTTGACGATTTTCACTGGTGTGCCCCCTTAAATGTTTGGGTCATCGCTTTGGTTTTTCAGTGGCAATTCCGGACAAGTGACCACAGTTAAACTGACCCAGGTACAAAATGACCCCTCAATCATATTGACCACGACTGCGTAGTGAACCCATTTTAGGTTGACTCCACTTTTCATTTTTTAATTGTGTTTTAATAGACCAAACAGCGATACCAGATCTGGTATCGCTGTTTGGTCACGTCCATAAAATGAGTATTGTGCTCTCCACCTATTATGGCCGAACATAGTCCATCATCAAAAGTGCAGCACTAGTCATTGTGCACAAACGTCTCATCACCTTTCTTCGACAAACTTCGATGTTTTTTTTTCAAGTGCCGTGGTGAATTTTAAGTCCCGCAACCGTCACTTTCCATTGTGGCCGAAGAGCCTCTTTCATGCGAGGGAAGCCCAAAAGGTTCAGATCGAGTCACAATATTTGCATGGCATAGTTCATGAGAATCAATTCATAAATCCCTTCTATTATCGTTCGAAGGTACTGTGAAAGTCACTTTCCCAAAAATTGCTTTTAAATACGTAGCTTGCAATGGAGGTTTCTTAGCCTATTAATCTTGATTTATTTTCGCTCCTGGTCAGTTACATGTTAAAAGGACCCTTTTTATCAACGTTTTGACATCGACTTTCTAAGGGCCATTTTCTCATTAAACTTAAATAAATATAGGATTTTTTGACTTTTTGTGGTCAGTATTTAGGGGTCAGAGTGTGACCAGTTTGTACGCGCGGTCAGAGTACGAAGTGGTCACTTGTCAGTGGTGAGTGGGGGACGTGGTCAGTGAGAGTGTGGTCGGCTGTCCTAGACCCAAAGCTTTGACATGCTCGCGGCTCTAAAAACAAACATCGAGCCCCGTACCTGCTTAGTTTGTTATGACTAAACTTGGTTTCTGAGTTCCTTTAAGCAGAACGAACTGCCGAAAACCGAGACCTGCGTTTGGTAGAAGTCCAAAAACCCTTAATTGTTTTTGATGTTTTTTACTGCACTGAGAATGAATTGGTCACCACCATCACCCTTTAAATGGGTGATGCAACTTCGTTGCCCAAATTTTGGTGACGAAAAATTCATCACCAGAAATTGGGTAACAGGCGTTTGGTCGCCCAAATTTGGGTAACGCCGTCGGCGACGCCGTGAGGTTCCCGATGGCGTCCTTCCGGGGCCACCACGATGACCGGAGGCCTCAACGCCAAATTGGGTCATCGTGGTGGCCCCGTAGAGCGTCATCGGGGACCTTACGGCGTCGCCGACGGCGTTACCCAAATTTGGGCGACGATTTTATGACTGCCCAAAATTTGGTCACCGCGGGCTCGTCACCCAAATTTGGGCAACGGTGCGTGCGTTACCCAATGAAAGGGCGATGGTGGTGACTCTTTCATTCTCAGTGTGGTTCTTCTTTGCTGTTTTCATAGATAGCTGCTTTACTCCCGGTTTGCGGTCATACCTCGCTCCCGACGGTTTTCGTCAGTTCACATTGATGAAAAGAATCTTCAAACCGACTTCGGTAAGGTCAAGGCAGCGATGCTGAGCTAAGTTTTGTTTCTTTAGTTGTGTGGAGCTTCTCTGAGCGTGTCCCACGGAGCAAGATGGAATGGAGCACCAGCTATGCACGAAAACCGAACTACCTTTCGCGGCGGCAGTTGGAGCTTGCCCCGCTCGCCACCACGCGGCGATCGCGTCGTTATGGCTCTGCCCCGGCCGCTGGGCGCCTCTGCTGGCCACTGCGAGGCATGGGCCGGGGACTGTTTTTCGGCTTTAAGTCCTAAACCGTTCAAATAAAAGGGGTAGTGTAAGCGAGGCGATTGTATGTCTCAGTCTAAGCTACAATCGCCTCGCTTAGTACACCCCCCTAACTTCAACGGCCTAGGAGTTACGACTGAGAATCTATGGCTCTGCTGGCCCGTCCCCTGCCTGCTGTGCTGTCAGGTGTATCTGATGTGATAATGTGATCAATTGAGGGAATATTTGGGTGTGTCATGCAAAAAACCACTTGTGAAGTGACGAATAAAAGAATAATACATGCTTCGGAGTGAAGCCCGAATCTTGAACATTGTTAATATTTACCAAATTTGACAAATATAAGCGCGGTGCACCGTGGCAGACCAGACGGCAGTTGTTGTCACTCACTGTCACCTTTGATTAATGAAAATTTGAATGGAACACTTATAAACAAACATTCACCTGTCTCTCTCATTCACTGAAAACAAAGGATCTTGCTCCGTGCGTGTCCCGGCGTGCCCCCTTGTCACCGCCATCAAGCCAGTTGGGATGCCTATCTCCCAGGCTCGCTCGCCCGATGCGTCCCGCCGTCAGTTGGGTTGCCAGCCTCCCAGGTACTTTCCGCGTCAGTCGAGCCCGAGCAAAGACTCAGAGAGCGTTCGTCGCACTCCGTGCACGATTCTTTCGCGTTCACGCTAAATAAATTATGTACAATTGATCCATGAAGCGGGAGAAGGGGATAACTCAATTTTCATCATTTTTCAGGAGAAACAAAAAACTGTTTGCAGGGTAAACTTAGTCCAATCAGATGAATGATGCCGTTGGATTGTTGTCCAAAAAGCCTAAGAAATAACTGCGAAAATTTTCAAAAGTGTAGCATCATTCAGTAGTCGCTTTCAGTGATTTAAATCTTTACGTTGGAATGGACTTCAGAACCATGTTTACTTAGTTCTCCGAATCGAGGTGGAATTAGGAGACAATTCAAGTGGAGCTGAGGTCTGCGTAGAGTGTATACTTTTCTGGTACATTTTTGGAGGTACCTCTTTTTTCCAACTAGAGGTGTGGAGTTAAGGGGGCTCATACACGTTAAAAGCACTTTGTAAAAAAAAATTTTTTGAGTTGACGGATTACGATTTTACAATTTCTGTGTTAAAACCCTTTTAGATAATGGAGTAAGCTTCATTTTGGCTTAAAGTAAAACGACTTTGGACAGTTTTTGGAGATTTAGTCAAAACGTTTAAAATTTTGGTTCTCGTAAGATTTTATTTGCATACTTGATCTGTGGGGAAAAAATCAGGGAGACTCATCCCTAGTAGTGTCATAGAATTGACTAAAATGGGCTTTATATCTGCAATAGTTTTCAAGAAAAAACATAAAAACAATTTTTTGGTAAAAAATGTTTAAATTTTTCTTTTTTTTCTTAAAAACTATTGCAGATATAAACCCCTTGGAGTCCATTCTATGACACTACTAGGGATGAGTCTCCCTGATTTTTTCCCCACAGATCTGAGCAAGTATGCGAACAAAATCTTACGTGAACCAAAATTTTAAACGTTTTGACTAAATCTCCAAAAAATGTCCAAAGTCACTTTACTTTAAGCCAAAATGAAGCTTACTCAATTATCTAAAAGGGTTTTAACACAGAAATTGTAAAATCTTAATCCGTCTACATCAAAATTTTCTTTTTACAAAGTGCTTTTAACATGAATGAGCCCCTTTAAGTTGAATTAATTCTTTTACCGTTAGTTTCATATACACAAGTTGAGTTATCTCCTGATGCCATTTTCTGCAACATGTGGACTTGTGAACATGCGGACTTCGGTTGAGTTGCCTCCATTTTCCCATTAAATTTAGACCGTAAAAGGTGCCAAGTTGAGTTATATCCATTTTTTGTGTGGATTTTCTCCTCAACGATTAGGAATTTGGTCAAACAAATTGGTGTAATGATGCAAACCATCCTGAGGCAAAATAATAAGATATAAACTCAATTTGGAGATAAGTCGAATTATTCCCTTCTTCCGCTTCCTGGATCAATTCTGTACGTGATTAGAAACCCGTGTACCACTGTGCATAAAACTGTGCTCAAATTTGCACAAATTTATTCACTTTTACGCACTATGTTATACAAATTACATGTATGCAAAAAATTCTGCGCACACTTCATAACTATGTAGTTATTTGTGCATAAGCTATGCACTAGACTGTCCAGGCGTCACATGCTGAGTGAATTCCCCCTCGCAATGATTATCAATGAAAGTGACGATATTTGATCATAATACCTTTTTATTGTATTGTTCACTCTACAAACTCAAGTGTGTACATAGTACACTCCACCTGCAGTGTACATGCATGTACACTTCAACCTGGAGTGTACTTGGCATGTACACTCCAGGTTGGCGTGTACCTTCAGGTACACTGTTGCTGGAGGTATGAGCCACCTGGCATGTACTTGGCAAGTACACGCCAACCTGGAGTGTACATGCCAAGTGCACTCCAGGGTGAAGTGTACATGCTAAGTAAACTCCAGGTTGAAGTGTACATGCATGTACACTCCAGGTGGAGTGTACTATGTACACACTTGAGTTTGTAGAGCAGGTGATTGGTTCTGATGTGACCTTCCTGGTGATCCTGTTCCAATTCGACTCCAACATTGGCAGTCGAGGGGAAAACCAGTCCAATCAAACACAGCAGCTTCTCGCCAGGCTTCAACAGTGCCTCTCATCGTCAGAAGTTGACAAAACCTTTTCGTCTAACGAAATTAACAGAAATTAAATCTGAGTGTTCAGTCGTTAAAAGAAATGAGGATTCAATTATTAAATCATTTGTACACACACACAACCAAAGCGTTACACCCTGAAGGAAAAATGGATTACTAAAAACATGTTTGAATAAAATTTGCAACATTTCTCTCTGATTACTAAATTTACGACTGTTCCATACAAAAGAAAGAAGTCCTTTGGTTTCAACACCGGGAGAATCCTTTAAACCTCATCGTTGACTTGACGAAAAAGTCCCAGCCTGGATTTACTTGAGTCCAGTGCCTGTTGATCTTGAGAACGAACATGCGCCGAGCCAAGCAACATGAATGTCAATGCAAAACGCCGCCAAGATAATAGAGAGGATACGGGCTACGCAGCATTGCAATAAACCACTGCGCACTTTTTGATTTAGACAATTCGAGTCAAACGCGAGTCTCACGCAGTGCTTCCACTTTTCTCTGTGTCGAGGAACATTTCGAAGTTGCCTAGATACGGATAAGCAGGGAACTTGTCACATTCTCCGCAGAAGACCTCCACAGCCTTAACGGACTCATCAGTCGCGACCAGCAGCAGTTTGTCCCACACGGATTTCTTCTGCTTCCTGCAAGTGTCCTTGGTGTGGGGCAGCTTGCTGTTGGGGAAGGTTGGAGCAACCCCGCGCAGCAGCACGACACGCCTCAACGCCACCAGCCCGCACTGGCGCAGCCCCTCCGCCAGGTCCTTGAAGTGCCACTCCGAGTCCCCCTCCGAGGCGCACAAAATTCGCAGTTCCTGCAGCGTGGCGGCGTGGGCCTCGGCCAGCGACAGCACGGTGGACAACGGGCGGAGACCCACCCACAGCCACTGCAGGCCGCGGTGGCCCTGCGGCAGCGGGGGAAACGTCTCGTCCAGCGGACGAGAATGCCAAGTCAAGGCAAGCTTGCGCAGGTTGGGCATGCGCTGCACCGACAGCAGGTGTTGCTTGGAGACGTTCACCACTGTCAGGTCCACCAGTTGCAGCGGCAGTTCTGGGGCATGGTCATCGGACATGACCTTCGAAGTAAGGACTTGCAGGTACCGCAGCGCTGGCATGTCTCGGATCACGTCCAGGTGTTCCCGGCGCGCGTACACAACCCTGAGCCATTCTACGTGCGGCGCCACACGCTGCAGTAGAAGCTTGCTCCAGTTGGGTTGCATTTGGCAGTGCAATCCGCTCAGTTTCTTTACCTGAAACACAAGAACGGACTAAGGAGTTTGGCATGCTCCAAGTTAACTCCCCCTGGGCGTGGCCCAGGGGGAGTGAACATTCATGCATGTCTCCAACCCGTAGCATGTTGTGAAAAATCTTGAATTTGTAAAGCAGTCTAAGGTTTCTCTTCCCATTTAGAAGATGAGTCCGAACGTTGCCTCGGTTGCTATGAGCTCCACGACAAGACACGGTCTGGCATAACCTTGTAAACTTCATCAAACCTTGTAAACTTCATCAAATTTTAGGTGTTTTTAGGAACGAAGTAGCCTTATAGTATACCCAGGATTCAGCCGGCCCGAGATTCGATTTGTGTGGCCCTTTATGCATTTCGGAAATTTTCTATACGATTTTGATGAGATTTTGCAGACTTGTAGAATTTTGAACGCTGATTCTCATGCTGAAATCTGGTTAAAAAGTTAACGGCCAATTTTGAGAAATTTGCTGTCAAAATCGCCGTTTCCATGGCAAAACTCGACTCGTCAAAGGGAAAAAAAGGGAGTGGGGGGAGCCGAGCCGAGCCGGACCAATAGCGGAGCTTCTTTTAGGGTCTGTACAGCTTACTCCAAAAGCTGAAATAGCACGTTCGAAATGGAAAATTTCTTTGACTGCAGGTAGACAAGATGCAACAATAGAATTGGTGTCGTTTCGAACGTGGCCATTTGGATCGGCCGGCCGGCCAGTGACTTTTTATGAGAGTGTCCCGCACCAATCCCGCACCGCTGCGTTGTTGTTTTTGTTGTTGTTTTGTTAAAAATTTTTGTTACTCTTCAAATCGGAGAGAATTGAGCCATTTAACTGCGTAAGGGAGAGTGGGGCACCTCCTGCCACTTTTTGGATTTTGTCTCTGGTTTGCGTAGTTTCTACTTGGTGACGAATATGTGTAGTCAGAAAACTTCATTGGTCCTTAATCTACAATAACCCGTTGATAGAAACTAAAATATGTCACGTTTATGTAGAGTTATCTCCTACTCTAAGCACCTCTGCAATTGGCAGTAGGTGCCCCGGCCCGGGGCACCTACTGCCGAGTGGATGGTCCTTGAACATAAATTTTGTGGCCAATTGATCATTTTATGGTGATAAAATCATTACTGGTCAGAAAGACGAGCTTCTCGTCGATTTGGAGCTGTTCAAATATATGCTCAGTGGTGCTGCGGTAGAAAGGTCAACCCAAACGTGGTTATTTGAAAATCAAAGCTGTTGCAATGTCAAAACAGGTATTATCCCACTCATATTCACGTTACTTGTTCCCCGATATCATACTGGTGCCCTCAACTAAACATGAACTCAGTCTGGCATGAAATTTTTTTGCCAATTAAGGGATTTGAAGGTGACAGTACCTGCCCCAGCCAAAAGTGGCAGTAGGTGCCCCACGCCATGCATGAGAGAAAATTGGCCTCAGCACTTTATCGGTGCAGCGCTGATGTCATCCCAATGTTGCAAAATGCTCTTAAAAATACCAACTATCGGACAGGAAAACCATTTTTTGATACCCGAACATTGGAAGTGACTGTCAGAGGACACATTACAGTCAAAATGTCAGAAAAGTGCTCGAAATCTTATGTTTTAAAGTTTGATTTCACACTAGGGCTACAATTTTAATCTGACCGTAACCACTTTTTGGCATTGAGGTGCATATGGTCATACCTTGATTTAACCAAATTGGCTGCTCAACAGTGCGAGTGGTTTGCCCCCCACGGCACTTTGGCAGGAGGTGCCCCTGGCAGGAGGTGCCCCACTCTCCCTTACCTGTGCACATGCTTCTGTGAATTATCTTTCCTTAATGTAGTTGAAGAGTCGCTTTAAGACTTTTAGTCTCTTTTTGAATAAGCTGGTCATGTAGCTGCTCCTTTTAGCCAGGTTTGATGGAACTTCTGATTCAGTTCACTGTTAAAAAAAAAATGAAAATTCAGACTGATTTCGTCTTACTTGGTGGTCTGAATCGTAAATTCATAAAATGGTACGAATATTAAGACTAAAGGTCCAAAAAGTGTTACCTGTAGTCTGAAATTTGAATTTAGACTAGCAAGTCTGAATATTTAAAGCAATGGCTATCAAGTTTTGTACATTGTCGTCCGAAAACTAAATTCATACTTGTGAAGTCGGAAAACTGGTGAAAAAACGCCGTCCACTTTCTACATTTTTCGGCTTTCTCAAGAATTTTATCAATACTTCTGTTGTATTTCAAATAATATTTACGTTTAGTGTCGTAAGAGCAAACAGAATGTTTCAGAGCTCCGAAATGGATACTTATTGCTCTATCCGCTAGGTGACGCTAGTGTCGCATGGTTGATCTTTCGGAGCTAAAATTGCCTCTTAAAGGCGAAAATGGGTGAATATTTTGTTACAAACTTATTCCAAATGATTGTCTGAAAGGGCATGAGCGCACCAAAGCAAGATTGATGTTAATATGTGCAATATAAGCTAAATAACAGAGAATACAATTTCCCTCTCGCGCATGGCCACGGGTCGACGCGTGGTTGGGCTAAGGCCGCTCACCCTCGGACTTCAGCAGTCTCCATTAGACTCTCCACTACCTCGGGAAGGAGATGGCTGCTACCGTCTACCTGATTTTTGCCTCGAGACGATCTGCAGAGCGTCTACTACAAACTAACGGCAAAAGTTAGCCGATTTGTGCTCCACTATATAAGAGGCATTTATTGGTGCGACTGTTAATGTTCTTCGTACAATTTAGTCTGATAAAACGGACCGACTGGTATCATTTTTCATACAACAAATTGATCTGAAAATTCAGACTAACGTCGTCTGAAAATTTAAGACCTCGAAGTATGAAAATTTTGGTATGAAAATTCAGACTGAATGTAAGTAAATCGACTTCTTACAAAAAAATATGAATTTTCAGTAATTTTTTTTAACAGTGTTAGCAACATGATCACTTCACTCCACCTCGCGACTTTCAGTGCTCATGTTCCTCGAACAAGACTCACCTGCGTTTCGAGACCATCCCTCTGTTGTAAATAGTTAATGCTACATCTCATTACTAGCTACCATTTCAAATAAACCCGCCATACACACTGCCTTGCCCTAATCATGGTCTACGAATCCTACTGTGTTTTGTCTGCGACTGCAGCGCTCCGGTGTTGAACTCAATAAACTAACGTTGCCTCGGTCACTCTGTGGTAAGCTCTCGAACTGATCACATCTATTTATTTACCCTGTCCTCAGCACTGCAACTTAACTGCTATTACTTGGAGAAATAGACACGGCACACTCATAACTTTACAACACCCTCTCGAGTTTATAAAGTTTGTCAAGCCAACCGTCGTGGTGTTGATACGTTGTGAGTTAGAACTATTACACAGAATTGAAGAAAACATGACTAGAGAACCGCAGCCTTTTGAAACAAGCCAAACAATTCAACGTCAGCAAGAATGGAGGGGCGGTTTTAATGCGCGACTCACTGTAAAAAATTCGGTACTTTTGTACGGAAATGGTACAGAAAAATATAGTACGGAGGTACGGAGAAGAGGACGGAACGTTCCGTACTTGCTCCATATGAACCCATGTAAATGGGTACGAAAAAAAGGTACGGAACGTTCCGTAGTTGGCAAGTACGGACGGTCCAGGCAAATTATTGACCAGACATGTTCCGTACTTTTTCCGTACTTTTTTCTCACTATTACTATGTTTACACGCCGCCGCTAGTGCGTGACTTAGCCGAGGGGTGAATCACTAGTGTACTCATGTGTACAAATTTGCCCGTACTCAGTGTACTCTCAAGTTTAATAAGGGTGAAATTCTGTACTTTTTCGCTTGATTTGGCGTTGGGTGTCGTTTAAAACGCTAATTAAAGCCTTTGAGCGTTTACAAATGCAAAATTTGTGAGCAAAGTAAGGTGTACTCACCCGTACTCATGTACTCATGTGTACACCAGAACGCTGAGTCATTCACCCCTCGGACTCAGCGCTAGTGAGGCGCCAAAACTGCGTGTAAACGCCTGGTGACCAACCGTAACGCGGTCAGCCGTAAGTCGGTGACTGACTAACGTAAGGCGCTGACTTAAAGCCGTGTAAACGGGAATGATGACTTAGAGCAGAGGTTGTTTTCGGATTGTGGACAAATATATTTGATTGAATCCAGTAATTGAAGGCAACAGGTTGTCAAATATGGGCAGCAATAAATGTATTAACCATAATTGGGGTCCAGAAAAAATTGAAAGGTCACATAAAGAGTGTTTCAGAGCAAGTCACTCACTTTCCATACATAACCTTTTTTTATTCATATTTCAAATAATTTGAGGTGTTATATATTTCTGATATTCGAAAAATTCGAATAATTAAAAAAGCTATGAAGCAAAATTCATAAAATTGAAAAATTAAATGAAAATTAAATTAAGATACTAGCTAGCCACTGGCGTGTAAACCGACCGCGTTTCGAGTGACTTGTGCTAGTCGCTGACTTGAGCGCGCCGTGTAAACATAGTAAGTGCTATACTCGTGTTTTCAGCTTCGCGATTTTCGCAAGGGCACAGACGCCGACAAAATTGTTGCCAACCCGCGAAAATTAATTTACTGCCTTCTTTCTGCTACCAAAATTTTCATAATGATGGACTTCAAAGATGTTCCTTTGTCAGATCACTGTGGGATACATTAGCATTGGAATTTTTCGAATTTCCTGGCATTTTGATTTCTCTTTATTGCCAAGGTTAAATTTTGACGGGTGGCACATCGACCACATTGGTACCACTGCCGTTCGTAGCCACCCTTGAGCCACCCCCTACCTTATACATAACTTTTTTGCTTTCCTCACACTCCTACCCAAATTGACTTCGTAACTCCTAGGATTTCTTGAAATCGTATTTTTTTTTTCATTTGGTTATAAATTGCCTTTCCCAGTCTCTGATAGGCTTCGTGCCTTTCCTAAACTGCCAAGCTGGGTTGTTAACGTTAAATTCAATGAAATTGCGCACATTTTTTAAAAATGATGAATGAAAAACACACAATTTAACTTCTTTGTTCATCTGTTGGTTGGAATCGACTCACAAAGGTTCAAATATTCTAAAAAAAAATTTACTCCGATGAAATTTGTGATGCTGTGGTCCACAGGAGGACGAAAAGTCAAAATTAACTTTAACGTTTAACGGCGTTAAAGTTAAAGTTAATTTTGACTTTTTGTCCTTCTGTGGACCACAGCATCACAAATTTCATCGGACTGAATTTTTTTTTTAGAATATTTGAACCTTTGTGAGTCGATTCCAACTAACAGATAAACATAAAAGTTATATTTTGTGTTTTCATCCATCATTTTTAAAAAATGTGCGCAATTTCATTGAATTTAACGTTAACAACCCTGCTGCCAAGGCCACCTCGATCACGAAAAAATGCAGAGTGGCCGTCTAATTGTGTGTCTCCATGTTAGGTGGCAGCACGACAATAACACTGTCAGTCCAGGAACGTGACATCACGTTGAAACGAACGTGACGAAATGTCACGTTGCATTGTGTCACATTTGTTTGGATGTGAATCGGCCAAAAGTTAGCTTGTTCACATTCAAACGAATGTGACACAATGCTCAAACGAACGTGACATTTTGTCACATTCGTTTCAACGTGATGTCACGTTCCTAGAATGAGGGTGAACCGAAAGTGCGTTGTCGCGATTTTCCCTCATGTCTCATATTACCCTGTTCTACGGTGTGACTTGGATATCAGGGCTATTATTTTTAGCGGTCAACATAGCTAGGCCAGGCATCGCTTGAACACAAAATGCAGAACATTGCAGGGGTCGTTGCGCCGCAATGTAAATCTAGCATCTTCTAGGATGGAATGACTCAGAATGAAGCACGCTAGCTCTGCTTACCTTGCTAAGCCCGGGCTTCTGCAGCACGTCATTGAGTAGTTGGCAATGTTCTTGCTGTTGGCTCAGTTCGAGGACGTCCAAACACTCGTCGGGATGAAACACCTTGAGGCAATTCGCAATTAAATTAAGTCATGGCAGCAAACAGTACTGTTGGACTACATAAAGTAATGAAGGATGTTCATAATGCAAAATCGCATTCACGCTGCTTCCACAATTTGAAGCGAGCCGAGTACCTGCAAGGTTCTAAACCTTACAAAGTGTTTGGAGCAGCATATAAGATCCATACGAAGAATTCGTTCGCACAGTAAGAAAAGCAGCATTGTCTTTATGCTCACGCTGCGAGTTTAGTGCTAATTGGAGATATGCTTTAAGGCATGGCCACGGAGCGCAGCACTGCAAAGTCAGCGGTAAGTTTGCTTGCTACAAATTTGGCAAGCCGTTGTGAATGCCAAGATTTAGCAAGCTTTGACCTGAGATCTTCACATGCTTGCCAAAATTTGGCAAGCTTGGGAGTATGTCAAGGGCAAGCTTGCCAATTTTTGGCATTCAAAACGGCTTGCCAATTTAGAGGTTACCACTGGCTTTGCAGTGAAATTTGCGATTGGAAAAAACAAAACAAATAAGTTATTTACTAAATGTCAGTAAGTCAATCACTCACACTTACCCTGACGAGACCGCCGTTCTGGTGCAGCAGCAGCAGCAGTGGGTTAAAGGCGGTGCGCAGGGCAGCCTCCAGCGGCAAGTCGGCCTTCCACTTGCAGTCCGCACCGGCCTGCGCGACCTGCAGGCTGAGCGTGCTCCGGTCCGCCAGCAGAACGGCAGCCTCGTGCAGCTGCTCCAGCCCCTCCAGCTGGAACGCCTCCAGGTCGCCGCCCTGCTCCGCCGCCGCCCACAGCTGCTTCTCGGTCTCCTCGACGCGGCGCAGCCTGGACCGCCACGCCTCCAGCTGGGCCTCCACGGCGTCCCTGGCGTCCAGCAGAGCCTGCACCACCTGGCGCGCCGAGGCCGCGGCGTTCTGCAGCCGCTGCAGCTTGGGCACTGCCTGCCCCGCGCGGCGCTTGCGTTGCGACCACAGCGTGTGGCCCAGGTCGCCGCACTCCTCCGTGGCGTCCTTGCCGCAGTCCCGGCACCAGAACCTGGGAAGCAAAACACACTGAAAATCTGTCGGCGTGACTTCATGCCGCTGCAGGGGCGTGAATTAAGTGTCACGCCTTTAAACGGCGTGACAGAAAAGTCACGCCATTTAACGGCGTGACAGAAAAGTCACGCCATTAAACGGCCTGACAGAAAAGTCACGCCAAATATCGGCGTGACTGCAAAGTTCACGCCAATTTTTGACGTGAATTTCTTGTCAGGCCGCTTTTTGGCGTGACTTGTCTCATAAAACGCGTTGTCATTCACGCCAAATGAGGGCGTGACTCACATGTCACGCCGTTTTTCGGCGTGAATTTCGTGTCACGCCAATTTTTGGCGTGACTTTTGGTCACGCCATAATTTGGCCATGTCTCCGACCATTACGTTTTCAGTGCACGTATTGCCCAAGCTTCATCGCGGATCACCTTCAGTGTCAGTCAGCGATCGCTACGGAACTTCAGAATTGGTATAGAATTGATGTAGATCGAGAATGGTCAGCTTCGTTCGCCCTCGCATGCTAAAACACAGCTGGAAGTCGTTGGGTTTGAAGGAGTCCAACATATCTCAGGGGAAGTGAAAAAGTTTTCGGAGCTTCATGGTAGATTACAATTAACAACTTCGGCTGTACTCAGGTCCTGTCACGAGCAGAAGACATTCATACAGTTTGACACCTTTCTCTAAGGCAAGCACTCTATAGCACTGTTCAAGATTTCAACCTTGCTCTAATCTGCGAGTAAAAACTGAAATTTCAGTTCTACTTTAACCACGGTGCCCTTCGACATTCATAAGATTTTAGTTAAAAACGGTGAACGACAGCCGTTAAAGTTTCACGCTAAATATGTACTTTTTGGCATGTGGTGTTGCATGATTTTAAGCCTGTGCAACGTTTTTCAGAAAATAATGCCCCAATTCATATAAAATCATCCATTTTTTACGCAGTATCATGCAAATTGCACGTGTGCACGCACGTGGCATTGGCAAGCCCGAGAAGTGGAATCTACTCGGCGCCTGACTCAATGCATCGCTTCCTTGTCTCGCATCGAACATGTCGGTAAGGCCTGGTCGAGATCTCAAGACCTTGGGCGAGGAGGAAAATCGAACACAACTCAACTTGGGAGATGCAAGGCAATAGAGAAGAACGAAATCACGTCTGCGGAAAGCAATAGAGCTTCTTTTGTTACCAGTTCTCTCTCACTGCCATGCCTTAAATCGCGAAATATTTGTCTAGAAACAGTGAAGTCTTTGAAATGCACGTAAATATAACACATTGATCCTCTGCCGACCCAAAGCTCTGGGAAAATACGGTGAGAGAAGTAACAACTTACATAGACTGCGATTGTTGAGTGGCACTGATGAGAGGATCGGCAAGCTGAGGACTAGACAGTTCCTCCTTGACAGTCATAGGCTCCGAGTCCATTGGCTCACTGCAGAGTCAACGTCACAGAGCAAATCATTAATGAGATGAGTGCTATCGTAGGAAAATACATGTTGTGGTCGATGTTGTATTTCAAAGTGTAGGCACACAAAATTTCTCAGTCCAATTTTAGAGCATGGTCTCGCAAGATTTTGAGCGTGCGTGCTTTTCGTATCAATTTGAGCGAAAAAGTTCGCAGGATTAAAATTGTGAGGGAGCGTGTACAGTTACATTTGATGTGCACAATGAATTTCCCTGTCCTATCATTTGCGATTATTGTAAACACTCCAAATGTCTTACGAAGAAATTTCCCATAATACGAAGGAAATGGCGCAAGCATAATACGAAGGTGGTTTTTCTTCGTATTACGAAGGTTTGTCTTTGAATCTTACAATGAAAAAGGTAAAAAGATTTGTATTACGAAGGAATATTGCTTCGTATTATGCTTGCGCCGAATTCACTGTAACATACGAATAACATAGGCCACATTTCATTGTAAGACATTTAGAGTGAAGTAAAAAAATGCTATTTGACATTTTACAAAAATTAGTGTCAGATGTCTCAATATATGGATAGAAGATCCTTTCAATTGCATGAACTCATTCTCTAAGACTATTGCCCCGACTAGTTTCTGAGCTATGGAGGTTAACGTACATTTTCAGTCGTTTCTCCCAAATTCTCCCCACGACAAAGGATTAGCTACCCAATCTTCTAATTCTGGCAATATTATCCATTTTTAAATGGGAAAAAGATAGCCTTGCCCGATTGTTAGTAACAGCCTTAGTTTTCCTGAAATACCAGACCAAAAGACCAAAATCTCTCTAATATGCAGAAAAATAAAAGTAGGCCTGGTAAAAAAGCTTTTACAGCCTCTTCTGGACTGATATTTTCAAATCTGCCAACGCTATTTTTTCCTATGCAAAAATACTAGATAAACTTGGCCGAATCTAAAGACTGGGTGGCGAATCCTTTATCGCGAGGAGAATTTGGGAGAAGCGACTAAAAGTTTACGCAAACCTCTAGAACTCAGAAACCAATAAAAGTTGGGGCCGCCAACTATAGAAATAAATTCATCTAATAGTGGCAAATAGTGACAAATATTGCTAGAACATGCTAGTTTCACTTTATAGTATCCTTAAGCGTAACGTTACGCGAACAAAGTAGACACTCCTGCGTAACACCTCGGCTACACATGAGCTGAGTTACCTCTCGGGCGAAGGAGCAGAAGTCCCTTGCTGCTGCGACGGGCTGCTCTGCCTGGACCGCTTGTCTGCACCTTCGCCGGCCGAGGACGTCTGCGATCTCTTCTTAGGCGGCATCCTTACGTCCGGTGTCCAGAAGAGACTGCCCGTGGAAGAATTCTGAACAAGTTGATTGGTAGGACAGGAAACTTCTCGTTGTGAATTGCTTCTGAAACCGGCACACCAAGTTCAGAAACGAAACAGCAGAAAGATTATCGGCGGTCCGATCCACTCACAGTGTGGCCACATGAACGGCGTTCGTGGTTCCAGCCGCCTGTAACCCAAAAGGCCTCGAGTCAAAGGCAGCAAGCTAACACACTCGGCCACTCCGCGATTCCCTGCGACACACTGAAATCCTGGCCAAGCTGAGGACAGCGGCTGAGAACGCACAGCGCTCTGAAGTCGACGTGTTTCACTCAACCTGGTAACAGGTGAGTTCCTAGGAGAGCTTGGACCGGAACTCTAAAGCCGCCATCAGTATCGGAAACACTCAAAGTAAGCGTGCTTCCTTAAAGGCGTCACAGTGAAGTATTTCGGCACTGGAAGTACGTGTAATTAACCCTATTGTACATCATTGGAGCCGTTACGCCTCGAAATAAGTTCGTTGTAATAGTGTTTCGAGCGAAGATAGCGGCTCTTGACTTCCGGTCCAGGCCTTCATTGAAATACCCTATTTCACGCTGAAGCTCCGAGGCGGAAGGAAGATCACGGACGGAAGTCAGTGAGTATTCCGGCCTGGCTGGTCTTGATTCGTAGTGTGTAAATCTGATTGGACCGAGCGTACACTCCACAAAAAATGTCCTGTCAACGCCGTTAATTTATTACCAATGTTTGCTGTTATGCAATTCACGGCGTTTGCTGTGAACTAGTTCACGGCGTTCATTGTGATCTCGGTTACAGTGTTCATTGTGATCTGGCCACAGTAAACGCCGTGAATTGGAGCCTGATTTGCAGTACTTCGGTGCTCAGCGGCGTCAAACTCACAGTGTTTACTGTAGACCAGATCACAGTGAACACCGTGAACAAGATCACAGTGAATCGCGTGAGCAGATCACAGTAAACGCTGTGAATCGACCTACAGTGAAAACTGGTAATAAATTAACGGCATTGACAGGACATGTTTGGTACAGTGTAAAGGAACGTCCTTTTACTACGTAACGCTGGCGGAGGGAGGCAGAGCCTGCTCTGCGTAACGCTGCGGTAAAGTGGTGGGGAGCGTGGACGGCTCCGTACTATCTTAAGCTCGGATTCCTGCTCTTTGTACCCTAAGAAGTCACGTGTACACTCTGAAATATGGTTGTCTCATTATGTCAAAATAGTAAACGGTATTTTCATCACTTTCAAATGATGATCATCCCATCACAAATTGATGACATTATCAGTTCAGCTCCTTTACTTACTGCGAAGGCGTGACAACGATGTCGACAACAGATTTGATGATAACCTTGGAAGGAAAATTGCCTTCAAGTTGCAATTTGAATTCACACAGTGCAGGGCCGGAAGTGTGAAGAGCAAGGAGAACTCAGAGAGACTGGGAACAGATTTACAATCGGCATCTTGGGGGAAGTTGGCAAATCAGAGTTAATCTGAAATTGAAGCTCAAGTCAGCGCTCATAGGCTTTGACTCTCCTTTGTTTCTTTCACTCGGTGTTCTACTAAGGTCACCGTTTTTCAAACTGGAACTAGAAAACGATCAGGCTGATCTTCGTAGTCTTTACTTCCGGTTGGTAAGAGTGAGACGCTTGACTGAACCATCCGTGTGGGGGTTGGATCAAAGTTGTGGTTACGATAGGAAGCTTCTCTGCCCAGCCTAATTTGCTATCTCCATAGACACTTCTAGCAGGGCTTGGAGTGAAGAACAAGAAGGATATAACCCGGGAACAGTTGCCGAATTCCGCTTTATTTCTTGATGACGAATGTTTATTCTCAATCCAAAAATTCAGGAAAGCTTAATTTTAAAATACAATTTGATTTAAACCTGTCAAAACCCTCGTAAAAGGCCGATTTCTTGTACTGTTTCCGGTCTACGTTCTTCTTCTTGTTCCTCACTTCAACCCCTTCTAGAAGTGTCTTATTTAAATAGGCAGTTCAAAGTCAGTGGGACAGGAAGCTTCAATAGAATCGAACGAAAAACGATCGTTTAGTCGAGCTCCTCGTCATCCCCCCCATAGTGTTAACAACGTTCATAGTATCGTTACTCAGTTCCACCTGTTTAAAACTCCGAGTTCATGAGCTTTCGTAGGTCTGGTATACGCTCCACAACATTCCTACTCTCGGCAGCACTCGGAGACCGAATTAGCCTTCAGCCTTTCGACGCTTCCTATTAGAATACATAATCCTAACTGCCAGAGCAGATTCTACTCAGCATGAACTGTCTTCACTTCAAATCAGTGAATCGCGTTATGTCTCATTTAAAATGTCTACCGATGTATGTAAGGATAATTTTTTTTTATCGAGCCCCTCGGCGTGCTATTTTATAAAGTACTTTGGAGAGGGACTTCGAGAAAAGACCGCTTTTACCTCATGTGCCGTTAGTATAGTTCTGAATCAACGACACTCACAGTTAGAATTGTCTCGGATCTGCGCTGGTAGTTAAGATTATTATATTTGCAGGCCCTCCGACGGAAGGACAACTACTACAGCCAAATTTATAAAACAGTTACAAATTCACTAAAATTTTTTAAAATTCATCGCAATCCTATCTGAAAGTCTGTTATTATTACCCCAAAATCATTGAAATTCTTCTCTGAATCCAGTTGTTGTTGCCCTAAATTCATGGAAACCAAACTGAAATTCATTTTGTACACCGATGTTCACAGTCGCTTTTCTTGTTTCCCATTTCCGGTTCTCAACTGAATCCACTTGGAACTGAACCGATTCAGAATGCCGCCGAAGAAGAGGTCACAGTCAACGCCGGCCGGCGGGGCGGACAAGAGGTCCAAACAGAGCAGCCCATCGCAGGAGCAGACTGGAGCATCTCCATCCGAAAGGTAAATTAAATTCATGAATGCTTTTGATAATTTATATTTTGCTTTCAACGAGGCACTGTGGACTTCAGTTGAGTTATCTTCATTGCCGGTGGAACATACTATACCGTATGGAAGGGGGAAAGTTACGTACGTTACACCCTTCTTCGCGAAGTGGCAACCACTTCAAGAAATCGTATACAGACTGCTCGGCAAACGCTATATGAAGGGGATATTATACGTTTATAACGGCCTTAAAATGCCGAAATTTGGCACATTTGGCTCAATAACGGTATGACGTTCACGTGTATTAGGCGTAATACTCGGTTTATGTGGAAGGATATTACGCGAGTGCTTACCCCCTCGCTCCTACCTTGGATGAGCGATAGCGAAGCCCGTTACTCCAGTGGAGTTGAAAAGTTTTGTCTGTGTGTGTGTGTGTGCGTGCGTGCGCGCGCGCGCGCGTGCGCGCGCTCTACTCCTGAATGGTTCAGCCGATCTGGCAGAGATTTCGCATGGTCATTATGTATGTCCTCGGCTCGCCACACACCCAAATTCGGCTTTCTATCTCAGTCCATTCGATCGTACTTACCGAAAAGCACTTTAAAAACAGTAGAAAAAAGACAACTTTTTAGGTACCTTCAACTTTTTGTCAAGTTTCATATCGTTTTCTACGTATTTATAGGGTGCTGATGACGGAAATAGAACCCATTCCTACCCCCGACCCTAAGTTAAGTCCGAATAGTGTGGATTTTGATCGCCAAAAGCTATTTTTTTTTGTGGGGATCACGCCTATCTCTACGGTTTGTCTAGAAGAGCAACCTGCCGAAGGCAGGCGCAGGTCTAGGTTTAGGTGTGAGCGCCAGGCGTGGATTGTAGTAACTGGCGCAGCATCGCGAAGCCTATTACTATAAGACACGGTCTGGCGTAAACCTACCTTGTGGGCCATCTATTACACTGTAGTTGCAAGTTTCCTTTCCACTCCAGTGGCACTCCATTTTCCATGCCAAATTTTTTTCTGGGCCTAGTTGCTTGTAGAGAATGCTCTAATATTGAACTTCAGCGGCCTGTTACGTCAGTTTTTTTTTTGTTTTTTTTTGTTTTTGCAATCCGTGAACCAGAAGGCTACATCCTTGCGTTTATAGCCACTGGAGTGGCAAAGAAACTTGTCAATGTATTTAAAGGCTTCACTTCATGAACTTTAGTCAAGGAAGCTTACTATCTTAGTTTTTTTTCTCTAGGAATGAATTTCATTTTGATGCTTTCCAAACTTGAGAACCTTTACTCCATCCTGCTTGCATATTCCTGAAAATTTTCATACCCGTTCAACGCACGAGAGATTTAGGGGCGTTCCACGTCAAACCATCATGGTCCAAAACGTACTTGCTCAGATCCGGCCCCCAATTTTTTATCTGGTAGTGTACCACCCAAAGACCACTCTCATAAATTTTTTTGAAAAAAAATTCAGAACTTTGGCCACAGTGATTTTTTGAAACTTCAAAAAAAAAAATATATAATTTTTTTTAAGTTTTTTTTTAAATTGTGTATCTAGGTACTCAAATGGGTTGAAAACAGTAAAGGGCAACATAAAATAGTGAAAAAAAAAAATTGGGACCCCCAGCCCTTACTAGAAACAAAGATTACGATAAAAAAAACCACGGTTTCTTGAATTTCCAAAATACGCCGTCTCACTTTTGGACCATATTGGCATCAAAGGACCCCAATGAGGTACTCTAACTGTCACTAAATAACAGGAAAAGTAGCGATATACATCGGCAACTTTGGCCCGTCCCGTACATTAAGAAACGTACGAATTTCACCTATGTTTGACCCCGACGGAATTAAAACCTGAATCAGGGGTTAAAATTAATGTCATTTTCGTCATCAGCACCCTTAAAAACATCAGAAACAATGCAAAAACTCGAATAAAAAGAATGTTCAAAAAATACCCCGCTGGGATTTGAACCCGGGTCCGAACTTCTCCGATTCGCTGGAAACTGGCACCATTGTTTTTTTCTCGTCGCCCCGATTCCAAAAATACCCCTACATGCCCTCCTAGCTGCATCCGTTGCCGAGATCCTCCTCGACCCCATGTAGACCATGATGCACCTGCAGCAGCGCCCCCGGGGCTCGGATCGGATTTGCTGCCACCGGGCGGTTCTTAGGGTCACCCAAGGAGGCTGCATACCAAATTTGGTCAAGATCGGACCACGGGAAGTCCTCGGACGAACGGACGGACGGACGGACGGACGGACGCACAGCAGGGATCATACTATATGCCCGTCCCTCCGTCATTTTTTTACAAAAAATGAACGGGACGGGCCAAAAATTAGGGACGGCAATCCATAAACACCAGAGATATTGTCAAAAAACTCTAAAAGTTATCGAAGGTTATCGAAGCTTTTTCCCCCAAAATTGGCAAAATGGGACCTATATTGGTTCCGCTGAGGCGCTGTGCACTGAAATACTATTCAATTGTCTGTCTTGACACCATGGAAGATGTGAGAGAGGTGAAGGTCAGCATTACAAGAGTTTTGGAATTACACGGCAATAAGTTTTTTTAATTATAATAACCAAATGCGACAAAATGCATTGTTTGGCAGTCGCCAACTGAAGCTCATTGATTGGTGGGGACTTCATCCAAGCCATCTTCACCTAGACCATGCAACTGCTGGAGACTTAAAAGAAGAAAATGAAGATGACCTGGATGAAGTCCCCACCAATCAATGAGCTTCAGTTGGCGACTGCCAAACAATGCATTTTGTCGCATTTGGTTATTATAATTAAAAAAACTTATTGCCGTGTAATTCCAAAACTCTTGTAATGCTGACCTTCACCTCTCTCACATCTTCCATGGTGTCAAGACAGACAATTGAATAGTATTTCAGTGCACAGCGCCTCAGCGGAACCAATATAGGTCCCATTTTGCCAATTTTGGGGGAAAAAGCTTCGATAACCTTCGATAACTTTTAGAGTTTTTTGACAATATCTCTGTTGTTTATGGATTGCCGTCCCTAATTTTTTAGTGACAGTTAGAGTACCTCATTGGTGTCCTTTGATGCCAATATGGTCCAAAAGTGAGATGGCGTATTTTGGGAATTCAAGAAACCGTGGTTTTTCTTATCGTAAACTTTGTTTCTGGTAAGGGCTGGGGGTCCCAATTTTTTTTTTCACTATTTTATGTTGCCCTTTACTGTTTTCAACCCATTTGAGCACCTAGATACACAATTTAAAAAAAAAAACAAAAAAAAAAATTATATATCTTTTTTTGAAGTTTCAAAAAATCACTGTGGCCAAAGTTCTGAATTTTTTTTCAAAAAAATTTATGAGAGTGGTCTTTGGGTGGTACACTACCAGATAAAAAATTGGGGGCCGGATCTGAGCAAGTACGTTTTGGACCATGATGGTTTGACGTGGAACGCCCCTTTAGCAAAGGGTTTGAAGGCGCAGCTGTGCGCTTTAAGTGGCCGTCACTGGGCACCTTACCCTCACCGGCCACCGGGTCTGAAACAACTTGCCACTCACCGAGATTGGTAATGCCTGTCTGTTGACTTTGCAGTGAGCCAATGGACTCGGAGCCTATGATTGTCAAGGAGGAGCTGCCATTTCCCCAACCGGCTGACCCTCTTGTCAGTGCCACTCAACAAGCAAATCCTGTGTAAGTTATTACTTCTTTGGCCGTTATTACAAACTAATTGGACCCACAGAGAACGAATTTTTTTGTGGCAAGACTGTTCGGTTTGCAATGTCCGAGAGTGATGTTTCTTGGTTTAGTTTGAACGAAAGTGCGCATAATAACCGAATCCCAGCTGCTTTCTCAGGTGACTTTGTTGTTCTTTTTCGCATCTTCCGTCCCGCACACTAAATTCTTATGAACTTTTTAAATGCATAAGAACGCATGTTTTATGCATAGTTATGCATGCTCAGAAACGTCCATAAGGTATGTATAAAATTATGCATCACTGTGTACATTTTATGCATCTTCCTGCATAAAATGTACACAGTGATGCATAATATTATACATAACGTATGGACGTATCTGTGCATGCATAACTATGCATAAAAAAGTCCATAAGAATTTAGTGTGCGACTCGTTCTCGATTTTAGCATCGCTGATACTGTGAAGTCTCGTACAAGCCTTCGGCTCGATCGATAGGAGTAGACGGAGTAGACACGAAAGCGGTGGGGATTTTCTTGCCTTGGGTCAGGCGTAGAATAATTGGACTTGCGCGTGCCACGAACGTTTTTGGGATGTCACTCACCGATTGCTACAAAACTTCTGAATTTGGGTGGTCAAAATGGTCCTTGATGACACGTTCAAGAAGCGTTTGTTAAGGATACTGTAAAGTGAAACTAGCACGTCCTAGAAATATTTGTTACAGAAGATCATTTTACGGCCAAAATTCAACCACTATCAAATGAATTTATTCCCAAAGTTGGGAGCCCTAACTCTTATTAGTTTCCGAGTTATAGAGGTTTACGTAAACGTTTAGTCGTTTCTGTCCAATTCTCCTCAGGACAAAGAATTAGCTACCCAGTCTTCAGCTTCTGGCACTTTTATCTATGTTTGCATAGGAAAAAGATAGCGTTGGCAGATTTGAAGATATCAGTCGTGGTGTAAAAGCTATTTTACCGGGTCTTTTTTTATTTTGCTTCAAATTTGCAAGATTTTGCCCCATTTTGGTCTTGTTGGTTTTTCAGGAAAACTAAGGCAGATATTATAAAAACAGGCAACGCTATATTTTTCCTATTAAAAAAATAGATAAAATTGCCAGAATTTGAAGACTGGGTAGCTAATCCTTTGACGTGAGGAGAATTTGGGGAAAACGACTAAAGGTTTTCATAAACCTCCAGAACCCCGAACCTAATAGGATTTCGGGCCCCAGTCTTAGTTTAGGAATTTGTGTAATAGAAAGGAACTTTTACCCCTAAATTGAGACTTCTGGCGCAGTGTTGAAAAAATGTCAACTAGCCACTTCTTACACTTTACAATAACCTTAAATTTGGAGATGAACATTAGGAGTGTCAGGTCACTGAATATGATTTCTGTGACTTATCACTTTCCATTAGAATAGAAGACATAGTCATCTCGACTTCTATTTCCTTAAAGAAGTGGATTTGAGAGGCATTCAAGTTGATCTTCAGTCTGCAGACAGTGTTGGTTCCTCTGGAGCATTTTTTGGACTTGGCTCTTTTTTCTGTGCAAGTTCTTCAAATGAATGGGGTTTAAGTTGACTTGATTTTTTTTACAATTGATACATAAAAACACTAGTTGAGTTATCTCTCTTTGACAAAATTTTCAACAGAGTCATGTTGACGTAGGTTGAGTTGTTTCCATTTTCCCCTAAATTCAGAATTTAATAGGGGTCAATTTGAGCTACATCTCTTTTCAAAGTGGATTTTCTCCCTAACAGCTAGGAACTGCATCAAATATTTTGGTGCGATGATGCAAACCATTCTAAGGCACTATAATAGAACATAAACTCAATGCGAACAAGCCTACAAATAAGTACACTCCTGCGAGAGTGTGCCTAACTAATAACCCTCCAACGAGAGTGTGCTCATGAAATTATATGCAGCTGAGTACACGTTTGTGGCAGTGTACTCGTGAATACCCGTTCGGAGGAGTGTACTCGCTTAAGATAGTGTACTGAGTACACTGTTGGTGATCTACCAAATTCTGAAGTTCCGTAGCGATCGCTGACTGACACTATAAGGTGATCCGCGATGAAGCTTGGACAACGCGTGTCGTTGCGCAGGTTCTGGTGCCGGGACTGCGGCAAGGACGCCACGGAGGAGTGCGGCGACCTGAGCCACACACTGTGGTCGCAACGCAAGCGGCGCGCGGGGCAGGCAGTGCCCAAGCTGCAGCGGCTGCAGAACGCCGCGGCCTCGGCGCGCCAGGTGGTGCAGGCTCTGCAGGACGCCAGGGACGCCGTGGAGGCCCAGCAGGAGGCGTGGCGGTCAAGGCTGCGCCGCGTCGAGGAGACCGAGAAGCAGCTGTGGGCGGCGGCGGAGCAGGGCGGCGACCTGGAGGCGTTCCAGCTGGAGGGGCTGGAGCAGCTGCAAGAGGCTGCCGTTCTGCTGGCGGACCAGAGCACGCTCGGCCTCAAGGTGGAGTCGGCAGGCAAGTGGAAGGCGCACATGCGACTGGAGGCCGCCATGCGGAGCATGTTCCACCCACTGCTGCTCCTGCTGCACCACAACGGAAGCATCGTCAACGTAAGAAACGTCCCGCATCTTAAAGGAATGAGAGGGGGGGGGGAATCGATTTTCGGCGTTTTTGGCTGAGCGATAGCGAAGCCTGTTACTCCATTGGGGTTGAAAAGTTTTTCCTGTCTGTGTGCGTGTGTGCGTGTGTGTCCGCACTACTGCTCCTGAACGGCTCGGCCGATCTCGGTGAGATTTTGCACACTTTTTGGGCATGTCCTTGGCTCGGCACACGCGAAATTTCACTATCCTAGCTCAACTGGTTCAGTTTTTATAGCCGAAAAACACCTAAAAAACGGCGAAAAATCGAGTTTTGTGCAGGCAGATCACCTCTGCCTTAGAAAGGGGGGGGTCTGGGGGGCGGAGCCCCCCAGCCCCGACAAGTGAAAAAGTCACAAGGGATCTAGAATGAAGGGGGGTCTGGGGGGCGGAGCCCCCCAGCATGCATCAAGTAAGAAGTAACCGACGATGGACAAGCCATTGCCTGCCGAAGGCAGACTAGCGCCGCAGGCCAAGGTAGGTACGCCAGGCGCGGATTGGAGGAACAGGCAGCGAGACATCGCGAAGCCTGTTACGACAAGACGCGGTCTGGCGTAAACCTACCTTGTCTTATTTTTCTACTCTCAGGGCCTTGGTACATCCAAACCTGGAAATACTCATCGTATTTCTTTGTACAAGATGAAACAAATTTGTTATTGAGAACAGCAAAACCGAAGGCGCTCTCCCTTGTCTAATGCAATCGCGGACACTGCTTCCAGGTCTACCGCCCCAACGAGTGCCGGGATGTCTTGCTACTGAGCGTAAGGGAGGAACATTGCCAGGAACTGGATGGCGTGCTGAAGGACCCCGGCCTGCGACAGGTAGGACGGACTGTTTGCAGCACGCAGAATTATTTGGAACTTTTTTGCTGCTTATAGTGTTTAGAATTGTTTTTTTTTTTTTCACATCAACTGCAATTCTACAATGCATTAAGAGGGGACCCTAGTACGCTTCGACTAAAACCCACTAAGGTAGTAATTTCGACGCGTCTTAACAGAATAATCCTATCTGCCAGGGTAGATCCAAGACAATCCTAACTGTCAGAGCTGATCCAAGACAATCCTGACTTTGCGTGTCAATTCAGAACTATCCTTACTGCACATCACGCGAAAAGCGGTCTTTTCTCAAAGTCCGTGACGCCAACATACTTCTAATAATTACTCGCAGCAGGGCTCATTACAAAGTTTCATCCTTATATAAATAGATAAGTGGACATTATATTTCAGATAAATCGAGATTCTCTGATTTGCAGTGAAGACACTTCATGACCACTTTTAGGTACCTCGGCAGTTAGGGTAGTTTTAAATCTGAACTGATAGTTAGGATTGTCTTCGAACGGCTCTGGCAGTTCGGATTGTATTGGATCTGCTCTGACAGTTAGGATTATTCTATAAGGACGCGTCGATTTTGGCCATTTGTTAGCCCTTTTATGAATTCCCACAGTATTAAATTCAAAATGTTAAACAGTTTCTGAGAAATGTTCCACTTTGAAACCAATTGAAACCCCTGTATCTGAAATCTTTAAAGCACATTTCCAAATTAAAAAAGTTGAAATCACTATTGTTGTCCATTTTTTCACTTGGGTCGAAGCGTTCAAGGTACCTAAGAAGTACTTAAACGTTAAGTCAGAATCAAACCTTAATTTTTCGTAGTGACTATTCGCACCATGGTGCGGATAGATATGGTAATGTTAATCCGCACCACTGGTGCCGCCAACCAACACAGTACTATTCGCACCACCAGTGGTGCGAATATTAAAAATAAGGAAATTTGCACCATTTGTATTTGTACCATCGGGGTTCCCCAAAGTGTTAACATTTGAATTTGATGTATTTGAATTGGAGCTGTTCATTTTTCTCCTCTCACTTCTACCTTTAACAAAGAGACAATAGTTTGCCTTCTGAAAGGCATGCAGTCTCTTCTCGAAGTCTGCGTAAGAGTGCACCAGCCTCATCTCGGCCCCTACCCGAAAGACCTTTAGGGGGTGGTGCGGATAGTATTTTAAGGGTTGGTCGCACCAGTGGTGTTAATTGTGAAGGTATTTTTATTTGCACCAGCCGCATCCCGGCCCCTACCCGAAAGACCTTTGGGGGGTGGTGCGGATAGTATATTCAGGGTAAATCGCACCGGTGGTGCAATTTAAGAAGATATTTTTATTCGCACCAGCCCCCTGGTGCGATTAGCTATTTATTAGTTGATAGCACCACTTCGTGGTGTGAATAGTATACAAGATTGTATTGGCACCACCTGGTGCCAATAAATATAGCCTTAATTTTTCCAGTTTAGTCTTAACTTCACGTTCCTCCGCGCAGGTTATCACCTTACTGCTTGCATTACAGTCCCCTCTCCGTTGTTTGGAGACAACTAGTGGAATAGCTGTACTCTTGGACAACTGATCCAAAAACCTACCGTAACCCCCATCCGGCTTTGCAGGTGAGGCGGCTGGAAGGAGTGAACTGCACCAAGCGACCCAACTGGTGCGAGGCGCTGTTGCAGCGCGTGGCCCCACACGTGGAGTGGCTTTCGGTCGAGAATGCTCTCCGCAGACACTTTGAAGTGATTCAGCAAATGCCTTCACTACGCTACTTGCATGTCCATGCTGAAGATATGGCCATGGAGGTTGCCCCGGCACTGCCTCTGCAATTGGTGGACCTGAAAGTGGTGAACGTCTCCAAGCAACACCTGCTGTCAGTGCAGCGCATGCCCAACCTGCGCAAGCTCACCTTGAATTGGCATAAAAGGCCGCTGGACGTGACATTCCCCCCGCTGCCGGAGGGCCACCGCGGCCTGCAGTGGCTCTGGGTGGCTCTCCATCCGGTGTCCACCGTACTGTCGCTGGCCAAGGCCCACGCCGCCACGCTGCAGGAACTGCGAATTTTGTGCGCCTCGGAGGGGGACTCGAAGTGGCACTTCAAGGACCTGGCGGAGGGGCTGCGCCAGTGCGGGCTGGTGGCGTTGAGGCGCGTCGTGCTGCTGCGCGGGGTTGCTCCAGGCTTCCCCGACGACAAGCTGCCCCACACCAAGGACTCGTGCACGACGCAGAAGAACGCCATCTGGGACGAACTGGTGGTGGCCAGCACGATGCAGACCGTCAAGGTTCTATGTAGCGAGTGCGATAAATGCCCCGATTTCCCTGAGCTAGGGAAATTCGTCTGGATCGCCAAGTAATTAGGCGGTGAGTTTTGGGAAATGTGCATCTGTCAGGAATTTCTAGGAGAATATCCGTTTGTTTTTGAGTTCGTCGATTCTTTTTTTTTTCTGTGGTGACCCAGTTCCCTCTGCTCGGGCCTTCTTTATGTTTACAATTACTGAACAACAATTTCCTTTTCATCACATATTGTCAAATATTGCACCAGCTCCTCTGCACAGTTAATGACCGACATCTTAACCAGTGTTCAAGTGTCCATGCAGTGTCATGACGACATCAAGAATTGTTATTAGCGCAACTATTGTATCAAGAAACACAAACAATAAAGATTTTAGTGCAATGTTGTTTCATTTCTTTAGTGTTTCACAATACTTGCTTCACTGAAAGGTAGCACAGCAACGTTTTTAACTCAGTTACGGGAGTTCACGGATGATCGAGAAAACGTTCTAATTTGAACGACTGTGACCGCCATCGAGAGGGAATTCACTACCTAAAATGCTCAACCAATTAATTACCATTATCATTTTTAAAGTATTTTTTTCAGTTTTTCAGTTTCCGTTATAATACACGTGAAGGCCGAAAAACTGAAAAACGGAACTTCATGGCAAGGAAAGTAAAATCATTTTACTACGTCTTCCTGCTAATATACCGTTGGATGGTGAAAATATCAACGGAAATCCTATACATCATTCGAAAAATTCCTATGCGTTTCGTTCTTTTTCTCATCCTAATGCTGTCATGAAAATCAAAACCGAGTACGGGAATTCGATTTCTATAACTGCACTCTAAATGTCTTACGAAGGAATTTCCCATATTACGAAGGAAATGGCGCAAGCATAATACGAAGGTGGTTTTTCTTCGTTTTACGAAGGTTTTTCTATGTATCTTACAATGAAAAAGCTAAAAGGATTCGTATTACGAGGGGATATTGCTTCGTATTGTGCTTGCGCCGAATTCACTGTAACATACGAATAGCATAGGTCAAATTTCATTGTAAGACATTAAGAGTGTGGTTATAGTAGTTTGTGCAGGCGTGTGATGCGATTTTACACTATTTCGACGCCTTCTAGTAGAATAATCGTAACTATCAGAGCCCTAAGACAATCCTCACTGTCTGAGCAGATTTAGAACTCTCCTAACTGTAGAGGTACCCGAAAGTGTTCAGTAACTATCTTCACTGCAAATCAGTGAATAACGATCTCTGAATTACAATGTCCACGTCTTTATAAACAGATGAAACTTTTGAACAAGTCCTTCGGCAAGCAGTTAAATTAAGTATTTTGGCGTCACGGACACTGGTAGCCAACGAATGTGACGTCATATTCGTTCGAATGTGAATTCTGTCAAATTCGTTTGAATATGATGTCACATTTGGTTGATTCTTCATCAACATTCAACCTAATATGACACTCTAATTATACGGCCGAGTCAGTTTCAAACGAACGTGACACGTGAGTATTTTCCGGTGAGACAGTTAGGGTAAGGTGCCCAGTGATGTCATGTTCGAAAGTTGTTTTAAAACATTTAGTGTGAAGAAATTTGTGCAAACTTGATATGAACTAAGTACATATGTTTATTACCAATCATTTTAGCAGATGATACCTTTACTACTTAAAAACGTACTTAGAACAACACAAAACACTTAAAGGTGTCAGCTAGCTTTTACTCCAGAGTCCAGAAACCAAGGCTGCATCCTAACAATAATTGGGGGCTGGCTGCCCGGGTGGGATGGTGAGTGAATGGAAGCGCAGCCTGTGCGACGCATCGACAACTCCTCCTCCGGGTACAGCGCGAGCGGCACCGGCCAACAATGCCCTCCCCCCTCTCGCACAGTCCCTCCCCGGGTACAGCGCACAGAGCAGCAACAATGCCTCTCGGCACGGCTCAGCGCGCTCGGGGCCTTGCACTGTCAGAAAATTCCGAAAAAAAAAATGGAGAAATCATGGAGTTTTTCCGAAACTTCTGCATGGAGCTCTCCATAAATGCAAATTCTGGGCTTTCTCCGAAAAATTTCGGAATTTTGAACAAAAATGCATGCTGCACTATCACTAAAACACGAAAAAAAGGTTTGCAACCAGTTAAAAATTGAGGGAAGGGTGAACCCCTACTTCTTGAGCTCAGTTTTCATAATATTAAGGGAAAGCTACAGGATATAAGTCAAATGAGCTCGAATGAGGTTGTCCCTTCTTTGATCATATCAGACCAAAAAAATGCTTCAGCGAAGTCCTCTTTAATGTATCTAAGAAAAGACTTGCAATCCGGACCCAAGGAATGCTCCGAAGAACATCTGTATAAGCCTTGAGAAAATCTCTCCGAAAAAAAATGGAAAATGAATGGAGTCTCTATGAACGTGATTATAGGGTTTTTCTCCATAAAATTTCGGAGCTAATTTCTAACAGTGTGTAATTGGGCTATCTATTTTATTTCATACACAATTCTAAATAATCCCGAACTACTTTCTAAAAGAAAACCAATCATCTGCTTTCATTAACGTTCGTTAAATGAGATTTTTTGCTTTACTTTCTCAGGTACAAAGAAGAAGCTTCATATACGCTCAGACTCGATATTGACTTTTATTTTAGTACATGGTATTGACATTTTGTCGATAGAACCACTGGGTTTTTGTGCAACAGTAATAAGTTCTTGTCGCTTCTGTTCTTATTTTCTACTCTTTTGCACTCTGAGAAAAAATGACGGTAAATCCTGGATAATTTTTTTGCCAAACATTACCGTACTTCAAAAACCAGTATCCACCGTACAGTCTACAGTATTTACCGTACTTGTTTTACAAAATATTCCGTAGTTTTTATAACAGAAGTTACCGTTCTTTCGTACAGTCCATGCCGTAGGAAGGACCAGATCTGGTCCCAGCAAAGGCCGCTCCAAAGAAATGTCCACATCAGGATCTTGAAAAAAGGGGGTCGACCGACTGAAAAAATTTATTGCACCTTTCGATAGGTCTCGTCAAGACCTTTTCAACGAGTGGTCGGAAGGGGAGTCCAGGAGCCCGACTTCAGCAGTTACGTACACTGTTAAAAATAATCGTAAATTTACGACATTTTGTAAAACAATTAGGTCGTTTTTAAACGACATATTTTGTTACGACTCAAGTCGTAAATATACGACTTGAGTCGTAAATTTACGACATATTTGTCGCTAATTTTGATAGCGAGACGTTCCGTTTTGAAACGAATTAAGTCGTAAATTTACAACTTAATCGTAAGTTTACGAACGATCGTAATTTATCTATGGAATAAGTTGTGCAGTTATGACTTTAGTCGTACATTTACGAACCTTTTCGTAAATTTGTGTAATGAATCGTAAATGAACGACACAAATCGTAAATAAACGAGCAAAATTGCAACTTTTCATCTACTTTTCGGGAATTTCAGATTTCAAAATATGTAATCGCGATTGCGACATTGTCGTAGAGAAATGATTTTTTAGTCGTTCAGTTACGACGAAGTAGTTTCAGAACGATTTCTGTCGCTATCAAAATTAGCGACGTTTTTGTCGCTAATTTACGACAAAATTTCTAACAGTGTACATCAGAATCTTGAAAAACGAGGGTCGACCGACTGAAATAAATTATAGCAGTTTTTGATAGGTATTAAAAGTACGGGATTGCCGGGTAAAAAAGTACGGGGTTCCCTGTAAAAAAAGTACGGTATTGCCTGTGAAAAAAACGACGGTATTGCCTGTTAAAAAAAGTACGGTGAAGTCTGGAGTAATCAGTACAGGATTTACCGTGATCTTTTCTCGCAGTTTGTTAGTCCTCATTGACAAACAAAATTCCCGAAAATTCCTGTATAATTTTATCCAGTAAACTGTTTATTTGTAAGAAGAAAGTATCACACATATCTGTTAGGCTACCTGGTTACTGATGATTAAGTCCACAGAAGGCTGAGAGTGTGTTACAAAGGAAATATTACTTCATGATATGGTTGCACAAATCTTTTCGTCCTTCAAAGAAATGGTATTCGTTTTCTTCTTGAGGTTTTTTGAGTGCACATTTAAGTTTAACGTTCGTTGGAGCATTGTATCACATTCGTTGCAACGCGATGTCACGTCTCTGCCCATGCCCACTCCCGACCCGGAAGCAGACAAACTGTTGCGCATTCCCACAATGGCTCGCATTGGATCGCATAATATAGGGTCATAAAGTAAACCTTGTTACGACCTGTTCCCCACACTCGGCCACTCCACGGTTACCTCCGACGCGGCGAAATCCCGGTCGAGTAGAGGACGGAGGCTGGTTACGCATAGCGCTTTGACGTGTCCAACAACCGGGTAGTCCGTGCTGATGATCTGTGGCGGGAATGTCTCGAACGGAAGTCAGTAAAGATTCACCGGTCGGGCTGGTTTGATTCGCAGTATGTAAGTGAATGGTCGGAACATTTGGGGAATGTCTATTCATAAGGGGACGCGTTTGGGGAAAGGGGAGAAACCTGCTCCGCGTGACACTGCAGTATATGGTGGGGTGGGGGAGTATTCTTACCTGCGTAGTGTGATTAATGGACGCACCCCGATTCTCTTCAGCTTGAATTTCAGCTGTTAGTTTTATCAGAGCCGGAAATGTGAAGAGCAAGAAATCAATAACCGAGACAGATTAAAATTCGGCCCGTTTTGGAGGATCTGACATGTTCAAGTCAGATTTCGACCTTAAATTATGTTTTGAATTCGAACTTAACACTCACAGTCAATGAGTCAGCGATATTTGGCATTGGTTTCCGGAGTCTGTTCTTCCTCGTTACTTTCTCTCTAAGTTCTGCCAGAAGTAGCGTGAATTAGGGATGTACCATCTTTCCGACTTCTACTTAACTACGAACAGCCTGACCTAGCCTTCGTCTCTGACTTCCGCAGTCTTTAATTCCGGTTGCCAGGAAGAGTAAGACGCGCGGCTGAACCATCCGTTTGTGAGTTGAAGATGTTATTGTTACGATAGGAAGGTTCTCTGCATAGACTGCAGAGGCTCAAAAACCTACAAACGAAGGAAATTAGAGGATCGTCGGGTCGAGCTCGTCATCAGAGGTCCGCCTCAGCACGAGAGCACCGTTCATGATCCCAGACGCCCGCAACCGCAAGCGTTTGGGCACAATAATATTGTTGCTCAGAAATTGATTCCGGAGCCAGTTTTTCAGTTTATTCTGACTCCAAACACGGCATTCTAGTCATCGCCGCTTGAAGCCCACGTGGAGGAACTGAATCGGAACTGGCGCCGGCAGCTTGGCAGACTGTTACGAGTGGATTAGATGAAGAGTCATTTCCGAAGCGTATCTCCTCTCGAAGCACTTTTGTCGGTTCCGGACACTTCGTCACAGAACAGAAAGTGACAATAAA